TGCAACGAATGCTGTCATGCATTTTGCTGAGGGATTGATCCTGGAGGAAGCAGCACAGAGAGCGGGACAGGGAATGCAGGACGGTGGAGGAGCATGAGAGGGGCACGACCACGGAGCACGCATCCTGAAACTGCCAACGGGTATGTTAGAGTTCTTTCTTTCGGGGACACCCTCTGCCTTGGGTTTGAGGTGCATGGAACCTGGATCCACCCGTTGGAGCCGTTTTGTTGCCCCCTCCACCAGTTGGCTGTTGGCCGTCATGGATGTGTTGGTCACTTGCTGGTGATGTGCACCACATGCTTTTTAAGAAGGGGGACATGGTGTGGCGAGTCCACGGTACAGGCAGGTATTATTCCGGGTCTAGTCGATCCGTTTCGTTAGATGCTTGGGAGTACGGAAGGATAAATGTCAAGGTGACTTATGCCTGGAGCTGTGGGAAATATACCGCGCAAGATAGACGAGAGACATAGACGGTGTGAAAACCTCCAAGACTGCAATACTCCAATACAGAGTCGAGTCCTCTGTGCTCCAGGCCTGGTGTCAAAATGCATGGATCTAGGTTGAAGAAAGCCACAGGGGGTGGTTTGTACGATGGGAATGCATCTCTGTACTCCATACTCTGTATCTCTCGACGGCTTGCATTTTTTCATACTGCATCCTTTATACATACATACAAACGTACATTCATACGTTCATACCAAGTATGTTTACAGAGCATACAACCATACATGCAGTATGCGATACGATGTCTTCTGTACAGAATAGGATGAGGGACAGGTTATGAAATCAATCCCCCTGTTCGACTGAATCTCTCTGCTCGAACCGCCAACCGATCCCTCCTCCCCACTAACTCCCTGTGTGGAGTCTTAGCACACTCGATATGTCATCATCTCCGCTGCATTGTGGTCCTTGACCCAAGAAACCCACGCATAAGGGGGGTGAGAGACGGGAAGGCAGTTCATCAGTTCTGGACCTCTTGAGGCCTCGCCCCAGGCGAACGGGCCAGGTGCGGCCCCGCTCTAGACCGTCATCTTCGCTCTGGGCGCCCGATGACTGGCTAGGCGCTGCTCAACGGACGGGTTTGACAGCGGTCCCACGAACCAGTTCGCTTGTGCCGCCCCCGCCAGGTTGTGATCCCTTCAACCCTGGTGCATCCGTGGCGTCCGGTTCAGGAGGGCCAGGTGGTCCAGAGGCGAAAAAAGGCTCGCTTGGAAGGGAAAAGGGGGAAAGGTCAAGGAGATTCCACCTTGACCGGACGAGGTGCCCAATCTGATAGCAAAGAGAAAAAAAAGAAGAAAAAAAAAACGGTAGGAAAAAATAAAGCAAAAGGCATCGCGTTCGTGTCAAGGGAGATATATCTTCGTATCCGTCAATAGGGCGCAGGAGGCGTGATCCAATGGAGGACAGTCTTGCTGCAGTACTATGCATAATACTACTACATTGTATTCTTGCAAACTTTCCTGCGATTTCTATAGATCCTTGAATGTAGACAATCCGGCACACCACCTTCTCCGAATCCTATCTCTAGTATTCTTCAAACCGGCACCTATCCTCCTATTATTCCATGTGTCAACACTCTCCTCAGCCCTGGACACACGATTGGGAGGGAGGGAGGGAGGGGTGGCCTCCACTTGGACCCTCTGTTGTAGCCAACCACGTTGTCCAGCTACTGCCGGCCCAACCCTATCTACCCGGTTCAAACTCAATCGGCGTCCCAAACGAACGCTCCGCTCCTTCCAACGCAAAGGAACGGAGTACACTGACACCTGCCAGGTCCCCCTTCTCGAGGAACTTCCGTCACTTATACCGTACACTAGTTCTCTTTCGCTCTTTCTATCTCTGTAGATTGGGAGAAAAATTTTATAGGAGCTATCAACATCATTACAAGATTTTATTGTGATTCTAAGGTCTATATCTCTCCCTGGTTCCTCTGTAGTTGCGATCCAATCCTTGATACCGAGGCGTGCTGATGTCACTGTGTCCATTTCTGGGCGTGTCTTCATCCTCCTGCCGTCCCGCGATCCATTGGGGTCCCAGTCTCTCAGGGCTCAGGGTTAGGGGGAGGGGGGGACGGTTGGTAACGGCGAACTGATGCTGGTCCCGACCTCCACTAAGTGGAGGTTGGTGGAGGCCACGGCAAAAAGCATCGCAGTACCGGCCTTTTTTCTCGATTCATCGTATCGTCTTTTTTTTTTTTTTTTTTAGTAGTCCGTGTTTGCTCCCTACTACTCTGTCCGGAGCTCAAAAAAATCCTCCATCTTGAAAACTGGAAATTCTCTCGTTTGGGCGACCGGATGTAGAGCGATGGTCTTTGCCCCATCCAGCCTTTTAACTGTAATTAGAGAATAATACCCGACGGTAAAGAAAGAGAATGCGGTTGGAGAGAGAGGGAACCCACCATCAATGCCGTCCCGTCTCGTTTCGCGAGACTGAGTCCGTTTTAAGCCGCACTCAAGATAAGGGGGGGAAAGGCTGAGCGTGAAGCTGGAAGGCGGCAGAGGTGAGCTGTCGAGGCGCTGTGGAGATCTCATTGTCCTATTTTGTCCATTGTCCCATTGTTAGTGGCTAACACAAGAAGTAACGGCAGCCAGCCATTCCACCAGGCCTAGGTCTGTCGCTCTTCCCAGCCTACAATCCTTTGCGATCCCTGTTTTGCCTGGGTCGGCGGTTCGCCGCAGCTTTGCGGTGGCTGTTTTTTTGCCCCCATACAAGGGAAGACGGCCCGGGATAGGGAGAGCGGGCAATCGGGACGATGGCGCAGGCAAAAACGGGTGGGGATCTGCCGCCCACTTGAGGAGGGGGAAGCTAGGCTTTTTTTGTGCCTCTCTACGGGATGACTGGTAGGTTGATGGTGCAATCGAGACTCGGATGTGCCGAGGTCGACAAAATGGAGAAGCGCACCGAATGACAACGGATTGGTGCTGGAAAGGGGGGGGGGGTGAATGCTGATCGAAGGGGAGACATTAGCGTCGCCATTGTTTCCTGGGCCACGACATCATGCGCGAAGGCCTCCGTCTCCCTGATCGGGAAATGTCACGTGGTTGGTAATAAGTTACAGAGAGTCGGACGAATGGAGACTAGCGCCAGGGCCGGGATCTAGGGTTGTTGTTGTTACAAGCCGAAGTATACACATGGGGAAGATGGAAAGGCTGTCAGGTCAATTCGGTTTGGATAGTGATCATGAACATGTAGTTGTTTTGATTCAGGCGACTGGAAATTCAAGGATAACTACCCTGGATGTCGAAGCTACTCATAGATTCCCCAAATCATTACTCATACTCCGCCCTCTTCGTGTTGATCGTATGCACCCTCGTACAACCGTGGGATATATACTTCAGATGGAACTTACTGAACAGGGTTGTTTGAGGGCCAGAACCATCCAAAGTCAAACGACATCAATAATCCGAGTCAAACAAGCCACCACATTCTCCGCCAGCGGCAAGTCGATCAATCCAGCGGCAGCCAAACTGATGGCAAAGTGGCGTCCACCGCTGCACGCCACACCAGTGAAATCGCAGCACAGCCGAAAACGGGGGCCATGCTACTCTTTCTCCCCGCACCATGGCATGATGACCTGGCACATGGGATGAAAAAACAGAACGGCATTGCGCAATTCCCAGTCAATCAATACTTGATTATTCGAGCTTTCTTTTTGGGAGTGGGAGGATGGCGTTCGGCCGAAGCTGCACTACCGGGAAACTCGACAGAGCAACGAGGGCGTTGCTGCAAGGGATATCCGAGGCGCTGCATGAAGGTTTGGGGAGGGGGCGGGAGATCAGGAGATCAGGAGATCAGTGGATGCAAGGTTTGGGCGTTTAGCTTTGACGGCTTGTCTTGTTATTGCTTTTAGGTCGTTTTTTTATGGCTTCGGGTTTGTCGGCCGGCGAGTCGTGACGCGGTTGTGGTTGCACATGCTGCTAGCGCGCGGGATTCCTTGTTTTTTTGGGCTTCCATGGAGTCCAATTTTGGCAGGCGTACTCGAGACATCAGTCGAGTCGATTCTCTGCCCTCCATTTCCCTCCCCACCCCCCCCTACTTCGACAGCCAGATGAGTCTTGAAACCGAGAGTCCGCGATCCTACGGAATTCCCATGTAGGTGGGTCATCGGAGACCAGAGCCATGATTGCCAATTGAACAACTGCCGACATGGTGCTTGGACACAATAGCCCGGCCTGCTCCCAATCCAGGTCTCTGGATCTTACCATCGGTCTGTATTACCATGTGGGCTTGCTTCAGGAAACCTGCAGCAAGAGAACGAGGGAGTCACGTTGACGGGAACTGGCATGTTTCATCCTGGTCGGGTCGGCCTCATGTTCTTTCTTTCCTGACCACCCATCCGTTGCCCACCGGGAAGTCCTATCAGGCTCGTGTCAGACAAGAGCCCAGAGAGGATGATCTTGCCGACACAGTAAATCCCGTTGATCCCCGAGAAACGTATCCCTGTCGCGGTTGGTCCCAGGGGCTGCTGCTGGTTGGATCGTGCTCGTTGGCGGATCCCACATGATCCCACTTGATCCATCATCCGCATGCGCGGCCGCAAGAGCCTCGAGAAGAACGCGGATTACCGGTGGTATGTCAGGAGTGGTCTCAGCTCGGATATGTGCTCTGATTTCATGGTTTGGCCGCTGTCTCGGCTCGGATGGCTGTATGGGGGGATTTTGCGCGCCCCACCCTTTCTTTTCTCGTGTAGATGGCCGGCGATAGTGGAGAGGAACCCGGAACAATGGAGGACAGAGGGCGTGAGAGCTGACTCTGCGTGTCTTGAACAAGCATGCTGGGGTTGATGCAGAGAGTCCACGGCGGAGGTCCGAGTGCAACAATGGGATAAACTCTGGGGGCTGCAACTAGTTGTCTTGTAACGGGCTTGTAGGCATAGAAACAATTACTTTGGATTACAAGCTCTGGTATAATTCCATTCGACTGGATTACACTGATGTTGGTAATTGCTATGGGTAATTGCGACGCTCGGAGATACTAGCGACGCTCGCCTCAAAAGCCGCTCAGGTATTCACTCGATAGAATACGGGCAGTTTGTCAATCGGACAATCCACCTCGACCTCGCTGCCCCCCTGGTAGACCCCTGGAATGCCGTCGGTGGGTGCACTCGTCTTGCCCCAGAGCGTCCAGTAGGCCCCGACAGGAAGATATACCTTGATTTGTCGCTGCTCCGGCTGCAAGACCGGTGTGACCAGATACCGGGACCCAAACATGTACGCCGTCTCAACTTCCCACGCCCGAGGATCGTGAGGAAACTCGTAGAAGAGTGTGCGCATCACTGGCGTCCCCTTCTCGTGTGCCTCTTTCATCAAGCCTCGTGTATAATCACGCAGATCCTCCCGGATTCCAATAAACTTCTTGCAGATTTCATATACCTCCTCGCCGTACGACCAGATCTCATTGTCGGAGCCACTGGCCGTCGGCTGGCCCTCGGGCTTAGGCTCGCGATCTCCATGAAGTCGCATCACCGGGCAGAAAGTTCCCCATTGGAACCAGCGAGTGAACAATTCCCGGAACGCAGGGTCATCCGGATTGCCGCCGTGGAACCCGCCTATATCAGTCGTCCACCATGGGATGCCGGCGAGACCCATATTCAAACCCGCGGCGAGTTGATTCCGCAACGAGCTCCACGAGGACGCAATATCGCCGCTCCAGACCAGGGCCCCGTAGCGCTGGCTGCCAGCCCAGGCACACCGCAGCAGATTCACGATGTTCATCTGGCCCTCCGCCTGCATACCCTCATAGAATCCGCGGGCGTACTCCTTGGGGAAGATATTGCCTATCTGCAGATTGCTGCCGGCGTGATAACGGTAGATGTCAAAGTCGTAGATGGAATACTCAGGCTCGGCCTCATCGAGCCAGAAGACTTTGATTCCGCGTTCGTAGTAATGCTTTTTCGCTTTGCTCCAAACGAACTTGCGCGCTTCAGGGTTTGTTGCATCGAAATGGGTGATATCACCATCGCATTGCATGGCAACCCGCAGCCCGCGGTCGTGTCTAATGAGCAGCCCACGCTCGAGCATTTCGGGGTAGTTTTCTGAGGCATTCTCGACGGTTGGCCAGATTGAGACCATAAGTTCAACTTTCAGCTCTTGCAGCTCTTTAATCATGGCATCTACATCATGATCATTGTAAGCTTCTTGAAGACAGTCGTGCGTTGAATATTCCGCAAGAGAACTCACCAGGGTCTGGCCAGAACTCTGGATCAAAACTCCACTCGCCCTGGTGCTTCCAGTGAAAGAAGTCTATCACAATCAGATCAAGCGGTACCTCGCGCCGTCGATACTCCCTCGCTACGTTAAGTAGTTGCTCCTGATTCCAATAGCGGAGCTTGCATTGCCAGAATCCCAGACCATATTCAGGCATCATCGGGACATACCCGGTCACCTTGGCGTACGCTTCTTCAATCTCAGCCACGGTATCACCCGCCACGACCCAGTAGTCCAATGCCCGAGTGGAATAGGCCTCGAAGCTCATCACGTTTGTTCCTAGCATAGCTCGCCCGATAGCAGGGTTGTTCCAAAGAAACCCGTACCCGCGTGATGAAACAGCAAACGGGACACTGGCTTGCGAGTTACGGTGGGCCAGTTCCAGATCTGTCCCTTTCAGGTTGAGATATGGCTGCTGGTATTGCCCCATCCCAAAGATCTTCTCCTTCGCATCGAGCGATTCGAAACGCATTGTCAGGTGGTAATCACCGCCTAGGATTGGACGTAGCTCGCGTGCTTCGATTTCGAGGGCACTGCATTTCGGATCACGCGGATCTCGTCGGTGTCGCGCATACTCTTCGAGTAGTTTCGTGCCCTTGGAGTCGTAGATAATCACTTTACCGCGCTGCGATACGGTAGCTTTGATTTTACCGTTCACAATGCTTGCATCTTCCCCGGCTGGAGTATCAATCACGATGGTAGAGCTCGCAGGCTTGAATGAGAGAGCCCAGTCCTCTGTGGGCATGGAGGCTAGCTTGGTTGCTCGTACTCGGAAGGCATTCTGCCCCCAGGGTTGGATCCAAAGGAGGTGATCGTCAAAACGGAATACTAGCTTGTCTTCTTCGGAGTACAGCATCTTGTGTTGGTATACGGGAATTTTCCTTTTTTTCCTATCTAGGAGCAAGATGGGGGTATGTGAATACTGGGAGTGAGGGGTATTGAGATGATGGGGCGGGCGTCGCCTCGTCTGATTCAAAAGCCGCGGGCGTACGACAAGGCGACAACCAATCCATCATTTCCCCGCCCAGCGAACCTCTAGAACTCTTATAGAACAAGTCATAGATTCAAGCCGAGCGCAATTTGCCCAAAAACAGCTTGATTGCTCAGTGATTGCTTCAGTGATCTTCGTAAGATGACGTCGTTGGGCGTTGTGGAGGTATTGGACATTAGCCTAAAAGGGCCTTCCTCGCAGAACATGGCCTGACCTCCCTTTCTGTAGACGAAGTTCACCGCCAGTTGTTTCTTATATCAACTATCATTCCTCATATTGCACTTAGGTTTTTGTACCCAAGTCCTGGCCGTTCACGATCCATTGACTGTAGAGAATTCGGATTATATTTTGGAAGAGAACGTAACAGGATTGCGTCGGAACTATATAATAGATCACAATCTGTCATACCTCCCAGGAAAACAGCAGGAAGCAACTAGTGTGGTGTGGAAACAAGCCAGGAATAACAAAATACCGATATGTTCTCCTAATAAATGCAGTTGACTCCATTTTCTAGAATCTCTTGGGCTGGAATTTCGCCTAGACTTTGGAACTGACTACAAGCAGAATGCTGCCAATTTCTATCATGCCCAAAGACCTCAATATTTATATCAATGATTGTTCGTTTTGATTAACCGTGAACAGCTCGGATTCCTTATTTGTGGGTTCGTCATGGCCAGCGATTGATATTTTCGGCTCCGTTGGAGCTTTTTGCTTTTCGACTTTTATTTTCCCGATTTCTTTTCCAAAATAAGGGTAATTTATTCTAATTCACAAATTCTTTATTTACAGATTTATCATCGTAGATGGTGGTTTTAATTTCTACTACAAAAGCTTTTGCCTATGATGACCTCAGACCTATAAATGTAAGCCCTGCCTGTCAAAAGGCCCCTACAACTACTTCATATCACTATTCATCCAAGTTCTTCCACCCTTAGTTACACCAGTCCCTAAGTTAACTTTTTTGAAGGCGTTCGGAGCGGTGGGAGTTGATGGGCTAGAAAGGGAGCAAAAACTTGGGTCATCGGAGTGAACGGACATCTATCTTCGGAGCATCATTATCAATAGGCTATTCACCACCTGAGCTGAACAGATAAGTTTGGCTCTCCTGGCCAATTAACCATGTCTTGAGATCCGTAAAGGCATCCAAATCATTCTTTTCCGCGGCGACCTCGACTTCAGGGTCGTGCCACTCGTGAGTTCTTTTGGCTCTTGTATCCCTTAAGGACTCTCCAATGCGGCGACAACTATCAAAGTCGATGAGCACGGGAACATTATTCTCATCCAGCATGATATTCGCCGGGTTAATGTCATTGTGGACAAGGCCCAGGGAGTGGAGATGTCGAATGCCATCCAAGATCCCATTGAGAGCTGCCTTGATAGGTTCGGTGACGAACTCCCGCCCACTCTCACGGAAATGGTTTTTACCGTAATGCCGAGGATTTGCGGCTTCGAAAAGAGTGACTGAATATCGCTTGAAACACAACCCGGAGACTCGATTTCGAGTGTTCTGGCAGCCGTGGTAAATGGCGATGTTACGGTGTGGATGCCTTCGCAGTAGTTCGCAGGTTTCCACTTCACGGAGGATCTGCTTCTCAAGGGCTGCACCGGCAAGGTACGCGAAGAGCTTGGGTGTTTTGATGTAGCTGTCATTTCCAGACACCACAGACCAAGAATCCAGGATCCAGGGTCCACGATTCTCCCGAATGATGATTTGGATGTCTGCTAGCTGTCTTCTTTCGCGAGGCCGGGTTTTGCGGTCTTTCCAAGTGCCGTGGTAGAGAATGCCATCTTCTAGGATGAAGAACTCAACGTGAGAGAATTGAAAGACTCCCTGGATTGTTTTAAAGGATTCTATTTGGTCGATAATCTCCATCGCTCTGATAGCGTCCAATGTGTTGCCACTCTGAGTGTGGAAGGTTGGAAGAAATGCACCAGGGAGTATTACACATTAGATGGGATTTACAGTGCTCATTTTCAGCCAGGCTACCATTTGTATAGTTTCAAACCAAATGTGCACAGCCCCAAAGAGTTGAGTTTAAACTGGAGGTTGGGACGACCTGGATCTGGGGGATTGGTCATCTTGGGGTATCGTGATGTTGTGTTGTTCACTCAGGATGCTATAGTCACCTTCACTGCTTGAGTGATAGGCCCCCACCATTCCAGCACCTGGAGTGAATTCAAGCGAGAGTCGTATCGTGCGTCTCGACCATTCAGTCTCCCAGCCTCAGCCTAGACGTGGACATCCGTGTCCACTGGGTCTGTGTGGCTCAGCCCAGCCCCAACCAACATGGTTGGGGGGTAAGCGCTCTTGGTGAGCGGGTTGCTCAGCTTGCCAGCTGGTGGTAAGAGAGGTGAAAATGCAGCAATTGAAACAAAAAAAGAGCCAGACTAGACAAGTCTCACTATCTCCTTTCAGTATCTTTGAATCCAAACATCCCTGCACTGTGAACAGTCTGACAAAGACCGTCAGAACGAACGCATTTCGGTGTCCCCCCACACGCTAAACCCGACCGGGAAACACGCGGGAAGCTATCGACAGCGGCTTTTCTCTTTCACCAACTCCGCCTCTGTTCTCCTCACTTGACTTTCAGCTTCTCATCTCCATTTGTGAACTATACTTCGTAATGGAGGCCGCAACAATCCCTGGAAATGGGGCACAGCATTCCATCGCCGATGCGTCCATGGACATTGACATGGACATCGACCTAGGTCCAGAGCCAGATCTGGAGCCGGAACCACAACCCATTTTACCCGTAAGTTCGCCCCTTGTTCGGCACATTGACGGTGTAGAAGATACTAATCTGTTATATATCACCTCTGGATAGAATGTGACTCCCCAAGAGGCCTCGATTGATCCACTTGCTGAGGAAGCTGTCTTTGAAAAAGTCCACGTCCGCGGGGTGGATGAATTGACAACTGATGATATCAAACAATTTGCCAGCGCTCATTTCGAACACGAGACCCCGGCACGTATCGAGTGGATTGATGATACCTCCGCAAACATAATCTATTCCTCAACAGAGATGGGCCTTCAAGCGCTGGCAGCTTTGACACAGGTTAGCGAGGAAGAAGATGTGTCGGCACTCCCACCTCTGCGCCTCCGGTCGGCGAAGCTTCTGGCATCACATCCCGACTCTGTCCTCCAAGTGCGATCTGCTGTCAAGTCAGACCGCAAACAGGCTCGGGCCCATGAAAAGAGTCGCTTTTATCTCATGCACCCCGAACACGACCCGCGCGAACGCTTGCGACAAGAGCTCTCTGACCGAAGACGAGGCGGTGACACAAGCGAGGGAGAATACCGGCGACGCCGCTTTGATGACAGGGAACTGCGCCGCCGCCGAGACCGCGACCATGACGACCAATTCGACGCCAACATGTACGATGACCAACCGCAAGGGGAGAGCCACTCCGACTCGGAACGTGGCAGGAGGGATCGGAGGCGGCGGGGCCCGCGCGAATTATTTCCAGAGGACGACAGCTCTTCTGGGCGGCTTCGCAATCGCAGTGCGTCTCCTGGTCGGGACACTCTTGAGGATGCGGATCGCGTCGACACGCGCAACAGATTCCGGGAGCGGTCGCCACGAGCTGGTCGCCGAAACCAAGGCAAAGAGCTCTTTCCATCCGACTCGAGCACCCGAGAACTTTTCCCCAATAAGCCTGTCTCAAGCTACATCAAAAAAGAATTGTTTCCTGCAAAGCCTAGCAACCACCGCCGATCAGATGCCTTTGACGCTGCCGATGAGACTGCAGATCTGCTAGGGCGACGAATTTCCGTTCCTTTCACAGACGGTGGTTCCGATCAACGAAATACCAATGTTGAGCTGTTTCCTGACTCGAGATCTGGTAATGGCTCTCGCATCCGCGGAATGGCAATGGGAGACCAAGGCGATGCCATACGCGCCGCGGGACGTGGTATGTCGATCAAAGGTCGGGGTGCATCGGTTCGCGAACTGTTCCCAGACAAGTTTAACAACAATCGCAATGTCGGAAAGGAGCTTTTCTCCGAGACGCTTGAGGGACGAGGTGGTCGTCGTCGGCGAGCCGAGGACATGTTCAGTTGAGAAAGGTCAGCGAGAAATTGGAATCTTGGGAGATATCTTGTTGATTTGATTCTTTTTTTGCTCTGCTTCGTCTTATGAAGGGAATGAAAATATCTGGCAGCATGCTCAATATGGCGTTTCGCAAATGGGGGCTTTCGGAATAGGGGACTTGGATAGAAATTACATTCCAGACGACATATATACTCTGCTCTATTATCATCAAAAATAATAATTATGTATAGTATTGAAATACCAAACTTGATTTCATATATTGTAATGGCTTTGGTACCCCTTCACTATTGTGCATGGCTGATCCCGAGCTGCAATCAATTTCCCATAGGAGGCTCAGCGCGGGCATCAAAAGAATACCCGGCGGCAGGGAACTGGCGCCACAACACCACTTTGGTCTCGACATCGCCGCCACCAACTTGCTGGCCATGGCTTCCTCCACCGCGGTTGACTCACTTGCGAGTGCGCTGGTCGCGCGTTTTCTACGAACCTATAATTATGCCGAGACTCTGAAGGCTTTCATCCATGAAGCTGGCCTTGCGCCTGACGTGGGGCAAACCTCGGGCGATGACACCAACGGCTTGACCATACAGAGCTTGCTAGAGGAGAAGAAGATCTTCGACCACAGCGTGAACTTTGAAAGATATGGCAAGGATAACAGGGAGACGGACCTATGGAGCGTTCCAGGTGAGACTCGTCGTGTTTGATTCGTAATCCTTGCACGGAGCGTTGTTTCGCTTCTTTTTGTCGGCCTCCGTACAAAATATGCAGAATATACGAAACTGATAGAAGATTAGCCCCATCCAAACCAACAATTGTCTCAACTCCAACGTCATCGAACTTGCTCAGTGCTTCTGTGGAGCTATGGGAACATTCTGGTGTACCAGCACGCCCATCCATTATCTCTGCTGGAGCTGACAGACAGGTCCATCTTCTGGCAACCGCACCTGAAAATGCAATCCAAGCCTCCTTCTCCGGCTTGTCAGATTCTCCGGTCCTTTCATATGCCTCGATACTCCATGGCCGATATGTGTTTTTGACCAACATGTCAGGGCACTTACTCCTGCAGCGTGGTTCTCAAGTCCTGGATTGCAAAAAAGATCACGCAAAATATGCTATCAAGGTGATTGCCCATCAGCAAGAGAACACGGCTGAATCACAATGTGCTTTTTGGGTGGCCACCGCGGGCTGGGATGCAACTGTCCTCGTATATCGAGTTGTTATCCCAGACGAAAACTCTGCATCAAGTCCAGTTATTGGAGAGCCCATTAAACGTATCAAGCTAGCTACCAACCCGGAGTCCTTGCTATTCGTACGACACATCTATACGGGCGAGTTGCTGCTTGTGCTGTCGCGGCGTGACTCAACCTATCTCTACTACTACGAGGTGGAATCTGTGCCAACGGAAACTGGCCATGATAATACCGCGCAGGAATCACATTCTACAGAATGCCGCCTTCTCGGGAAGCAAAACTTAGCTCCGCATTCGAATGCGTGGGTTACATTCTCCCCATCGCACCTGGCACTCAGCCCACATGATCCTGGTCTCTTAGCAGTCGCCACGTCGTCGGAGCCGCATATGAAGCTCATCATTGTGCGCCTCCTGTTCCCATCCACAAAATCTGTGGACAAGCGTGATGTACCAGCTGCGGAAGCTACAGTGACGCAAGCCTCCCAAGCCCTCGAGGCTCTGGCCTTGCAGAATCGAGAGGATGCTGCGATCTTGGTACAGGCCAATACCTTTGCGCCACAAACAGCATACTCGACACCGCAGGTGGTGTGGCGACCTGATGGGTCGGGAGTCTGGGTAAATGGCGATGATGGTGTCGTTCGGGGGATCGAGACGAAGACGGGGAAAATCATCAGTACCCTTAAGAATGGCCATGAGCCCGGTTGCAAAGTCCGGACTATTTGGGCCGGACACGTTGATGTGTCTGGGGAAGGTGAGGATCCTGCTCAGGAGGAATGGGTTATCAGTGGTGGGTTTGATAAACGATTGGTTGTCTGGAAAGTATGATATTGTTTGTAAATAATAAACTTGAATATAGAAGAATGGAACTGCACAAAAGAAACACTCGCTCAACACGTCAACAGCGTTTCCAGGCACTACTGCTTACGGGGTTTGTAGCCGTCCGTCAGATACTCTTTCACCAGGGAGAGGCATGAAAGGGTAGTAGATGATAAATGGAGGCAAATATTGCTCTTGGCACGTAAAAAATCCTTCAGCATGCGCGCACAAAATAAGCACGTTGCTGTACACACATATGCCGTGGTAGAGAGTGAAATGGGAAATTCAAGGGGAGAAAGGACGTGAACCTCCAAACTGAAGGTTCAAAAGGGGAACTCAACTGCCGTAGCAGCAGGGGAAGAAGAGCCACTATCCAGTAGCAGCCGCCCCGACTAGATTAGAAGGATGCAAAACGGAGAAGGAGGCTTTCCCAGTCAGGGATTGGGCACCGCTGCGTGCATATCGAATTAAGCCTGTTGATTTCTGTATATCAAATAACCCCGGATGGACATGCCGCGCAAGGAATAAGCAGAAATCAGGCCTATTCGACTAAAACAGCGGACCATTCTTGGGTCATCGCACGTTATGTTCCCCGGGTCCTTGCGCGCTCGAGATTTCACATCGCCATATTTTCCTTTTCGATTCCGTCCACGCTTATGCGACCTCACGCTTGCCCTCCTTGCGCTCCTTCTGTTGCAGTTGTTAGTTACCAATGGGAGGAAAGGATGTTGTGCCGAATCGCTTGCCGATCGAACAGCATTCCGTAGCGGTTAGGGCTGAACGTACCAGGGCCTTGGCGGTACCGTGAAGAGCGTGACGGTGGTTGCGGCGGAACTTGGGGTCAACACCCTTGAGGGAGGGGTAACGGTTGGTCTTGGGCTTCTTGATACTGTGCAGAGATGAATGTCAGCGACCAGTGGCTTTAATATGTCGTGTTATGGCGTATTGCGGGTGGACAGGCGAGCGGAGTGCCTCGAGAATATTTGCATATCGAGTATTCCAAGATATTTCACCTGCAATCTCGAAATAAAATCCTCTCTCGCAACCATTCCTGTCCCCCTCAAGGTGGGCATTTGTCGGATCATGGGTAATAAAAGAATTGGCGACGGCTGGAGATTCGGAATACGCACCCGTTACGGTGAGCCTTCTGGCTGTTGTGGTGCTGGGAGGCGTTCTTGGACTCTGTTGAGCGCAGACCATGTCAGTGATCCATGATGGTTTTTTTCAACGATTGAGCAGCTGGTGGCAAGGATGCTGGCGAAATATGAGGAACGTACTGGCCATCTTGACGGGTGTTGTCGGTGATTGACGTGGACGGGATGGTGAGAGGAGAGGAGTGCTGTCAGAGTCGAGCCCAAATGGGCGGGCTCGGCTAGGGCTTTTCCCGTTTGTGTGGGATCTCGCTTACCGCCATGGTGCACGGACGTCATGGCCTCCTCTACTATGGAGGCTATGCAGTGCCGCATCATCTATAGATCTTGACTCCCCTTTGATCTAAGAGCAATTCTTACAAATGGAATGCAAGAGATCTTTAATGCCATACCTTTTATATGTGCTATCAACCCTCCATTCCACTACGGTGTTGAGGATGAAATGAGAAAATGTCCAACAATCACGTGACAATACTGTCTTCTATATCACGTGATAATCACATTTCCTTGAATGCGAAGCATGTACTCCATCGCCTTTCATGGCTTTGTTCAAACACAGAGACAGCTATACAATGGGAAATTTTGATGGGAAACTGATGATTTACAGAGTCTTCTTCCATGGGCTACAGATTATGAGCTGCTCTCCGCAAAATTAGAATTCGATAGTATAAAGCCTGACAAATCAGGGCTGTGGTCATTGAATAATTCCCAGAATAGCCTCTTCATGACTTGAAGAATCTATAAAAAACTTTTAATTCAAACTTTTGAGCCTAGAAAGCGATGTGCCTGGTTGAAGCCCATATTGTAAAAGAGTCCGCAGTTGTTGATGCCGGGTTGTCTTACCACGTGACCAAGGCCGCTAGGGAACAACCGGCTTCCGGCTTCGACCTTTGCAACGCAACCTTCAAGAGGGATACCTCCAGCCTCCGCCTCTCCTCCCATCCATTGCACGATGAACTCCTTCCGCTTCGCTCGTTCCGCTCTGCGGGCTCGTCCCTCCTTCCTCGGCGCTCCCGTCCAGCGCCGTGGCTACGCCGAGGCCGTCGCCGACAAAATCAAGCTGTCCCTGACTCTGCCTCACCAGGTATGTTGAACCGATCTCGGAAGAGACCTCCCCCAACCCCAGGGCTTTATACTAACTTTGTTTCTCTCTATTAGACCATCTACCGCTCGACTGGCGTGTGCGTTTCTCCTTGCTCCCTCTGCGCTTGACGCTTGACCTCGTCATCCCTCCGAAAAATACTGACGAACCTTTCGCAATTACAGTACCCAAGTCAACATCCCCGCTGCCTCCGGTGAAATGGGTGTCCTTGCCAACCACGTTCCTTCCATTGAGCAGCTGAAGCCCGGTCTCGTTGAGATTGTCGAGGAGGGTGGTGCTACCAAGCAGTACTTCCGTATGTCCGACCCGTACAGCCCGAGCACGCGCCGAAAGATAGCCTCCAATTCAACCGAACAATATCGCTAACAACAGGTTCTCCCTGGCAGTTTCTGGTGGCTTCGCCGTTGTCCAGCCCGACTCTCAGCTGAGCATCAACGCCGTCGAGGGCTACCCCCTGGAGGAGTTCAGCGCCGAGGCCATTCGCGCCCAGATTGCTGAGGCCCAGAAGATTGCCAGCGGCAGTGGCAGTGAGCAGGATATTGCCGAGGCTAAGATTGAGCTTGAGGTATGGGTTTCTTGATGAATTTGTATCAGACTTAATTGCTAACCTATTCGAACAGGTTCTGGAGACCCTGCAGGCCCATGTCAAATAGATGTACATATCCACTTGCGCACTTCCCCCTACTTTTGAACGTGTAGAATTATAGCAATTCTCTTTTGTTGATTCCTACTCCTTCCCTTTTTTGTTGGTAGTTTTGAGGCGCGGGTGGTGCCTACCGCGGCTACATCCCCGACCTTCTTGTCTTGCTCTCACTTGGAAGCTCTGTTTCCACCCCCTCCCCACCTCTCACTTGTCCCATCCTCTCCAACTTGCCTTACTATGCGATCAATGAGAGCTCCCTTGGGAAGCATAGATACGCGCGTGACCATGACTGACTCACCCGTGGATGGTCTCTCGCCTTCGTTCGCGTCCGTCCTCGCGTTCGATGATATCCCACCACAGGATAGCCAGGCCCTCGAAGACCCCGGATTTCATGAACCACATTGGAATGCGAGAGAAAAAGCTGCATCTAACAAGTCACTTAAAGCATATCGAAAACGGACTAGCGGAAAGCGGCATTCTCGCCTGGAATTGGACGTCGCCATGGACAAGTACCACTCTCTTGACGGCCTCGCTGAGCCATTGAACCCACAGAACACCCCGGCCTCGATCAGTGGCCCCGACAGCCCCGAGGAGTCTGGTCAACCTTCGGATCCTCAGAGCTTGCGTACCAGCTCTGCCCCTCAGATACAGAGATTGGCTTTCGAATGGTCTGATGATAAGGGAGAAGGAGACTCATATCTGCTCTCTGGTGATACTGAAGATGGCAACAAGGCTCAAAAACGCCATTTCTCAGCTAATGACTCTTCCAATGCTCCTTCGAAGGAGCTCTTTAAACCCATGGGCTCGAGTGGTGTGAGCCAGGAACCTGGCGAGTCTACCTTTCCTCTGCGATGTGTTCGATTTTCTCCCCCACCTGAATCTCCTCAAAAGCATCATTCACCTCGTCGAACTCAACGTCCTATTCCCACTGTCGAACGAAAGGCAAACTACATAGCTTCGTACCGACAGCAGAAGCAATTCGAGAAATGGCGAGGCGCAACTCGTGCTCGTACTCAGCGTACCTCGCCGCATCACAGCCCATCCAAAGAGTCTCAGCATCTGACAAATCCACTTAGCCGGGCACCCGAGGCTCCTCAATTTTCGTCCGTTTCTACCTCGCTCTTCCACCAGGGTGGTGGCGCAGAGCCTCCAAATCAGACAACCATAATCCAGGGTCCATTGGGTTACAGAGCTCCAGAAGAGACGAACGCCATAGCAACTGGAGTTGGGGATATCAACGAAATCGCTTCATCGCGCCAGGGCTCAGAACTTGTCTCTCTTTCTATCTGCATCTACCGAATCCCACACCCTGGGCAGCCCTTGGCCCCCGATACCCGTGCAAGTGTCTTCCAAGTGCAGTTTACTGCGACTCCTCTTTCCGCCGAAAGTACGACCCAGCAGGAAGCAGCAAAGAATCATGTCGTCAGCCGTATAGCGCTAGATGATTTGCTGTGGCATACCCATGTGGTCGTACCTGCTTTTCTTCTTCGCATACCAGTCGCCATCGTGTCTGCAGCACAACGAGTCGGCAATTCACAGATTGGGACCGTCTTTCTCTACTTAGAAAAGATGTTCTGGTCCATTATGATTGCCTTATTTATCGGTATTGTGCACAGGTTTTTTCGAAACATCAGACTTCGTCCAAAACTTAGTGCCCGTGACTAAAACGAACGATCCCCGCGCAAATGTTTTCGGCTTATCAAGTGCACTTTCTTGATACCTGCACTAATGGTGGCCCACGACAGTTTATTTCCTTTCTCTCCACTCGAAAGCTTTTCATTACTTCTATTACTATACTGCGGAGTCCGTCTTGCTGGGTCATGGTTTGTATAACACAGACTGCTAAGTATCTTACCTGAGCACCTGTTATTGACTTTGCTCCAAGTTAACTTCCCCTGGCGTTTTATGCGGCCTGTTCCAAGGGCTTATGAAATAAAAGCTGCCTACTTGTATCATCATACATCAAGGCTGAAATGCAATTGATTTATTTTGCTGGTTTTCGAATCATAAATGTCATCACCTGTTATCTCTACGGAGAATACCCTTCTGGTTTAAATAATCAATATGAAACCAGTCTGCTCAGCTGGTGTAGAGATGAAGTCGTAAACATATTTTCATCAGACTGAAATAGAGCGCTTTGAGGTGCGACAGACATAGGTCCGCCACTATCATGAAAGCTTAGAGAAGAACCGTCAACTCAAATCGAAAAGATTCTACGTTTCATCTGAAAAAGATATCTATCAGGAATTTTGATTTCAATTAAGCCTCCTGATTATTGTATATCGACTTCAAGCAAGTGGGCAATCATAAATAAGATAACAAGAAAAAGCTTGAAGCCACCGACCAACATATCCAATCAAAGGGGAAATGACCCGTAAATTCGCTTGCCTCGTAAAGAAAAGAAAAGAATAACAAGCGTAACCTACCAATCCAAATAACTTATTTCCATCACTTCAAACATTCCCATATCCAGCATAAAATGGCCAATAACATAAAAATGGCCAATCAGACATAAGGCCGTAGTATCAACAGAACTAGGAGCTCGTTTTGTACAGGTCGTCACAAAAGAAACCGTAAAAGAAAAGAGCAAAGAAAAAAGAAATCAAGTCAAGATGTCGCGTCTATTATTCAAACTCCACGCCACGCTGTTGTCTCTCCTGCCTCGCCCGTGCTCGCTCTGCGCGTCGGCGTCGGCGATTGTTCGCATATGAGCCGCTTGCATCCGTGCCTGTCCAGATGCCAGGGGATGTGACACTGCCGTAGGGTATGCTGGAAGGAGCGGGTTGCGGGATAGGAGGCGGTGGTGGCATGTGGCTAATCTGAGATTGAGATGGGTGGAATGAGGATATCGGGGCGCTACCAGTTGGCGCAGCCGATGCGGCAGCAATTGCAGCCTCTTGTTCCCGGCGAGTCTGCTCGGCTTGTCGGCGCTCCATTTCTTCAACACGACGCCAGCGGTCCTGGCTTCTGTTTTCGTCTCCAGATAAGGAACCCGCGCTGCTGCCGCGACGCCGGGAGTTTCGACGCTCACGGCGTCGTGCCTCGCGCTGGGCGGCCGCTTCTTCTTCTGTAAGGCGGCGGAGAGTGACATGTCTACCGTCGTTGTGCATTTTAACCTTGACTGAGACCGGTGGAGACTCGACGTGGTCTTCACGATGTCGGCTCACGCTGCTACGACGGTGGCTAGATGCAGCGCCCATAGCTGCTCCGGCGGCTGCCCCAGCAAGTGCGCCCTCGGCAAAATCATGGCTATGTCGAGAATGGTGAGAGTGGTAAGAATGTGGTCGCTCGGATGGCAGGTCGCCGGACAATTCTTGGTGCACTGGAGGGATGGGAGGGATATCCGAGGGAACGCCATGAACAGCACCCGTTGCAACAGGCTCCGGGGTGAGCAATGAGTCTCCAAGGGATGACTGTCGGGGAGGTGGAGGTCGGGGTGTCAAGTCGGTTGGAGTCAAGTCACTCTCTGTGTAAGAGCTTGGACGTCGTCGCTGAGGATAGGGCCCGACTCCTGCATCTGGGCGGCGTCGTTTGCTATTTGCCCTTTGCAGCCGTTCATCCTCTTCCTCCCGACGGCGAATGTCCTCCATTCGGCGTTTTTCTTCATCGTCCTTGTCTTTGTTGCGACTGAATAAACGTTTCACAGCAGCGAAGGCACCAGCGCCGAGTAGTGCATCACGGACTCCATGAGATGGGCGCCTTTCAGGCTCGGTGAGGTATGTACTGTTGTAATAGTATGACGAACCGGGACTCTGTGGCCGGCTAGGCGGGCGGCTTGGAGGGCGATTGGCAGGCAAAGGGCGAGCGGGCTCTGGTCGTCCATCCTCTAGTCGGCTGAGAGAGTCCTCGGTGTAGCTGTCACTGCGTGAATGGGCAGGTCTATATCGGCCCGATTCAGCGTCATCTTCGCGGTTTCGCCGACGGTCCCACAGTTTCTTTGCTAGAATGCCAGCACCAGCCAAGGCACCGATCTCCAGAAGCTTCTTGCCCCAACCACCGCCACTTTTACCTCCGCCACCTCCACCGCTCGGCCTAGAGGATTCGTCTGAGTATTTGTCATCCGAGTATGATGTACGAGACTCTTCATAGACTTGACTCGAATGGCGGCTTCTCTGACGTCGTCGGAACATCGAGGCAAGACCTGCACCCAAGGCACCTCCAGCCAAGGCCTGGCCCAAGCCACCGTGATGACCGTGCTCTTCTTCCACGACTGATGGCCCAGTGTATCGGCTTCCATGCTCGCTTGGTGCATGGAAGCCCTCGTCGTCATAAAGGTAGGACAGCACAAAAAAGGCCATGAAGAGCGCAAACGCTGCCACTGCGAATAGAATGAAAAGCACTTTCGGAGAACCATAGAGTGTCAGGCCCAGAGGAATTTGAACAATTCCTAATATGGCCAGTGCTCGACCAAGCCATCGGTGAATCTAGAGGGGTGAGTATTAGAAAGATGGAAACGTATAACAGGAAAGTGCATAGAGACCAAAACATACCACCAGCTTCAAGGGGACGTGGTACGACCTCTTCTTGCTCTCTACTTTGTGCAGAAACCAGCCCCAAAGGACTTGAAAGATGACCATGACGTATATCGCTAAACCAATTCCATGGTGGGGGTTGGTCAGGCTTCTCTCGGGGCCGACAGCGAACCAGCCCAGCACAAATACCACGGTCGTCAGGAGTAGCGTGAGTACCTGACACCATGCGTGGAGCTTAAACGCCCAGAAAGGATTCCACCGAGAGTAATACCGGATGATTAAGGTTGATATCGGAACAAGACCCAAGAAAACAATAGTCGCGATGACACCGTGGGCGATAATTATTGAATGGTACCCAGCCATATTCTTAAATCGATTACCCATGCCTGATACAGGGCAAGTTAGAATACAAATAGTTCAATACAGACTGTACGTGCTGTTGGTACGCATTTGACTTACCATTATATCGCATTGTCTCGAAGTTCACACCCATCAAGTTCGGCAGCAAGAAGGTATCGCGCTGCGAGTCCCAAGTGCCATCTCCCACATGTAGTGTATTTGATGAGTATGTGCTGCTCCCGGCAGCTGAGAGTCCCGAGTCAGACATGATGATAGTGGCTCTGGAATGGCCGAGCTATCGCAAATCTCTGGAATGTCGATGTTACCGAAGGGGGATTGTCGAAGGAGATCTATGAGATCTCCTGGCCCGAGGAATGCACCATGCGACGGGATCGGACCGCAATTGGAATTCGACTATGACAGGAAGACCTGATATCTGGAGTGATATACTGATAGGTCGTTGAAAGTGATGCCTTCTACCCTCGATAACGGTTTGAGGATTGCTGGCGGAGAGGTTCAGTGAGCGTGGGTCGGTAGGAGTGGGAGGAGGGAGGGAGGAAGAAGTCGTACAGGGCCAAAACCTTCCAAAGCAACAAGTGAGAAGGACTTGAAGATTCAAAATTCAACCGATCGCAGTAGAATTGATGAGACTGAACAAGAGTCGTACAGGATCAACAACAGGCGAGCTGAGCGAGGCCCTGTCAACTGTTTTCCGTTTAGGGTTTAGGGTGCCAGCGCATAACCGCAGCAACGGGCAGAACTACTTGACCGCCTCCGATGTGGGATTCCATCAGATAACACCACATGACCTTATCGGCACGGGGCCCCCCGGTTCCGAATACGCTAAGGTCTCGTGGAATTGCGTGCGAAGAGCTTTCCTTGACTTCAACATTTTCCCCTCCCAAGGTAGATTTATAAGAAAGGAGATAAGAAAGGATAATATCAGGGAGTCCCCATTTTCAGGATGGTTTCGTCCCAAACAGAGGTCTTTGTTCGAGCTCTGTCTCGGTATGTACGCTTCTTCAGAATTTAGGGTATTCGCGGAAGGGATGAAATACTGATAAGCCGAGCCAGTCTCCTTGGATGGATATAGTACGTCCTCTATGCTCTAGAGCTAATGTTTTGATCTGGACCGAGATGAGGTCATGATCTCGCTGGTTCGCCCGTTGACTGTACTCTTCGTCAATAGTATGGCTAGCTGGTCGGCGTCTTTCTATCCCCAACCCATCCACAACTTCAAGCGGAAATCCACGGCTGGCCTGGCGATTGACTTTGCCGCGGTCAATGTATTGGGCTTCTTTTGCTATGCAATCTATACTTCGGCTTTCCTCTATTCGCCGGTGATCCGGTCGCAGTATGCAGCTCGAAATCCAACCGCTACCGAGCCCACCGTTCGCTTTAATGATCTGGCCTTCGCGGTGCACGCGGTCGTCCTGAGTGCGATTGTCTACACGCAATTCTGGCCCGCGATCTGGGGTCTAAAAGTTTCTCGCTTTCAGCATATCAGCAAGACGATGGCCGGTCTATTTTGGGGATGCGTGTTGGCACCCTTGTTGGTGATATGGGTGGTGTTGGCACGTAGCCCCGACGGAGGATACAGTCCATCGTCTTGGGCTTGGATTGATGTGGTAAGCTCATCACACTATTTTGCCCTTGACTTTGTTGGCCTATAATCCATTCTTCTTCCCGAGAATCTAATGCAGGAACGCTCTTGTGGGGCCGCTTTCTTAGATCTATGCGTTTTCCTTCAATAAAGTCGCCATTACGGTGGTCAAGTATGTGCCCCAGGCATGGTTGAATTACAAGCGAAAGTCCACCGTTGGCTGGAGTATCGTGACCATCCTGTTTGATCTGACGGGCGGAGTCTTGTCTCTGATCCAGCTCGTGTTGGACTCGAGCCTGCAGAATGATTGGAGCGGTATCACAGGCAACCCCGTCAAATTGCTTCTGGGCAACGTAACGATCTTCTTTGATTTGATTTTTATCATCCAACACTATGTTCTGTATCGCGACGCGCCGGATCCGAAGCTACCGACTGATGATGATGAGATCTCACCTCTCTTAAGTGGCTCCCATGGGCGCGAACGAGTGTGATGAAGCGGAGGGGAAAGAGGTGGGGGCACACGCAAGCAAGCGATGAGACTGTATATAGACATTGCGGGGGCTAAATTAGAGACATGAGACATGCACAACACACGGGGTGGGGAAGGGAACTATTTTTATATAGACTACTGGAAATGTCTTTGATAGACTTTCGGGTATTGAAATGATCCCTATGACCGAATCGATAATAGCTGTTTTTAATAAGGATCAATATGATCCATCGCCCGCAGGGCGTGGGCCCAGGTGACCATGGCTGTAAGACATTGGGGGCGGAACCCAATCGACGCGCCATCCACAGGACTCGGTCTCAACCCTGCCAACATTAGTGTTTCTATTTTGATAAGACTAAGTCCTGGAGTTGGCTCACTTGGATAATGGAGGGGAGCTCCCGGAGCCGTCGAGGTGGGCGTTGACGGGTTGACGGCTTATGCGGTTGAGCGGGCCAGTGGTGTTGCGGAGTTGCGGAGTTGCGGAGTTGTGCGGGGATTGGGCTGACAATATGAATTACAAAGTATAGCCAACACAACACCATCACAAGAGAGGTGAGTCACTCGATAGTCAGGTAGATTCTATGAGCGTCGCCCCTCGTAAATCCCGCTTCGTTGAAGAGAGTGAGAGTAAGTACGGTCAACAGCCATCGTGCTGAAACGCAGTGAATGATGAACTATGAGAGCAAGAGAAACTTATCTGGAGTGACCCAGTCGGTCAATCGTCGATCCTACGAGCCAGTCAGCATCTGATCCGCCGTTTCTGTGCAATTCTGACCTGTGATTGATCATCCCGCGGATAACAGCACACTTTTGACGCCCCGATGTTCAATGGCGCATTATTCTTCTGCACTCTGTGTTCAGGCAACCCATTCCTGTTCAGCCCTACCAATAACGCAACAAAGCCAACCCTTTCTAGCACTTTGGTCAGCTCAGCACAGATGGCCGGTATAGGCAAGTTTGGAACGGAGGACAAGTTTTGAATAGATGGCAAGGCTGGCAAGGGAGTTCCAGATGTTTCTTTTTGGTTGAAGAATGCGCATTGATCGGTGTTGTCCGTTGGTTCCAGATATTGACAACGCGAATAGCACATCTAGTGCTCGGGTCCTATGACAACTAGAAGGGACGAATAATCCTAGACCCCGGGGTTGCGCCATGAGTATCTCCATGACGGGTAGATCCAGTCCGTCGTATACTTCCACAGTTGAGAGAGTCCAACTTCTGGAAAAGGGCAGGGGAGCTTCGAGGCGTTGGTAGTTGGTGTTGGATCGGCGCCTGCCCGGCAGCATGCAGGATTGTTAAAATCCTCGACACCGCTTCTCGCGTTTGGAGAGGGCCAACACGCCCACCGACACGCCGCCTTCTGACTGGCCCGGGACGGGACTAAGCACTAAAGTTGAGCCCGTGGACCAATAATCAGCCCCCAAGCCGCCCCGACAGGGATCTAGGCTCGGCTCTAATCGTCGGTGTCGGGTTTGAGGAATGTCGGGGGACCCAGCTGAGACCAACGATCCCCCCCCCTTTGCGCTAACCTCCTTTTCTCTGGCGTCCAACCCGACCTCCACCACCCCCCGGTCGAGATACCAACAACCCTTGTACCCCTGCGGGTTTCTAGAGTGATCGAGGACGTAGCATGTGGTGTCGCGATCAATATCCTTCCTGGGAATCGCCGGGGCTCGGCAGCTGGGCTGGTCTCATACTACCTTTAAGCATGGCCTCGTTGAGAATGCTACCTTTATGTCGCCGTTGCGTCGAGGCGACCAAAAACTGCCGAGTATGCGGCTCAGGATGATAGAGACGCGTGGGTTTCTGATTCATGCATTCTATTTCCTACCGCGTATGCCGATTCTTTGTTTCTTTTCCTTTGATTTTTGCTTCCTGATTTCTATTTCGAGCCCTCTTTTTGGGTCCGAATTGAATGTCGGGGCATTTTGATTTGGTTTCAATAATTTCAATAGTGTCACTTGGGCGGTTCAGCTGAAGCCCATCGAATGTACAGTGTTTCGCAGATTGACAATTCTTGGATGATCCAGCCGGGCGATCCGAAGGGAACATGGAGGAAATCATTCGGAGTTCATCCATGGGAAGGAAGCTTGCCTGGAATGGGCATCCAAGCCCGGGTTCGACGTACCCCGTACCATTGTTACCCTTGTACCATATCCTCGTCATTTTCAATTTGTCAACCGGCGAACAAAGTACCAATTGTTGAAGTACGTGTCGACGGATCATGTCGGACAACGAGCGGTACTTCGCTGGTGCTCCGCCTCTTGCTCCCAGACCCAATACCTTCCCGAACTCTCGTCCTTCATAGTGCCATACCAATTGCTATGCCAATTGGCGGGGGAAGGCAAAACCTAGGAGGCTTTTTCTTTGTCGGGTGGAGCTCCTTCGTAAAGAGAGCCAGTGATAGGGGCGAACCACGTAAAACAGCAGACAAATAATTCATCATTTGCATCCCGGGAAGCACCAAACTGGGGACCCCAAACTCAACCCCAGTTCGCGTTCCAAATTCTCCATTGACCATCTCCAGTAGCTGCCTATTTTCTGGTCTAATGGGGATTTTCATTTCTCTTTTTTCACTTTTTTTTTTAATATTTTTTCGGTCGGTGCAGGACCTCTCTCATTCTTTCGATCGAACCAGCTATGACCTCGTAAAATAGGCCATGGCTCCCGGCCGCATCATCCGTCATCATCCTTCATCATAGGAGCGTGGCTTAGCCGGTGTCGATGCTTGTCCTCGGTGGAGCCCGCAGCGGGCGTCCCCCCAATCAGGCAGGGGCCAACCCACGCCAAACCATGCCGAACCCACCGCGAGCCCCTTCAAAGGGTTTAACGTCGCGCACTTCATACTAACTCCGTCCCGACATCGTATACATTCGTCCGAACCTTCGTACATTCAGCCTATCAGGAGTCAGCAACCTGCTACCCTTTTCTGGCAACCATAGCGGCCCTCTCCATCTGCATGACTCTCCTCTCACCCCCTCTTACACTGGTCTCCCAACAGGATCCACATTCTCGTCTGAATTGACCTTCCTCAGCCCTACTTGCTGAACCTCACTCAACCGACTCGAGCTGACTAACGGGCGCCCCACAGCGGTCCCTGCAAGGATATGCAACGCCCTGGGAACCGGAGCCCTGTTGGCTCGGCGGGACTGGGCTCTTGGGATCTTACGTCGATCGTTGCTGCCAAATTGTGGGCTCCTGGCCATGCTTTCTGTTGTCCTGGTCCCGGGCTGCGCGATCTGAATCACCCGTGAATCATCATGGCGGTTGTGGAATAGCGTCTTTCCATGGGGGCGGTTCCCGGTCCAATCTCCAGCCTCTTCTGCTCACTCCCTCGATACGCTCGCTGTTGTCAAATCTATGGTTACCTCGTTGTTGGTTCCCGTGCAGTTGCCCTCAGCCCGATAAAACCGCTCGGATGCATATCTCTTTTTCCCTTCTTCTTCATCCTTCTTTTTTTACCCCTCGTCCCTCCCGTTCACCTGAATCAATCTAGTTGCAGATCCATTTCTAAAATCCTACGTCTGCCGCGGAACGCCTAGAGAATGATAGAGCACTGCCTCTTCGAATGCTTCTTGTATAAACTCCATTCCTCTCGTCACTCAACCATATAAGCTTGGAACATCGTCATTCTCAGTCCCCTGCTTCGGTATCCGGTTGATCTGGAGTGCGCAAAGCTATCTATACCATTCACCTCTTTTTTTTTTTATTCCCATCTACATAGCACAGAACTTCGGAGAGAGCTTGGAACCATCTTATACTGGTGTTCAATCCACCTCGCTGCTCCTTCGCCCTCATCTAGAGAAACTTACAACAGCATCGGCCCCTCCCTCTCCAACCAACCCAATTGCTGCTCGTCTCACTTCCTTTGCGATTGGCATAGAGACCTACAGCCTTTCGCGCTGCCTGGAAATACCATATAACCTTACACACGTCCTTTCAGCCCCTCGATCTTCTTCCTTTCTTCCCCTCCTTCTTCTGTTCTTTTCTTTGGCATCTATTGCTCTTCCCTCTTCTGGATATCGATTGTCATGCGAGCACGGTATTCTCCCTCGAGCGCCTTACTTGACTTTGACAGGGAGATTCACGCTCCATCTCTTGTGTCGGAATCCGGTTTCTTTCTAGGCTCGGAAACACCGCCATATTCACTGCCTGGCATGCCGAACACGAGAACTTCCGGCTGGAAGGTCAAGGGTCTTGACGCTGGCGTACCTGGCGGCGCCGGACATGTCCCGTTGCAACCGCCGCGTATGGTCAGCATGGCTGATATCCCTGTCAGCTCTTCGTCTAACGCTGCGGGCTACATGCAGCCCCCGCTAGGCTTCGCTCAAGCCCCCTCAGACACCGTGACGTCCTTCTTGGCACCTGATAGCTATTTATCAGACCACCGGGCCTCTCCCGTCAGCGACCCCGTTGGATCTCTCTACGCCTGGTCCAGTGCCTCCGGAGCAGAAATTTTGCGGCCAGCTAGTTCATCGGCGATTGACCCTGTCATCGCCTCCACCACAGCGTCACCCTTCATGCAGTCCTACTATTCCTACGGGCCCTCTGCCGGCTCCATTACACCTTTGCAAGCCGTCTCCGGATATACCCCACAACAGATCAACAAGTGGTGCATGGAGAGTGATCCCTCAGCCGGTTTCTACCAGTCGGCTTCTTCCTATCCCGCAATGAGCCCGCTGGCCTTCCCCCCGGCCGACCTTCCGCCGAATATCTACCCGTCCATCCACGAGAACATGAGCACTGCCGCCGAGCAATGGTTCTCTCCAATCCCCAGCTTCGCCGGCCCTTCTACGGCTTCTTCGACCAGTGGACCAGCTCCCGACAGCTTCCTCTCTCCGCCATCGACCTCCGGTCTCTCTCTCGACTCCTCTCCTGCGCCCACCGTATCTGACTTTGAACCTTCCTCGAATCCTCGACCCAACTCTCCCCCCTTCAACCCCGCTGATCTGTCCCGCTATGGGATTCCCGCGGGCGAGGGTGTCTGGCGCTGTGCTCATCCGGGCTGTACCTCACAGGCCCTGTTCCGCCGTGGGTGTGACCTCCGAAAACACTTCAACCGTCACCGCAAGCACTTGTTCTGTCGGCATGAGAGCTGCCCCCAATCGCGGCAGGGTGGGTTCTCCAGCAAGAAAGACCGGGCCCGCCACGAGGCGAAGCATAACCCCGGTATCATCTGCGAATGGGAAAATTGTGGACGCGTCTTCAGCCGCACTGACAACATGAAAGATCATGTGCGCCGGATCCACCGCCGCGGTGGAAGCCGTTAATTTAGAGGACTGGAATGGATTCACGATGAACATGCTGATCTATGCCCTGATGTCTCTATGTTTTTCTTCTTATTTCTTTTCATATTTCTTTTGGGAGTTTTGATCTGTTTGGAAGGGGGGGTTTTTTTTTCTGTCGCCGCCTCTCTTCTCTTTCCTCTTTCCCCTCCTCTTTCTCTCCCTCTCTCTTCCTTCCTTGAATTGTACAACTACCAGAGGGGGCCACGGGACACGGTGCATCAGGCGAAATACGGATTTTGGGGGCTTTGGATCATTGGGTAAATGGATGGGCTAGATTTTGTGTTGTTTTCGACCGGCAAATACTAGCCAACAAAAAGGGACGAAACAACCGGGTAGACGGCGAATTGGATACTGTACCTTTGCCATTCCTCAGACTGTCATTGATAGTGGATATTTTTTGTTTTCGGCAATGGCATATCCATCATGGAATTGATATTTTTAGTTTTCTGATCCTGACTCTGTTCTCTCCTAACCCTCTTGAATGCCCCACTAGAAATCCCTTTTTTTTGGTCCTGCCCCCGCCACCCCCCCCCAACTTGTCTTCGAATGCCCTGCGAGACTCGAATATGCTTCAATGCCTCGAAAATACAACCACGCCGGATTTCGAATTCCACCAATACGACGTCCACGTTGCTTTTGGTTTCCGGCGCCTGGTGAATCATCTGCCCCGGATAACACCGTCAATACCAAATACCTCATTCATTCCCTGATGCTGACTCCCTAGGCTCCTCAGATGATGTATTCGGTGTATCCCGTTCCCTTGCTCTTTTTCTTTTTCTTTTTCTTTTCTCCCAATTGGGTTTATTCTTTTGTTGTTATTCTGTTATATTTTTTCCATGATTTGCTCTATGAAATTCCGCTGACGGCCACTCGATACCACCTCGCCATGTGCTGCTTCAGCCGCCGAGCTGAGTCGCCGATGCGACCCCACGATGATCGACATGCCGAGCCCCCGCCCGAGACCCGCCAGGCTGGGAGCGCATGGCTTTGCCCGTTTGGGGAGGGGCTTTGCGGTTCTACGGTGCGTTGTTATCTGTCTTGTCTCTGCGTCCCTCTCCTTCTCTTCGTGTCTCCATTTTGAATTGTGTTGTTTTTTTTTTTGTTATCATTGCTATTCTTCTAATCGTCAAGATTCTACTTTTACGGAGACAAAAGAAAGGGGGGCAAATAACTTGGGGGCCGATGCTATTCATGAATTCAAGACCCTCCTGGGCCTCTGGGGAATAATCGGAAGACTTGAAAGCTCCATCCATCGTCGAACTATGTCCAACCTATCCAGTCTATTTCATTATGTCCAATCCGCACTACCTAGACTTGGCGTTGGGATCCTTGCGGGACTCCACTCCTCCTCATCTTTCGCCCAACAGTCCGGTCATTTCTACAACATCGACAGTCTCACCACCGAATGCGATTGATCGCGCCTTCTCCCTCAGGTAGTGGGTTCATCATGTTGCACATGGACCATGGGGCTCTGTGTTCGTTGGGACCCCACGCTCTTCGAAAGGCCCGAGGCTGCGTTTGGCAGATGGAGGTGAGGAATGCGGGATCGGGAATAACTGTCGAAAAGTCACAGAGGATTGGGGGCAAGAAATTAAGAATAGAACAGCCGAGCTAACAGCGCCGTTCGCCCCTTGCTCGACAGAACGAGTACTGGTCGGGGGCGGCTCAGCGCGTTTTTAGCTGGTGGGTCCCTGGTCTCCCCCCTGAACTATGCGCCCCCGTTAAAACAGACGCCAGACTGAGTCGCTGGATATGCCCCGAATGGCAGCGGAGTCCGTCATCCGGTGGAGTTTGGGGGCTCCAGCATACGCTGTTCTTCAGGCGATTCCTATTCCCGATCAAGGCAGTGGTCGCGCCCCGAAATTTCGCCATGTTCTCAGGGGGTTCCACAACATAAGATATCGAGAGCAAAAATAGATCGAGATGATGGAATATACCGACCCCCATCCAACAGACCACAACCCATGGACCAAAAAGAGAGAGAGAGACAGAGAGAGAGAAGTAGGAGACACTCTTTCCCTTTCGAGCCTGGCTTCTATGGTCTTCTCTCCTCTCTCTTTCTCACTCCTCCCAAGGAACTACTATGACTCGTTGGGCACTTAACAAACTAGTAGTACTAGTACTACTAGTCCTAGTTGTGAGCACCCACCACCAACGCACTCCTTCAGATCCGCGTCAGATCTTCCGACCTTCCTTTTTCTTTTTCACTCACCAGACGGGTGGGACGAGCCTCAAGACCTCGATTTCCGACCTGTCCCACAATTAATTTCCGATGCCTGATGGCCTGACGAATGAAGACCGCGCGATGACAGAGACAACCTTGTCGCCCTTCACGCCCCACCCCAATTCCTGCTTTTTCGTGTAATGCTTCTCGAATCCGAAACCCTGGCTCTCCTCCCAAATTCGAAGCAGGTCGCTCTCTCTCTAGAAGGGGGCTCCGCCCTAGTTGATGACTGTAGGTGCAGGTGTGTTTTGGGGGGCCGGGGGAGGGGGGGGGGGAAAGGTTCTTCGCCCTCATAGCTCGAGCACAAAGTGCCCAGGGTCCCTAGTTCCTTGCTTTTACCATACGGGCCCCGGACTGTCGGGACATCAGAGAGGGAGGAGGCGGAATAAGCATTGAGAAGGGGGAAAATACTCCCCGGGCTCGGGCTGCTGTGTGACGCGGCAGAGTAGAAGAATCCTCTTCTACTCTGCCGCGTGGGAAATGGGGTGGTATTGGCCTTGGAGTTTTTTGGCGGGGGTTTCCTGGCCGGAGGTCGCATTTTGGGGGGCACGATGAGGACGACTCGGTTCGAGTGGGCGAGGAGGGTAAGGACGAATATGGTGTGTTGCCTCCCTGCTCTCCGTTAGCTGGGCTTCGAGAAGGTTCGCTGCGTCGTGATGGGTTGTTGAGAGCAGGGAGCATCCCACGATATATACAAGGCATATATCCAAGGAACCTGGGAACATGGTAACATGAACGAGGGTCCCTCAATGCCCGATTCGGAGAGACCACGCGAACATCAATTCAACACTTGATGCATCTACAAAGGGATTACGTGCCGGAAGATGGAAAGTGAGGGAGAATGGAAAGAGAATCAAAGAGCACAGCTCGTTGTTGTTCGCTTTGTAGTCCACCGCAACCAATGGGCCGTTCTAAGGACAGGGACTCCAAGCGGCGAAACTAGTACCAATGCTGCAGGGACAACCACAAGAACTCGGAAGAGAATGACAGGAAGAAGAGATCAATATGATGACGGCGGTTTTGGAGGGAAAAAAGGAGGTTGGGGGCGAGGAGGAGCAGGAATAGAAAGCTACGAAGGCAAAGAAACGAATGGACCGTCGGAAGAGTAGGAAGAACAAATGTAGACCCACTGTTCGGCACAGAGACAAACTCAAACGAATGGGCAAATAAGGTCGCCTATAAAAAAGTTATATATAGACCCTCTCAAAAAAAAAAAGTGAGAAATTGGACAGGGAAGAAAACGAATGGCCCGTGTATCATCATGCTTCTAACAGGTTGACATGTGGTATCATCGAAGAAAGCAGTGCAGTGCTGAAATGAAGTCAAGACAGAGCTCGCGAAAGCAAAAGGTATCACAAGCTCAAGGGAAGGAAATTCGTAAAAGGCGTAAAGAGGCCGGTAGCTGGGAGGAGGCGTGAGGATTGGGCGTGGAGTGAAGCGAGCGAACGTGAACCTCCCAGACCAATGGGCATCAATGGGCATTCAGGAGTCATGTCCCATTGGGAACTTCGCAGTTGGGATCCTTCAGTGAATTCCCGATGTGTCTTTCGACCATCAAAGAGATCGCGCTCTCATTAATACAAACGAAGACCGCGGGAGACAGACCACGCCCAATGTCCCAGTGGAGACATATAGGGTCAATTTTTAAGAAGACAGAAAGGGCTTAACCGGAATTCATCCTCCGCCGCCGACCTCGAGAGCTGCCGACAGGCCGTTGAGCCAGGACTGAGCGCAGGATTGGATCGTCTTTGCTTTTATCAACGTGGTGTACACGGACATGTCTGGGTCCGGCAAGAAACGGAAACGAATCAGCCAATTACACTCAAACAAATTGAATTAAACAGGCCAGCCGGCCAAGTGGCTAGAATTACACACCGTTGAAGATTGTCTGGTCGAGGATATTTGTGTTGTTGATCTGGGCAAAACGGACACACGTAACCTGGAGAGTTGTGTACCAGGCCATGCCGCATCATTTCATTCTTGCGTTTGAATCCCTTCCCTCCTACGCCACGGGGACAGCCTTCTACAGGACAGAAATGAGGTCGATCTTGCGAGTGCACGTTGGCATGGGAGCTGGTCTTCTGTTAGATTCTGTTTGATGGGCGACAACATGGTCTATGGACGGGAAGGAAGGAAGGTGGGGAGGGGTAGGCGGAGGACACAGCTCTATTGGAGTCTCTTATCTGTTTCTCCATCGGCGATGGTAGATTGTGAAGGAAGGACGCTTGGAGAGAGAAAGTTGCTTACTTAAGTAAATACTGAGTTTGGAACGGTGGTGCTGTGCAGCCAGGATGCGTGCATTTATAATTCCCCGTGCCGGTTGGCGCCCCATTAGTGGGAGTAGCTGAGCTGAAAGCGGCTCTATCACTGGGTCCCGGGGTAAGGGCAACCTGCTCCGTAGGTGTGGGATAGCTGGTGACGGGACTCTTCGTGGTCATCGGAGACGTCTCGTAGGGGGTAGCCACATGCTGTGGGGTCTCTGCGGGTGTCGACGCTGGCAGTGAGGGAGGATGGGGAGGAGGCCCGGCTCGCCAGATTGCTGGTTGTGACGCCGGGGACGGATGAGTTGATGCATCCTTGGCGCTCACCGGGGAGAAATGTGAGAATGGACTGGGAGGGATCTGAGATGGTAAATATGATCGGGGGAGTGAGCGATCATGGGGAGAATCTGTCGATGTAGCCGACCCGGGGCCCGAAAACGAATATGGCGGCGGGAGTCCGTTGAGGCGGGCCGAAGGAAAGTCATTCGGGGAAAGACCTCCAAGCGCGGAGTGGATCGAAGGCAGCGTTTGATTGCTGCCGGCCGATTCGGGAGACATGCCGGGGCATGACGATGGAGGCGAGGCGAGGGATTGCAGCGAGGGAAGAGCGAATGGATGGTCGGGCAAGGGTTTGGCGGGATCGGGTTTGAAGGAGGGAGGCGACAACCGTCGATCTTGCGAGAATCTGCGATCTGGCGGGGCTGTGATGGAAGGCAGGCGAGGACGTTGTCGGGGCGGCGAGTTCAAATCGCGTTTGACCCCCATTGTATCCATCGACGGCGGCGCCGGCGGCGGTAGCGGGGGGATTTGATTCCGCGGGGACGTTAACGGATCCCCACATTTTCGATCGTCAGATACGAAAGGCCCTTCCTTCTTCTCCACAATCGGCTTGAGCTTGATCTCGTCGTGGCTGATGCTTTTGTCGATCTCGACCTTTTTCTCCCTGCCGTCCGCTCCTTCTCCGACTCCTGCTCCGATTCGTATGCCCATTCCTGCAGTTCTGCCTCCAGCGGAGGCATCATATTCTCGCCCCTTCTCAAATGACGAGAGCGGTGGTAGTGTTGGGGGTTGCTTCCAGTTGACCGGCTGCGCCCGTTCCACGCGATCCTGCTTCGGAGCCCACTCCGTATACGGATGATCACGGGCATGCGCCGCGATATCCGGACGGCCTGGGTCTAGAAAGCTCATCAGCACCGAGTCGCCGTGACCCGTCTGGGTCATAGTTTCCGGCATGTGCGGCTTACGAGAACGCCCTGGCGTTCCCTTGGTGTCTTTTGCGGCATCGTCGTCCGAATGGGATACAAAGGGTGGTTTCGGCTCGTCCGACACATACTTGGGCTGGAGAGCCACAGGAGGCGGAGACCGGTTCATGGCATCGTCCGAGTCATAGATATCGGACGTCATGAAGGCACAGAGTCAGGCGCATAGAGCCGCCCGAGACCTGACTGGCGGCGACTACGACTCGAGGATGATGGAGTCGGGAATCACTAACGAAGGTTGGTGATGCTGACGAAGCTGACGAGGCTGAGGATGACAGAGTGGACAGCGTTGACAATGCACCAAGATCTTGATAGTGGTAATGATGGGAAAGATAATTGCGCCGATGCGAATGATGAGAGGATTTCATCCGCACTGGTGAGATTCCAGATCCAAAATACAAAAATAGAACCAATCTGTCTTTAAATTTTTTGGGGGTGATGGGGGAGGAAAGAGATCAGGGTTGTATTGGTGAGATCTTCAAGTTCCTAGCGACAGCGGTTAGCGGCGCGATCCTGTAGTCCAGTCTCAACCTCTCGAAGACGACAAGGAGACGACGAGACGGGTTATGTTGAGATGAACACGTGGAGTGGGGGTATCATTCATGAGGGTCTCGAGGACCCGAATGAGGCCTGAATGAGGCTCTGCTCGGACCCGCGATGGTCCAGGACCGATAGACCAGCAACGTGCGGAGACGCGGTCCGGGCGAGGAGCGGTTGAGCTCTGAGAAGGCCAGTTCTACTCGGGTCGCGGTGAAGGAAGAAAGCGAGAAAGAGGGGAAACCAGACTCGCTAGTCAGGGAGAGAAGGTAACGTACCAAGGGACGGGCAATTTGCAACGGGAGTTGAGGCTCAACTGGAACCGGCCAACAGCGCCATCGGTGAACGCGAACGAAGTCCCGGGGGGAAAGGGGCGGGAAAGACAGAGCCCGGATGAGGGAGGTTAATTATGAGTTAACCTAATAGGAGCCCTGATCGTGTAGGCAGAAGGAAGAACCGTGGTCGAGGGGGAAGGGGAGGGGGGAAGGAAGAGAAGGGGAGAAAGAGAGAGGAGAGAGGAAGGGAGACTTAGGTTGAAGGAGGAGATCTCCGGGGGGGGGAGAGCCGCACCGGAGGATTGGAGGGTGGGGGGGTGAAGAGGGTTTGAGGAGAAGGAAAGCGAAGGATGGAATGATGACTGGGAGCTAGCTCTTCAGGAGTTCGGAGAGGGAAACTTGGGAAACTTGTGGTTTCGGTTTGGGGGGGGGGGAAGGGCGTAACGGGTTGGCCGGGGGGAGGAGGGGGGGGGAGTGGCCCCAAGAATCCACGGAAGTTATAACCAGAGAGTATAGCAAGCGCCCGAGAGCCTGTCGATCCCTCGTGTCTCCCTAATTCACCGTCTCGAGTAAAGAGGTAGGTAGCGAGGGGGGTTTGGATGGGGATTGAGGGGTTGGGGAATTGGGGAATTGAGGTATAGAAGGACACCAGGAATATAGGAACGGGACTCCTCAGGAGAGGCGCGCGAGTCCAGATAAGACGGAAAAGAAAAATAATAAATAAAAAAAAACAAGCGAAACGTCAGGCTGCGAGCACGGAAAGTGAGGCTCTGAGCCAAGTGGGCCTGGTTCCCGAGGCTCTCGCAGTTCCTGCCTGGGCTTTGACTGGGTCGTCAGATTCCCCGCAACAAAAGCAAGTTCCCACCTCTCGGTGCGGCGATCCGGGCACATCGAGGATTACGGGCGTGGGAATACAGACGGCAGGATGGCAGGATGGCAGAATGGTAGAATGGCCGTATAGGAGCATCTTGAGATATATCTATATATTTATTCTAGGTTGATCTAGACATAGATAAAGCTCTATAGCTATAACGGATCTATCAGAGGGAAGGCTCTCGCCACATAGCTACCCGAGGTACTTTGGAATACAGGGCAATACTACATCATCTGGGAATGATAGAATCATCTTATAAACCTAGAACAGCCGGTTGATGCGGGCGTGATATGTGATTTGCTTGGGATCCCAGAAGCGGGCGAGATCGTAGATTCGATTGTAGATAGCCATCTACAAATACAGATAGGAGTATATAAATCTCTCTCTCTGAAATGCTGCCTGTGCGCTATTGTCTTTCCCAGGACCCTGACCCTCTGTCGTCCAAAAGAAGTCTCCCCAGGCCTCGCCGGGACCATCGTCATTACCGCCAGGGCGACCGGGAGATCTCATCCCAAAAGAGAAGGTCGCTCGATAACGGCACTAGACTACTGCACCTCATGTACCCAATGTACCTACTTTTCCTGCTCTCACCCAAGTCTTCAGTCCCAACCAACCGACGGTTCAACCCGGTCCAATGGGTCCACCACGATGCATCAGGCGTTGCAGGTTGCGCTGTGATGTTTGAAAGGTGCTTATCTCCTGATCGGAATCGATCCTCCATTCCTCGAGCCTCTTGATGGGGAGTGGGGAGATCCTCGTCTCTCTTAGCCTCATCGGCTGACTCGTGCAGATGATGTCGGAGGATTTTCATCAATTTTTCATAGACTCTCATGAAGTCTCACACTTTCCTCATGGTTTATGATTTAAAGAAGGATCACTGACGGAATGACGCTCCTCTTGAGGGCATGGGGCATTTTCGAAGGGAAGGGGGCGGGGGGTCACACCTACGCCCTTTTTTTTTTTTTTTTTTTTTTTTTTTTTTTTTTCTCTCCCTCTCTTTCACACTCTTCAACCTTCATCTTCTTCCCAGGCTCCACAATTCTTCCCTCCTCCCGGATTATTCAACCGGGTCATCCACGCTGTATTATGAGTGGCACGCCGTTTCCCCTCTCCACCTCCCCCGGGCCTCAATCCCGGGAAGGGAACATGCACGACTGCCTTCCCCTTGACATGATCTCGTTTTCGCGAAACCGAGCTGCCCTCGGGGAGTCTTTTTGGGCCCGGTCTTAGGTCTCAAGAGGTCCTCCTGTCTCCGAGGTCCAGCCTTGCTCCCTCCGACCCGCCTCGAAGGATTTTGACAACGCAACATGATCCACGTTGCGCGTTTCAGGAGAACCCGGTCGACGGTGTGGACAAGCAGCCAATCAAAGACATCCTGCGTCCGAATTTACCGCCGAGCGAAGGACGGCCGCTCATCCTGTATCCCTCGAGGCTATTACGACTACGGGACCCCCGGGAATGGCACCTGGATCCTGGTACCCCAAGAGCCCAGGTGGGAGGACCCATCTCTCCCTCTCTTCCTCTCTTCCTCTCTTCCTCTTTCTCTCTCTCTCCCTCCCTCTCCCTCCCTCTCGGATGATGCTCGTCTCGTGCGACTCACTGATCCATTCTTTCCGGTCACCAACCCACCCAAGTCCAGGTTGACCTGATGCGCGACTCTTCCAGACAGGAAACACGCGGCCCGCGCCGAGATCATTGCGCAACTCACCAATTTTTTCCTGGCCCGGCACATTGCCTTTCTCATAAATTAAACCCACCATGACTGGACTAATTTCCAAGTGGGTTCATGTGGGTTCGTTCGTGGGTAATTCTTCACACCCTGTGTCCGTCACCGCGACTGCACTGACCACACTATCCACACCGACCACACCGACCACTCAGCGCGGTCGAGGACTCCAGAAGGACCTCATGTAAATGCACATCCTCCGTCATCCCATTCCTGCGTCGACGAATGTCGCCTCGGTACACCCTCGTCTCGGCGAGTGCCCCGGGTTCCTTTCCTCCCCCCGCCTCCCTCCCCTTCCAGGCCTGGTTCGGAGTCTTCGTTACCCCCTCCTTCCTCTTTGCGTCGGCGAGTCTGCTCTTGTACGACGTGATGGGACATTAGTTCACCCCCTCCCCCCTCTTTTCTGCTGCCCACTCACTCAGCCTCACTCAACGTAGAGCCGCAGGGCCAACGCAGCCTCATTCCTCGGCCCCTTCCCCCTCCTTGAGTCCAAGCAACCAATCATAATCCAGGCCCGATGGGGACGTGTCTGTGCTTCCCCCCCTCCCTCCCCTTACGAGTGACAAGAGAGTCAAGAGCAGAAGCCCGAAAAAGAAGAAACGCCGCAAAACTAAGATCGCACCCTAAAATTGCCAGCCGCATGCGACTGCGCGTCAGCATGGGGCTATTGATGGCCAAAGTTTAGTTGAGCACCCAGCACCCACGATAGCCTTCTCCTCCCCGACTCCTTCGCCCTCCTTGCCCCCGACCCTGTTCCTCCTCAAACCTCAGGTTCCAATCCACACAACTTCAGTCCGGGTGCATGGTGGCGCCGCATGGAACGTGATAAGGTGGCCGGAAGCCGCAGGAAAATACGGGCGGTCGGTTCTCAACGGGTTCTGGACCAGATGTGGACCGAATCAGGACAAGTGCTGACATCCCGATGTCCTCGCTGGAATCGAGTTGACGCAAATCGAAGCCAAAAAGAAGAAGGAAAAAGAAGAGCCAAAAAGCACTAAAAAATCAAATGCAACGCCATCTTCGTTTTAGTGCAGGAGTACATCCCCGAGGTACTGAGCTGCAGACCAGTAACGACCAAGCTTGCCGTCCCGAGCCAAGTCCCTCACGTCAGAACTCCCAAATCTACGTACGCCGATTGATCTGGTTAGTTTCATCTACTGATAGAATAATCAAGAAATCGACTTTGGTTGGGGATGTGCTCGGAAGTATATTTTCGGATCTTCTATCATCATCCGTTCAGAACAGGAGAGGGAGGAACGAGGATCTCTCCCACAATGGACGGGCGGGCTGTACAACTCCTGTACCTCGAGGCCTCCCCTATGGGTTGTATCATCGGAATATTTGTAGGAGGCCATCCCAACGGAGGATGTACCTTGCCCATGCAGGGTGCGCCGTAGCCATGAACAAACTTCGCAAGGACTTCTACAAGCAGCCTGTCAGACAGCCCAGCACGCCCGGGAAACTCTCCGAGCGCACTTGGTTCCCTTTCCAGGGTGGCCTACGGGGGTCTTGCGAGACAGCCATCGTCTCTCGAGCCCGGGTGCAATGCACTGGCAAGCAAACGGCCTCGTTGTGGTCGGCGGCGGGCGCATACTAGCCCGCCGCCCTGCGAACCGGGCCGCCATACTTGCATGCCCACCCTTACAGAGCCCCAGGCCGAGATGAATTCGTCGCAGGATCCTTTCCATCATGGCCACGGCAGGGTTGGAATCGGGGAATCGAGGAGCACGAGGAGGTCTTTTCACCCCCGTTTCGGGTGGTCAATGCCCAATGTCTGCTGGTCTCAGAGAGACAGGATGGCCCGGCTGACGAGATGACGATGTACAGCGCCATCCCAGGCCAAACACCGAGTAACTTGGCGTGAGGTATCGTGGGATTCGAACTGTCACCTATCTTAGTCCCGTGTCGTGGAGAGGTTCCTCTATTCCCAAGACGGCCTATACTTTGAACCACTGCTTTTTTCGACTCTGGATGCTTGAATAAAGAAAAATTTGCCCGGGCTCGAATATATGCTGGCTCATACTCACACTTCCAATACGTAACCGTGACCGAGGACGAAGTACAGGGGCAACCGGGATGGAGCTCAGAGAATATCGCTGGGTATTCCGGAAAGAACGGACTGAGAAAGCCTCGAGACAACTACTCATACTGCTGCTCTCGGCCAGTTCCTCTAGCTGGCGAGCTCCGGGCACTGGGGATCAATATATTTCACGATGGTTTTAGGGCTCAAGACTCCCAACTCCCAACCCCCAAGTATAAGACCGTCATCGCCGGACGGTCGGCCTATGCTTGAAAAGCATTGCCTAGATTAGGCACCGCTCCTAACGCTCAGTCTCCACCTTCTGTTTCCCGTCTTCTGTTGCGGCTGTAGACTCCAAGCGAGTTTTCTTCACCGCCTGATTCAGGTGGGGCGCGGTCGAATAATGGATTTCTTTTCGAGTTGACTCTTCCGGGCACCTTGAAGAGGCCTGGGAAACAAACGGCCCAAACAAGACCTTCCGCCCCGACGGAGGCTCGGCGGAGGCTCGGCGGGGCTCGGCGGACTGACGCGCGCCCGCCGCGTCCCAGCGGTGAAACGCGCCGCAAGGGGAACAGGAGATGTTCGCGATTCAGCACACCGCAATTCTCCAGCTCGACCCCAAGTCCCGCTCTCCAATCCCAATTCCGATTGATCCTTTTTTTCTTTCTTCTATTTTTTGGCCATCCCGTTTCACCTAATTCTCTCTCCCCTCTCCCCCTCTTCTTCCTGGCAATGACCAAAGAGACCACCCCGCCGCCCGCCGAAGCCCCCGCCACCACCATCGCTCGTGAACCGCCTTCCCTCCCCGCCTCGCCGCTCCCCAAACGCTCCAAGACCGACGCCGCCGCCATGACTGCCTCCATTGCTCCCGCTGTCACCTCCATTCAACAGCACCTGCCCCCGCTGCTGGTCAAGAAGCTAATTGCCTCGGCCAAGGCCCCAACGCGGGGCTCCGCCTTCGCCGCGGGCTACGATATGTACGCTGCGAAGGACACCGTTGTCCCGGCCAAGGGCAAGGCCACTATTGATACTGGCATTGCGATTGCCGTCCCCGAGGGCACCTGTATGTCCCTCCCGACAAGGACCCGGAACTATTCTCGAAACTGAAAGGCTAATTCGTGCTTCTTTGCTTAGATGGCCGTGTCGCTCCTCGGAGTGGTCTTGCCGCGAAGCACTTCATCGACACTGGCGCCGGCGTTATCGATGCGGATTACCGTGGCGAGGTCAAGGTGCTTCTGTTCAACCACTCCGACGTCGACTTTCCCGGTAGGTGGTCCTTGCGAAGAGGTGGGTGTGATGACGGGTCTTCTGGTTGCTAATATGATATGTTTGCGTGGAATATAGTCAAGGAGGGAGATCGTATCGCCCAGCTGGTTCTGGAGAGGGTAAGGCCCCCCCCCCCCTTCCCCCACCCCCTCTTGTTTGTTGTGTCCATCGATCGTCATTGTCTCACCCATTTTTAGATCTATACCCCCGAGGTTGCGGTTGTGGAGGAATTGGAGGAGAGCGTTCGTGGCGCTGGTGGATTTGGTAGCACTGGCGTTTAGATATTAACGGATGCAATGAATCATGGCGGAGAGGTACTAGGTGGCTTAGTCAAAAATTGGGGTATCAGACAAGATTTAATGAATTTTACGTTGCTTTGCCAATGGCCCAATCGACATTTGGCGAAGAGGCTGGTGATAGTTTCACGTTCCACTTTGTTGGTTCATCTGTTTATCTTCAGTCTAACGTTGAAATGAATCTATGTACAGTCCGAAATGTCTTTTCGCCTGACTGCTATCCTAGTCGTGCTGGTGTATCTCATAAGCGTAGAAGTTGTATATGACCTCTGACATCGATCTTCTTGTTCGTGACGATAATGGCTTTGTGTATGTTGCCTTCTTTCTAACTGATTCGTATCTCGTTCCATTAGGTGAAATAAAGAGAGGAAGATGAGAAGTATTCCACCTATTGTAGATGCGCGGGTAGGTCTTCTTTGCACCACTCCTGTACCTCGAATTGCTCAATCGGGTTGCGCAAATACTGCACGTTGCGAACCAACCGTATCTCCGCAGCCTTTGTCTGGCGTAGATACTCCCATTTCTGCTTTTCTTCGGTGCCGAGGTCGCCATTCTGTGCAGGCAACGCAACTTTCAGCTCGGCATCCCGGGCTTCCAGCGTCCGTTCGAGGACACTGTGCATGCTGGACAGCACCTTGGCAGTCGCTCGTGCTAGGGGTAAATTGCGGGATGCAACACTGTCTGGCGACACCCAGGACCGGGTGGTTCGTAGATCTTCTCCTGCCGCGGTGACTGCCTCGCGCAGTCGGGCCACCATCAGCGCCGCAAACATATCACCGGTGCCGCTGAAGAAGCAGTCCAGAGCGGGGACATCGATCCGAAACAGTCGCGGAGACCCGTCGGATTTGGTTGTGGAGCCGATCACCGTCAGGAAGTTCTCTGGTGGACTGGGGGTGGAGCTGGACAGTTTAAAAAGCTGTACCGAGGTGATGATGACATGGGGAACGGAATAGATACGGTGAATGGCCGTGATGGCTTCGGCGAGGGTCGCGAGAGAGGTGATCTTGATACCGGAGAGGACTCTAAAAGGGACCCCGGCTTCGGTCAGTCATAATAATTCAGGTCAAGTTGTATTCCCATATTGATTCTTGATCATCTCCAATACGTCAATTTGCAGGATGCAGGGTTTCAACTCACTCAGCTTCAAACTGGTTCGGAAGAATCAAGTCGGCGTGGTGAATGATCTTCTTGTAGGCGGGCACAACGTCATCATTTACGTATAATCGCCCTTGGTCGCCCATTACCGGATCCAAGACTAGATATGAGAAAGAACAAAGAGGCAACAGGTCAGAACGAGGCAAAAATCAGTAGAAAAGATGCCCTTTGAACTCACCCCAGAAGAAGTCCCCCGGATTATTTTCCGCCCGCTGCTGCAAATCAATGCCAATGGCACCCACGGCCTCGACGGCGGCCGCACTTGGGGCGTATCCGGATAGCATGACATCGAAATCGATCAGGTTACTTTGGCAGAGGCCCTGGTACAGATCGGTGATTTCCTGCGCAGTCGCACGAGTACCCTTGAACTGTCGATATCCGGTATGGTTGCCTTATCGTCCGACATTAGTGATCCTGGCATGCTATCTCTCTTTCTCTCTCTCGCCATCTCCCGATATAGCAGTCCGTGACTCATGGACACGATTGGGTAGGTTCCCCGCGGGAAGGTGTCAAGGGAAATTGCGCGAGAGGCACCTACTAAAATGGACGGTATTGAGAGCCGCGACATCGCAGCCTAGCGACTGCATGGTGAACGTCGCCATCGAATTGCCCACATGGCTAAGGGATCGGGGGAAGGACAGGGTCAGCTTGCACGTCATTGCATGACTCCACACAAATGCGCCGGCGATCACATACCCATAAACGACCTAATCGGGGAAATCCAGGGTTAGTGGAGTCGCAAGATCTCTGACAGATGAACATACCTGGCTAGCTACGGCCAGTACGCGTGTCTCTGGCACGAGCGAGTCCGACATGGTGTGAATGGAGGGTGGGAGATTCGTGTGGGGGAGAAACGGAGGGTTGACAGAGGCCGACATACGTCGCCGCTCATTGGCCGAGAGGACCTGGTTCTCCGTTGCCTCCGAGTCCCACAACAATCAGAGACAACCAAAGATGGCAATGAGAGCACGATACGCCGTAGTGTGGGGACTGATTGCAGAGGATGCACCCCTTCTAGAGACTTCACAAGTTGTCAAAAATCATCCACGTGCAGTAGAGATCACGATGCATCGAGCTTGGAGGTACACACAGTATCAACGTGACTGACTGCCCCTCCGGATCACGCTTTTTCTTGAGAGCCGCCAGCATTGAAATCCTGCTTGTGCAATTCCTCCATTACACCTTTGACTCTCATCCTGAAACAGTTGCAAAAGCAACTCCAACCATGTGAGGGCCGACATGAGAGATCGGCATCAGTTATGGCTGATCCATGTTCATTCACACTATTCCACACAGACCACTCTGTATTCCTACTTGTTCGCCCCCCCTTCCAACGCTTTGACCAGTCGCAGTCTCGCCTATCGATGGTATCCCATGGTACACACTCTTTGTGATCAATGGGCTTCCGGCGTTCAAGTACGACCATAGCTGGTCCTCCTGCTTTTCTTCCGAGAATGCTTTGTTCTGCAGTGGCCTGCAGCTTGCAACCGACCCCCTGAACCCGTTGGAAGGCCGGATGGGCCCCGTTCGCCGGCTCCACAGAACGCTCTAGTCCCAAGTGCTGTTCGTCCGGGGCCTAGTTCGGGGCCTACACGATGGTCTCGGCCTTGGCTGCTCGCTTTTGGGAGTCCCCGGGAACGAGTGCTCAAGCCGACATCTGCTCCGTGCCCGGTTTTCCTCGACTGCGGGTTTATCTTACTTTTCTATATCTTACTCCCTTCCCCCCAAGCCACCAACGGTCTAGTCGTCGTGGCCTTGGTGTGTTGGACTCTTCGACCATTCGACTATTCTTCTGCTGTGCCAGTCGGATGTCGTGCTGACCTCTCCCCAGTTGGGGCCCCCAACAGCGTCAAGCCCAGGTGCTATGTTAGATTGTTCCTTGCGCTCGCAGCCTGTTCTTCTATAGCCCGCCGTGGCTACGTCGCTCGTTTTTCAACTTCTGCCTCTAATCATGGCCCTTTCCAGCTCTCCCGACTGCGCCCCACGCCAGCGGGATGTCACTCCCTCGTCCTCTGTGATGCCTCACCCTCATTTATTCTCCCAGCGTCACGGGTCGCGTCCCGGCCCGTTCCGCCCAGCAAAAAGTTCACCCTCATTATACCATGGTCTATTAATCCTAATGCTCATTCTTTGTTTCTCGCCGATTTCCACGCTGGCAATCGAAACTGTGGTGACATCAGATCTGTCGACCAAGGACCCGCGATCGGCTTCGGGCCCTAGTGTGGAGATCGTCCACGACGATCTCAGGGAGCGATCCTCGGACACACAGCCTCGCGCAGAGAATCGCAGTCCTAGCGCTGGATCTGCTAGCAGCAATTCAATCGATGAATCGTTACTCGCTCGACGAGCCACTAGCTCCAGTTCAGACTCATCCGACGATTTGCCCACCGCTTTTGACACACTCTCCAACAACTTCGCCAACGCCAGCTGCGTCGCGTTCTTTGAAGATTTCAGAGCCAACGCCACGGTGACCAACTGCCATGCGGTCTCGCTACTCCTGGAAAATTCGAACTCGTTCTTCCATATTCTAAGCAACTCCTCAGCCACCTCCCATGTATTGGATGTGGCCTGCTCACAATCTGTCGCCAAGTGCGCCAGTATCATGACCACGCTAGCCAAGGAGATGCTGGACGATGACAACTGCGGGCAGGACTATGACTCGAATAATTCAGTGGTACAGGGCACGTATCAGGACCTGATGGCGTACGAGCCCATATACCTCGCGAGCTGCTTGACCAATCCCGACACTGACGATTACTGCTTTGTCGATGCGGTAACCAATACAACTGCCCCAGATGACTATAACGTTTACTTTATTCCGATTGGCAGTACTTTGACCTCGGGGAAACTCACTTGCAACACATGCCTCAAGCAGACTATGAAGATCTTTTCTGAGTGGGCCTCAGTCGATGATCAGTCTCTTGATACTACCTATATTCCCTCCGCGAAAGTGGTCAATCAGTTATGTGGCGCCAACTTTGCCACTACGAATGTTACCGTCGGCTCTGATGCTGTGACATCTGGTGCCAAACAGACAACACCGGTCTTGACCATCCTCTTTCCAGCCGCGTTCTTAGGACTCGCCTTTGGAGCAGCAGGGATGGGTGTACTGTAATATGGCTTTGAAGCCTCGGAATTCCATGCTGCACATTTTACGTCTTCTCGCATTCATTTTTTTGTTCCTATCCAAGGCTCAATCCTTTTTACCTTGGCCTTTTATTTTCTCCTGAGGGATTACGACCATTGCATGATGACAGCGAACAGCGTTCCATTCCATCTGCGTTGATACACATATGCTTGTTCTTGTTTAATAATTAATTGAATCTGTATATTTCTCATTTGCCTATCTCATACACTATCCCCTCTAAATGTAGAATGCTTAGAGTCTCGAAGGCCAAAACCGACCGAGTCCTCCATGCTTCCCGGAGAGGCACTCCAAGCCATCATTGCTGTCTTAGTCAAACAAAAACTGGTCTAGACGACCAGAATCCTGCACGGATATAATCCGACCCACATTTTGGCAGGATCTGAGATTTTTGAAGACTCCGCCTCGTGTTATTCTTACTTTGGAGGTTGACAGTTGATCTTTCAGGGGCCAAAAAGGGCGCACGGTGCAATTGGGGGCCGAGCGGCCAAACAGGAGCGTCCTGCTCCGCCTCAACCTCGCACCACAAGAGTCCGAATGTCAACCTCGCAGTTATTAAAGTTACCTTGGCACCAGAGTACAGGGCCGAATTGCTTGTTTCTTTGCCTATTTATCTTCTTTGCCTTTTTATCCTCCCACCATGGTCAACAATGGCTTTGTCCCGGACGCTGGGTCATGAGATCGCTGCCATCGGACTATTGGCCACCTCTCTTTATGGCTCCATTTACAAATCATCCAATTTGACCAAGCGGGCGCACATTGAAGTTGGTCTTTTACTCGATGTTCTCGGCGTAACAGAATTGTGCTGCAAGCTACGGAGGGAGGACTATGTCCCCCCAGCCCTAAACAGGGCCCTGGGGAGTTGTCAGTCGGCATTGCAAGACCTGCAGAGGCTTGAACAAGCATCACAAGAAGTAGAACTATCGAGCACATTGCTGGAGATTCAGGATCGCTTCTCGTCTCTGATTTTCGAGCTGAATATGATGAATGTCGATATGATGATGTATGATCGAATTCGAACCTGAGTACTTTAGCGTAACAAGCAATTTTGACAATTCACGCAGATCCACTCAAAATAATGCGAACCGCATGTTGCAGGGCTACCTTGATCAAGTCAAGACTGGAGAGCGAGACTTGGCAGTTCTCATTGATGTCCTCGATGACACCTTCCCGAAACTCCAGAAGGGTGATGCATGGAGAAAGCTTCAGCAAGAGCTACACGATATGGGGATCATGCCAGAATGGTCGGATCGAGATCACGATTATATCATCTCAACAATCCGAGAGGCTATTGACAAGGAAGACTTGTTGAAGAGCATTAAGCAGAAGTCAAATTTACCAGACTCTCCAGATATTCCAACAGACACGTCCATGAATGGGTCGTCTGGAAAAGCAGAAGAGCAGCCTACACGAGATACGCCTCCTGTTCCAACGCAACCGTCAGATAGAGACCATTCTGATAAGGAGGTGTTATTATTACCAACAGAAGATCTGCCTATCCCGGTGGCGTTTGAATTTCAAGGCACCTTCGATATGGGAAAGCAGGCATTACCCATAGATGATTTCCCAATACCCATTGCCACAGAGCAATTATGGCCAGGAAGTCAAGATACTCGTGCCAGAGCTCTAGCACAGGTCGGATTGCCTATCCCGGTGGAATCCGAGATCAACCATTTTCCCATTCCCGTGGCGCCTGATACCAGTACTGACCGTACTTCCGAAACGAGATCCAAGACCGGCTCAGTCCGCATCAATGCCCACCTGCAACCTCCGACCACTCGCAAAAAAAGGGCTAGTCTTGTTTCCCGGATGAAGTACAAGTTGACAACCTCCAAAGAAGAATTTATTGCCTTAGTCCAGATGGGTGGCCTGTATTCCGTGAGAGTGGCCTTAGACAAAGGCGCCGATGTGAACACATCCAACCTAGACGGCCAAACAGCTTTGATGGTAGCAGTCTCTTTCCGCCATACACAGATTGTCAAGCTGCTGCTCGAGTACGGCGCCCTGCCGAATAAAGTCTCGGCTCAGGGGGATACGGCCCTGGGAACAGCTGCCCTGATGGGGCTGGACGATATCGTGCAGATGCTCCTGCAGCACGGCGCCAACGTCGAGGCCGCAAAGAATCTCGGCAAGACCGCGCTCTCCCAAGCGGCAGCGGCAGGACACGAAAGTATTGTGCGGAGGCTGCTGAATGCAGGAGCTGAGCCCAACACGCTGTGCAGTAGCGGCGACACGGCGCTGTCTCGGGCGGCTCTCTATGGCCGAGTCCCAATCGCTCGGTTGCTGTTGGATTGTGGCGCGGATGTCAATAAGACCGCTTACCCCTGGAAAACGGCAATCTGGAAGGCTGCACACGACAACAGAGCAGCCATGGCCGAGTTACTGATGCAGCGTGGTGCAGATCCAACCATCAAAGATTCTCGTGGTCAGACGCCGTTGGAACTAGTTGCCACCTTCAACTACACCGAAATTATTGGCATCTTCCAACGATATGGATATAACGTAGTGAAGAAAGGGGGCTCTATCCAACATTGCTGATGAGAAGATGAAAAGTATCTTGTATATAGCTTTATATGATTGATGATTCATTTGAGTGAGATATGCTATACCAATTTAATGTTGTTCATGATGCGTCGCGACGAATGCCGCCGCATAGATATCCATATCCTGTACGAAGCCATTTAGTCTCGTCGGCCTCCACTCTAAGAGCTGCTTGGCTCGTGCCGAGGAGCCTCGGAAAGTGACTCCCATCGCTTTCGCAAATAAGTCCCCGCCGTGTCCCTTCAGCTTTACCATACCCCTGAACCTCCAAGAGACAGCCAATGCATTGAAGATCTCACGCATACTCTCCTGAGTTGTGACAAGGTCGAAGACCGGATACACACCAGTTCCGGGAAACAGATGCACTTTCTCAATTGCCTTCACGAAGCCCTTTGCCGCATCGTCAACGTGGATAAGACCAGGTCTGGCGCCTGGATCCAATGGAATTTCAATTGTGGACTCAGATCCCTCCCTGGCAGCTTCCAGTACAGGGGTGATATATGTGCTCCAAATTGTGCTCTCGCGCCCATAGATCAAGGCTGGTCGTAGGATCATCACGTCGAGGGATTCAGCGGCTTCCAGTACAGCCTTCTCCATCTCCACTCGCCATGCGACTAGTTCTGCAGGAGACGTGTCGGCCCCGACCCCAACGACATCGAGGTCGTTCACGGGATCATTTGAGGAGCCGTGGATCCACGTTCCGGAGCAATAGATGAAGCCGAGTTTGGGTCGTGACAGGCCAGGAATCTTGCCTGTGGCGAGACGCTCTCGCCCAATCGCTGCGATGTCACGGAGAAAGTTGTAAGATCCGGCATCTGCGCCGGCCACATCGAGCACAACGTCAATGTGCTTGGAGCGGATGATCGACAAATATGGTTCCGGCTCGTTAACAGGATTGGGACAGAGTACAGGGATGATCTCCTGTCGCTCTAGGTGCGATGCTTTGGCGGCGGTGCGAGCGACGCCATAGACCGTATGTTCACCGGTCTGGACGAGCAGGTTGGAAATCGAATTGCCCAGGTAGCCGGTAGCGCCTAGGATGAGAACTTTCGGCATTCTATCAATTTGACTTCGATTCTGGTGACTGTAATGTGAATATACTAATTTGCTTGGTAAAAATGACTGGCTTTACGAGGCATGGCGGGGTTTTTATCTAAGCCGGGCCCCTCATCGTGATCATCTAAGATCCGAGGCGAACTTGAATATGGAGAGAGAAGATTCTTAAAGCCGTCGACGTCTGTAGAGACTCGATAGTTTATGTCTCTTCCGCCATCGGTGCCTCTCCTAAGCCGAGCGATGCTCTCCAGGACCATGGAACAAGCAACGATAATGTCCGTAAACTCCGTGTTGCCGCCAACCCGCCATTTCGATGCTGGATTTACGGATTTTACGCCGTTGGGGTCATGGTTTCATGCATATGATCCAACAACATTACTATCTGTAGTTGATTTAATCATTTTGTCAAGCATTCTGGGGGTGTCCTTGATTTGACTAGGGCCACAGCTACTCTTGGCACGACTCACCATTCGGTATCCGACCAGGCGAGGTACCCTATCCGAACAGGAGACACCAAAAGGGCGCGAATACCAGGCTTGCTTACAATAGTTTCCCGGTAAATCTTCAGGGGTATAAATGAGGTGCACATGGCAAACATAGCTCAGAATGATGCCCCAATTTATACTTTCCTCCCGCCAGTCTTTTTCCCTCGAAGAAAAGCAGGCGGCATATAGATTCAAAGCACCAGCTAAATATTCATAATGTTATTCGAAGCCTCTTAATTGTCCCAATAAAAGAATAGGAGAGAGCCTAGAGTTTATGGTGTTTAAACCCCTCAATTCTCAGGTAGACAGAATTCCAACTCCTACTACTCATATATTCGATCGAGCTGGCAAGCTAACATATATCTACCAGGAATCCCCAAATTTACTTAAGAGAACTACGGCACATACAGGGAAAAAGAGAAGTAATTTTTTTGATAGCTATAACTGGCCTTATTGAGTGTCTTTAAGTGCACGTACATTTGTTTTTGAATGCCACCTATGCCTCTGACTCATATACAACATAATGCAACGGAGAGTCCGGGTGGAGTTTTTATTTTCGCCAAGACTGAGACGGTCTACTGGAGTTGAGCTTCCAATTTTGTGGCTTAATTAATCAAAGACTTCACGGACTCATTGCCTATTATGAGTGGCTCAATGCTTCCTGCAGGAATGTTGGTGCCGCGCCTCGCGATGTCTTCAAGCCAATGATTTCTTGCCATTGGCCTATTTCCCCACTATTTAGTGCGCACTGCCCTTTTTCTCGTCCTTGCATTGAGGCGAAAACCCTGACAATCCCTTTCAAGGCAAGAGTTCCGCGTCATCATGGAGCTGCCTGAGTCCGGATTGTAGTCATATAGAACGGAGCCTTTTCCCTGTCCGTTCATCGATGTAGAAACGGAAAAAATCTTAAATAGGGAAATTGGCTTTGTGATTTTTTTTGGGGCCTTATGACTATCAGTATGTCTAGTTTGCCTATTTCCGGCCTTTTGGGCCCTGTTGTTGCCCTCAATGGCTGGACTTTGGTGATGGAGGTCTGGATGTACGCTGCCACTATCCCTGTGTACAACAGGATCAAGCCCTCGAGTTCCACCACAAAAAGCCAGATCGATGCACAGATGCCAGCCTCTGCTCGTTGGAAAAGAGACAATTACAACCATCTGTTTGAGCAGCCTACCCAATTTTACGCCATCGCTCTCGCGCTCGCGATCGCCCGTGGCGGAGTCGACGACAAGTTGGACATCGCCCTCGCATGGTCCTATACTGGCACTCGTATCCTGCATAGTATGGTGCACTCGACCGCGAATCCCATCATGCTGCGCTTTAGCTTATTTGCCGTTTCCTCTGGAATTCTGGCCGTTATGACTGGGCGACTGGCCACCCTTGTGTTTTGACGGACTGAACATTCAACCTGAATTGATTTGCAAATCTCCAATCTGGTCAGTTTATATGTGTCTCCAAAAGGGGAAATTTGCTCAAAGTCCATCGTTAACAAGTCCCAACAGTATATATTATGTAGTCATTATGGACCCAATGATGATATGCAATGCCAACTCCTGACAGGGATACTCAAATTGGGAATGAGCTGTATATACATGAGTTATGTACCTGACAAATTCGGAAATTCAGATTCAAATACAAAAAAATCTTAGTGTCTTTGAGCGATCGAAAGCTTATAAGAACATTTCACCATCCGTTGACAATGTCAAAGTGACGTTTCAATGTCCATAGTAATTGAACGAACATGTTCCAATAAAGGTAAACAAAGGGAGCAATATAGAACTCCGGATATGCGCCACAAAATGATCGTGATAAACAAATACAGGGCTCTCAAGGTTCGTTATGGCTGAGCAAATATTTAACAGGATATGTGCGCAGAAGATAGGGTTGTAGGATGAAGAAGCGCTCAAATGAAACAGGAAAGAAGAAGAAGAAGAAGAAGAAGAAGAAAAAGCGGCACCTGAAGAGATCGCTCAGCTCCTCCTTTGGAAGCTGTCCCCAAGAGCCACTCCGACCAGGCTCTGGGGCTCTCCGCCGAAGCTAGTACCGGGGTTGCTCATGACGGGGGGTCCTACACCCGAGATGGGGCTTTGGGCAGAATCGCGTTCTCGTTTTACTCGGAAGTAACCTAGTTTTATAAAGCGACTGAGATGAGCCCAGAAGTGTCGCCCCGCTGGGTGCAGGGCAATGCGATCGAGAAGATCTACTGTTGCTTCACGCACAACCTGATCTGGGTGGAAGAGGCCCATGCTGAGGTAGAAAAGCCCTGCTTGATTCTCGGGGGCGACCGTCAATAGTTGGCAGATACCGGCGTAGTCCTTTACAGAATGTGAAAGTGCCAAGTAGATTGCGCCTGAATCGGAGTGGGAAAGCTTCAGTTGGCGTAAGCGGTCAAGATGATGGTGCAGGTCAGGCCGTTGAATTGGCCGAGCAGGGAAATACATGGCAGCAATATCTTGAATATAGGAGTAATATGATCGGGTATTTCGCCATCCCTCAATCCGTGATACTGATGCTGAAAGTTCACGCTGCTTGGCAAGCTCGTCGGGCCAGACATATCCATGTCCTCGGAGAGAAGACGGGTCTGTAGAATCAGCCTGGTGACCAGTTGGACTATCGGGTGATAGTTCCTCGCCAGGGCCGATTATATAAAGGTTCGAAGCTCCGTAAACAGCTTCTTCAAATGCTGCAGCAACTCGAACGAACTTGGTGATATAGGCACGCCATTTCGCTCGGATTGCGTTTTCACCATGGCGTTGGCTGATGCTGCGTAAAATGTCTTCCATGAATAAATTGTCTCCAGTCGGATCAGAGTTCGCACTCGAAGTATGGTTCGGGAGTAATGAATTTTGTTGTTGGAAAAACAGAAGGCCTTCTGTGACCGGGGCGGTCTCAACATGGCTTGAGATCTTCATACGACCGGTTGGCAGATCACACAGAATATCCCACCATTCCGGGTGGTTGGCAAAGGTTGGATTAGTTACTCCAGCAATGAAACCAGGAACTTTGAGAAGATCATCGATCTTGGTTAAATCGGTATAAGGGAAAGCATGCCGAGTAAATCCGCGCAGAATTCCACCGGATGCAAGAGCACAAGCAGCAAGCACTGCTTCCGCCACCTCACCCGACGGTCGATTATGCCCTAGGAAAACAACGCGTTTTTGTGTCAGGATGGCATTGACAAGGACAATGATGGGATGCGTGAAAGGACCACTGGTGGTTAAATGAGGATGACTCGGGAAAGGTTGCGGGGCTGTAGCATGGGGCCCCGCAAAGGTTTGAACAAGTTTGATGAGTGAAAAGTCACCCACAGTCTCCGGCCAGATTACCGTGGGGATTTTGACGGGAATGGGTATGTCGTTATAGACCACTTTCGACTCAAATTCATGGGTGTCCCGTGGTAGGCCGTATCGGCTCATTTTCTTCGGAGATGGAGGGCATTCTCCATCCTCCACTTCCTCTTCTTCCCGTTGGCGAATCATTTGTTCAAACTTTTCGATAAACATATCCTTTGTGTTGCTAGATTGCAAGATATGACGCTCTAGTATGGACATTTTCGGCATCAATGAGAGGTCCATGGCGTTCACGGCGTCGTAAAGAGATGCGAGGGTTTCCGGGAAGGGAGACTTGAAGTAATCCTCAAGGGCGAGAAGAAGAAGTGGCTGGGATTATTTAGACTCGGCTTTACACAGTTTTGGGGGTAACGGCCTACCTTGTAGATATGAAGAAAAGAATGCCTCGTACAAATTGCCATCGCCTTGACGACTGCACCTCTGGATTCCCTGTCAGCACAAGAACATCGTGGTTATTTTTGAGATTATCGTCATACCGCCGAACAGTATTATCCTGCTTGGTGTTCACCAAGTTCAACACATACATCAAGGGCGGACCTTCTCCGCCCTCGTCATCATCACTGCTGTCGCCGTCGGATGCCTCATCAGGATTGTCATCTTCATCCGGGAGACCGGCAGCTTCTTCATTCGCACGGTATCGGGACTTTCGCTTTTTCTTTTTCTTCCCGTTTTCCTCGTCTTCTTCGTCCTCGCCACTGGTGTCCTTATGTAAAAAGAAAATCGTCCAATCTTGACTTCGCACATGCGTTTGATCCGGAAGCATCAGCTCTGCTAGCATGCTCTCATCGCCACTGATAGCAGCCGGATACTGATGCTCCATGATCGGTCCACGATCAATATGGAACGATGCTACCAGAATGTATTCCACGTGGCGCTCCGGCGAGTCTAGCGGATATTGCGACTTGCATCGGCGCTGCTTGAACCCCACCGCATTTTCCGCTGAAGAGCGTCGTATCGAAGCGTGAGAGCCGCTTGGGGATCGTCCGATGAAGGAAGTTGCAGGGGATAATCGAGGCAGTCCATTGGTCTTCGGATTTGAGGCGGACAGGGAGTCATTCGACGGTCGATACGGCAGCCTCGTGGCCATCTTTGGAAGGGTTGACGATTGAGACAAATGCTCTGGACAGGGTATAGAACTAGTCAAGCATGCCCTGCTGGTCAGTCAGGTCTCAGCTTTTTTCGAAGACGCGTATCGACCGGGATGTGTTCAATGTCGTAAGCCAATCACCACGATTTGGGGCAATGGTTCAGGGGTCGAATTTCAAAAAAGGGAGATCTCCACAGCGGGGGCGATAGGCGATAACAGATGCCACGCAGGATGAAGGCTTCGGGCATCTGGCTTCGGGGCAACGAGGCGGCGCCGGGGCTTGCTGTTAGTTAAATTGGCGCATTGAGGAGGATCTGCAAGTGATTTTCTGCAAGTGATAGCTCCGATCGATCTATCCAGTTCTTCAGTGGTAACGGCGACCTACAATCGACAGCTCCAAAACTGTGGTTCTGCAGCTCCGCACGTGCCTGGCCGGGCCGACTGTGTTGCCGGGGCATTGTTTACTTGTAATCTCCAACATCCAAGATATACTCCGCAACATTCATCTCCAGCCCAGTATGGTAAGGTCTCAAGTCTGAAATGCGGATGAAGAGAATTCCAGTTCTGACCCAAAATATAGGCAAATAACCCAACCTTCAAGCCCTCCCCGTTGTCCTTTGGGGGGCCCCGCGCATCACCGTTTCGGCGACCGTCAACACCAAACTCCCCACCCTCAGCTCGTACCGGTGGCGGCACACCCGGCAGCTCGCCAAGCAGAGGATATACGCCGCTTCAATCGCCGAGCAAGTTGAATCAATCATATACAGTAGAAGATGACGACGCAGTCTCTCCGAGGCATCATCCTATTCCACAGCCTAAGTTCACCCGAGAACTCCCTCCTTCACCCACGAAAGGAGCACGGTCTCCAGGTCACTCCTCCCCCATAGTCGGAACGCGGTCGCGCGAGCCAGTCGGTGCCGGTACAGATGCAGCGGCAAAATTGCCCGCCAACCAAGTGAGGGAGATCAGAGAGGCATTCCAAGTCCTTGATCGAGACAACGACGGCCTGGTCAACAAAGATGACGTCGCCGATGTGCTTCTGAACTTAGGTCAGCAAATTGATGACGCTTTCTCCGATTGAAGAAACTGAATATTGATTGCAAAATCTTATAGGCCAAGAAGCGTCACCCTCGGCCCTTTCGCGCTTTTTCCCTCCAGGGGCTTCTCAATCGATCAACTTCCCGACCTTCTTGAACACGCTCTCTCAATTGATGTCACCCATGTCTTCCTCTCAAGAGCTTCTGAACGCATTAGCTGCCTTTGATGACGACGATAACGGTCAAATCGATGTTGCCGAACTACGAGACGCTCTCCTTCATACTGTTCCCGAGGATGGAAGTGCGCCCTTGACCGAGCAGCAGATCGATGAAGTGTTCAGCGGCTTTACTGGACGGCGCGCGTTTGGTGGCCGGGGTGCAAAGACCGGGGGAATGGGGAAGAGGGCCGAGGTGTTCCAGTATCATGACTTCGTCCGCAGTGTGGTTGGGGGAGGGGAGAATGGCAATAACACGCAGCGCGGGGCTGGCACCGCGCAAGCATGATTTGAAGATGAGAATTTGGGGATCAACCGAGGGTTGGCGTTCGGGCGTTTGCGCTCAGTCTCTGTTTTAGTAAATTTCCCAGCCGCTTTGGCTGGCCTTTCTCGATCAATCTATGTCGCCGGCCTACCAAACAGATAACATGTAGTACAGCTGCAATGGCAACTGAAACAAACAACCGAGGGTGTCCGCGTGGAATACTCTGTAGAGCGTACGTGTATGGCTGAGGGGCCGGGGCGACTGCGCGTGCTCCGCATTTCTCCAACCGGCAGAAAATCAATAGCTTCCAGCCACTCGCAGACTTGAGAACTTCCCTCGCAACTGCACACCCCGCCACGAGATGCGCGTTGGTGAATATTCGATGCTGTCATAAACGACGAAATGGCCAAGCCTCAACCATCTTGGGGCCTCGCTGGCCCTGAGACCCCATCCTCGCCGCGGACAATGCGTGCACTGCGGAAGATCCAGTCTCACCAAGTCCTAACAACTTCCAGCGCTCTCATCGCTCAGACCCAATCCTCTCACCCTTCAGCCAATGGTGCGACTGACCTTGGAACCTCTGCCGCAGTTGCTGGTGCTACGATCCGCCCTGCTCATCGTCGAGCGCGATCGAACAGCGACGCGGCTGCACGCGAAGCCGCTCTGGTTGCAACAATCCCGACACAGAGACGCCCAGCTCGTAAAACGGGGTCAGGAATAGGTCTCAAAAGGTCTCTTCTTGAGAATCTGATTCGTGATGGTCCACAAAATGGAAATACCCGGGAAGGACTGCAAGAATTGAAATACTTGGTATTATCGACTAGAGTGGATGCGGATGGGGACGGCATGGTAAGAGCTTCCTCTTCTTTGTAATTCGGGCGATGGCTTCTTCTTTCTGAACTTGCTGACATAAACGGCAACTATAGTCTCCGTATCGAATCTATCTCTGGCTAATCCTTCTCAATGTCTCTCCGCTTCCTACTGACGACTACTTGGCCCTCGTCCATCGCGGAGGCTCCCCCGCCTATACCAAGATCCGCAACGACACGTTTCGGACGCTGGCTACTGATCCCCTTTTCAAGCGCCGTGTCACAGAAGCCAGTCTCATTCGGTTACTCAACGCTGTGGCATGGAAACTCCATGACTCCAAAGTGAAACCTCGCTCACGGCCTACATCATCACGGAGACGGGAGATGGAGATGTTGGTGAATACTCCCCCTAGCATCAAAGAGGAGCCAGATTTGGAAGATCCAGGCTCTGCGCGAAGTAATGCTGTCAATGACTCGGCAATTTATGTGCAAGGCATGAATGTTCTTTGTGCGCCTTTTCTCTATGCTGCTCGCAGCGAAGTGGAGGCCTTTGCCTTGTTCCACTACTTTGTCACCCAGGAATGCCCGGGATATATCCGTGGGACCATGGATGGAGTGCATAAGGGTCTTCGACTGGTGGATAGATGTTTGGAAATCGTGGAGCCAAAGCTTGCGGCCTACCTGTTCTCAAAAGGGATGTATGCAGAACTCTATGCTTTCCCTTCTGTCTTGACTCTTTGTGCCTGTACACCTCCCCTGCCGGAGGTTCTGCATCTTTGGGACTTCCTTTTTGCGTATGGGCCGCATTTGAACATTCTTTGCATTGTTGCCCAGTTGATCCGAATGCGGGATACTCTTTTGGAGAGTCCAAGGTGAGTTACTTGCTAATTTCGACTTCGTTCAAGGTTGTCACTAATAAGTCTGTCCACCAGCCCCAATAAAATTCTTCGGTCTCTGCCACCTCTCGATGCCAAAGATGTTATTGCTTTAACAGTTCTCCTTGTGCGGAAGATTCCAGAGGATGTCTATGCTGAGATGATCAACCATGCAAAGTGAGCCTCTCGCAAGATAGTTCAGGAATTTTGAGGGCGGAAAAGACTTTGAACTAGGATTTCGTTTCTTCAAACTTGTCCTTTTTCCCTTTATTCATGAGAATGGCGTTCTGGGCATGACCTTTTTTTTACTCTTTTATTCCCGTTGGGACACGCTGGCGGGACACGGCATTCGAAACCTGCATTGTTATGAATATTCAATGAACGATAGTCTGAAATGAATTGATGATTTTGTATAATGGAATCTATACTGAGCATGGAACTGATGAACAAGTCTGCTTATTGAACTTTTGTGGGTTCATTTTCCTTAAAACACTCTTTCGAACTTGAACGCTTCTTATAACCTTTTTCCACAACATGCTTACGACGATCGATATTTAGTCCCTTCCACGACACAAGGGTACAAGGAGAAAAAAAGCAAGTTGATTGGGATGAGACTCAGGTGGTTTGGTGTTGAAAAAAAAATAAGAAAAGATTACGGGCATAATACATTACTATCCACATCGCATAACATTCAAAACAATACTCCACACGCAGTTTAAACATGATCCATGTGAGCCTTTTTTTCCTTTCTCTTTTATTGCAAAGGGAGTTTCATGTCGGCGCGGACGTCGACAACAACTCTAATGACTTTTTCTGCATCCCCGATCCGTCCACTACCAGTGGACGATTGGGATCTGCGGCTCTCTTGGCGGGAATATCTTGCCCGCAGCCACTGCACTCGGAGCCCTTTTCACTCGCAGCCGGCTCAGTCGGGTCATACTCTTCTTGCATGGCCATCGCGCCGTCCCAACTTCCGCTGCGCATCATATTGAGGCGCCGGTCCATCTTGACCCGGATCCGGGAGCCCATGAACGTCATCCCGTTGAGCATGGTGACCGCGCGCTCGGCCTCTTCCGCACTGTGCATGATGGCCGAGCCGTGGGTTTGGGCTTCGTTGTCGTGGGCCTCCGAGGTCACGGTTACGTTGCACTGCTCCACGCTGCCTGCGCCTTGAAGGAGGCTCTTCAGGTCGGCAGTTGTGGTGGCGGAGTTCAGGTTCTGGATGTAGACTGCCCGGGGAGTCATATCTGGAGAGGGAGAACTTGAATGCAAGTGGTGTGCCCATGGCTTACGCGGGTGATACCGCGGGAAGCCATCGGTTCCGTGATCATGGACTGGCTGGATGGGTGAGATCGGATACATAGGCATCATGTTCCAAGCCTGGGCGTCGTACATCGAACCGTGCATCATGGGTGATGGTGGGAAACACTGCATTGGGTCTGGCATCATGGGAATGAAGGGTTGAGGAGGTATGGTCATCGGGCCCATCATAGGGGTATATTCTGGGTATGGATAGGTGGGACTGGTTGGGTGGACGGCTCTGCGGATAGTTAGAAGCTGAAGTATGGTCACAGAGAGAAAAGTCACAAGTCCTTACTCAGGTGATATGGGTGATGGAGGCATGTTCATATTGCCTTGAGATCGAGGCGGAGTGGATAGGCCCGACATATAGCCTTGCATCATGGCCGGGGGACTTCTTGTAGGTCCAGCGATAGGCTTTGTCGGCGCGCTGGTTCGGGCCAGCGTCACCACAAGGCTCTGACCTTCCCAACCATTGGTTGAGAGCCGATCTGTGGGATTGCATTAGGACATAACGGCTATAAAGGTTGCATTGAAAAAGAAAGGAAAAGCAAAGCAAAGCAAAGCAAAGCAAAGCAAACAAACTTACGATAGGTGCGCCATGCTTCATCCTCGTTCTTGACAATAATCTGTCCCAGTCCCGTCGGGAACCCGTGACTGTCATCGTATACTACGGCCTGTCGGATATGTAGGGCCGTCTGCCGGACTAGATCCTTCAATTCCTGCCAGCGGCAGTGGGCTGGGATCTATCATCCAGTAAGTACTCGGAGAAGGGATCGAATATAACATTATCCGGGAGGACTGACTCCTTGAAGGAACACCACAAACTCATCATCTGACCTGCGAGATCTCTGACTGCGGCCCTTTTCTCGACCAAGCAACGGCATGGCTGCAGATGACTCCTTCTTGGGCCAACGGAGCAAATGAGATATTTGCTGGCGGTTATTTCTCGGCAAAAATGCACCGCAATGCGACTGCAGACGAAAGTGAGGTTGTGTGCGTTTGATCAGCGAGCAAGTCCAGGGTTGCAAGATCCAGAGAGGATGACTGGCGTTGTGAAATAGTCGGGGTTCGAACTTGTCCGACCAGGATTGTCTATGGTTGAGACGGCAACTGGAAGGAATCGTTTTGGAGGATTGTGATTGCAATCTTGAGTTCTTTTTGTTTCATTCGGTATTGTCGTTAGTGACGTCGTATCTTGAGCAAATTATAGCCAAAGGGGGATTGGGGATGTGGTGGTTTCTTCACTGGTGCTGGAGATCCTCAAAACCCCCGTAGATACGAATGGATGTCGCATGAACTTTGATATCTCAAGCATCGAGTGGCAAATCTTTCCTCTTGGGAGGGTACAAGGAGAAAAAAAATCAAGAGAGCGAGGCGCGAGAGTATAGCTTACCTGGTGTATCTGCTTTTCTCTTGATGCAAATAACTGAATTGGTCTGACCGGCACCAACACACATGCACTAATCGTAGAAAAGAAATCCAAGCATCCCACGAGTCGAGTGCAGTGGCTATTATAGGGACCACTAAAATAGTGACTGGATGAGCAAGCAACGAGGAGAGTCCTGGGGATGTTTCACAAACGATGTCCCCATCGTGGACAATCATGAGCGGATTCGAGACTAGTAGGAATAAATTTGAAGAGGGCGATGGCTTGTACAAGCAGACAGTTTCGGAGGCGCGACCCAGAGAGCTGCAGCAATGGACGAATCGAGAGGTTCCAATGGAGAGCACCCAGCCAGTCAGGGCCGAGATCTCGCGACTCCTCCTGTCTGCGATGCTGAGATATGTCATTTTCGTCCGCGATGAAGCCCGAGCTCAGCTCCTCCCGTCCAATGCCAAATGCAATAAATCATTCGGTCCGTACCACCCCGCCGGGAATAGTTCCACCCAGGAACCTGCACTCCTGTCATCCCCTATTGCTTTTTTCTTGCGCCACGCCTCTGGTATTGTGGTATCCTCGACAGTAGAGGAGGGAGCAATCTAGTCCCGCCGTGGATCTCCAGGCCGGGTACACCCGTCCCAGTGATCCTAAGGACGAGCGGGGGCTGTATGTGTGTGTGTGTGTGTGCCTATGTGGAGAGGGAGAGTGCACGGAACCCAAATCGCGAGATCTTCGAGCGCGAGATGCAGTGTTGAGCATGTCTTCGTGTTACACCGCCAGATCCGGATCGGACATGCTTCCCATTCCCCTCCCCCCCCTCCTCGCCGTTCCCACCATTTCCTTGCCCACCTTCAAGTCCTCGATGAGCAACAATTCATGTCGAGAAGGGTCTACTCGGGGTGGAGCCTTCTGCGCAGCGCCGCGCGCGACCCAGATCGATCACATTGGCGTTATGGGCTGCATGATCCCCTTAGCTTTGCAGAATGCCTCTGGAGGCCCCCGGTGGTATCATCATTCAGATCGCGGTCAACCTACCACCCTCGAGCAACCCTTTACACGCGGGCGTGAATAACCAACAGAAAGTAATCATTGTCCGAGGTCATTGTGGACATGCTTTGCCATGATCATCATCGAGAAGCAGCCGCCCCGAATCCGGGCCACAAACCAGGGTGATCGGCGGTCGGGGCGGGCCTAGAGAGAGACCCTGCAACATGAGCAATCAGACAAAGCTCAGGCATCGGCCAAAGTATCGCGTAACGATTGGTTTTGCTTTTGGATCCACTGGGATTATTGATTCGCGGCGCGGGAACGACCTGGGAGTACCTGCAGCGGCAGCTCGACATCATCGTGGCTGGCTGCGAGTGCGGTTAGTACACAATAGTGAAGGTGTAGTGGGTGCTAGGTGGATACGGGTGGATTTGACGCTTTGGACAGTCTCCACTGCGGGAGCTTTGAGCCCGTAAAGTCTGAACGATGTGGATGTCTGTATGTATGTCCATCGGGGGCATCTGTACGAAGTACTCCATACTCCATATTCCATCCAGAGTACGGAGTACATACAGGTAGTCTCGATGGGGGTCCACACGGCCAGGTTTTGTCTCCATGGTAACTGTATAGTTGGTGATTTTGATGTATAGATTGTCCCTTCACGATACGGCCATTGATCCAACCTCCTCCAGGAGCTCGGCGAAGTCGGGAGAGACCCAGGGAACTCGTCGTTCCTCTCGGACTCAGCTCACTCTCAAGCCCCTCCAGTGCTAAAGAGAGTGGGGGAAACAAGCCATGAGCCCGCACGGATGAACGACCAGGCATCTGACGACCGAGGGCGTGAGATCATCCAGCTGCCTCGAGACCCGGTGACACAGCATCGACCCTGTTTTCGTGGGCGCCCATGAGGCTTTGCTCCCTGGTTTGACACGGGCACGCCGAGTAACTCGACTGCGAATAATTCGGGGCCCGCCACCTTTCTGCAGGTCCCACGGCGGGGTATTCGATCGAGGGGATGGGAAGGATCGACGACTTGTGTTCCGTCGATCCGAAGATCCTGAACAACTGCCGGCCCTCGACGTGGGTAGGGCAAGATAGTCTTCGTGTGCGACCTCGTAAAGTCTCGCGTTTGCCCCCCTCTCCTTCAAGTCACATCCAGAGCTAACCCGGGATGGTGGCACAAAGCTGACGGGAAACACGCGACGTCAGCCCGTCCAGACAATATACTAGCTTGCGGGAATGCCCAGCCGAATGATGACGAAGAACTGGCAAGCGGCGCCGACCCCGCCAAACAGACCGAGTATCAAACAAACCGTGCTTCGGGATGGTACCAGATACAGCAGTAAGGCCGGTCAGCGTGAAACCGAGGGACCATGAGATCCTGGCATTCGGTCGAGAACGGATCTACGTCGCGTGCGCCAGAAATAGGCCCCGCGGTCCAAGCAGACGCGATGAGACGGAGAGGCCGGACTGATGCCTGCGACACTAAGACGGAAATCATGGGGGTGGAATATGCCTTGAGGGGAGCGACGAAGCGGAATAAAATGGAGGTAGATTCCACTCGGTTTGTTCTGAGATGATAATGATTGATCATGCTTGGGATACTTTCGTGACAAAGACATCTAGATATTCCGTTGCGATAGTCAATGCGAGGATGTGTTCCATGCACCAAGCACAAATACATGATGTTCTATCTTGCTATATATGTGTATGTCGGAGATCGGGGATATCGCTCAACCAAATCAAAAGATACCAGCATCCCAAAATGTCCCCCCCCTCTTCCCCCTCCCCGTCAACCGGCACGAGCCTCTCAGGCCGTCGGGTCTTCATGGGACACAGACGGCGGCAGATACGATGGACAGCAAGGAAAAGGACGAGGTCCGAGACCAAGCCATATACCAAGTAGAGAACGTCCTTTGTTATCCAAATTGGTTCTGAGTTTTCACATGAAACCCAAGGCGCTTGTTCTAAAGAACCGCGCGCACTTTTTCTTTTCTCTTTTGGTTCATGACTCTCGGAACTTAACCACAATCTTTTCTGGTCCCGATGTATCCCTATAGGGATTGCCGGATATATCAAAGATGTATCACAATGGTGCGCGAAGAGAGGGAACAGTCATTGCAATGGGATGATGTCGGACAGGGCTGGTAGAAATAAGAGCGACTCCCGTCGGCGGGGGAAAGGGGGAATGTCGGGTTTTCTCTAGGATTTCTCGCACTTCTTGAAGAACAAAGTCTATTGACGAGGGGACCGTCATGTTAGAGATGGACACTGGTTCCCGGCCGAACCATGGGTCCACGGCGAGTCGGAACCTGCCTCCCCATTCCCCACTCCCCCAAAAGTGAACAGGATGAATTGCGGAGATGGTAGACGATCCATATGCTGAGCCGAGAAGAGGGGGTTTGTTCGCGTTGTGACACATCAGAGCTGTGTAGCTGTGTAGTGTCGAGAAAGAGAGAGAGAGAGAGAGAGAGTAGAGAGAGAGAGCGAGCGAGCGAGCGACCGGCTGAATTCGGTTCACGCTGTCAACGGCCATGTTGGATTGTTGATAGGGAAGACTATTCCCGGGCGCACCCTAGCTTCATCGAGCAAAACCCACTTTCGAGGCACAACGATGACAGTAATAGGAATTCATGCCGAATTGGACGGCGCCCGAATTGCCCGGACTGCCAAGGCTGAGGGATTGTTGACAGCGGGAGCAGCGGACGATGTCCAGGGTGAGTGGCGGAGAGGGCGGATGGGACGGATGTGGCTGCGAGATCTGTACCACTGGCGAACTCATGTTTGGATCTGAAATGAGATCTCCGAAGGAAAGAAGAGACGAGGCGTGTAAGATGTGAGACGTGTGAGAAGAGAAGAGAAGAAGAAGAAAGACAGGGGGAGGGGAAGGGGGGGGGGGCGAAGTCATGAATGTGAATGTTAGGCCCCCGTGATTCTTCTCCCCATTCCCGTCATTATGAGGACTCCGTAATCCGAAGAAGCCAAAAAAGGGGATAATTCCTTGAATTCGACACTAGCGAACATCCCTTTACAAATGCCCCAGTAGGTTAATCGCGGGAAACAGCATACGGGCGAATCAGGGGGGGGCGACGGGCTGCAAGAGAACGATGGCGTTTCACGAAAGCCGGTTTTTGGAGGAATATGAGGGGGGGAACGCGGACACATTGGGGATGTGATGGATGTGATGCATGCTCTATGCCGTCCTGTTCGTCCTGCACGGAGACCTGGCCTCGAAGTCGGTCTGACTGGGCTCGAGAATGTGTCCGTCCTCTGACCATCTTGATCGTGCTGGGTCTCTCCGTGGATCCGGGCATCAATAGACTCTCCTGCTCGACAATGGAGTGGGCAGAGTGGGCGGAGTGGGGGGAACTCTCGGAACTGTCGATGACTAGTCGAACTCGTCGACTTCGCCCAAAGTCTCATGGGGGGCGATCGTTAGTGGGATATTAGGATGAACGGGCTAATGATCATCAATAATCATAATTAGGACTGTAATCTCCTGATGGCCCCCTTCCCTTCTCTCAGCATAGGAATCATGCACCTCCCCCCCCACGAGGGTTGCCGGCCTCCTCTAGAATCCGCTGCATGATGCCGTCATCCTCGGATCCTGCACGCGGCCCTAAAGGGACGATGCTGGCTCTCCAAACGGGCCCGACTCATTCCCTCGCTGGACATCTCATCCAGTCCGAGGACCCGAGGTTCCAGGCATACAGGCATCCAGTTATCGGAGACGCTGGACGCCACTCGGAGACACGCTGTCGCATTCATCGGAGAAGGTGATAAAGTGTGGCAAGGTGGACCGCCGATCGGACGGGTCCACTGTGTCGAGTTGGTCGAGAGTCTCGCTTCGGCACGGCCAGACGGGTTACAGTGCATAATCTTCATCGATACTCTCCATCTCGATACTGTCCATGGATCAGAGAGTCGGTAAAGTGCGTCTAGCCGTCGTGAGGCTTTCGAGGTCTTGGGGATAGTTCGAGGTCCGTGAGGAATACCGGAGCAATGATCTCCTTCACCCTAACCGAATTTGGGTGAGACTTGTTCCAACAAAGGAATTATATCTATGAAACCAGAAAAAGAGCTCAAAATCAGAAGTTCATTGCAGAAAGGGGATGCTATCAGCCTACTAGACAACGGTCGACGCCAGAAGAACAGCAAAGGGGGATTTCACGACGACGTCATCAGATCCGGATCCGCCTTCGCCTTCGCCCCGCCAACCTCGAATGTCCTCCCACTTCCAGCCCCGCCAACACCGCCAACAGCACCACCAGCAACCTTCCGCTCTTGACGTTCGTGGCCCGCGTCTGAACCAACTTACCCCTCTCCTTGTCATACTGTCCATTTTGCCGGTCTTCCCCCTCCGGATTGCCTGATCTCGGCCTCGGACACTTTTCGCTTTTCCCACCAACCTTCTTTCCCCCCCCCCCCAAATCAACCAACCATGGCTTCCACACAACCCAATCTCTACAGCTTTCCGAGCACCGATGCTCTGGCTCTGCAATTGCGGCCCTACATCCTCCAATGCCAGAATGCTGCTCTCGCCCGCCATGACACCTTCCGCGTCGCGGTCTCCGGCGGCTCCCTGCCCACTGTCCTCGCCCGCGCTCTCCTCGCCCCCAGCAATGGTTCGCCGGAAGACACCCCCCGCTTCGACAAATGGCATATCTTCTTCGCCGACGAGCGTGCGGTGCCGCTCGACGACAAAGATAGCAACTACTTGCTGCTGAAGGCCGAGCTGCTCGGCAAGATCCCTGCGGAGCTGGGTCACCCCACGGTGCATCCCATCAACGAGAAGCACGTCCTCGACGACGACACCCAGGAATTGGCCGATCTCTACCAGGAAGATTTGATGCGCGAGTTCGCCGCCCGCGAAAGCGTCAAGCTGCCCGTCTTCGACCTGATCCTGCTCGGCTGTGGCCCCGATGGCCACACCTGTAGTCTTTTCCCGGGCCACGAGCTGCTGCGGGAGAAGGACGCCTGGGTCGCCGCCGAGACCAACTCGCCGAAGCCCCCGCCTAAACGCATCACTCTCACCTTGCCCGTCGTCACCTCGGCCTTGAACATTGCCTTTGTCGCCACCGGCGCAGGCAAGAAGGATATCCTGAAAGCCATCTTTGACTTGGAGGAAGGCCGGAGTCTCCCTTCTGCGTTAGTCAACCAGGGGGCCGGGGAGAAGGTGAGCTGGTTCGTCGATCACCCCGCTGTGGACGGCGTGGCTTTCCCTCGTCGTGGCAGCCTGTGAGGAGACAGTCCCCTTTCCTCGCCCCTCCTCCCGTCTGCTTCACGAATGCCATTCTGGGAAGCATTCGCCTTTCCAGTATGCTCTGAAAATATGATTATGAACTCCTTCGAGGACCCGAAAGCGTCCTGCGAAATGGTGAAGTTCTGTCCATGTCCAGGGCTGCACTTCCGTGTGGCTGACTGTACGAAATTCTCCCATAAAAAACCGGCGTGATGGGATCTTAGGCAATCGAAGAAAGAAAGAAGCGGGAAAAGTACGGCTTTTTTTTTTTTTTTTTTTTTTGTGATCTACACAGCCCAGACTTCTTTTTCAAAGCGTCTGCTGGTGCGAATCGAATGCCGACGATTAATAGAATAAAAGAAAAAAAAAATTATTCTTGCTTCTGAATTATAAAATAGCGGATTTTCAAGTCCTTATCATGCCAAGTCAATTGGATATTGGCTCGTAGATTGCTCAAAGGCGCCAACATTAAAGTTGCCCGCACGGCCGAGCTCGCCTGCTCCACTCACGATTTGTTGTGGTGCGGGATGATCGTCGCGACCTGGCGAACCACTCCCAGTCAAGGAGCTGCTCCTGAGCGACTTTCCGATCTCCTGGTCTTCTTCACCAACAAGATGTTGTGTCAATCTTCATGAGAGCGAGCGACTATCATGCCTATTCCGACGCGTTCGGCCTCGCTGCGCGAGCCTCGTAATCCAGTGCGTTTGCCATGAGATTCCCCCCCGAGTTCCCCAGCGTTCCAATCGTTAATTAAACGCCACAGGCCTCTAATATAGCACGACCGACCACCACCACGGCGATCCCGACGACCGGAACGGCCAAAGGACCGACACGATTGACAACAGACAAGACCCGACCTTCTGCCATCTCCTCACCAGCCGAGGGTGGCCCTACGACTGACAATGGCGTTGCCCTCCGTGGTCGCACCCTCCTCCCTCAGCGCAGCAGCAATCCAAACCGAGATGACAGTCATGGCCTGGGACAGGTGCGGTTCCTGCCACCGCAACACCGGGCTCCACGAGGAGAGACATCGCCGAAGAGACAGTCCCCAACAAGACGAGAACCAGAAAAACAGGAGTCTGAGGCTCCGCCCACCAGCGCCGCTGCGCCCGCTCGTCGCCAGAGTCTGTTGCGACCTGGAGCATTGAGAACCACTTCACTCAAGGCTAATGTCTCTGCACCCATCAAGGGTGCTGTGCCTGCGGTCACGCCTCCATCTCCTCGTAAGCCGGCTCGGTCACCAACTCCCACAGCTTCCTCTACAGCTCCGGGACCCCCCTCTCCCAAAAAGACCGGGATGCTGCCGCCGCAACGCCCAACTCGATCCGCATCGTTGCGACAGCCTCGGAATCCGACTTCTGTACCTCCGGCTGCGGCCCGGGGACATGCCAGGCACCGCAGTCAGATGGTTCCCACGAGTGGGAGACCAAGTCATCCAGATCCGTCCCCGACGCTTCAGAAGCCCCGAACGCAATTCTCTACCTACCAGCAGCAGTACTCACCCAAGAAATCTACCAAACCTCCCGCATCTACCCCCGGGACGGCCCCGGAGCTGTACCTGGGTCCGGAGGTCTACTCATCCCGAGCTCCTGGCCCGATATCGCCGCATTACAAACCGAGCTCCTACAGCTCAGCCTCTTTCATTCGAACTCACTTGAACGACATGCGGAGTGGCAATCAGAATCCGAGTCCCACCTACGTAAACATTACGACGCCGTTGCAGACCAATATCGAGCTTTACAGGCGAATGAGAAGACTCGACAACGCCAACTCAATACCCAAGCGCTGGCCTGTTGGGCCCAAAAGTGTCGAGATCATCAGGGACCCATTGCCTTCCCAGAGCAGATTCAGATTCTGTCTCAGGTCTTACAGGAGATTTCCGATCTGGCCACGAGCAGGACCTCCGGGCGGTATATTTCGGTCGTGGACATGTTTGAGAAATGGTTTCAGCAGGCAGAGTCTATCCAGCATACCCGAGAGTCATCGAGCCTTTTTGATAGAGTCGTCTTCATTGATCCGTTGGATCGACAATGGAAAGATGAGGCGCAAGCACTCCATGCAAAACTTGAACTCTGTGCGCGCCAGCTCCAGAGCCTGGATATTTTAGGATTCGGTGATGTAGAGCGCCTGGAGCAGTCGGCTTTGATTCGGATTGTTCGGGGACTGGACGAATCTATTCAACTAATGATGCAGGAGCTTCGGGCCATGCGGACTCTCGAGGCCGAGGTTGTTCGCTCGGAACGGGAGGCTGTCAGTCAAATTGCGACACACCAGACTGGTCAGCGACGTGAATTCCGGACCGCACGAGTGGGAATTTGGAAATCCTAGGCTGTCTGCCTGCGGGGGCAGTCCGTACATGAATTTTTTCCCTTGAGGCTATTCGAGACTCAAGCAAGATGGTTGCTAGACTTATGCTCTTGTCAAAAAAGCTTGTTTACAGGCAAAGTAAAAAGTAATTATACAGCAAACTATCCCATCTCATGGCATATGCCTAGAACATTATCTTATATAGCTGTACTCTAGCGATGACAATTATGCTACCTACTTGTCCGTAGTAGGTGGTGTAAGTACAATATTCAAGTAGGTACTTGACGTCAATGTACCTGACAGGCGATCGACCGCCTTGCCGGTACCCGCCCCGAGGTTCCCAAGCTGAGTCAGCCGCACATCATGCCGGCCCCCTTGTCTGGCCCGTTCTGGATCCTGGGGACATGCTTGTCGCCGAGCAGAGAGCCGGTTCTGTAGTCACTTGCCTCACGGTCTCCTCACATCCATCCTCTCTCTCTCTTTTTTCATTGCCACTACTGACAACCACATCAGAGCTCACTTTTTTCGAACAGCATAACTGACTGCACTCAAATATTCATTCACTTGTCTCGTTTCATTCCTGACGTCATTCCCAGGCCCCAGGTCCACACCTTCAGCAGAAGAGCCGAAAAAACCCTGCCCCCTGCAATATCACCCGGAGAAACTGGCGTGGGTCCATGATGGTCGTCGATCGCCCCTAGTCAGAGCTGCAATTTGGGCGAATCCAGTAACAACTTGCCACCATGAAAGACTCGCTGTACGACCGTATCTGGCGCCGAGAATGCGGGGACCTCTCGTCTTATGCCGGACTTCGGGGCATTTACGGCTCCAAGGAATGGATCAATGATCTGGACATCGTGAATGAGCTCGGGGGGCACACTGGATGTGTCAACGCTCTGAGGTATGACATTTCTATCTTGACATCCCGTCGTTTCGTGCGCCTAGATATTTGTCGCATTCTCAGCTGCCTAGACGCATCTTGCATCCCCTCGTCTTCGACCGACGCGTTGGCAAGTTCCCCGCTAATACTGTCGTAGTTGGTCCAAATCTGGATCTCTTCTGGCTTCGGGCTCAGACGACGAACATTTGAATATCTACTCGTATCAACCTGAATCCTCCAGCGCACCATTCAGCTTAAACACTACCGTCGCGACCGGCCATAGCGCCAACATTTTCTCTATCAAGTTCATGCCACATTCCAATGACCGAACTTTGATCACTTGTGCTGGTGACTCGCAGGTGCGAGTCTTCGACATTGAATACTCCAGCAGCAGTGGGAATGTGGCTTCCACCTCGGCATTTGCAGCCTCGGCTCGCAGTCGGCGCTTCAATGGCTTCTTTGAAGGAGCTCGGTATCTGACCGAAAGCAACACCCACTGCAGGGTTTACCGCAGCCATGCCGATCGCGTAAAACGCATCGTCACAGAATCGTCTCCTTATCTCTTCCTCACGTGCTCTGAGGATGGCGAGGTCCGACAATGGGATCTTCGCCAACCGTCCTCTGCGTATCCACCGCCGGCGGGGGGCAGGGTTTCATGGCCTACCGACCCGGGCTGGAGCATGATGATTCCAATGTGCCTCCGCCACTCATCTCTTACAAAAAGTATCGCCTCGACCTCAACACGATATCATGTTCTCCCAGTCAGCCACACTACATTGCCCTGGGCGGTGCCCATATGCACTGCTTTCTGCATGACCGGCGCATGCTTGGCCGCGACACTTTAACTGAGCGAGGTAGCCCAGGAATGTCTACCCCGAGCCCCGCCAGTCTCGACGATGAAATGATGGGCAAAGCAACGCGATGCGTTCGACGTTTTGCACCTCGTGGGAAACGCCGAATGAAAAATCTCGACGATGGACACATTACCGCTTGCAAGATCAGTGACGCAAATCCCGATGAAATGGTTGTCAGTTGGTCGGGAGATCATATCTACAGCTTTGACCTTATTCGGAGCCCCGATACTCGAGAGCGCTCGTCTACCGATCCAACGATGTCCAAGACCTCGATTACACGTCGTAAAGATGACTCGCGGAGCCGCAAGCGCAAGCGCCCGAAGCCTGCATCCATGTCGTCACAAGAAAGCGGCAATAGGCATCAGTCTCGACGCCGGTCAGGAGAGCCTGATGCGTTCAGAGTTACTTATGAGAATGGCGAATCAGATGATATTATTTTCCCGACAGAAGGGGAACCCTCCGAAGCATTACTCGATTACACGAGATATTCTATGCTGAGTGAGGCCCAACGGCTGAGCGCGCAAATTGCAAAGGGGTTGGTGAAGCTTCGCCGTGCTCTGTTTTCACTGCAGGCCACGGCTCGAGGGGCTACTGAATCTGACCAGACAGACCTTACACCATACTCGGAATCTTTTGCATATGCCTTGGCACTTGCTACTACATGTCTTACTCAAATGGATGATGTTATTCGTAAATGGGCTTACCCCCTGAACCCAAGCCGTGACACTGTTGCCTTTCAACAAGCTCTTCGCCGTAACCGTCAAGCATCGTGGAGATTTGTTCAAGCTGCTGGTGTGCTCGCTCGCGCTTTGGGCGGAAATACTGCGTCAACCGCAGAAAGTGATCTCGATCTTGTATCTGATTTCCGGCGAATCATCCCAGCCCCGAACGAGGATGATTCTATCGAAAGAGAGACCCATTTTGGATATGACTTTTTGAAGGCAATTTTGCTGTGGCTTCAAGGTGGCAGACAAGACCTTTTACAAGGGTTCAAACGTGGTCATTGCCCTCGTCGGCTTGAAGGCAGATTTCCTATTCCTGTCGATGCCGATGAAGATGCTATCGATAACATTCTACTGCCTTATCTCCAGGGATTAGCAGGAGACACCCCCATCGTCAATGTCGATGCGTCTCGCTTTGAGCATGATGCTACTCGCGTCTTATTCCAGACCCAACGGGCGGCTGTCACTGCTTTCGGTAATGCAGTCCGACTGCCTCTGGAAGATCTGGGAGTAACAGCTGCTCGGATAGATAAACGCCGCGTATCGAATTCTTCCTCACAAGTTCGGTCTTTGGACCGGGCGTCAGCGACCCGGTTCTGGATTCTGCGCGTGGGAAGAGGGGTTTTGTTGCAAGTTGGCACTGGAATTGATTATGCATTTGTCAATCGGGCTTTTGGTGGGCTTCATGCTACTACGGACGCTTCGGACAGTAATTCCAGTGATCTAGAAGGGGAGCCATGCCAAGAGGACATTGATCCCAACGTCGAAGAAGAGCCTGTCAAGTCAATCAACCTTGTAAGGACAGGAACGTCAAACGCTGCTGCTGCAGCAGAACAAAACACAGATGACAGTGACATGGAAAACTCGAATGAAAGCGAAGACGAAGATCAATCCGAGGAGGAGGATGAAGATGATGAAGATCAAGAAGAAAGAGACGACGAGGATGGGTGGAATATGGACCTCATGGACTCTTCAGATGACGAAACTGGTGAAAACTCCTCGGACGACGAAAGCGGAGAGCCTCTCTTCCTGCATAGGGCGACACGCAAGGTACGGCGCGGAGATGTTGAGATAGATGTCCCATGTTCTGCACATACTCGAGTTTATCGCGGGCATTGCAACATCAAGACTGTCAAAGACGTCAATTTCTTTGGTCTGAATGATGAGTATGTGGTTAGTGGCAGTGATTCCGGACACCTCTTCATCTGGGATCGCAAAACCGCCAACCTGGTTAATATCTTGGAGGGTGACAGTGAGGTCGTCAATGTGATTCAAGGCGAGTTGGCAATGGTAAAATGCCTGATTTGGGGACCACCTAGCTGACGGTATTTATCTAGGTCATCCTTATGAGCCGACGATCGCCGCATCGGGTATTGACAACACCATCAAGGTTTTCTCACCGGACCGTCATGCACAAGACCAAGCCCGCCGTGGCATTGGTATTCTTGACCCTGATAACCCTGTGAATGCACTTGGGTCGACTGTACATAACTTGGGCGGTTTGCAGAGTCGCAAGCGCGTTCAGGACAGCTACCGCATCATGAGCCAGAATGATGTCGACCGTCGCGGCGGCATGAGCGAGGCTTATATCACGGTACGTCCCCCCGGAAGCTCTGTGGTAATCCAAATTCTTGGCTCTTTGGGACAGACAATACTGATCCAGGTTCCTCTCCACTAGAGAAGCATGTTGGCCCGTCTTGCTGCTACTCTTCGGGGCGGACCAGGCGGGAACGGTCCTGGGCTAGGTGCGACTGTCGGTGCTGGCGAAGGGGCTACTGTAGTCCTCGATGAAAATTGCCAGGTTGGTTTGATCTTTTATAATGCTCGGAATTTTCGTAGAGAAACTAACTCTGATACTCTGATACTCTGATAGGTTATGTGACAACGATGCCCTCTTACTTGGCTACCCTTTGCACAATACATACTGTTCCCACCCCTTTTTCCTTTTATTGACAGCCAGAATGACCAAAACATATGCATCGAGGTCCCTCGAACGCTTTTTTATTCTTGGAAGTAATTCAAAACTAGTATTGAGAATGGCAACGAATGGCATGGTCAAGGGGCCAGGCTTGAATTTAGCGGGGTGAAATATCGAGTAGAAAGTGCACGACGTAATCTATTGCCTCTTTTCGTATTATCTCTTTTGAAAGCGCAGTAAACATTTCCGATTCAGTCCCACCACAAGAATGAGGACCTTATCCAATCCGAACTTACCATGTGATGCAAACGACGAACACAGTGTTGATTAAGTTTCGGCGCTTCCCCGCCAAATCACCCAATCGGGAAGGCCCCACCTAAAAATCCATGCCGCAAACTTCAAGTTGAACTTCGAGGACTTGATTGCAATTGCACCCGCCAATTCCTTCGCCTCTACACCATGACTTCGGCACTATTGAACGCCCGCGCGCGTACGACAACTCGGCTTCACGCTGATCCCCATAATCCGCACCTCTACCTCGAACGAGCTCGCCTCTATGAACAGCTAGGCTTCCCTGATCTCGCTGCCGCTGACGCCTACCGCGCACTCTCGCTATTGGAGTCTGTCGTGGATCCGGATGGATGCGAGTTCCCTGCGCGAAAGAAAATTGACACCGCGGATCTGAGTGAGAATGTCGAGAAGAAGCTGAACCTAGAGGAAGATGAGGACGAGGACGATGACACTGTTCCCGTCACTCAGGAAGAATATGATGCCCTTATCGGAGAGGTATATGCTGTACTGGTGCAGAGTCTTGTCCGTTGTGAGTGCTATCGCGATGCATACGAGTTCGGGATGCGGAGCATCGGGTTGTTGCAAGAGCTATCGCAAGACCAGAGCGGGCCTGCAGTAGTCTTGGACAAGCAGATGAACCAAATCAAGCAGATTTATTGCTCTCGGACAAGCTCAGACAAAGACTTTGATCTGGGCTCAATCGATTCTGCCGTTTTACCCGCCCAGGGTTTCGCTCGCCGCGTCCTTTATCCCTGGAATGAGCATGAGCCAGATCGTCGTGCACCGGAGGAATTGAGGCTTTTGAATGAGAGACTCCACGGTGTTGCACCCAAGTGTGAGGTGCGTGCCGTGGCTCTCCCTCTGCTACATGGTGCGACACCTGACGAGGAGGAAGTCTCTGTGCAGCTTGGCCTCTTCGCCAAGGAAGACATTGCACCCGACGAGATCATCTTGCGGGAGTCCTCACTTCTCACCGCTACAAACCGTCTTCATGATGATCTTTGCGACGCATGTAACGCCCCCTTACCTGAGTTGTCTGCTTCAGAGCCCCCCGTTGCTTGCGAGGGCGACTGCGCAGATACTATCTTCTGCAGCCAGGCTTGTCACGACACCGCTCAGGAGGTATACCACGGTGCCATTTGCGGTCTTGAGGACGGCCTAGAGTCCATTGGCAAGGATATTCCCGACCCCAAAGATAAGGCAGATTACCTCTACCTGCTCCTTTTGGGTCGTGCGCTCGCCATGTCTGCCACACAGGACGTGCACGCTCTGGACCTCCCTGAAGTCAAGTATATCTGGGGTGACTTCCATGATTTCGACCTTGAGTCCGCATCTCATTCTGCCGCAGGCACTGCGGATGCTTCTGCTACCTTGCCCTTCTCCTTCCAACTTAATATTCTTCAGCCTACCCGCCTCCTTGAAGAGATGGAGTTGGATCCCTACGCCTCAATTTCGCGCTACGATACTTGGGTCCTTAATACACTATATGCCAAATTCCGCGGTACTGCTTCTGGGCGTCTGTCCACCTGGGATGGTGGACCCGAACTGTGTGCAGTGCACCCTCTGTGGTGTCTTGCAAATCATTCCTGCGATCCTAATGTGCGCTGGGAGTGGGGTGGAGAGATTACTTTCCGGGCTCGAAATGATGAAGAGACCGCTGTCTGGACGAGAACTCGCGACGAGGGCGGTGTCGACATGAAACTTCCCAAAAAGGGCGGTATTAAGAAGGATGAGGAGATCTTGAACCACTATTGTGATATTGGACTACCTGTGAAGGAGAGGCGAGAGTGGGCGTGTGGTGCTTTGGGTGGTATTTGTCGATGTGATCGATGTATATGGGAAGCTCGGGAAGATTAAAATGGGCTGTCGAACTTGGATAGACTTGCTCTTCATAGATATCATGGGTTTATGATATGGATGAGATACCCGATAGACTTAGTTTTCATAGATGACAGGATATATTGTTGGATTCAGTATTTGAGATTGTTCATGAAATATCGCCATTTTTTTTTTCTCAGAAATCGAGGTATATTCTCAAGTAACTTATTTGTTTGACCAGGGATTTCATAATACTAGTATGGCCCATGCCAGTCAAATCATTTCGAAAGTGAATGATAGATCAGGATGGCCATTTAGCCATGTTGTTTGGACTGGATAACAAGGCCTATAATTTTGCACTACGTCTTCTTTTTGTCATATGTGAACATAACAATCAGTTCCTCGTCCCATATGGTCTGGAGCCTGCTGCATACATCACCAGTGTTATACAACATTTCAATGGCCATGGAATAATCAGACTGGAACTACAGACCTCGCCAAGCATAATGCTATCTTCAGATGTATTTAAAATCTCACACTGGGGACGTCGTGGAAAGGATTGATTGAGGATTGACATTTTCATGACAAAAGCTCCAATTCCTCCTATTAACAAAGTTCCAGATTTCCGGTTGTAGAATGTATATCTCATATTTTCTCTTCCATGATCCATGCAAGGAGAAAGAAGTCATTCCTCCGGTCCATCCCCTCCGATTGCTTAGGCTCCTAAGTTTTGCCACGTAGTGATGATGACAACTGAGTGAAAATTTTGAGAACCTGAATTTCCAACCAGTATTCTGCATCAGACATGACGAACAATAACTTGATACTAAAAAGCAGAGGCATTTAAACATGATCTAGTAATGTTGACCATGTCTGGATGAGAAGTTCATTAAAAAAGCCAATGCATGATACATATACTATAGCTTACCTTGTTCTAGAAATAAGCCAACCTTCTTGGTATTACAGAGATAGATTAGTATCGTCAGTAACCTTAAAGTTACACCGATTTCTTAATCCCTCATTCTTCCCACCAATTGCGAAAAGTCTGTGTGACATAACAGAAGTATTGAAATATATAGTAGTTCAAGACTCGCATTATAAAAGCCGAGTGATGCTCATGCCATGATCATCTCTTCCAATTGTTTTATCATTCTGTCATAGTCCTCTCAAAAAACATATATTTCAATCAAGTTCCATCTAAAGAAAAGTGCGTTGCATGCTACTAATCATTTGCCAGGTTCTATATCCATGAGGTTAATCTTTGGTTCACATATAGGAAAGACATCAAGATGACAATCTACTCTGTTGAAACCATGCCGAAGGGTGATCAGTGGGGTATTTGGTGGGGAGCTCCGGCTAGTGGATCTGAGGGTGGTGAAGCCTTGCCAAAGGATAATCATTGGCCGTCTATTTGAGGATCTCCAGCTGGTGGTGAAGCTGGCGAGGGCGAAGCGCTTCCAAAGTGATAGTGATTTATTGTCTTGTTTTTTCGAAGTTCATCCTCTTTCAGACTTTGTCAAGGGTCTCTCAAAGCCCCTCAGGTCTGTCAACGCAAATCCAAAGACAATTATCCACCGAGCCTTGAAATTCTATGATTTGTCAATGCTCCCTAACTTGTAACATTTGGGCCGACAATAGTCCTGCTTGACTCAATTGTACGTTGTCTTCAATGAGGTCTTTTCCATCCTGTAGACAAGTATGATGAAATGAGGGCCTGTGAAACAAGATCACAGCTAGTAGCCCTGTACACCGCTGGACTCGAGACACGGAACCGCCGGAAATATTTGATTTGCAACCTCAATAGTTGAAGAGGACCCGGGCTGCTAGGACCACGTTTATTATATAAACCACGGCTGACATTTTTGGGGCAAGAACGTTCCGAAGCTCTTACTATCCCTGCCTCACTTATTATCGATATTATCAGATCTTTACATATTTATAGTATACAGACATATAGATCCTTCTTTCGAAAAATATGGCAAATAAAGTGCATTCCAAGGAATCACTCGGAGATCAGATTCAGAGGGTGATGCCTCAAATCGAAGAGGTCACATCTTTGTGTCAAATTCCATCTATATCGATTGGGATAATTCACAGTGGCGAAATTTTCCGTCACTGTATCGGAACCCGGGACGTCCAGCGGTCTCTGGAGGCTAACCCAGACACCATTTACATGTTAGGATCCTGTTCCAAGATGTTCACCTCCGCCGCGATGGGAATTCTGGTGGATCAGGGCAAATTGCAATGGCAAGATCCTGTGCAGAAATATCTTCCCGACTTTTGTCCCATTGGAGATCCTCAGATAGGTCAGTCTGCAGACATTATTGATCTACTTCGCCATTCCACGGGCCTTGGCAATATAGGACCTCTTTGCTTGGGGCCAGGGGCGACTATTTTGATGGATGAAGATGATATGATCCCATTGCTCAATATGGCTTCTACTGCCAACAAAAGGGGACAACGATTTAACCGCGAGTGGGGCTATAATAACATTGCTTACGGTATTGTAGCCAGGGTTATTGAAAAGGTCAGTGGCCAGCGGTTTGATCAATTTGTCCAACAGCACATTTTACTGCCATTGGGGATGGATCGAACTATGCTGAGAACGGCAGATGTTGAAATGGACGATAATGTGGCTATCCCATGCGTTGCTCTGGGGAATGGACAATATGTCGAACTCACATCTCAATCTTGGCCGTGTGAGAACAATTCACCGTTACTGGCTGCGACAGGAATCCGAAGCAGTATGAATGATATGCTCAAGTGGTGCATGGCCGTACTTTCAGCCGAGCGTGAAGAGCAATCCATCGTGAAGGGCGAGAAGCCCGTCGGAGTTAGCACAACTTTACAGAAGGCTTGCATCTCCAATAAGAATCCATTAAAGCAGATGACTCGGATTCGTCGAGGCTACTGGACTCGACCGGCCGATGACCCTTCGACTAGTAAAGATGCTGCATATTGCATGGGCTGGATTCGAATGTCCCTACCATCTTCGATGCTCGGGGCTTTTAGTGGCAATGGGCTCACTCGAGAGAAAGGTCGACAGTTGCATGTAAAGCCTGATTTCATTCTCGGTAAAGGATCTGATCCGTTTCTCACGATAGGTCATTCAGGGGGAATGGCGGGATCGTTAGCAACAGTATGGACATTCCCCAAAAGTCAGAGTGCGGTAATCGTCATGGCCAACGGCCGCAGCTTCGGTGACGCGACCGACTTTGTGTCACAAATACTGATACAAGCTTTGTTTGAATTGAAACCAGAAGTTGACCTGGTCCCATGGGTTGCAATAGAGACAAACTTGGCCCAAAGCTATTTTGTTGACCGATTGCTGATGCCCTGGGCGAAGAATAGGTGCCTTGATGATATAAAACGGACTTCTTCGCTGTATGTGGGACATTATCAAGGATTCGGAGACCTTTTTACATTAGAAATTGGAGCAGATGAGAATGGAGAGCTTAGTGTGATCTTCAACAATCGCCAGACCACCCGCTGTCCTTTGGTCTTTTTCCGCACGGATGTCTATAGCTTTTTTATTGAAGACCGAGATACCTGGATGACGAGGGCCATTTTCGCGAAGTCTTATGAGGATACCCTGCTGGAGTTTGAGCTAGACAAGAATTTGGAGAATGTGACGGGTCTCTGGTGGCTTTGGAACCCAGACGAAGAGCGCGGTTGGTTCAAAAAGGTCTGATAGGTAAGTTAACTATGAGCAAAAACCTTTGGCCCAATATGAGCCATCATTTACTACGTTGCTGATATGCTAGATCATAGGCATAGAGGGTCACTAGATCGGCAGAATGGATTATTGATTATGAAATCTTCATGAATGCATTTGAATGGTATCGGATTTTTTGCCCAGTGATGAAGACAAAGTCAAAGTCAAATGTAGATTTAAAGTACACGGCCTGCGAACGATTCATGGGCTTTCCCTTGTTCCAAGCTCCAGAGGGCCCGAGCCTCAATAATTAACCCAATACGCAAATATCAACCCATATAGCTAAAGAAGAAGGTGAACGGTTCATAATGGGAGGTAGATAACAAAGCTCCGTGCGTCCGCCTATCGGCGACGAGGCGGCGTTCGTGAATAGCTTCGACCGCGAGAGTCGTCTCGCCGTTGTGGGGGAGTACGAGACCGGGAAAGTGAAACAGGTCGATCACGCCCTCCACGAGTTGGAGGGGATACAGAGGCAGAGGAATATCGTCTGGTATGCTTTGATGCGCCTTCACGTGGAGGTGAGACTGACCGAGAAACCGAACGGGAGTAGCTACGGTCTCGTCGAGAGGTAGAGGCTTTTTCTCGACGTGGAGGTGTGACGGATCGGCTAATAGAGCGACGAGCACGATATGGGCTGCGGCTTCGGCTAAGACTGCGAGAGTAGGAGCGTTGCCGAGTACGCCGCGGTGGGGTACGTGAAAGAGTCCTCGACCGAGATCGAGACCGGGACCCAGATCGATCAGATGGTGTTCGAGACCGACTAAATGAGGCATCTCGGCGGCTCCGCCGAGCGGGAGAGCGGGAGCGGGAGCGAGATGGAGTGTAGCTCCGACCTCGAGAAGAACGAGAGACAGAGCGGGAGTAAGAACGTCCACGATCCCTGGAAGGAGAGCGGGAGTATGAGGGAGAGCGGGATCGTGAATAAGAACGAGATGAACGGGTGTATGACGAAGAAGTTGAGTATGAGCGAGCCGATGGCGAGCGAGAAGTTCGGGCAGGCAGTGCCGGAACGGCAGGTCGGGGCATGTTCTTGAGATGCTCGCGCATGTCTTCTGTCAAAACACCCATACCAATGCTAGTGAAGTAGTTGATGGAGAATCGGGTATGGCGTGGGTTCTGCGTAGGGAATAGACCCTCGAAGCTTGGCCGCAGAATCTCATCCCTGAAGCGGGCCTGCAAGCCGGGAAGACCGAGATGCTCCGCCAGATCTTGAAAAAGGATCTTGACAAAGATACGGCTGCTGGAGGTAGTTTCTTCCTCGTTCATGTGAATGACAGAAAGGACATGCCATCCAATGGCATCATTGCTGATCATGTGTCCAAAGAAACGGGCAATATTGCGCAACTTGTTTGTCTCATACCGGTGTATGGTGTCATAGTATTTGGCAAAGGCCTCCTGGAACAAATCCGACCAAAGGCGGTTGATCTTGGCAAATCTTTCTCCAATCAAGCCGTAGAACTTCGAGTATGTCCGTTCCTGAGAGCAACATTCAATAATCATGGAAGGCAGTTCAGACTCCAGCCCCGCGGGGAGGTTGATCTTCATCAGCTTGTGACAACATTCTTCGAAGTCAATACTAGACATGATTGTCAGGTAGATTGTCCGGCGCAGGTTGACCAGATCGGTGTTGGTCTGATCTTTAATGTCCATCTTCTTTTCTTCTTCGTCCGATTCCTCATCCGAGCTTTCATCTTCATCACCTTCGTCCTCGTCCTCGTCGCTGTCTTCGCCCAATATTTCGGCCTTCAACCGCTTGTAATTTTCCTCATTTTGCTCCCAGTCGGGATCGTACTTGAAAATGTTCAAAGTATCCTTGGTCTCAACCTCATCATCATCCAGGCCCAGTTGATGCGTGATTTGATCCTCCTCTTCCACCAGGTCTAACTCCTCCTTGATCGCTAAGTGGTCCTTGTATCGGTCCTTGCGTACCTGAAAGAGCACCTCAATCATGTATTGCACTCGCTTATCGATGTCGGCTTCATGTAGAATGTTTCGGAACTGATCAAACACAGCGTTCGCGATCTGGGGGTTCATTTCCTCCAAGTGCTGTCCAACTTCGCGGGTGAGGCCGACCGCAATTTCCACGCTATCATCCGTAGGTTTGTTCAGAAGAAGGAGTAAAATCTGTGCAACAAGCATCTCATTGGCGACTTGATGGTTGACGAGGTGGGCGAGAAAGGTCGAAGCCGAAATACAAACAGCCTTATCGTTCCGCTTGAATGCCTTGCGGAACTGTACAATCAAGCGAGATATCAGCAAATCGCCAACCTGTGGCAGCTTGGTGTTGACGATAGCAGTCATTGCCGCGTAAATGGGCGTAAAGGGCAAACTAGCTGCCTGAGCCTTCATGATAGAGCGGCAGAACAAGCCGCGTCCCCGAACTAAATTCTCGCCAAAAAGTTCCGGGACGATGTACTTGATATTGGAGACATTGACTTTGTTGATGAGGCCGTTGATCGACTTCTTGAGTGCCTCCCAAGCCATGCGCTGGTACTCCTTGCTCGTCTTGTCGGTGATCTGGGCCTGCAACGCGCGCAGACGGGCTGGAGGGATATAGGTACCGCCTGATCGCATGTTTAAAAGCTTCTCGTACTCGGCCTTGGCTGCGGCCTGCTTCTCCTCTTCGGTCATCGGCTTGCGAGCAGCCTCTTGCTTTTCATGCTCTCGAACGCGCTCGGCGAGCTGTCGCTCCCGCTCAATGGCGCGTTCTTCATCGAGGGCAGGGATATCTGGACCATCTCGGAGGGAGTCTCCCGGCGGCGAACGGCGGCGATGAGGGGACGGCGATCGCGAAGGAGGAGACCGTTTTCGCGATGCTGCCGTCGGCGAGGCAGCCCCGGGGGGAGGGGTGGGCACTCGAACCGCAGACTGAAGAACTACCGGGTCAGACATGATGAGAAGAAGATTCTCTCAGAGTCTCCGGGGGGGTTCCAATCAGGGAGAAGGGGAGAGGGGAGAGGAGAGCGTAGGAATAAACACCGGACATGCGGTGGTTGCGAACCTGCTGAATTGGATCGGCGAAAGCTCTAGCGGTGGCGGTCACGTGGTAAGGAGGCCAGAGTGGAGGCTCCCGCGCGCGACCCTTGTCCTTGACCACGTCCAGCGCCCTTTGAACTCCCAGTTCGTTTACACTTTTCTTTACAGTCGCTCATTCAACAGAATGGTATGAATGCTACACTTCCAGGCTCAATTGTCGCCGAGCAATCACTGACCCTTCTCCCTAGCTGGGCCAACTCACGGGTTCCGCCATGCTCTTGGCCGCAACCGCTATCTTCCTTTACTACACGGCGTGGACGCTGTTGATGGTCAGTCGCTTCCCCTTTCCGTCAGTTTCAATGCGGGCTACTCTTGTGGTCTCCGCTTCCTTTTTTTGCTCTCGATCTATTCTAACTCGGTGTGCATGTGGTAGCCCTTTGTTGACCCGGGTCACCCTCTTCATGACTTGTTTCCCCCGCGTGTTTGGGCCATCCGAATCCCCGTCATCCTGACCCTCCTAGGCTCCGCGGTGGTGGGAACTTTCATAGCGATTGTGATGATTAACAGCAACAAGAAGCGGGCCGCCAAAGCCAAGGCTGCGGCGAAGAAGAAGGCCTGAGCGAATGCGAGATGGGAGAAGTTGAGGGGGAGTGGGGGATGATTTGAATACCATGCTGGCCCTATAAGGAAGGGGTCTTGTACCACCACTGTTGTCCATATCGGGGCCTCTTTTTTTTGTGTTTGTGGCCGCCGTTTGGGTTTGCGCTGCTCTAATAGAAACCAACCGAGACAACACAGCAATGCAGGTTGTTTTCCCGTTCACACATTATTTTTTCTGATTTGTCTGGATCCAGAGATTCGGGGTTGGGAGGATCGAGAGTCGAGGATCTTCTATGCTGCCGAGGTCCCCATACGAGCAACCTATAGTGCAGGGGAGGGGGTAATGCACCACGACCAGAGACGCCAGGATATGGAATGCAGTCTTCCCCTGGAGGCGCAGGGGGACCTGGCGCATCGCAGATCGATCGTCATAGGGGTTGGTTAATTCGCTGTCTTAGTTGATGACTTGGATCCGAGTGACCCAAGAGTTGGCAGGAGCCAGTCACCGAACTGGTCGCGGCCGGTCACGGGGCCTGCGAACCGTGACCGGGCTTCTTGAGTAGTCTTTCGTTTTGCCAACAGGGTCTCCAGGCCCTCATTCCAGCGTCCCATCATTGAGGGCCCCACGCGGCTATGGTCGGGGTGTCTTTGTTTAGCCAAGGAATCCATGGGCCACGGCCAGTGGCCATCTCGCTTAGCTAATAATCCCTTTGTCCCGGACCTGTCACGACCCAAACGGTGGCGCGCGCCTTGCGGGGACCAGCATCATCATGATCGCAATCGCCAGGCTGACCAGGAGGCAGGACACGAGGAGCTGTATTAGGCATAACAGCGAGCATAGCATCGAGCATAGCATCGAGCATAGCATCGAGCATAGTGCAGGGCTTCGAATAGCGCATAGTATAGGGTATAATATAGTATATCATATAGCATTTTGTATAGCTCATCACAAGAGTATCGCACACGTCACTGCGCATTCCATCAGAGAAGTATATCGAGATCTCGAGTGGGCCAGCTGAGCGTCAAGTCCGAACCAGCAGAACATGCCAGAAGCAGAGGGATGACGGGGTCAGCCCCCAACGGTAATGACCAACTTGCGGCAGCGCGTCCCCCGGGCGGGCCCAATGCAGCCCCTCCAAATGCCCCCCGTGGAAGCCGATCCTCTGACTCAGGTACCGCGTTCCCGGCTGTCCCCCCCCCCCCTCTTATCGGGCCTCCGCTCCGCTCCTTTCCTCTTCTCTTCTCTTCCTCGCTTCTTGCCCCGTTAACAAAACTGATCTCGACTGGTTTCCAACCCCATTTCCCTGTGCATTCACTGGATTTCTCTTCCAGTGTGTGATCTGTGACGCCTATCGGCCTTATCAAAGCTTCCCCGCGTATCGTCGAGCGCCTCCGCTCGAGATCCGCCATCCGCAACCCCTCCCCCCTCCAACCCAGCCCTACCACCCCCCCCCCCGATTCACCGAAGCTGGTGAATTCCTTCCTCTATAGAGGTATGTGCTGCTTGGATCTCAAATGGAACATAGACCTCTCTTCTTGACCCTGCCGCTCCTCCACTCCCTGGAACTCTTCCTCCCTGAAATACAAGCGTGACTGATGTAGTAAGCAAAACGCGGCAACAGACCTGAACGCCCCCTCTCTTAGTATATCATCGTCAGCCCTCCACACGATCCGGCATAAGACAGGTTCAGCCCATCCCCGTTCTCAGACCTCCCCACAGGTCTTGAGAGCGGCTGTCTCTGCCTCGTGAATTCCGTTGCCTCTTCTGCGAGAGGCCCCTCTAGTTGAATGCCCCCGGCGGCACCAGACGACCTCATCCGTCAGCACAGTCGGCCCTTGGAAGAGAATCCGCCTTCGTTAGGTTCCGGGCAAACCCCCATCATTCCAGAGCATGAATCCAGTGGGGGGAAGAGCAAAAAGAAGAAGAGTGGTAAAAAGGCCAAGGGGGCCAAGGCAACGACCGAAACTCCGGAGGACCTGTATGACCTCAACGAACAGTGGCATGCGCATCCCACGTACTGACTCGTGTCTAGGATCCAACCAGCGGCAATCATTTCAGCGGAGCCCTCCTCCTGTCCAGATCCCCCCTGGACCATCATGTCCAGCCCACCGTGACTTCGCCCGTCCTCGATGCGCTGCAGTCCATCGGCGGCTCGGCCGACCACGATCTCACGGCGCGTACCGACACCTGGGCCCAGAATGTGCCATATGGCAAGAGCCCGCCCACGGATTTGATCGATGATCTTCCCAGCGAGTCTCCCCTCAACTTCCCAGCTATTCCGGAACGTGGTGGCTTCAGTCAGCCATCATCGGCCTCGCCGCCGACTCGCATTCGGCCATTCAGTTACGGCAGCGGGTATCGGAGCAGCATGCAGTCGCGGCAGCAGTCCGTCGATCCTCGGAAGAGTCATTCGTATGGAAGCCCGATGAGCAATTTGGCCCCTCCCCCGCATCTCCCCCAGGCACACTTCTATGGCGCGCCAGATATCGATCTGCCCGGCCAGAGCCGTTCGGCGACACAAGGGGCATCCTCCTTCTGTGGCTTTGATACTCTGCCTGGCTTGTCCACCAAGACTCCTCGGGCGGGCATGAATGTGGTGGTGGTAGGCTCTGATGGTGCCGTGGATATTCTGGCGCTGGAAGACCGCCGCACTCGCTTGGTGGGCCAGGTCACTGGTCTCAACGGTCGTGTGTTGGAGGCAAAAATCCTGCCTGGTCCTTCATCGAATGATCCGCTGGCGTCTTCCCAGCCTCACATTGCCGTCATTCTCCATGGACCTCAGCCACCCAATGACGATGAAGGTCAGGTCTCTGCGACGGCGTCGGAAGCCAACGAGGTTCCCCCTCGATGGTGCGGGGTCATTCAGGTGATCGACGCTCAGGGAAAGATGAAATGTCATTCTATCAAACCAGAGTGGAGGTGTACGCGCTTCGGAGTGGTGACCTGATTGCAACCTTGTTTGCCAGCAAACCGGTCCCTGCGTTGGAGAACATTCCAGGCCTCCCGTCTTTGGCCCCTGCACCCGTTGGCAGCCTCAAGCTTTACAACACAGGGATTCACGTAATTGTCGCCTCGGGCATCAGTGGGGAGGTTTATGTATTCAGACAGATTGTGTCAGGTGCATACCAATGCCTGGGCAAGACCTGGACCAACGTGCAACCCGGTGAAGTCCGGCGGTACTCCACGTCGTCAAGTTCCACCGATCCAGATGGTTCTCGTCATGAATCTCCCCGAGTTACGCTCTCGGAACGCCCGATTTTGTCTGTGCAGGGTCGGTGGTTGGCGATCATGCCGCCCTCCTCCTCGGTCCACGGGTCAATTCATGGCGCTGTCCCGGTGGGGTTGGTTCATAGCAGGGCCCACGGAATGGAAACTCGCAGTCCTTCGACGGTCCCGTCGGTGAATTGTGCCACCGATGTGGGTGAGGGAGAGAGCTTTTTCAACAAGTTCGCCCGAGGTGTCACTCAAGAGCTAGTTAAAGGTGCGCGGTTTTTGGGCGATCAGGGACTCCAGGCATGGAACAATTACTGGAACAACCAACCCCCATCTCCTGGCACACATCCAAGGCCCATTCGGGGTCCGGACTCTCCAACACAGGGATATGCGACGGTCTTTCCCCCGACTCACGCTCAAGAAACCCAGACCTCGGCTCCTGAGCCAGATGCGATTTCAATCATCGACCTGAAGCGGTTCGAAGATGGAATGGATTCGAGAGCAGCATCTCTCAATCCAGTGGCCACTTTTCAAGTCCCCAACGGCTGTAGCTTCCTCTCTCTTTCTCCGAACGGCTTAATGCTTTTCACTGCCAGCAAGAAAGGCGATGTTCAATATGTCTGGGACCTCATGCAATTGAGGCATTGTCGTGCGATGGCTTTCATCTCTGATGATTATGGCGGCCAAACCCCCAATGTCCGGCAAGTAGCACGATATACGCGGTTGACCACCTCTAGCATTATTGATGTAATCTGGACAGCACTCGTTGGGGATCGATTGGCAGTGATTACCCGAAAGGGAACTATTCATGCTTTTGACTTACCTCGGAGTGCTTTCCAATGGCCTCCGTTCCGCCGAGCCCGTCCGGCTCCAAAACGATCGTCTGCTGTTGATCTGGCGAGCGACGAGTTGTCTAGACAGGCTACCCAGGGAAATCCGCTATCAGCAGCGATGAACTTTGTCGGGGGAAAGACTCAACCGTTTATCTCTGCTGTCCGAGGTCGCGTTCCTTCGTCTGGGGCTGCGTTCCCAAATATGAGTGGGTTCGGGATTTCGACTGCAGCCGGTATCAAAGGTAGCAAGGTTGTTGCTGCCGGGCTAAGCAAATCGATGGGAGCGGCCGCATCGGGGACGGTCGAAAGCCTTCGACATGTTGGAGAGAATCGACTGCATCTGCCAGGCCTGGCTCGGGATCCAGCACCCAATCATGTGGTATGGATTCACAATAAAGGCCATATCTTTCTTGGCATAGTCGACGAGGGACAGTTCAAGCTGTACCGCCTGAAGCGCAGCACCTCCACTCATAAAAGCCGCCAATCTCATTCGGTGATCGGCGCCAAAGAGATCCAGTTCAAGCTGCCTTCCAATATGCAAAACACCTGTGGACCGGCCCCTCTCCTGGCGTATGACCCAGAAAAGGTTGTCCAGGCTTCTCTTGTCTTGCCTTCTACGAGTTCGCAACCATCGTATCCGAACAAGTTCTTCCACCAGCCACTCTCTCAGGCCGAAATCGAGACCAACACGCCCTATCAGCCCTTTCACACGGACCAGAGAGTCGGTCTGCATGTTTACCCAGCTGATAACACCGCCGGGGATATTCCGAGTGGCCAGTGGCTCTTTGGGGAGGATATCCCGACGACCAAGGTGCATGTGAGATCGTACAACAACAGTGGCGACGACCGGGAGGGTGACGAGGACGAAGATGCTGCCATTCATGCCCACTCGTTCGGAGCTGGTGGGGACATGGAAAATCTCATTACTCTGGGAAACAGCACTGGCAACGTTGAAGAAGTCGTCATAACAACCCGGCGGAAGAAGAAGCACTCTGCGACGCCGCTGAAGGCTGAGGACGGCTTCTTCGAGGACGATTGTGAGGTTCTGGACTTTGCGCGCGACCGAGTCTGATGCTCCGGTGCCTTTTTTTTTATCTTTCTCTTTTATGATTTTTGAAATTTATGTTTTTAACCATTAGTGCTTTAGAACCGTTGTGCTCGCGCGGCGTTGGAGACTTTACGGCGTTTTCGACTTATTCGACTTGGACTTCCTTGACGTGGCTCCCAATTGCCTATGAAATTGCATCAGATCCTTCCAGTCACCTGGATTTATTCTGCTGGCTCTTTTTGATTTTTTACTCCTTATCTCCTCTTGCGTCTTCCACAGAAACCCCAATATTCAAATACCCAAATACCCCATGCTTCATTTGAATTGTTTCTTGCATTTTTGATAGACCGAGGAGGATTTTTGATGTGGCTGCTTTGCTTGCCTGGCACCCTGTCTCTACCGTTACTTCAGCGAGGGGCAAGTTCTGCCTTTCTTTCCTTTTATCATCTCGGATGGTCTTTTTTATGCTTCAATGCTTTGCAGTTGCGTTGAACTCGTCCACTCCACTCAATCGTTCGTGGCCTTCTCTGGCCCTGCTATGAACTATGGAACTAAGGAATCGTGAACTATGCACATCAATCAATCAAGAAAGCCGGGGGGAAGCCTTTAAACGAACCTCCTTCCCCCCTAATATTCAACATAGACTACAAGTCCTCTTCTGTTATCTCATAGGCTATTAAACCAGTCCGACACCTTGGGAACCTTCTATAAGCTTTGTTTATCTTCAATGCCTTCACTCTACCTTCTCCCCCAATGCATCCCCCATCTCCTCCTCCCACCAACCGCGAAAGACCTTCAACCGTTCCGTCCGCACTCTCGCCATCCTGCGCCCCGTCTCTGTCTTCATCATCCCCTCCAACCGCTCTAATTTGTCGACGAAATGCTCGATCGAATTCCCCATCTCCCACTCCCCTGCCTCCCCAACAAACTTCTTCCCCTGCGCCCCCAGAAACGTAAACGTCCGTCCAATCCCAATCGCCCCAATCGCATCCAGTCGATCTGCATCCTGCACCACCCCAAGCTCCGGAGCTGCCTCCAGCACGCGCCGCACCGCTTCGGGGTCCTTGCACTCCGTCGTGTACGACACGTGCGACACCACCATCTGTACTTTAGCTGCGAGCGCAGTCGGCGCCCCGTGCTGCTCCAACGCTACTTGCACCATCGTCGTCGGGTCCACGCGCGCCGCCCCCGTCGCGGACTCGAGCGTCGGCAGGTACTTCCGGTCACCGATGTCGTGGAGCAGCGCAGCCAGCTGGACAACTTCCGCGTCAAGGGGCGCGCCGGTCGGGAGCATCGCTTGCTCACCAGCAAGTATGGTGTTGGCGAGCTGGGCGACGCGGTGGACGTGCGCAGGGTTGTGGGACGGATCATGACCCGACATGCAGGTGTCGACGAAAGCGACCATCGCGGCGTAGAGGTCTTGAAATTGGGTCATGGTAACGGCGTGAGTTGCTTGTCCTTATCCTTCTGCTTTTAATTGCAGGGTTTGGTCGGTGTCTAGGGAGGGTGTGAGAGAGGAGTGTGTGACTCTCCGCCGCGGGGGAAATATATTTCGGCGATGTAGAAACTTTGGTCCCCGCAGTAAACAAGCTGTATTGGCGGTGAACTGTGTGGCCCCGGTACCCGTACATCCGACCTCCCCTGCATCAACACCCGTCTTTGTTCGCCCGCCGACTTGGTGCATATTCAAATTCGAGGATGGACTACAGCACGCAAGACAGGGACTTTCCGTTCCATCTATGCGGGGAAACAGTTGGAGCTAGTGTGGGGCAGAATCAGCGGAATGCGACAGCTTGATCGACGCGTCCCCGCAATGTTTCCTATCTACAAACTGCCCGAAAGAAAGGGTAGTCACAAAACGCAATTAACGAGATGGCAGGCTTAGAAGGGAGAGGAAACAAGGGGGGAGGTGATTGCAAACGAAACAGGAAACACCAGAATCGAGATTCCCATAGAGAAGAATATTATCATTTGTCATTCACAGTAGGCCGGAAGAACCAGGTATCATAGATACTATCACACAAGTGGAAAAGAAATAGAAAATACAGGGCTCATCGTTGGAATAGACCCCGAGACTCCGATTGGGATCGCAAATCCTGTATCCTTCCGATGGAGAGACACTCCACAATCTTACAAAGCAAAGGCCGCGAGGACCAAGCCAAACAGGCCAGCACCAGAGGCAGCTAGGTTGCCAGCGGCATTGGAGGTCTGGCTGGTAAAGGTGGAAGTGCCGGTGGATGAACCAGAGGTCGCGGTGGCGCCTTTGTTCGAGGCTGACGAGGGGATTAGTGGGGAGTTATTGGCGCGTGGTTTGTCGTAAGACCAGAGGATGGGGGGATGGAAAGATAGAAACTTACAATTGGAGCCAGTCTCGGTAGCCTCGCTGCCAGACGCTGTGGAGGCCGAGGAGCCAGAGGAGCCTGTGGCCGCGGCCGCTCCCGTCGCGGGGAAGAAGTGCGAGCTGAAGCAGCTCTGCTCACAGTCGGCATACTTCTTGGTGTCGGCGGGGGAGCCGGTACCCTGAGGGCAGGCCGCGACACACTTGTTGGTATCGATGGCCTGGTTGTCACTGGGGCAGGGAACCTTGTAGCAAGCCGCCACACAGCAGAGGTCATTGACTCCACCTGTGGAAAGCCACACAGTCAGTCCTTGTCGTGTCATGGCCCTTCATCCTCCGAATGGGGAATGATGGGCAGATTGTCGAGGTCAGGGGATCAAGCACATACACTTATTTGCACATTGGACCTCAGCACTGGCAGTCGCGGTGGAGGCTGCGCTGTTGGTGGTGGTATCGGCCGCAGCAGCCAGTGCCAGCAGGGCTGAGAGAGCAAGCAGGTTGAACTTCATTTTGAAAGAGAGGGAAGCGGTATGGTGAATGGTGAATGGAGGTCGAGTCGTGTGTGGAATGAGGAAAGAGCAGAGAGGGAAGATGAAAGAGCAGGTAGTGACTGTAGCGAACGAATGACACGGACCGGAATGTAGAAGTGGGGAGGAAGAGAGGAGTTAAATAGTTGCAAGACCGTGAAGTCCCCCGACGTCGCCCTGGCATGTTTGGGGCTTTCTAGGTACATGCAGTAGACATGCTGTGCACACGGCCGGCTCTGGGCACCAAGTACCCGGAGGTACCTCTCCCCGATTGTCCCCTTGGAAGTCAATCCCGGTCTCGTCCACTAATCACAAGCTCTTGAAGACCCTGAAATTTTGGAAAAAAAAAGAAAAAAGAATAAAAAAAGAGGGAAATTAGCAGAGAGATGTCGGACCCAAACGGGGCCCTCCACTCATTCGCTGGGTCTCAGATTGTATCCGCGACAGACCATCGGGGGTTTTCTCTCCGTTTTTAGGTGCCACTCGTCCATAGGTTGCCCCCTCCCCTGATCCAGAGGTCAAAGTATATCCCTATCAGGCGACTCCATCCCAACAAAAATAACACAAGAAGCTGCAGCCTTTCAATTTTCGGGACCTTGCGTCCTTGACAGGATTGCAGTCTTCCCCTGCAACACTTGACGAGAGGGGGATTGGCGCTAGTGCCGGCACTAAGCAGGGGCCACAGGACCCTGGACGCCCCCCAGTGGATCTGTCAAATCCGGGGGCCCCCCTCGGCCAGGAGCCCGACCTCTGGTGAATCATCTCTTCCGTGAGGCGAGGCTACTCGGGTGATGATGTGTTCCCTACAATAGCAATATAGATGGATTATACTCCTTAAGGACTGGGAAAGCACCACTTTCCTCCTTTCTCCCCCGTCACAATGAATCCTAAGCACCGAAGCATGGGGTTATCTCCCGAACACTAGTGTCCTTTTTGTGCAAGGGAGGGGCCCTGATCAATTGAGGAGCGTGGGTGGACCCGTATTGTTGGCGAGACCAGTAGCTAAGAGGGACAGAGAGGACGATACCCAGGAGCCCAGTGCTATTCTTGGATGATAGCACACAGCGCATGACTCTTCAGACTCAAACCCAGATCTATTGGGGGCTCTAGAAAGATGGGATGAAGAGTTGAACGGCGAGTAGAAGTCATGATCTAGTATATAGTCCTCAGTCCTGGATCGAGGCCTGTGTCGACCCTGCCACAGATCATGATGGTCCCGTGTACTGTACATAGACCCATGGTAGTCCATGTTAGAAATGATATTCTTCTCTCATGCCGAAGAACCTACAGCCCGGTATCTTGTCTTGCGATAGAACGGCATTTCATGAATATTTGCTGAAAAATAATGAAGACCGAGACGTCCACGATGATCCGTGTCCACCCCAACTTGGTCAGCCCGAGGCGGTGAGGCCTTCTAGATCACATGACTACGCGACACTCGCGACGCGCGTCGGACATCAGATGAGCAGGCCGAGCAGTGCGCCGCTTCCCGCAATTGGCGTCATGTCTGTCATAGACTCCCCATCAGACTACTCCGATGATGGCTTCGTCGTTCCTGACACCCCGGAGCCCCAGGAGTCTTCATCCCGTCCCACTAAGCGACAGCGCCTGGAACCTCCGACGCGCGGGGAAGATCGCGCTGGCGATCATGACTCCGCATCTCTGGCTGACTCGTTCTCGGACTGGGACGAGGAAGTGAGAGATCACCGCGACTCATCTGCAGAGTATGAACGCCAAGCGCGTTCAAAGTCACGGAGCTTTGTTCCCAAACACAGCAATTTTCAAGAGAATATGTTTGTCACGCAACTCACCCAACCCGACTCTAGTCCCGAGCGAATACGCGGGCCCCGATGGAAGAAACCCGATCCCACTCCAGTACGACTGTCCCCAGATATGATTTCTACACCTCCACTGAATCGACCAGACCGGCAGGTGGAAGATAACTATTATGACGACGATGAAGAGGAATTGAGGGCCGCATTGGAGGCGTCATTGGATGCATTCGAGGAAGAGAAAACGATGCGACGAATCATGGATCCAACAATTCCGACAAATTCTACGTCTAATCTTTTGCCTGTACAGCGGAACCAAAACGCGGCTCCACAGGATGCTTCATTTGAGTTGGATAATATCCCGGACGATGCTTTTGTATCCTCGCCGTGCTTGTCGCCGGTGTCCCGGCCAGTAAACACCGTGCATATCAAATCAAGCTTCAGCCGTCCTCAGCAAAGGCCTCAAAACACTCGCCAAACTACCCTTTACGGTCTGATTGCGCAGAATCAGGAAGCGACTCCGACACGAGAACAAGATTGGGCACCATCGGAGAGAACCGAACCTCCAACCCAGCACAAATTGAATCAGGATACGCTCCATACGTGGTGGTACCCGACAAACCTGGGCACCATCCGAGATTACCAGTTCAATATTGCCCAGAAAGGTCTTTTCCACAACCTTCTCGTCGCCTTACCCACCGGCTTGGGAAAGACATTTATCGCAGCAACGATCATGTTGAATTGGTTTCGGTGGACGAAAGATGCACAGATAATTTTTGTAGCCCCGACCAAGCCTTTGGTTTCTCAACAAGTGTCGGCCTGTCTGGATATTGCCGGAATCCCGCGCTCCCAGACGACGATGCTCACGGGAGGCGCAGCACCAGGAATCCGGGCGGAGGAGTGGCAGGCGAAACGGGTGTTTTTCATGACACCACAGACGTTAATCAATGACCTGAAGACTGGCATCGCAGACCCTAAACGAATTGTCCTTTTGGTTGTGGATGAGGCTCACCGTGCGACTGGGGGCTACGCCTATGTGGAAGTGGTCAAATTTTTGCGTCGTTACAACAAGAGTTTCCGTGTACTGGCTCTGACAGCCACTCCCGGGTCTACAGTGGAATCTGTACAAGCAGTCATCGATGGACTGGACATTTCACGTGTGGAGATTCGAACCGAGAACTCCATCGATATTCGAGACTATGTACATGCTCGCAACATTGAGATCGAAACATTTGAAAACTCCGACGAGATGACGTTCTGCATGGAGCTCTTGTCGACGACCTTGCGGCCGTTAGTTGACCAACTTCGGACTATGAATGCGTACTGGGGAAGAGATCCTATGGGTCTCACAGCGTTTGGCCTCACTAAAGCCCGGCAGCAGTGGATGGGGTCTGATGCCGGTCGAAATGCCAATTTCGGACTTAAGGGCAAGGTGAATGCTATCTTCACCGTCCTTGCTAGTTTGGCCCATGCCATCGACCTACTCAAATACCATGGCATCGTACCATTTTATCGACACATACTGCATTTCAAGTCGAATACTGACGGGCAAAAAGGAGGGAAATGGCAGAAACAGGTCGTGCAAGATGAAAGTTTCAAGAAACTTGTCAGTCATTTGGAGCCATGGACCAAGAACCCGGAGTTTATCGGGCACCCCAAACTGGAGTACCTCAAATCGGTCATTTTGAATCACTTCATGGATGCTGGCGAAGGAAAGGAAAATCTTAATGGGATTAGCCAACCAGCGACACGTGTCATGATTTTCGTTCATTTCCGTGACAGTGCCGAAGAGGTCGTAAGAGTCTTACAGCGATATGCACCCATGATTCGACCGCATGTGTTTGTGGGCCAGAGCAGTGCTAAAGGATCGGAGGGGATGGACCAGAAGACCCAACTTCAAATCATTGAAAAGTTTAAGGGCGGGACATACAACACCATTGTTGCAACGTCAATTGGCGAGGAAGGTTTGGATATTGGCGAGGTCGATCTCATTGTCTGTTATGATTCCTCCGCATCGCCAATCCGAATGCTCCAGCGAATGGGTCGAACAGGCCGTAAGAGGGCAGGAAACATCACCTTGTTGCTGATGAAGGGCAAAGAGGAAGATTCCTATGTCAAGGCTAAGGACAATTATGAGAAGATGCAGCAGATGATTGCGAGTGGTTCTCGATTTACGTTCCATGAAGATCGATCCGCTCGCATTCTCCCAGCAGGCATACGCCCAACGCCGGACAAACGACAAATCGACATCCCTCCGGAAAATTCTCAACAAGAGTTACCGGAGCCAAAACGCAGAGGTCGAGCACCAAAACGACCCCCGAAGAAATTTCACATGCCGGATGACGTTGAGACAGGCTTCACCCGAGCGTCGACCCTCGAGGAAAGTTTTGGGAAGGCCAAGAAGAAGGCCACTCCGATAAAGCGACCCCGAACGCCTACACCTGAACCCGTGGATGTGCCTCTACTGAAGGACGTTTTCCTGACTGAAAAAGAGCAACGACATCTGGAACATCACTATCAAAATATTGGGGATACCTCGCCACAGTTCATTCGTTACCCGCGCAACGATGCCTTTCCTGAATTACAACTTGTGGAACGACCTACTAAACTTGTCAAGCATGGGTCCCTCACACGTCGAATGATTGCGGCCTTGCAGAAGATGAGTCAGGCTGGCCCTGACTGTGAGGATCGTTTCAAGGAGATCCTTGCTTGTGAGGCCGCGAAACTTGCAAAATCAAACCGTCGACCGTCTGAAGATGACCTCGCAGTAGACCGACCACGTAATCATACGGGTGTCAATTCACGGAGGGGCATCAAAACCCCCCACCGTCTATCTGAAAAATCGCAGGTGGACCTCGGACACGATGACATGGCATTCCTGTCCCCCTACCCTTCCGAGCCTGAACCGCAGCCAAAGCAACAACCGCCGTCATCTCTTGAGCGTGACCTTGATGATAATGACTCCGACTTCGAATTTCCTGATGCTAGCTTTCTGTTTGAACCAAAGGCCAAGTCCCGCAAACAAGGTCGGATTATCTTGGACAGTGACGAGTGACGACGAACGACGAACATACGATCAACTCTTGTTGGAAATACCCTGGCTAGAATTAATTTTTGGTATTCTGTTCTTGTTTGTGACCCTTTAAGATGTACATATGAGTATAATCTATGCAAAAGAAGTCCTCTGTGATTTTCGTGTCATGGGAGGCTATCGTCGGTGCCCATGCATGCCGGTATAGATGGTGTGACGTTCCTGCCACGCGCTTCCCGTAAGGATACACGCACCTCTCCACCCATCAACACAGGTACTCCTCCGCCCGGAGACCGCAACCCAGTATACACAAAGTCATCCCTCTTTTCCACCATGGCTGACGCACAATTCGATAGCGCACTGTATGTAACCAGACTCTCTCTTTACAGACGGTTCAAGACTGGGCCTCACTCTCGACCATACCGGCGAGGGCGTCAATGCAAACCCCTTCCGCAACCCCGCCTCTTCCCTGTGCATGGAGAACCCGCTGAGCTGACCACATCGTTTCTAGCGACCTTCTTCGTCGTTTGAACCCGCGAGACACCAAGTCTAACCTGCAGGCCATCACCTCAATTGTCCCCGACCTGACCGAAGACCTCCTCTCCTCCGTTGACCAGCCCCTGGAGGTTCGCCGCTGCCCGCAGACCAGTCGCGACTACCTGCTCTGTGACTACAACCGCGACGGCGACAGCTATAGATCACCATGGAGCAATGAATTCGACCCCCCGCTTGAGGATGGCACAATTCCCAGTGAGCGGGTGCGCAAGCTCGAGGTTGCGGCCAATGAGGCCTTCGATGTTTACCGTGAGCTCTACTACGAGGGGGGTGTCGGAAGCGTGTACTTCTGGGACTTGGACGATGGATTCGCTGGAGTAATTCTGCTAAAAAAGGGTACATTTTCTTTTGTGAAACTCTGCAGAAATTTGTCTCCAATTGCCATGCTGACTGTCGATTGCCTTTTCTAGGTGTGACCCCCGGCTCCCAGAGCTCCGGTGAATGGGACAGCATCCACGTTTTCGAGGCCACCGACCGGGCACGCATGTCCCACTACAAACTCACCAGCACGGTAATTCTCCACCTTGCCAACGAGAGCGATGCGCTAGGTGAGATGGACCTGAGCGGTAACATGACTCGCCAAGTGGAGGCCGATTTGCCCGTCGAGTCCGACGCAAGCCATATTGCTAATGTGGGCCGACTGGTTGAAGATATGGAATTGAAGATGCGTAATCTGTTACAAGAGGTCTACTTTGGCAAGGCTAAGGACGTTGTTGGCGAGCTTCGCAGTCTGGCTCCGCTCTCAGAGACAAACCGGGACCGGGCGGCGCAGCTGGAGATGATCAAGTCGATGCAGAAGTGATCTAATTCGTCTGATTGGATCAGTGGGACAGATTAAAAGAAAGGCTCTGGAGCCCCTGCTAGACAGTCTGTCGTTCTGGTTATTTCTTTTTTTGCATAGCTTTCTTTAGTTTTGTGCACATGCACGGACACTCAGTCCGTATACATATTAGTCAATTTTCAATTTTCAAGTTTCAAGACGTTCCGGGATTTGGAAACTTCAAGCATGTCAATCAAATCCTATTATTTGACATGGCATGCTGGTAATCTCTTTGCCAGCCAATTGCTAGCCAGGGTATCATTTTGCTAAAAAAAAAAAATCCAATCCCTTTCATCTCTACCTGGTCTCCATGAAATAAGCCAGGAGATTCCTCCAACAACAACACTTGCACAGTTCACCTCGTCAATCAACCTGCATGTTCTCTGGGTTGTAATCTGGGCTGACTGAGCTGCTTTGCCTAGAAGGTGCCTGCTCCAGTCGTTCCAAGAACACTTTAGTTTCTGCCCATAATTCTGCCTCTTTGTCTTTGCCAACTATATCTTTCCGACTGTTGAGCCAGCTGACGTCCAGGGGATTTGAAGCACCTGATGTAGGACCTGCGCCGGGAGTATCACTCATATGTGCAGCAGCTTCTGGACCAAGGCCCACCTCATCTATAGCATAGACCTGGCGTCGTAGCCGTACATCAATGGAGGATAGGAGTGCAAAGTATTGCTTGGTTGCTTCTTTGAACTGGGTCTTATGGGATTCCAGGGAAGCCTTCTCGCTGGAGGGGTCGGGGTTGGTGTTTGTGAGGGCTTGAATGGCGAGACCAGCCGAGTGTATCAATTTTGCAACATCCTGAACACGAGAAAATTGAACTTAGTGTCAACAATCCAAAGCTCTTCATCCTTCAGAGAATGTGGACATGCCATACCTGGTCAATGTCGTTTAATTGCTGGATGCGGTCCACAGAAGTGAAGGTCTGTGCAGGGGAAGCTTGATCGGCCATTGTGTTAATTGTCTAGAAAGAAGACACAGACAAATAGGAGTGAAGAGCGGAGATTCCTTCAACGCATGAACACTGTGTGCCGTGAAGCCTTGTTGTCGCATGAAGGGACCGGAGAATTGGAAGCTTGTATGTCACGTGGACCGGCGTGGAATCCGGGGGGCTTATTCAGCCCTTCCGCTCTGCGAATATCAAATTCATCCCGATCTCCAACCATCGTTCAGCTCCCTGCTTTCACGCCCATCTCTACCTGCTTTTTGCCATCGGCTTCTGTATTGTGTACTGTTCAAGCTCTTTCTGTCAGATCAATCGCCATGTCCGCCCCCGGCGGCGCCCCTAGCCCTGCGCCGCGGAGCGGCAGCATGGGACCAGGCGCGAGTGGTGGGATGCCTATGTCGTCTCAACAGCCCATGTCAGGCACACCAGTGCATCCAACACCTACTCCTGGCCCTCCTCCACCACAGAGTGGTGCTATGTCCCAGCAAAATCTAAATCAAATTGTGAGTGGACGCTCTTATATGCCGTATCTAGCTACTCTCCCATCGGCCCTTGGCACTACTGGTCTTGTATCTATGCCTCTGCTTCTCCTGTTTTTGAAAGGGTCTTTTTGTTTGTTGGGATGCAAAGTTATTCTGGGTTGATCCATTAATCGATTGATCAAATATTGAGCTGCTGTCTTGAAACCCGTGCTGTGGAGCATGAGCATATGCAATGACAGAGCCGGGGACAAGACACTAGCTACACTGCCCACTACTCAATACCCGCTACGTGAACTACAAGCACTATTTGCAGGTAAAGTGTGCAGCAGAAAATAAAGCGAGCGTGAGGCACTCTCTGGTTCCCAATCCGGCAGGCCTCACTTTCTCCGCGTGCTTCACATGTTCCAAACGTTGTTCCACGCTATTTCAAGTCAATCACTGCTCACTGAAAACCTGGAAACGTGACTGTTCTGCAATCATCCTACTTCACCTTTGCCTTAACCATCGCCCTTGAATACCATGCCCCCAAGGAACAGGAAGCGTGGGAGGGCTCGAGGCCGACTGGACGATGAGGATAAGGAGTTCACCCCTGGAGGTCAGCAAAAGAGGGCGTCGCCCAGGCGCCTTCCAAGACGGCAATCACAGGGAACAAGTGAAGGCGTGAGACCGGCGCCTGCTCCAGATGGGTACACCTCGGCCTCGCACTCTTCTCCAGCTTGGTCAGCCTTGAGAACCCCACAAGCCCCTGCAACCCCTTCAACAGCCCTCAGATCAGCCTTTACCATGCCTCGGGTCGCCTCGACAGTCTCTCGGTCAGCTCTCCAAAGCTCACCATCGCGACCAGAGAATGCGGGACGCAACCTCTCTATCGGTCGAGGCTGGCTGATCTCTGCTACTCGTGCTGCCACTCCCACTCCCCCAGCTAGGAACCAGGAACCAATGACACCCCCTTGTCAATCCCCTGTGAACCAGATGAAGCAGACCTCTCTCGGATCGCAACCTTCATCGCAGCTTGCGGGTTATTTAGTTAATACCCCCCGGGGATCTGAGATAGTCCGTTGATATTACTTTTTTGCATGACTGTTCTCCATGGTGCTCGTCCTGGCTAACACCTATCAAATGTGATTCTAGGTCATTGACTACTTAGCCAAGAAAGGCTACAGCCGCACGGAGGCCATGCTTCGTATGGAATCAGCAAACCAAGAGATCGATGGTCGCCCACTTCCTCCCCTCGGCGAAGATGCCCGCCCTAAATTCAGACAGGGCTTCGGTAAGTAGCAGTCGCCTGACTCGGTAGAATGACCTTGCCGCTGACCTTGAACTTCCAGATTTACTGAAAACATGGGTCGAAGAAAACCTGGACTTGTACAAGGTAAACACAATTACCTCACTCTTGTAGAACCAACTAATGCCGATCGTGCTGTATAGCCGGAGCTCCGTCGTGTTCTGTGGCCGCTTTTTGTCTATTCATTCATGAACATGGTGACATCTTTCTACCCCCAAGATGCGAAGCAATTTTTCGAATCCAATAAGAATATCTTTCTTCCAGAACACACAGACGACATTCGCGTTCTTGAGCCAATCAGCCTTCCAGAGCATGTGCAGGCTAACGACACTGCGAAGCTTTACCGCAACAACAAGTACCGGATCGTTTTGAGCAATCCCGCCTACACCAACCTCCTGCAGTTTCTTGAAAGTAAAGAAAGAGAAGGAGGCTCTGTCATGAATGCCATATTGAGCAGCTATTGTACTATTAAGACCATGGATCGAGCCGCCGATGATCGTTTCAGCTTTGCGGCCATGTTGGGACAAATTGGAGCCGGCCAGACTTTCCCCGCCGAAGATGAAGGTATCCCTGGCCACCACCCAGGCTCAGCTTACACGGGCGACAACCCCGCTATGGCAGGAACTCTTCCAAGGCTCAAGCTTGGCAAGCTACCGATGGAACAGGACTTGGAAGACGATGTGCGTGCCGAGCTCGCGGATGAGGATGCAAAGGACCCTCCAGGCCCAGGCCGTAATACACTCGTCCAGGAGTTTGAGCAAATGATCAAGAAAGAAGAGGATGACGAGGCACCTACCCGTGCTGATATCCCTTTCCCTCCATCCACGGCTCGCGATGTAGCCATTGAGATTATGAAGGTCAAGGAGAACAGGGACCGTTATAAGATCGAAGGTCGCACCGGTGGAGTTGGTCCTGGAGTCAGCGTGTGCATGTTTACTTTCCATAATACCTTCGATGGGTACGTTGCCTTGCTTGTTGCCTTACTCGCGGACTTTTTCCTTTCCTAGTTTTCTTATACTGACTGAGTAATAGGATCAATTGTCTTGATTTCTCAGACGACAATATGCTTGTGGCTGCTGGCTTTGCTCAATCCTACATTCGCGTATGGAGCTTGGACGGTAAGAACATCGAGGCGGCTTATCCGGATCTCGACGATATGGCACCGGCCAACTCCCGACGCCTCATCGGACACGCAGGGCCCGTCTATGCTGTCGCATTCCCGCCCTCTGCCTCTAAGGCCGAGAATATTGTCGGTGATGACTATGTCCCAACCAATGCTCGCTTCCTTCTTTCATCCTCTGCGGATAAAACTATCCGCTTGTGGTCCCTTGATACCTGGCAATGTCTGGTCGTCTATAAGGGTCATGATCGCCCCGTATGGGATCTGCGCTGGGGACCCTTTGGTCATTACTTCGTATCTGGAGGATCTGATCGTACTGCCCGACTCTGGGTTACTGACCATATCCGCCAGCAACGCATTTTCGCTGGCCATGACCAGGATGTGGACTGTGTTTGCTTCCACCCGAATTCCGCGTATGTCTTCACTGCGAGTTCCGATAAGACCGTCCGCATGTGGGCGGTGACTACTGGAAATGCCGTGCGAATGTTCACTGGACACACTGGTAATATCACCGCCATGGAATGCAGTCGTGATGGCAAGCTCTTGGCATCTGCCGACGATGCTGGTTCCATTTTCTTGTGGGATCTTGCCCCGGGTCGGCTGCTGAAGCGCATGCGAGGCCATGGAAAAGGTGGCATCTGGTCTCTTAGCTGGAGTGTTGAGTCGACTGTCCTTGTATCCGGCGGAGCTGACGGGACCGTGCGCATCTGGGATGTCGCGGGTCCTCAAGATGGAAGCCAGGGCCGCGTGATTGGTGAAGGGGGTGCTGGTACTAAGCTTGACTCGGGAAATCCCCCTGCGAGCACCGCAGGCCAAAGCAAGAAAAAGAAGGGCAAGGATGTTGTTGTCACCCCTGACCAGATCAGTGCTTTCCCAACCAAGAAAAGCCCTGTTTACAAGGTCAAATTCACTAATATGAACCTGGTTGTCGCTGGAGGTGCCTATCTTCCTTGAACTCCGAAACGTCATGATTTGCCGATCGTTCCATGCTCGATGGGCCATTTCCTCCTCATTTTCTCTGGCGCAAATACCCCGGCTTCCTCGGAATTTCTTTCCCCTTTATTTGCTTGTTTCATCATGACCACTTTTCGGCTCACCATTTCTTGCGGGATCTTGGTAGTTTCTGGGACTTTGAAGCTAATTCTCCCTGGTGTTATGGCATGCGGGTGGCGCGATTCACGTAGTTTCTTTTAGGGCCCTTAGCTGACCCTCATCCCTATTGGGACTCTCAATGCCTCTTTAGTTTTTATACGCCTGATCCTTCGTCCTGGCTGAATTTGCCGATGTCATAGGGCAATGTAAACTAGTTGACCTTTTTTGGATGACTCATGAGATGCTTTGGCTTTTGGATCGAGGCGCCTTTTGGCTAAGGTTGGTCATTCAAGACCGGGATCTTGCTCTATAGAGCTCAAAAAGCAAAAATATCTATTTTTCGGTGCAGCTGTCGCAACAAACGTACTTCATCGTAAATGCCAGTAGCTTCTAGATCTATGAAGTCTCGGATTCTGGGCCATAGCCGAGCTTCCGCGGGTGCTTTTCAGGAGGTAGAAATGTCATCTGAATCAATTCTTCGAGAAGAGTGAACTTGATATTTCATCAAAAATAGCGCATGAACAACTCTTGGGCCTGCGCCAAAACTTAGTTGTCGAAGCTTGGTGGGAATGCTTTCAGAGAAGGAGAGAAACGTCCCAGGTAGACAGACAGACAGACATTGTTTTGTCTCTGTGGTTTTACGTTCAATTAATTGAGACTAGGCAGGAGCTTTGCCGACCGCTTCTTTGCAAATACAAAATACAAGTCTCATTTATGGGCCTCGGAGGTTACTTCAATACTGGATCTTTACCAGAAGCCCCAGCACCCTTTTTCATTGCTGCCGCAGCTTGCATGTCAGCGACTTTTGGCGGCAACACCAAGGCACTACGGTCGTTGCGTCTATAGAAATCAGCCAATACCTGGGCGGTTTTGACTGGTTGGTCTTCCTGAACAAAGTGACCAGCTTCGGGGAAGACTTGGAGTTGATACTTTCCTGTTCCAGAAGTTGAATTAAATGAAATCCATATGTACCTAAGAAGTGGGATTGAGATCGAAAGCACGTACCTTGCATCTGACCGATCATCAACTCTTTATCCAATCGGTCTGTTCCTGCAAGGAGCAGAAGCTTACCGCCCCGGGAATCGAGGAATTTTCGACTTAGACCAATGAACCAGTTCTCCCAGAATGGCTTTGTTGCCGAGAGATTGGTACGCCATACCCAAGGACGGGCACTGTCAGCTGGTTGACTCTCTTCGTATAGTAAGGAAGGAACCGAGGCACGGGCGGAGATAGTGTTACGAATAGTGCGGGAGCGAGTACTACAGATGTTCCTTAGTATCTCTTTTACGGGCGAGACAGCCTCATGTCGGAAACTCAAGGTGCTCCAGGGTCTTGGAGAGAGGGAAACACATACTGCCACTCGATTCCAGATGCAAGCGATGGAAATCGGGTTGGTCGGGTTGAAAGATATTTCTCCATACTTTGGAGCGCATCCATTGCCGATCCTTTCACAACCAGTCAGACTAAATCGACATTGCATCTCAACGAGAACTGATCGGGTGAAACTACCTTCAACAACATCCAGCACCGCGTATGCTAACAGTTTAGACCCAAGCTCGCCTGTGTTGGCCACATCCGTAATGACTGCGCCGCCGAGGCTATGGCCCACCAACACAATGTCTGGGAGATGATCCCAGCCCATTTTGACTTGTGTTTGATGAAGCACGTAGACCAGGTCCCTGCTCAGGGTTTCAAGACCGAGGTCGAGTTCAAGATGGCTTTCCGCCTCAGCAACTGCAGCTGCCGCAGTGGAAGGGCTGGCTTGGTCGAACTTTTGCGATTTCCGGGTCATGGTAGTGCGCCCATGGCTTCTAGCATCTAGGGATAAGACGCCGGCCTTCGGGATAATTCTTCGGAGCTCCTTGGCACATGTTGCAAAAGAGAGACCGGATGAGCCAGCACCATGATGCATGACAAATAATGGACCCGTGTCTGTGGGTGGAGTTAGGTAAACATGGTGAATGATGATCATATCGTCAACTTCGTCGGGGAGGAAGAGTTCTTGGGCAAAGAAGTCCGTCCATGTCAATGTTTGCGATGATTGCCTAGGGTTGCTCGGTTAGCCTGGTCATTCAGCGAGATAGGTTTCTTCTTTATTTCGGCATCCAAAAAAGCCTTGCCCGCGCGCAAGAGAGCGCAGTGCAGGAGACACCCACCCAGAGCCCTTCCGAGCAAATAAATTCCGCGTTGGGGAGGGAACCAACGTCCCCGAGGACGACAGCGAGGAGGCCGACGAGCCATCCTCTTCCCGATGCTCTTCCGGAATGTCCATTGAGTCGAGAACGGGGGCCTCGGGTGGAAGCTTTTCCAACTTGGACTTGGCGAAGGACCTATGGAGCTCGCTCATGGGGAATCAATTGCGGGAGCGTACCCCCGCGGCAATTCAACGCGGGGTCACCAAGGCAACGGTATTGCAGGCCGTCCAATGTGGGCAATATTGACCCAATTGATCAGGCCGATATACCGATAGGAAAAGCGGAGAAGCTGGATAGTCCAGGAGCTCGTTGTGTATACATTGATGAACACCCCACGGCTTCACGTCACGTCGTTCCGCGGCCCCGCTGACTAAGACTGGGTTGGCCCTCAATCGTCGTTGGTCTGGTGCTTGACTGGCCCATCTTTGGGGCAGCTTAGAGTCAATGCATGCTTTAAGGAAAGAAATGAAACCAAATCAACCTGTAGGCCCTAGCGATTTTAGGTCCGATTGCCATTTGGGACGTCTTTGAGGATAGGCGGGCGGATGTGGTTGGATATCAATAAGATCGACTCACATCCAACCCCCCTAACAGAACCGATCTCGAACATGAGCACCCAAGCCGGAATATTGGGACCGATGAATGGGTGAATGGATGAGAGTTGAGATATAGCGAGGAGCTGGAGCAAGTCCGATGATCAAGATGAGCGTCTGGGAACACGGTTATTGTGAATGTAGTCCGTTACCAGCATCGATGGACAGATGGACAGCATACGATTTTCAAGCTGAAAAACTGCCTGTGGACAAAGTTGACGGCCGTGTGGATGGCACTTTCACCTCGCCGTCTCCAAAACATGCGCTCGCCATCCACTTTGCACTGTTTCCTCTTCACGTACTACTGTTTTTTCTCACCTCTCTCTCTCCCTCCTTGAACACCACCCAAAACACCCAAATCTTCTCTCGAAATGTCATCCTCTGTGATACTGACCGCGCAGTCCACCCAGTCACTTCTTGACTACCTCGCTGTCCCCCTCCCGTCGCTTCAATCGCACCCCGAGCAGGAATCATATGTCCCTCGAACTAATCGTGCCTGTCCTGACGACATTCAAAGGATTGTGGATTGGCCAGAATTCAGCTACCCAGCCATCCGTCGACGGTATGATGGGCTGTTGGGTACGACACAGATCTGTCCTGAAGAAATTCACCCTCTCGCCTTTCGTTCACTCCGCAACAAGGCTGTGTTGGACTTCACGGTCAACACGCTGATTGCAGATCGTGTTCGCACTGCCCTAGAGGCTGTATTTAAACAGCATCCTCGCGAGCTGATACGTAAGCGATTGGTTCCGATCACGATGGGAAGCGGGCATTTGGCATCTCCCATCAAGCCATACGAGGCCGACGTCGCATTCTACGAGCCCCACGATGAGAATGATCCCGACACCTACTTTCTCAACCCCAATCGAGCTCCTGGAGGCCTCAAGGTCTCTTGGAAATGGAAGTCCACCTGGCGAGCCTCGCAAAATGAGATGGAACGACGCTTCTACCTTCTCCATCTCTCCCGAGTCAACCTCTACATGCAGCTCTATGGAAGCAAGTATGGTTTCATTTTGACGGATAAGGAATTCGTGGCTATCAAGCGACTGGACAACATGGGCAACCTGGCTGTCTCGGAACCGATCCATTGGATCGATGGTGGAAACGATCGACCCTCGATCATTCTCGGCTTGTGGTATCTTGGGATGCTAGCAGCTGAAAAAAACTGGCGTTTGGAATGAATTTCGGGAAAGATGTTAGGTGGACAATGAAACGCCCGGATGGGAATGGGAAAGGGCAAGTCAGATGGTTCAGACGCGTCAATGTATCAAAGCAGCCAAGAGAGCGTCGAACTGTACCGGGACAGAACATTCAAGACAGCATAGTCAATTAACCAATGCAAATGCGTTGATTGATGGGAACCTCAGACTCAGTCCGAGCATGATATCGATGGCCCTTTCAACCCTAAACTAGCCCCCTCGCTGTACGAAACTAACGAAATTAATGTCGTTACCAGGGACTGACAAAGTAGCCATAAAAGTTCAGTAAAATGCATTCCCAACCCTTTAAGCCCCATATCTCGATTCAATCACACCAATGCTCTGTTCATAACAGAGCCTGCATTGGTTTTAGATATGGCTGGCTTAGCCAATGATTCTTTGAAATTGCATATACGATATCCAATACTGTACGAACGGCACGAACCCATGGATTAGTGCTTGGGGGAAAGTCAAGGTTGCGGAATGTATGACGTCAGATGTTCCTATCTTATCACGGGGCCATGGCATCTACGGAGTACATCAAATGAATGGCCATCACCTCCCCCGAACCTTCACTTACAGAAGGACTGATGCTATTTTTCGAGTGAACTTGTCGATTGTGGCTTGAAAATGGTGTCTTTTTGGGCTCATAAAAAAGGCAACTCCGACAACCCAGAAGACTCCACGCGCCGTCCCGATGACGAGCCCAGGAACCCTGCCGATCAGGCATACGAGGAACCCACGGAGCACACCAGGCTTCTACCTCAACACAATGATCATGGATATTTAAGCCCAGATGATCCAGCTGTAAGGCCTCAAATGGAGGCTGCTAAGCCTGAACAAACTAACAAGCAAATTAGGTCTCTCCGTACAATCTATGGAGCGTGCGGGCACTCCGCGCTCTGTCTCTCTTTGCCCTGGCGGCCACCTTCGTATGGTGGACGTTCCTGCTGGTCTCAATCTTCGTCAGCCCACCCTTGATGCATCCTCGGGGCTCGGGCTTCTTTGCTTTCTCATATACCACCTTGGCCACGGGGTCCCTGGTGCTCGGACTGCTGTTTTTCACTGTGCCATCGAAGCCGATGAATGTTCTGGGATTCATTCTTGCACTTCTACTTCTGGTTGATATGTGCATCGTTGTGGCTGTGCCGGAAATTCGCATCGAGGAGAGCTGGGTTGGCATTGCTTCGGTTGTCTGGGTCGTGGTCGTTTCCCTGTACCAAATGCTTCAGAACCGAGCAGTCACGCGAGGAAAGCGTGAAGAGGAAGAGAGGCTGACAGGCCGTGAAGAGACACGTCGCTCGTTGCGGGAATGGCTCGCAGTACTCATCGAGGTCTTTGTCCTGGCCGTCATGGCCGTCGTTGCTCTCCTTTTCACTGCGACCCTAATCCTCCGCGCTCGTGATGCGTCACTCAAGCCGCCTGGGCAGCGTTATGAAGTCCATGGAAAGACATATTCCGTTCACCTAGCATGCGTTGGCAACCATTCTTCAGATATCTCAAACATGCCCACGATTCTGGTTGAAGGCGATTACGGCCCCGTTGAACATTCTTTGCAGCCATTTATTGACGATGCATACCGTGCGGGTATCATCAGCCGATATTGTTACTGGGATCGACCGGGGTTCGGGTGGTCTGACAATGCCCCCTCGCCGCATTCTGTGGGAATGGCAACAGACGTATTATCGGAGGCCCTGGCTTTAGCCGGGGAGACCGGACCTTGGGTGGTTGTCTCTGCAGGCGTTGGTAGTCTCTATTCACGGCTGTTTGCCAGTCGACATCTTCTTGAAGTGAGCGGCATCTTCCTTATTGACCCACTCCATGAGGCCTATCTGGATGATATTGGTCGACCAGGCCGGGGCTTCAAACTGTGGCTCCGTGGTATCGTTTCGCCGTTAGGACTGGACCGCCTTGCTGGGGCTCTTTTCCGGGGACGGACTCGAGAGGACCGAGTCATTGGGCGCTCGGCTTATCAGACTGGCAAGTTCATCAAAGCTAAATTGCAGGAAAGTCTGGTGGCAGTCACAATGACGGCCGCAGAAGTCCAATCTGCTCGCCACATCCAGATGGGCCAAACACCCCTCGTCGTGGTCAGTTCTGGTCGTGAAATGCAGCGAGACAAGAACTGGGCGAAGCGACAGGAGGACCTGTCCCATATTACCAATAATCTGCTTGCATGGGATGTTGTGCACGGCGCTCCCCATGAAGTGTGGACTGACGGAGAGGGACGGCAAGTGTTGGAAAGTCGGTTGAGAGATATTGTGAAGGAAAGCCAGGTCGCTCGATAGGAAAGAGAAGCAAAGAGTTTTCGGAGTAATTTGTCTCTTTTGAGGTTGAAAGTACGGTGTTCTCCCGCTTTTTTATACCTAAATGGCGGAGTAAGTATACGAATACCCTGCTAATTTTCACGGGGAGCATCGCGAGTTATACAATGATTCTCATGTCTCGGTGGTATATGATAGGGAGACTGTCATAATTTGGGTTCATTCCTTGTATTTACTTTACGCGGTTTCAGTAAATGCGATCATGAATGCACATGACCACGACGCCCGCTCTATGTATCAGATCCTGAAAGTCATATCGCTATGCCATATCTGCCGAGGACTTGTAGAATCTCAGTTCGGCGCAAGCAAGATTTTTTTGATGCATTGGATAAGCAGTCGAGAGAAAACCACCATAGCTGAAATTCGTGTCGCTCTTTCCTCCCGTCCACCACCGGACTCATTACCATCCAATCCACTCTCCTGCACCATGAAAGGTCCAGCCTTGGATACACATCCACATGATATCCGAGAGAAAAGTGCAACTTAACCAGCCCCTATCAGGTTGTCGCCAGCGGTAAATGCGATATGAGCCGAGGACCGAGTCGAATAAAGATTTGAATATGAACCGAACGGGATAACTTATTAAACTGGTCACTCTAGACTAGTTCCCTTGAACCTCTTAGCAAGCTGTTCGCCGTCGGACTTAGGAGACACAGAACGGGGTAGTTGGGAAGCGGGTGAAAGCCGCTGCTTCCCTGGTTGGGAAGCCGAGCGGGACGCCTCGGCCGTGGTGGGCCAAGGGCGTTTAGGGGGGCGCTCACCACTCTCCTGAAGAATTGTCATCAAGGTTGCCCAGCCCGAGGTATTCAATAACTGCATCCCGTCGGCTGGAGCATGGGTCGTAGCGACTCGGCATAGTAGTGCTTCCTCGTCCTGTTGTTCAGGTGCGATTAGTACCACTTATGAACCTTTGTTGGAATGCCGGAAAACAAAGGTGAGAGTCAAGAAGGAAGAATCAATGAGACCAACTGACCTTGTTAAACGTGGAAAGTCCATGTAAGAAGCATAATAGATGGAAGTCAGATATGCCTTGGATAGCCTTGTCAGGGTCTCCATGTGACATGAGTTTCTGAGCCACATGTCGCAATTCTTGGCTCTCGCCGATGACCTCTCGGTTCTCGATTGGAAAGCGGCTGTTGGTAAAGAGAGGTGATGACTCGGTTGGAAATCCATGGGTGAGGGTCACAAGCAGGAAATCTACAGGAAAACTTGGCTTGGCATTCTCTTGTACACTGGCGCCATACTCGTTGATTCGCCGGAAGAACACCTCGGGGATATAACGTGTCTTGCTGCCCAGGTCATCATCTTCTTCAGATTGGACAAGCATGACAGAAGGCTCTGCAGAGGGTTCAATGATGTCGGCCCGAACCATCTCCACCGCCGATACTGTCGCCTGGTACGAGCTCACAGCGATGGCACCGGTGTCGTCTCCGCTGAGGACACACGTAACAAAATCAGAGCCAAACCGTCCTGTGCGACTCCATTTTGTCGCCTTGGGGTATTGGGCCTGTAGCCGCGATGCGAACGCGATTTCAAGGGACGAGAGATAGTATGAATCAATATGACGCTTGCACACAACCGAGCCATCCCCTCGACCCGCGTCAAGTAAGTCTGTGAAAATGACCCCAACCTTTTGGAGGCCACATAAATGGGCGACTTGGTCCACATCCTCCTCGTTCTGCCAATCATGGAGGGTCACCCCATCCACTTCGCCAACTTGAGGGGGCTCGTAGATTGCCTGTACGACAGCCTTGACTCCTAGTGGCACCTCGGTATATTCCTCATATGTCCCGTACAGAAATCCGAGCCGCTGCGCACCCGACTTCCGCCAAAAGTCCAGCAGAGAGTTGATCAAATCGGGTGAGGAGAATTCCACATGGTCGACCATACGATATTCTTGGGGTTGCAAACTGATTGCGCTAGGCTGACATTTGGTGCAAATTCCTTCCGGCCACTGGGGGTGCCCCGATGGGCAATCACGCCTTACTCGGTAAAAAGGCTCACTGAGCGGGGGCATGAAAGAGCTCCCCATCTCGGGTTTGTTCGTAGCAGCATTGATTTTCCGTAAGTATGAGTGAAACGAGAGGTGCTTGATCTTCTTTTCCGATAGATATTTCGCATCATAAGGTTCTAGCGGCATGCAATAGTCACACATGCCGCGCGGGCCATGCTTGCACATCCTCTGGTCCTTGTTGCGCTTGATTTTGCCATCTTTCTGGTCGAGCAGATCGTCAGTGCGGGACTGCTGTACTACATCCCATGGGTTTTTTATGTTGAGTGAGTGTGAGGTAGGCTGCGGGCGGAGAGGAACGGTCTGCTGTTGGGGCACCGAGGTACCATTCAATCGACGCTCGGTAGGAGTAGACGTGGTACCGTTGGAGGGGCCATTTTGGGCAGTTGTTTGTTCCTTGTAGCCGATGAATAGCTTGTCACCATGTCTTGAGGACCCCACTGATTAGCTGTGTCTCAATGAGAACATGGATTTCCTCTCAAAACACCTACTTGAGGCCCACTTGCGTGATAGCCACCCCTGCCAAAGCTTGAAGTGCTCTCTCTTCCCCGCCAGTGCCTATTGGTCTGTTGGACAAGGTGATGGATGTCGGATCAACCGTTGAAGGCAAGTGTTCCTGGATCTAGAATAACACTTGAGTGAGATTGGAGAAACAACCGAGCATGATGCCCTTTCACAGCCTAGTTCGGGCAATTACCTTCTGTTGGAGTGACGGGAAGTCGTCTTGAGGGCTGACGGTGAACCGGAACTGCCCATTCCGACTCTCAAACCGCAGAAGAATCGGGCGGGTGGCCATGATGAGAGGTGTGGTCTCAAAAATGAAGGGAAAGGGAGGATATGACGTGTCTTCGGTCTTCTTAAATATATGACTGGACACACATGACGCAAAGAAAGGAAAGAGGCATCAAAGCTTCGAAGCTCCCGCACGTCACGTCACAGCCCACGGGCGGTACCGTTACGTTATAACATGTTATTCACGTGATCCACACATCTTTCGGTGTCATACATGTAATACCATAACAATAACTAATTAGTGATACAACATCGAGCAGAGAATCCAGAACGTTCTACCGATAAAGATAAAGGGACAAACTGAAGCTCATCATGTTTTTGAAAAGAGAAGAAAGGACATACTAGAGGAGAACATGTTGTTACTGTTGTCATAAACTAACGATTACATGCTTGCTGGTGCTCGTACTGGCCTTCGTCAAAAACCAAGTAAAAGAATACTTTCTACATTGGAAAACAACGGAGCCACCGTCATATTTTTGAGAGCAGACAATAGAGGCTTTTGACGAGAAACTATGTGTTTGACATCACTTGCTTTGATTTAAAGCTACTCTAAGTCAGAGAAGAAGGTCATGGATCCATATCATAATCAAGCAGAAACGCCCTGAGAACGCCCCAGGAAGCACAAAAGGATTAAAAAAAAAAGAAGTCAAAGCAGTCTATACCAACGAGGCACGTTATATTCATTTACTGAATGGTGCACTTCTTGGGCAAACCGCAGGGTCCTCCTTCGCTATCCTTTTCCTTTGCTGCTTCCCGGTTGCCCTTCTGCTGTTGGGCTGGCTGTGCATTCTTAGTCGCAGCCGCGCCAGAAGCAGGAGCCGAGTTCTCGGGCTTGGTCTCGGCACTACCATGTAGTCAATTGACCTTGGCAACGGTCTCGTAGAAGGCCTTGCCCTGGGCCTCGGCAATCTGAAGCTCGAGAGCGGTAGGCTGGCGAGAACCGTCGGCACCCTAAAAGCAGGGGAGGTCAGCAAGTGTCACAGAGAATGAAAGGGACCTGGGTAAGCTTACGGCGAAGGTACCAGCACCCCAGGCGCTGCCACCGTGGATCTCATCTAAGTTGGAGAGGAGGGCGAAGGTGGTCTTGTAACCGAGAGGGACGTAGATGAAGCCGTGGTGGGTGAGGGTGCTCATAGAGGCAATGGCGGTCGACTCCTGGCCACCGCCGAGAGTACCAGAGGAGACGAAGAGACCGGCGTACTTGCCCCAGTAGCCACCGGAGGCCCAGATGCCGCCAGTCTTATCCCAGAAGGTCTTCCATTGCGCAGGGAAGTTACCGTAGCGAGTGGGGATACCGAACAGGACGGCGTCGTACTCCAGCAGGTCGGTGGGCTCGGCAATGGGGTAGCTGGACTTGGGTGGGGCGTGCATCTTAGCAAGGACATCCTCGGAGAGAGTCTCAGCAATCCTGAATTTCTTGTTAGCTTTTGACAGCGCAAGAAATTGATGAGGGGGTGTCCTACTGGAAGATAGTGGCCTCACCACCAGCAGCCTCAATGCCCTTCTTCTCTGCCTCGGCCAGCTTCTGGATGTGACCGTAGAGCGAGTACTGTTCAGTCGCCAATGTCAGTGGGCAATGTCAATGCGGTGGATTGGAGATCCTGGTCGGAAAGGACATGAATAACATAAATAATTTGCAAGAGATACGTACGAAGACAATAGCAATCTTAGGAGCCATGATGTATGATTTGAGGGGGGGACGAGTGAAGTAAAGATAGGAAAGGATGGAGAATGAAGGGGGGGAGGGGAAGGTTAAATAGGTTAAGGTCTGTCTGGACCCCACCTGCGACAGAAGCGGTACAATGGTACCATCGCCCAGGAGCTGGTCAAACCGAGAGGTCGATTAGCAAAGCATAGCAAAGCATCGCAAAGCAGAGCAACGTAGAGCCAAAGCTTCAACCAGGCCCCTCAGTCTCGCACTATCAGTCATCGATGACAGAGCAACGGCGGGCGATCATTGGTGGCGCGGGACCCACTCGGGTTTACACGGATTTACTTGCTCCTCGTTCCGTTTAGTCGAGTCTGACCGATCTCTGACAAATGGGCGCGGCCGCCAAGATTCCATTTTGTTTCCTACGTCCCCCCAAAATGCAGGTCAGATTGCCAACTCGAGCTAGCCCTGGCAAGAAACGGCGAAGAGCATTTGGCGAAATTTAATGGGTTCGAGGTAAAAGTGCGGAATATAGGAAGCTGAACTGCTCCATGGGTTTAAACGCCAGAGTTCAATGGCTCTTCGTGATGTCATGGACTTTCATTATATGTATGATGTATGATGGCCGAACAGTCTCTATCATTTTGGCTTTGGACCGTCGGTATCGAAGACCTTGAACGCACGGTAAGGGTCAACCCAATCTAGGAACGGCCCAGAAACGGAGGGTGGAGTGGTAGTTATGCAGGGTTTGGCCAATTGATTTATGGGTGGCTGAGACTTGGGTCCCGAATCGTGTTTATAGTGGGACAATAATGAGGTGGGCTTCACACCGCAGGTTGAGGATTTCAATAATACGGTCGAGGGAGGCACGGAGAAGCTAGATCTCTGAGATATAGTAATGGCCCTTTTTTCTCTTCTCTTTTCTATTTTTAGTCATATTTTACATAGCTCTCGGTAGGTGCTGTATACGTATCGGGGTAAATTATCACTGGGTATCTTTTGAGATCAGCCTCGTCAGGACCGTCAACACAGGGGGAAAAAAGCAATTGACAATTCAATGCTCTCGCTTCAGATCAAACAAACAAACAAACAAAAAAGGCCAGAATAGAGAAACAGGGGAAGGAGAGTGGAAGACTAAACCCTTGCCGCTGATGAAAATGCAAGACCCTTCCTTCGCGGGCATAAGCTAACCCCTGCCACGCCCGCGATAGCGGCCCCGCATGAATCCCCCTCCACGGCCACGCTCACTCCGCCATTCGCGTTCCCGCTCCTTCTCCCGTTCTTGCTCTTCCCGGATTAGAGCTCGCTCATGCTCCAGCTCCTCCTCGGTCTTTTCAGTCCGGATCGTCGGTCGTGGGAGGTTTTCGGTCCATCGGGGATGAGCATTTGCGCATGCCTTGCCGTCCGGGCAGAATCCGGCCAAGTAGAACATGCAGAGTCGACGACGAACATGGCGCTTGGCGCACAGTGAGCCCAACTCACAAAACCCGCGGTCGTAGTGCTCGCACGGGGGAAGGCGAGCCTCTTCACGAACATGTTGGTAGAGACAATCATCACCATTGGGGCAGTATCCGGATCGAGAGAAAGATTGACATTCCGGCATGCGACGCAGGTTGTACTCGTGGAGGTATTCGCACTTCAGCCCCTTCTTGCACAGACCCTTGAGAAAATGCTTGCAGACTAATGATCCGTGTGTGGTGGACGGGGCCAACCCGGAGGCTGTGGTGGTGGACGTGGTGACACGAGAAGGGGTTGGGTGCCGGTCTGGGCAGGCAGGTCCTAGAGGGCAATGGCCTTCACTGTAGGCCTTACACACCGGAACATCGCTGGCAAGACCAAAACCGAAGCTTTTGCGCAGAAACGGAGAGAAGGAAAAGTCGTTGTAGCTCGGGTCTCGAGTAGGCTCGGCGGAAAGGATGCGTGAGGCGGTGCTCTGGACATCAGCGGCCATGGTGGGCTTGGATATTGTGAAGGAAGCTTCGTGTGCTCGGGCAAGGGTCGAAGGTTGAATGAAGCTTGAAGCTTCAAAGATGGAAGTAGCCTAACCTCCTAGTGAGGGTGGGCACGATAGAGAATCCAATTGTCACAGGGAAGTGTGAAGAAGCCTCGCAGATGGGCTCTCGAATCAAGAAGGGACCAGTCGCAAGATAGGGTGTTGGAAGCAGAGGGTTGATCGAGAAACCTTTCGCAGCGCGGTGAGCCTTCTTTCATCACAACGCCGGATTGTATGCCTTACAAATCAGGAGTGAACAGGCATGTTTGCAGTGTTTGCACATGACCCATGGATTTCATTCACTGGATCTTTCCACAAGGCGCCATCAGCTTCCTGGATTGCCCTTTTGGTGGCAACATGGATCGGCCTGACGGGTAGTCAGAAGTGCCGGAAGTGCGTTTATTCACCTCCAATTTAGGGAAGCCTCAGACTGACTGAAGTCTAGAACACTCTGCTGTCTCACGGCCGAGGGGTGAGTGATTATAGCAAGATTAGATCACCCGTAACCCACTTTCTTCTCCTGATGAGTACAGAGCTGTCGGGATATACCAAGGTCTTATCTCGATCAAAATAGAGCAGTGTCACTGATGTGACTTGAAATTTTCGCTGGCATCCTATTTTTATTGTGGATCTATGCTACGGAGGTTCTAAGAATGCCCAAGTGCTGGTCCATCACCTCGTGTACCATCGCTTCCAGAGAACGCCACTGGATGCCAAGCTCTTTTTCGGCTTCACGAGTGTCGGTTGGCTAGGAGACACCATCGATTTCTATTGCAATCTTGGCCCCGACAGTTGAATACTCCCTTTGTACAACTTCACCCACTTCTTTCCATGTTGCTTTCTTTCCCGAATTGAGGTATCTTGTACCATCGAGAACATTAGGGTCCAAGGCTTTGATATGGACCTCGGCCACGTCCTGGATGTGCACACCTGTGATGGATCGAGCCGGTACACCGTTCATAATGGTGCTCCAAAGGCCGCCATTGGACGAACGCTTGACCTCTTCAGCAGATTCCTGCACTAGGTTGTGTCCATACACGTATGAGGGGTGGATGGATACTAAAGAATAATGTGGCTTGGCTGTATCTCTGAATTCCCAAGGCGCCTCGTTGACAAGTAATTTGGAAGCTGTGTAGAGTCTCATGGGTGCTGCAATGGGATAATTACGGTCAACAAAATTAGCGCTTTGATTGACGCTAAAGTCCCAGTCGTTATCCTCTGGAAATCTGTTAGTATTCCAAGATTCATGATCAGGGTGTCATATAGATAGCAGAGCTGCATGATGTTCAATATTCTATGCATACCTCGGATTATGTCGCCATCAGGTAGGCCACCGAGTGGAAATAACGCCCCAATAGATGATGTGACCACAATTTTCTTTATGCTGGACACCCGAGTGACCTCTTTGAGAACCGCAGTTGTTTCCTTCACCGCTGGAAGGAAATAATCGTTCTTGTCTATGCCACGAGGAAGGGGGGATGCAAGATCTAAGACGTAACCCATGCCATCCATATGAGCGTGTAAGCCGGACTCATCAATCAGATTCGGAATTGTTGTATATTCAACGCGCTGGCTGTATGGCGCCAGCAAAGATCGCAGTTTGTCTGACGGCTCTCGAACAGAGATACGGACTCGATACCCAAGCCTTCAAGGCGGCCACGGCAACGGCGCTGCCGATGAAGCCTGTCGCACCGGTGATAAATATCAATTCTCCACGTCATCTGTGGGTGACGATGAAAGTCTTTTCATAATCGAATTTGATCAGTTGCTTGAATATTTACAAACATATATATATATGTGAGAATGTATTCATTATTCAAGGTTTGATTAACTAACGTAATTCACTAACGTATTCTACAAGCGAGCTGCGCACCCCATCACCTACTACTTTTTGAAAACACTATTTTTCCACCACAACACTAGATGTTTGATTCAACTCTCTAGCATTACATTGATTAATTTTATGACCTATATAACACATCCAGAACACCGAGAAGCACGCCTAGTAGTAGGCTCAGCGCCTATAGTAGGCTGTTGAGCAAGCTCTGTAGCATCGTTTTGAACAGCTTCAACACACGCTAGCAACGTTGTATCTATAGATATAGATTTGCCGACCGTCAAGCTTTGATGCCTAGATATCTGCTGTTTAGACTGTGTGCGCTTTTGATGCTTCTTTTCGATTATATGTCCTAAATCCCTATTCTCTTGCGCTAGAAGCGCTCCGCTGTGTATCGCTAATTAGCACCCTTTGATTAATTGATCTAGCGCACACTCAATAGGGCTTCCTGGCGACTGTGAGCACTTGCGTAGTAGAGCTTTTATAGATGAAGCTTGTTTGTTAAGCGGCTTGATCGTATAAGGAGTAGTAAGCACGAAGGCGCTAGATCTACTACTAGGTCTACTACTAGTAGGAGGAGGAGGAGGTGTTGGCGTTCGAAGCGAAATATTAAGCTTTGATAGGACTCGGTCGGCATCGAGCGGTACTAGGCCTGCGCTGGTAAAGCTTGATTGAATCGTGCTAGGGCGTAGGATTCTAGGAAGTCGAGCTTATCGATATAGTTATATCCTGGGCGAGCTTGCGCCTCGATTAAACGACTGTATGAACGCTTTAATATAGCAAAGTACCCGATATCGAGAGGCTGTAGACGATCCGACGAATGCGGTAGCATATAGACTAGCATAATTTTGTTTTGCTAGCAGATATGATTAAATTCTAATGTTAGATGACTACTATAACTATAATATGAGTATTACAAATCGTAGCATTACCAATCCAAATAGTGATGATAATAACAAAAAAGAAATAACGCGAGATAATGTTGACAAATAAATCTGTGTTCCACCATATTGACGAGATAAGCAGTCTTTTCCAGGACGATGTTGAACAGAGCCGTAACTCAAGGAGTACCTCCATCCAATCCCCGGACAAGGATGCTCGGAGAATGCCGAACCAAGCAGGAGCCTCGATACAAGGATAATATAAGGTGATTATATCTAGTAATTGCTTCAATATTTAGACTGGACGTTCTTCCAATTAGCATACAGACGTAAAGGGTGATATGGTGATCATGAAAGTATGGATGTCCCGGGATTGGTAATCGTAAACCACATGAATCACGGTAGCCAATAATAACACTTGTAAGCATGTGACAATTACACTCCAGGGTAGCGGCAGGAAATATTAATAGAGATTCCATTTAGCTGACCTAGTTAAATCCCTAATAATATCCTTCAAGTAGGACTGAAATTCTGAAACAACCAATATTGTAAGTTATTCCTTCTCCAATCTTTATATAGCACGTATATTTCGGCGGCGGAAATTAGCTCGGCGTGTTCTGAAGTGATCAAGAAGCAAGTAATTTGTGACAAATAATTTTTGTTGAACTGATCCCCAAAGTCTCTGGATAATGATAGATGGAAGAGAGAGAGAGGGGGGGGAGAGAGAAGTTCCATAGTTGGATAGTTTTATCAATCAAAATAAGCACCAAATCCTTGGGCAGGATCAGGATGCACAATTCTATGGACTGGTCAATGTCCTGTTGAGACAGATCACTACATTAGCTGCGGTAAAAAGCAGGATGGAGGCAGTGGAGGACATGAATAAAAATCACCTTTTGAGTTTGCAAGACCTAAAATTTAGAACTCCCCGCCCAAGTGAAGCCATCATGAGGACTATAGTTCAATTGGGTATTCGCTAGCCGCACCGTCTCGGAAAACTTGCCTGGTGCCTGCGTGACACATCGCGGGGAAGGTTACAAAAATACCCTGGTATGTAACGCCTCGCCTTGAATAGCCTGGCCCAATCATTTCAAGTTGGTGGCGATCCGAGCATTAAAGAAAAAGCAAACATCACTGTTGGGGCTGTGTGGCGCTCATGGTCTGGCCAGGTCCGTGTCTCCGCTTCGATCATCCCTCGATCCCCCATGAAAAGTATACTACACGACTTTGACGCTGCGCCCGCGCTGTTTGGTGCTGGATCTCCAGGCATAGGTGAGGTTGCCTGCGCGGATCAGGAAGCAAGATCCGAGTGCCCAGAAGGCACGGTCTGCATACTCCCCCACATGCAGGTTCGTCACGAGCGAATTGGCGGCAGCCTAATCGGGCTGACTGCAGCCCTAGTTGAATCTCACCGCACGTCATCTGGGGAATGTGAGGCGGTGCCCCTGGTAGCCTCAAAACGGGCCTAGTGATGCCCCTTGAAGAGGTTTTTCATGGGCCTCAGCCGATGACCCGAGATCTCAAACAAGCAGGTTGTCAAATGTACAGTGAGCATCAGTAATTAGTAATTGGCGGTGATGCGAAAGATGCTGCACCTCTATTTTTGCTTGCAAGCAGGAGCGCTTGGGGAGCCTGGGATGCTCTCCCGTTAGGCCGGGAGCCCCGCACATTCTCGGGATGCGGTCGTATCCAATTGATGCCAGATCGGCTGTTCTCGAGGAGGGGGCGGATGCCTCCACTCACGCACATAGGCGGCCAGAGGGCCCCAGCCCCAGATGTGTGATGTGAACCTCAGTCTCAGCCGAAATGATCCAATGGAAGAAGTTGTAAACCCCCACGACTCAGCAGCCACGTGACGCCTTCCAGAACAGGAAACCCACCAGGTTCACGCGCACAGTTTCTTATTTCTTCAATTGATCTGCTGCATCTACTCAGCCGTTACCTCACCTTTCAAGGACATACGTGACTGTAATTCTGGCAGGGCTCTTGACGAAATATAGCATGTTCTCTGGGATTTTCCGCCGACGGGCCGTGGCTGACCCCGCTGCCGCCGATTCCCAAGGTTCATACGAAGTGCCTTTGTACACCAACGCAGCATACTACCCAAACTGGAGAATCTATCAAAAACAGCCTCCCTCGTCTCTCCGATTAGGATTTATTTCACACGTGTTTTACGCGTTTGCCTGGTTTGTGGCCAATCATCTCTGCGCAATTCGTGTATAGATCGACGCGCTAATCTGAATCTGGAATTCGGGCAGGATCAAAGAAGACGGGACTGTCTATGTATGTGCAATTGCTGCAAAGCAAATAGCTATTCTGCGAATGTTGCTAATTGAGTCCACTGTGCTAGCTGAGCGATGAGTGGGCAGATACGCAGATGCCGGTGGATGGCACTGAGGGTTGCTTGCGCGCTTTCGTCCAGCTAAAACAGCAGTACTCCAAGATGAAGGTCATTCTTTCAATTGGCGGGGGAGGTAAAGGTAGCGAGAATTTTGCTGCGGTTGCCCATAGTCGGTCGGGCCTGGAGACGTTTGTTCGTACTTCCCGAGCTTTGGTTGATCAGTTTGGGTTGGATGGTATTGATGGTAAGCGGCGAATTCTGACCCTGGATGTGAAAACGTCAAATATGTGCTCCCACTGATTAAGCCATATCTAGTTGACTGGGAACATCCTGCCGATGCTAAGCAGGGCAAGGACTATGTTCGCCTGCTGGCTAAACTACGAGAGGTTCTGCCGGCCCCCCGATACGTGCTGACCACCTGTCTACCTGCTGGCCAATGGGCCTTGCAGAACATCGATCTGAATGCGGCACAAAAGTATCTTGACATGATCAATTTGATGGCCTATGACTTTACGGGACCCTGGGAGGCCGAGACTGCCCATCAAGCCCAGCTACATGGGTCGCCCATCTCGGGCTATTCGGCTGTTGACTACGTGCTGATGCAAGGCGTATTGGCCCGAAAACTCATTCTCGGTGTTCCAGTATATGGACGATCATTTTTAGGTAGCAATGGGCCTGGTCAGCGGTATACAGGCAGTGGTGGAGAGGATGGAGTCTTCGACTACCGCGATCTCCCCCGTCCCGGAACCGAAGAATACCATGACCAACAAGCCGGCGCTGCTTCCTGTGTGGGTGGAGATGGAGGATTTGTTAGCTATGACAACCCGGCCTCCGTGCAACAGAAAGCGGAGTTTGTCACTTCGTCGAAACTTGGAGGTCTTTTTTACTGGCACATATGCTCTGATGCTCGGGGTCCACGCAGCCTCATCGAAACTGGATATAACACTCTGCATGAAATGTAGAGCCCGAAAGCAGCCCGGTCGTGGGCTCGACTCGAACCAAAACTCCAAAAAAATATGAATTCTTTCAAAATCAAGTTAATAGACGAAGCTCGAGTTCGATGAAATTCCGTATGGGCAACTAGGTGCGCTTAGATGGGATGCTAGAAATAAATCGAGTTGGCTCTTCATTAAAGCCAAACTCTATATAATCATGCTCATCGGCTGAACCACCGCCACGGAACAGCTCATCGGGTAGGTTATTGATTTTTGGAACTCAAAATCATTGGAAATGGAAGACATCTCAATTCTCAATTTATAATGTGTGCTCAGTCTCGGCGCTTCTGCGGCGAACCTGGAGATACCCGCATCCCCAGCCGGAGAACACAAGCAGCCGAACGCCGAGGTCCATTTGCGGTCAGGAGCGTAACTCAATAATAAGCTTCCCCACCTCTCCCTCCAAATATTTGGAGGCAAAAGACGCATTCGTTCAAACTCCTTCCTGAACTTCTTTGGTCTTTCTCTCTGGGGATATATCCACGACACCTGCTGCTTATATCTCCATTATGTCGCCGGTACCAGCACAACCCGCCACGGCGGAGACTGGATACATTACGCAACCGGCTCCACTGGGGAATACTTATACGTCCGATATCAGTCTACAACGCTCCTTAGAATGTGAGAATAACTTGATTCTTCCAGTGATTCCATGCTGACATTTACAGGGTATCTGCCTACATCCACCTTCCGATCTGTTCAACCACATTTGATCCAGGTTGGTGCCGAGGCCGTGTCCGAGACAGTGCGAGAATGGAGCGCAGATGCAGAGCGCAACCAGCCTTATGTGAAGAGTCACAACGTTTGGGGCCAGCGATACGATTATGACCGACTCATCACCACGGAGGGCTGGAAACAGCTCGGAAAATGGGGCGCGCGGCATAGGATTGTTTCTGCAGGATATGATTCTGCTTTGGGATCGGAGAGAAGGACTGTTCAATATGCCTTGTAAGACTTCAAATCCTAATCATCATTGAAATGCCCGCTTTGGGTTCTGATCGATACAGAAATTATCTCTACTCGCCATCTTCGGGGCTCTATTCGTGCCCGATGAGCATGACGGACGGGGCCGCATTCATACTGTCTTCAAAAATCAACAGCTTACCGCCCACCCATCCATTCCACATGGCATTCAAAGGGTTGATCTCTGAGTCAGACAACCACTGGACCTCTGGGCAATGGATGACCGAGAGAGCCGGAGGAAGCGATGTACAGAATACTGAGACCTGGGCTACATATTCTCCATTACCAAAGTCCGCTTGCTCTGATCCTCTCGGGGATGGAGACTACTTGATCAACGGCTTCAAGTTTTTCTCATCAGCCACCGATGCCAATGTGGCATTGTTGCTAGCCAAAACGACATCCGGGAAACTGAGCACATTCCTCGCACCGTTGAGAAGGACGGTTGTTGGAGGCGACGGGGTGTCCCGGGAGGTCTCCAATGGCGTGAGAATCCATCGCCTCAAGAACAAGCTGGGAACAAAGGAATTGCCGACCGCGGAGTTAGAGCTCAAAGATATGCGGGCCCACCTGGTTGGAGAGTTGGACCAGGGAATTGTCACAATTGCGCCCCTTCTCAACGTTACCCGAATTCATACCTTTATTGGCTCATTGGCTGGCTGGCGCCGGGCCTTGAGTATTACCAAGAGTTTCGCAAAGGCGAGAACCACGGTAGGCGAGCCCTTGTGGCTCATCCCTATGCATCTGCGTCTCCTGGCAGATCTTGAAGTCAAGCATCGTGGTGCTATGAACCTCGGCTTCTTCACGGTCGCCGTGATGGGATTGGTGGAGAATAAGGTCTCACAGCCTTCCAAGCATCTCCATCTACCACGTCCCGGCCGTGAAGCCAACGTTGTTTTCCGCACCCTGACTGCCACTGCAAAGGCTGTGGTCAGCAAAATGTCTGTTTTGGGCATCCAAGAATGCCAGGAAGCCATGGGTGGCGTTGGCTATATGGATGAGGCTGATGAGCCTGAGTTCAACATCTCGCGTATTCTTCGAAACACCTCAGTAAACTCCATTTGGGAGGGTACCACGAATGTGTTAGCCAGTGAGATGGTCCGCTTTCTCATTAAAGGTGACAACTTGCATATTTTCACTGCATGGGCAGATCGCACATTGGCGTTAATTCGCACCAAGGATCTGCGGGATGCTTTGACAGCTGCGTGGTCTGCCTTACGTGCACGCTTCTCTACTAACACCCGGGCTCTTACTGCGATACTCGCTGACGCGCGCCGTTACATGTTCACCCTTGCATGGATCTTATGTGGCGCACTTCTTGCCCTTGACGCAGAGCGAGATAATGACTCCGTGAGCCTGGAGATCGCACGGCGCTGGGTCCTTGAAGCTGAGGGTGGCGTTGGAGAGCTAGTGTTCCACGATATTGTCATTGCTCACAATACGCAAGACAAGAACGATGAGGGGGAGAAGCATCTCCAATGGGACTGTATGATCGCCTGGGGTGTAGAGCTGCCTGCGAATCGAGCATCGGGCCATCGCTCCTTGCAGAAGGCCAGCTCGAAGCTATGATTATCGCGGTTCACAAGCGAGAGCATACTGCTTTCTATAACAGACTGCATATATTACTTGCATTCAATGAATTCTTTCCTCTGTTCTGGAACATTCAGAAGCTTCTTCAGATAAATTATTGACGAGAAGCTTCAGGGCATTATTCTGAGCCTTTAATATACAAGCAAATTTTAAAGTTGGAAATATTACCGATGGGTCTCATCCCGCTTTGAGGTGCCTCACTTTCCTAGATTTTAGATACACGATATCCTGAAGACGAATCCGAAGGCAGATCAACGCCCCAAACAATGAGGCAGTCCCACTTAGTCCTCTTGCAATCTGTTGGTTTCAACCCCCGTGTTGAGGCGAGGCGGTGGTAAATTACATCCGTAAATGCGAATTCTCCAGGAACGCCCTGTCCTTCGAGGACCCATCGTCGAGCAACTTCGCAAACCACCGGATCATTGTCTCGCTGAGAATCCAGGGAAAGTAGCATACCACTAACTAACCAAGCGAGTGTAAAGATAATCTGACGACCGACTCCTAGCACATCTGTTAATTTTCGCTCATCCTGGCCTGCAGCAAGCCTAGTCTTAAGCTGCGCCCAAGCTTCTTGAAGTGTCTCTTTGAAGGCATTGTTGGATACTTGATTGATGGCATCCATGATCCACTCATTAAAAAACCTCAAGTTCTGGTCTTTTGTCAAGTGGCGGACCGTTTCACTGGCCAGAACATTGGTGGTTCCCTCCCACACACTGTTACTCGCAGTATCGCGCCATAATCGACTGACGTTAAACTCGGGCTCGTCAGGTTCATCTAATAATCGTTTAATTTTCCAAATCATGTCTTTTGTGAGCTAGCTCGAGACACTTACCAATATAGCCAACACCTCCCATTGCTTCCTGACATTCCTGGAAAGCTAAAGTAGAGGATTTGCATATAACAGCCTTTGAGGTCGAAGTGAATGCTCGTAGCACAACCATTGCTGCTACGGGGGACTTCTTCAACACCGAGAACACCTCGGGGATGCCTTTGGGAAACCCATTGTCCACATAACCAAGCAATGTAGATGTGAAGAAGGCCAATTGCATCCAGCCTCGGTGCTTTACCTCCAGTTGAGCGAGAACGTTGAGATGCATAGGAAACGTCCACAGAGGCTGATCAATGGTAGTACGTGCCCGGGCAAACGCTTTTGCGATATCCAGAGCACGACGAAGGCATGATAGAGCAGTGATGAAGTTGTGGGTGCGTGTAGTATTCAACAAGAGAGCAATTGTCGCAATGCCTCTATCTTTGGGACCAATAAGATGCGCTCGCACATCACGAAGTTCCACCTCTGCTGTCGGAAGCTCCTTTGTGCCCATCTTGTTTTTCAGTCGATGAATCCGAATGCCATTTGATACCTTTCTCTGTTTTCCTTCGGCATCCATAACTGTCTTGAGAGTTGGAGCCACAAAAAGAGACAGCTCACCTGAATCTGTCTTTGCAAGTAGAAGAACTACATCGCAATCCGTCGCACTACAAAAGAATTTGAAACCAGAGAGCAAATAATCCCCTTGTTCGATGTTTCCAAATCGGCCAGTCTTAGTTTTTAGCGGGGAAAATGTAGCGACTGTTTCACTATTGCGCACATCACTACCACCCGGTCGCTCGGTCATCCATTGTGCAGAAATCCAGTTGTTCTCACGAGCGATAAGTCGCGCATAGAGCTCATGGAACGGGTGGTCTGCAGGGACGTTGGAAAGCTCACTCCGGACAAGTCGTGCGGCGCCCGAGGTCATGGAAATAGGACAGGAGTATGCTGCAGAAGATGCAGAGAAAATGTAATTACTAGGGAGTTTAAGTGATCGCTTCCTAGGCTCGTCAATAGCGTTAAAAACTTACAAGGCATGTTGGACGGTACGTCGATATTCTCCAAGGTCGTCCTCGTATCCAAGACCAACAACACTGTTCCGGATCGGATCAATTTCGATTAAAATTTGAGGATAATTATTGCATAAACAAGGATTGTCTTACCCGTGCTTAATCCCCCATTTGCCCAGCTGTTTCCAGCCAGTGCTAGTGATTAAACCTTCCGCCTCGTACCGTTTACCCCACACATTATAGCCTTTAATATATGGCTGCTGGCTTTCAGCGTTTCCGATGAGAGCATTTGTTTCATCTGAGATCGCGGCCGACCCGAATGAAGTCAACTCTGGGGAGATCTTTGCAATGATATCCCGGGGAAGATGCCCTGTCAAGTTTCAGATTGGATGCGTTTAGGGATGTGTATCCATTCTTAGAATCGGAAATTCTTTCATTTAGAGATCAAACACATACACTGAAGAATGCGCTGGAGGATACGGTCAGATGTAGCTGGGTTTTCTAGGGCTGGAGGAGACAAAATGAAGCCTCTATCCACAGTTGAAGCGACAAGTTGTGCAGGCATGTTGTAAAAAAGCAGATAGATTGGATTACAGGATAACGATGGGAGGCGTCTGCAATAATGCCGAGAGCATCCATGTTGGCCCTCCTTCTTTAAACCCCTTGTTTAATTTGGGTTATGCGGGGCCATGACCATGACCCCATATGAACGGAGCCGACGAACGTAGCCGACCAGCGTCTCGGCTGGTTTGCCGAGCAATAGCACCGATTTTGACCGATGATCACCGAGAGACACCGGATGATGTGTCTGAAAACATTGGGAATTCCTTAGTATCTCGTTTATGCCTTGGAAATGCGGGGATGCAGACGGGCGAGTGCCGATCACCGAACCGGCTTCTTGACGTGGTTGCGGCAGTCGAACTCTTATATTACTTCATTCCGCTGTGGCTGCCAATGGTCGACTAACAAATTGAAGTCTGCTTGATCCTAAGAGCCTTTGCCGTTGCGATTCAAGAAAATGAGCCATTCTCTCTCTAAAAGCGAGGCATCAAAGCCTGGCCCGATCTGGCTGCCTTCAACGCCACACGACAAGATCCCAATGAACATTTACCGCGAGCATATTAATCGAAAGTTCAATCAAAGTCTGCAAAATTCACAGGAACTTCATCGTTGGTCTGTCAACAACCTGCAAGACTTCTGGGTTGATCTACACCAGTACACAGGCATCATTCCCTCGTTGCCGCCGACCACGACCATGGCATTTAACCCAAATACGCCGATGGAAGAGGTTCCCGCGTTCTTCACTGGACTGACGGTCAATTATGCAGAGAATGTTTTATGTGATCGGGACTCGGCAAAAGCCGCACTCATTGGGGTTCGAGAAGGTCAAGACTTGAACGGAGTAGTTTGGTCTTGGGGGTTGCTCCAAGAGAATGTGCGGATGGCAAGAAGTGCTCTTCTGCAACTTGGAGTCCAAGATGGAGATCGCGTTGCAGCCATCATTTCGACCAGTGTCTGGTCTGTAGGGCTCTTCTTGGCCACTGCCAGTATCGGCGCCATTTGGACTAGCATTGCGCCCGACCTGGGCGAAGAAGTAAGATAAACCGACCCCCACCGGAACGTTCTGCTTTGTGTTAACGTACTTCACCAGGGGTGTATCTCAAGATTGCAACAAGTCACTCCCAAAGTTCTGTTCGCAGACAGCGAGTCAACATACAAGGGGCAACTGCGTTCCAATGTGAGAAAGATCCAGAATATCTTTCGAACACTGAAGACCAAACCCCAGGTATTCTTGATTTCCATTGCGGGGGCTCATATGCGAGCATTTCCGAGTCTGGATCAGTTTCTGTCTGCGTCGCGATCGGAAGACAAGCTAGAGTTCAAGAGAGTCCCTTTTTCTCATCCTCTCTATATTCTATACACCAGTGGAACCACCGGGCAGCCAAAATGTTTGGTGCACAGCCATAGTGTTATCCTACAGCATAAGAAGACATCAGTGTTGCATAACTCGTTGACTGCTGATGATGTTGTTTTCCAGTACAGTAGTACCTCCTGGGTATTGTGGAATATTATGATCGGCCACCTTTCAGTAGGCCCAACTTTGATTCTATACGATGGATCACCGCTGTGGCCGACGGCTAAGGGGATGGCTAAGATCGCAGAATATCACCGGGTGACATATTGGGGCTGCTCGCCTCGGTACTTGCAGGAGCTAGAAACGACTCGATGCATTCCGAAAGACGAGTTCGATCTGTCCTCGTTGCGAATGGTACAGACGGGTGGTTCTCACCTCGGAGCTGACCAATACCATTGGTTTTACCGTGCATTTCCTTCTCGTGTCCATTTGACGAGCGTCACTGGCGGCACTGACTTGGTGACTTCTTGGGTTGGCACAGACCCAGCAGGTCCGGTTTACCCTGGCGAGATCCAGCTCCCCATGTTGGGCCAGGATGTGGATGTAGCAGACCCTATCACGGGAAAATCAATCAAGATGACAGGAAGGCATGGAGAATTCGTCTGTCGACAACCCTTTCCATCTATGCCCGTGTTCTTCTGGGGTGATCCAGATGGGTCCAAGTATCGAGCCACTTACTTCGACAAGTTCCAGAATTGTTGGGCCCAGCACGACTGGGCTAGCTATAATCCCCAGACGCAAGGCTGGCAAATTCACGGAAGAAGGTAAGCCAAATCATGTCCCGGCAATCTCGTCACACTTACTGACATGGAGTTAGCGATGGCGTCCTGAACCCCCAGGGCATTCGCTTCGGGTCATCCGATATCTACTCGATCACGGAATCGGCACCATTCAACAAAGTAATATCCGCGACTCTGTGCATCGGCAGACGCAGGCCGCATGACACGGACGAGGCAGTCTTCTTGTTTGTGGTCATGCAGCCGGGGCAGTCTTTCAGTGACCGACTTAGCCTGGAGCTCAAGGATGCGATCCGGAAGGGCCTGAGCAACAAACACATTCCGCGGTTTGTGATTGGTGTCGGCGAGATTCCAATGACCGTCAATGGCAAAAAGATTGAGACCATGGCAAAGCACATCGTCTCCTCAGGCCAATTGCCCCAGACGATCAGCAGCACGGTTGCGAATCCCGAGTGTTTAGAGCATTTTAGACAGTATTTCTACTTCGAAAAGAAGAAAGACAACCACGGCAGGCTATAAGGAGGGTAGGAAGTGAGAAATCCCTGTGGCATAAATAGATTTAGCTAGTTCGTCATATAGATCGATGACCCAATCAACAATAGCTGACAAATTCTTTCACACACCCATAAATTATCCTTGGAAAATGATGGGCTTTCATTGTGATTGTTCTCTGGACCCACTTTCCATCGACATAGCCTCTTAGTTTCGTGGCTTTATTGTGTTTGCGTGGTGCTGCTTGGCCACCTAGTTCATTAGTTCCCATCCATGGCCACACGTGCGGGACTAAGCGGGCAGCAGCCACTGGTCGATCTTCATGGTTTTCGTGGCCTCAATGAGGGGTCAACGTAGTATCGGGCCCTTTTTCGACTTCGATTAAACTATCTCTGCTCGGTTTGATACACAATCTATCTTGCATTCGTCAATCACGCATCATGGACGCTCCTTCACTGGATGACAATATTTCACTCGAAGCCTGTCGGAAACAGAAGAACCTAGATCCTTTTGAAAAAAGACTATTTTGCATTCTGAACGATGTGCTCCAACCTGACGTCTCTTTGCCATCGGAAGCCGCTAGGCTCGTTAACAAGTTGATCGAAGAAAAGAACTCGGTGAAAGAAACGGAAGACTTTCTATGGTTGTTTTGGGGTCTTGTCATTCGATGCATTCGACTGGTGCCACACACCCACCCGAGTCAGATACGCATGATTGCTTTTTTGAAATCCTTGAGCCAAATTTCAGTGATGTCACTGAACATGCCGGGGGTAAGAAGATCTATATACCAAATCTCTCGCCGCGCTGGAGCTGATCAAGACACGTTCCATATAGGCGAGTGCATCAAGACTATGGGAGGACCTTCCTATACTGAGCCCGTGTTTGAGAGATCATTTAAACCGTAAGCTTGACTCCCCTTTTCCTTAGATCAAATTGTTAACTCCGGGAACAAAGTCAATATAAACAGTGGAAATGCCGAGGAAATTGCACAGTGGATTAACCAAAACTCCTTCATGGCCAGACTGGTGGGTGAAGGCTTGCTCGACTGGACCAACCTGGTCATCTGGATGATGCGCGAAGCTCTGGAAGAGTCTCCATCCCAAGGACAATCGTCAGCCGACTGTTATGTGTTAGTGGTGGGTGAATGGATGACCTATGCGGGAGAAGTAATCTTCCACCAAGTCAACGATGAACATCTCACCGAGCAACAGCAAAGGATGACGAAGGGAGGCTCTCTCTACCGCGGTAATGCGGGCCTGTGCCGAGAGAGATGGGACTTTTGGAGAACACGGCTTGGGGAGCTCGGCCAAGTTGTCTCACCAGATGCACAGCCAATTGCACGAAGTGCACTAGAGAGGATGGCGGATATTGAAAGGACATGTAAACATCGACCTTGAGCAGCGGCTTCTTGTCAGAGCAAATCAATATCAGGCTCATACCATTCGATTAGTATTTTAAATTCATTGTCATAGTACATAAAATTTTATATATTAAGCAGCCAGGAGCCATTCCAGTCGAAGCCAGATCCTTCCCAGCTACTGCTGAATGATTCCATACTTGTATCCAGCGCCGGAAACCCGAAATTGTCCACCGCCTCTTCTGGCTGAGTGTAGCTCTGAACCGCACCGTCAGACTCTTGAACTTCAGCCAGTGAACAAGTCGCTGCAGCGGCAGGGTTAGTGCTGGCAGTTTCGGACGATTGGCCGATAAGGCGCCACTGCTTGCATAGCTTGATATCAAACCCATCGAAGAATGAGGCGGTGTCAGGGTCTAGCGTGGGCGGTGGACCGTCAAAGGGACCTTGTGCCCGGACTTTTTCAGTTAATTTATTCAACGCTCGCAGCGGGCCCACCGCCGAAAGCCATCTTTCCGACAATTTCTGAAGGGAGAGCTTGATAACCGTCAGCTCATGCTCTGCGGTACTTTGCAATTGTGTATATCGACAGCACGAAAGTAGTGAAAGCCCTGCACAGAGTGGATAGAACGCGAAGACAGGCCCCAAGTAACGGAGTTCATTGCGCAGAAGAAATTCTTCATAGATGCCCGCGATGAACGACGATGCCACCAATGATGCAGCCGGAGGTACGCTGTTTGGCGTAGGTGAACGATGTAGAATAGTCAGTACTACAAAGTACATAACCGAAAGCTGCTGGACTTCATGGTGGGCCGTAACAGCATCCTCTTGTAGCGTGGCCGACGAGCGAAGCTTGGGAATGACTTGCTTTGCCCATCTATATACAGCATTCTCGAGGTCAACTCGGCGTTGCCTGGATATTTCTTTCCGCAAGTAGCACTCCACGGTGTCTCCAAGATGACAGGATATTGTGCAATATGCCAGGAAAAGTTGGGCCGAGAAATCTTTGACGGGGAAATCGTTCATCGACGGGGGGAGAACATCACTGTCCCGGAGATTGATCGTCCGTGGCCGGCCAACTCCGACCGAAATAACATTATCACGAATCTTCAAAACAAGTTAGCAGAAGGTCCCTGACCCGACTATTGGTGAAATCGGGGAATACACACCACCAGGGACCACCACAGCCGCCTGCGAAGCCCACGATCCTTAGCAGTTGAAGGAGGTTCCTTATGCAATCCAATCTGGAACGCCATTGCGCCGGCAGTTCGAATCCAGAACCCGCTTGTATCGGTCGAGACATCTTCGGGTCCTACCGGGTTATACCAATGCAGAAGACAGGCAGCTACAATCGAAACCAGCGAATTGTTGCCACCGCCAAAGAAAAATAGAAGCTTTGCCCGCCGATAGAAGACTTCGCTTGACCCGTAGTGCAAATGCGCCTTAGAAACTCGGCTTCCCGCCAGAAAAATGGACTGTAACAGCAGCATCGAAGGTGGAGCGCTTTCGTCCAGCCACCTGGGATCCACGACCGGGGTCCACGGGGCGCAATACTTGTTGAAACTATCCATCAGCTCTCTCTGGACTGATAGTGGTGGCAATTCGAATGCACCCTGCTCGCGCAACATCTGTAGGTCTGCGGCCGATGCTTTGGGGCTGGTGTACGTCGTCTCGTGTCCGGGTTTCACCATATTTTCGTCGAAGGGTACACTGCCGCCCAAGTACTCGCCCCGCCCGCGGTAGCTTTCCTCCTTGATGAATGGCTCACCATTGCTGGCCGGAAGCACAGGCGGTTCAGTCGCAATCTCGTCTCCATACGCGTCGGTCGGCGACAGACGCGACGGCAGTGCAACACCCTCGATGGAAGGTTCGGCGGGCAATTGCGAGCTGCGACGACTGACCGAATCTGAGGCGGGCGCACTCGCTCTCGGCGAAAGACTATTGGTAAACCGCTTGCGCTTGCGTGTATAGGGTCTCCCAGCTTTAGCATCGTCACCACAGCACTTCAGCGAGTCTCCTCACCTGCAATCCACCTCGGACTTCTTGCAGTTGGTGCAAGGGTTGTGGGTCGCCAAATCGCACCTCACCTGGTTGAAGAAGTCAGAGCGAACAGAATGCAATGACGCCGATGGGTGCTTACCTTTCGCTTGTGGCAGATGATGCATGCGCTTGACATGGCGGAGATCGGGTGGTGGGTGGTTTGGAGGAGGGCGTGTGGGGACCGAGGCATCTCGGTGATTCTGCCCGCGCAAACCATAAACTCTCCCCGCTTCGTGATGTCGAGGTTGCGACCTCCTGGACCCGATAAATCCACCATGGCAGCATCGGAAAGGGACCTGGTGGTGACCGACACGGTGTCTAATCCAGGTATCACGATCGTCACCATCAATCGGCCTCGACGAAAGAATGCGGTTGATTTTCTCACCGCAAAGCAGCTGTACGAAGCGATCTTGGCCTTTGAAGCTGATACGACACAGAAAATCTGCATACTCACGGGGACTGGCGACACATTCTGCGCGGGCGCAGATCTTCACAGTGTCGCCGAAAAGCGCGATCAGTCGCCCGGCGAGAATCTTCAGCCCGTCAACGGCCGCAACCTAGGGCCCATGGGTCCCTCGCGACTAATCGTTCAGAAACCGATGATCGCAGCAGTGGCCGGCTATGCGGTGGCTGGCGGACTGGAGTTGAGTCTCTTGGCTGATCTCCGGGTGGTCGAAGAAGATGCAGTCTTTGGGGTCTTCTGCCGGCGCTGGGGTGTCCCGTTGATCGACGGAGGGACTGTTCGGCTGCACGCGATTGTCGGCCTCGGTCGCGCGCTTGATATGATTCTCACCGGTCGGCCAGTGGGAGCCCAAGAGGCACTGGCGATGGGACTCGCCAACCGGGTGGTGCCGAAGGGCGAGTCGCTCAAGCAGGCCATGGCAATAGCCAAGCAGCTCATCACGTTCCCAGAGCTCTGCTTGAACACAGATCGTCGATCGGCATATTATAGTGCCTATGATGCGTCCTCCTTTCACGATGCAATGTTCCAGGAGTTTAATGCGGGGAGTCAGGTCATTTCCAAAGAGGCGATTGCTGGCGCTGCAAAGTTCAGCCAGGGCTCTGGTAGACATGGCAGCTTCAAGGGGTTCTCCAAGCTGTGATGGCGTACATCTTTATACCCACAGGTATGAGGAAACTTATATTTACCTTCGATGCACCAACTCTATCTACCAACCCATAAGAGATGGTAGTGGAGGTCAAATTTGATGGTTATACAACAAGAAGAAGACGATGCCTCCATGGAAAAGCCCCGTTTATGGGAAGGCCCACAATGAAGCAAAAAAAAAGGACGTGGCATATTTGTAGTACACATTAACGGACGAAGTCCCTGATATAAGCTCTCTATTTAATGACTCCAAGCAACAAGTCGTATAAGGGGCTTAAGCCAATGCGGCTTGTCGACCTCAGAAGACTATCATGCGATGCTAGATCCCAATCTTTTGGTGCGATGCCTTGGAGCGCCTCTAATTTGTCTTCTTCTCGGCCTCTTCCTGTTCCTCAGGAGCGAAGTGGATGCGTTTTCCATAAAGCAGGGGTGTTCGCGAGGCCAGGGAGCCAATCGCGTATCCAATATATGCACCGATCAGAATGGTGATCGGAAAGGCTTGCCATGGCCGGTCCCTTGATTCCCATGCAGCGTCAGTAAATAGCACACTATGTGTTAATATAGGCCATTTTCTGCAGAAACAAAGACTCACCAGTCCAAAGGAATGGGAATAGCGCCGAACCAAGCGCCTAATCCAGTACCTAAAGCGCCACCCCAAACAGCATCCGCAGGCCGAGCGATGCCCCAAACTTCCTTCCAAACAGAGCCATCCACGCCGTGCACATAGACAAGCGCAGTGGTCGACAACAATGCCATATGAGCTCCACAGAGTAGGGTCTCAGCATTGTGTGTCGTCAACGGGGCCCCAAACAAGACGAGGAGAGCGGACAAGACGGGTGTCGCGAGGAGGGATGTCAAAGAGAGAGAAAAGAAGGCAGGCTAGCAAGTATTCCTGTCAGTATGTGACCATAGACCAGTTAAAGCTGGGGACTGGGGAGCATTTTCATACCATGAGCTTAGCCCGCATGTCCGCCCAATCGCTCTTCCCTGAAGTCTGCTTCCGCCGGTAGCCAGGCTTGCCAGGTCGCAGAGTAACGGCAGGACCAGGAGGCGAGCGGGGAGCCTTCTTCTTGTCCTCGTCGGTCGAACCACCTTCGGTCGAGAGAGTTGACCCTGCTGGCGGAAGACAAAGTAAGACATAGAAGAGCTGTAGACCGGCCAACCATGGGAGGTCGGCCAGAAGTTCTCGCACTGGGTCGGCGACCAATGCCTCAAATCGGAGGGCGCATAGCCCCAGAAGGAGCAGGGGATGCGCGTAGGAATAAGTCCGCGCGACCTGGGAGGGGAGGATATTGACTGGTGGCGCAGAGGGTTTCTCCGCCGGAGCTTGGCTTGGCGAGGCAGACATATTCACTGACGGGGGAAGGGGAATTTGGAGAGGCTATGATGGGCACATTGAACCTCACCAGCGTCTGGGAATTTTCCTTCTAGTCCTTAGAAGCTCCGGTTGGCTCGGGATCAAGATGGGAAGAGGACCCGGTCGGTGGATATGTTTGGCGTGTTTGCAAAACGACGTTGAGCCCATTGTCGTCGCCGCCTAAGGGATCAGGCGCCAAAGCATGTCTGCACTGACCGCGGTTTTCTTGATAGTGGCCGTCTTATGGCCGTCGTCTATTTAGGAAGGGACAGGGTGCTAATAAGTACTGCAAGGTAGCGAATATTGAAAGACGGCGCATGTGGGGGGAATTAAATTGTACATAGCATGACTGGATTACATTACGGATTTACTGAGAGAATTAATGCAAGCAACTTGAAGTTGATACAGGATAAACCAAGCGTCATTATTTCAACCCGCCGATTCTAGATCGCACCAACTCCCTAGCAGGCCCAAGTAGGCAACGAACAGACCAAAGGATTGAAGACAGACCGGCTGCAATGACACAGAGACGTACAATCATACCACATAGCAACATGACCAGGGCAAAACTGGGAGTAGGCTAATAAGGCGGGCAATCAAAACACAAAAGCATGCAAGAGGGGGAAACAGGGACAAAGAGGTGCACGACACCACAGGACCAGACGAGAGTGCCAAGAAAGGCAGCGCCAGTGAAGCTCCTCGGGGGAAGATCAGACCAGAGACACGTATAGAAGACAACGGTATACAGCCAGATCGTACACAGCAAAAGCACCCAATAACGCCATAAACCCAAAATGGGGTTTCAAGTCTCTGAGACTGACGATCTCCTAGGTTATGGGCGTAGTCGTGCCATTGCCCGAAGTAGCTAGGAGACACAACTTCAGCAAACGAGACCATGCTAATCACAGCAAAGACACATGGAGAAAAAAGGGCGCGATAGAACGCTGACGAAAAGGAAAAGACAGTCGATAAAGAGTTCGCGCGGTAGCTTATGCTGATGTATCTTTATCGGCAGGGACTGATTCTCTGGGCTGCTCTGCAACAATTGGCGCCTCTTCCTTGGACGAGGGAACGTTCTCCGCGAGTCCCTCGTTCTGGGATTTTCGAACAGCCGCGGTAGAGAGGGCCTCCGGACTGTTGGGTTCTTCGGGAATGGAGGGAGGGAGACCTGCGCCTGGCAATGGAGAAACCGGTGACCGGGCAGGCTCCTCCTTAGACTGTTCCGGCGAGGGAACGTCAATGGAAGGGTTCCCATTCGCCTGGGCGGCAGCCACAGGTGATAGTGGCTGGGTAGAGGCAACAGGGTCAGTGTCGGACTGCGTCGGACTCTTCGCGCGTTCGCGATCGTCTTTAACCCCATCACGGACTTGAGCCACCTTGGCCTTGAATTTTCCAAATAGACTCCTCTTTTCAGGCTCAGCATTAGAGCTGGAGCCGGGTTGGATCTCGGCATCCAGACTAAGGGGCTGACTGGCGGGGTCATTACTAAGGTTGTGTCCGCTACCAATAGAGCTAGTGCTCTGCTCAGCACCAGGATGTGTAGCCATCAAAGGAGGAGATGCAAGTCCTAGTCCTACTTGTTCACTGTTGCGCTTGGACGAGCGGTGGAAGCGCCAGCTCCGTCGATTATCTCGGCGTTCTGAACGATTCGCATCCTCTGGCTGATCCAGATCGGATTGGTCCGTGAAGGATGATCGGGAGTTCATCGATGGCGTCCGTGACTGATGCGGTTTCAGGGAGTTATCGGTATTGGGGTGCGAGGCGCCTTCGGCAAGAGCCATGTTGGACTCAGATGGAGCATCGCGGTAGCTCAAGGTTGCCGTGTTTGGCGGTTTGGGTGTAATATCCCCTACAGCCACCTCGATTGATGTTCGCCCGCGCTTCGGCTCCGAAGAATCCAAGGTGGGTTCAAGTGAGTTAGTGGAGCTTTGGGCACTGATGCTGGCACTGCCAGGAATGCGTTTCTTTCGTAAACGATTTGGCTGGCGTAATTCCTTTTGCTCCGCCTCTGGGGGCGGCGGAGACTTGGTGAAGAAGTTGGAGAGTTTGCGCTCGCGGGTCGGGGTAACAACCTCGGGAGGGGGGGGAGGCCGGGCTAACAATATTCTGAATCTGGAGATGCTCAGGTGGGCGACTTGTATCACGGATACTGAGCTTCTCTGCCGTCTCCACCGGGACGGGGCCGTGTGTCGACGTGTGCACAAAGGCACTTCCCGTCGATGCCTCGGACACGGCGGCACTGGGCTTACGTGGTTCGACTTCTCCACGCAACGGCGGTGTGCGACTCGCCGACCGAGAGCTGTGGTGGGATACTGAGAGACCCGAAGGGTTGGCGGAGCCTGTCTCACCCGGGCGCACGAAACGAGCCGATGCGACGACCGGGCCCATCTTAGAGGGAAGGGTATTGCTTCGATGGACGCCACCGGAGGCTGATGTAGGGGTGCCGGGGCTGGGTGCGTTGTTTGAGTGACGAGAATTACGGGAATTGCGAGATGAAACCGACACATTGCGACGGAGACTATCAATCTTGCGATGACCCTCATTGTTCGCGCTGGCGTTCGACACGGATCGTCGAACGTTGGACGTGGTGGAGGGCCGTGACTGAAGGCCCGCTTCAGCTTCCTTGGAGCTTGCAGGGGGCTGAGGGCCTGCCTCAACCTCTTTTCGCTGCTGCTCATCGGGAGTGGTCCCGCTCATGCCAACCAAGAAATGGTCCTGGTTTTCGATCAGAAAGATCAAGACATCTTGGCTGAGCTTGTACTCCTCTGGCGACATGTCATGTTGGGGGTGAGACAGCATCCCGGGTTGGAAAATGGCGGAGAGGTTGGCCGATGTCATGCGGTTCTGGTCTGACTTGGACGCAAACACTGCGAGCAGGTCCAGAATATACAGAAGCAGCTGCTTATTGAGGGGCGGAAGCTCCACGATGAGACGCTGGTAGGTCTCGACCGCCTTGGCATGATCGAACTTCTCTGCGTCCGCCTCCGGCTTGTCTTCCTGGACTTGCCTTTGGTAGATCCGCAGTGGTTCTCGAAAGCGCTCATAAAATTCCAACGGTACGATCGGCTCCGGGAGCTGATTGAGGTACCGACGCAGGACATTGGCGGCATCGTGTACCGTATACCCCGACCAGTCCAGACCTTTGCCATATCTTTCGGGCGAATCAAAGATCTCCTGAAGATCTTTGATCCGTTTGGCTGACCCATTCAGTCTGAAGATGCCTTCCACATCGGTGGCTATATACGAGAGCTTGTCAGCGAGGATCCGGCGGTGATGTGGGGAATGGCGGCAGCAACGAACCTCGGTCTTTCAGGAACACGCCGCACTTAGCGACGACGATGGGTACGTATCCATAAATGTGGCTTTCACCATGCTCGTTGTTGAGGGAGATGGCCACGTTTGCGTATTTGATGCTGACATTCAGCGGAATGCCGAAGATGCCACGAGGGGCTTCTAAAATCATGCGACAATGGGTCAGCTCACACAGATTTTCCATCTTGCAATGGATCGGGTTGTCGCGCCCCAGCCACGAGGATTTTCGATTCCTTCCTCATGGCCGAGAAGAAATCCTGCCAGTTTGCCTCGTTGCGCTCTTGCTCATCCGCTCCCCCCGCCCTCCTTTTCTGGGACCAGGAGGGGAAGTGCCTTCAGAAACTCAGGGGTGGGTGGTGGGCGGGGAGACAAGCGAGGATGATGAGGCAACGGACTGCGAGACGAACCACCATCGACCGTTGGGCAGCAACATCCCGATTTTGTTCGCGATGGCTCGCGATCTCACGTACCTTTCACTTCCTCTTTGCGCGTATTTCGTTTGAACTGCCTCCACCAGGAGGCCAAGTCTCGTTTGGAGGGTGGGGAGTTGGCGCCGGTCGGGTCGGGGGTGGTCGCGGGGAGATGCACCGGATCGATACCCGGCTGGGACTTTCCGGTCACCATGGTGCACCGGATGGGACGAGACGAGGGCGAGGCAGTGAGGCGTCTGGGGCGAAGTTATGATGGTCGAATTCCAATGTGGAGGAGGGGAGGAGGGACGATCGCGGGAATGTCGCCGTGGACGTCACCGCCCTCGTGTGGAAAAGGGAAATCCTGGGGCTGGGCCCAACAACCAAGACCCAAGCTCAACAGAGAAGAAGAGGGGGAGGGGGTTGGGTTGGGTTGGGTTTAAATGAGGGATTCGGCGGTTGTAGGTGGGCAAGGAAACCGAGGGAATTCAAAGGACGATAGAATGGATGGGAGCAGGGCTCTCCACAAATAACGAAGTTGACAGGATGAGATTGTAAGGGGTGGGGAGGGAGGAAGAAAGGGTAGGCAGGGTCTCGATGAGGGGCGCGGACACGGGAACAGCAGGTGACTAGGGATCGGCGAGGAGAAAGGTGAAGAGGCGAACACGAGGCGAAAGGGAAAGGGGAAGGGGAGGGGGGAAGGGGGAGAAGATGAGGAAGATGAGGAAATAAGAAAATGAGAAAATGAGAAAATGAGAAAATGAGAGGTCGAGGACGGGAGCGCAGGAGTTTCAGAATTGTGAGGTTTCGTCGCAGTTCAGCGGCGAAGGAACCGGGGAACGAGGAATGGGACCCCCGGGTTGCTATGAATAGAGGCTCCGTCCGGGTTCGCCTCTGCTTCACCTGCTGGTGCTGGAGAAGGAAAGGATCTGAGCCACGCGATGTCGCGGTGCTTGGGACCAAGGTCGAGACCCTGGAGACAGGACCCGTGGGATACGTGGGACGTTCTTATCAAACGAAAGACAGAGGGAGAGGGAAGGGGGATGCTATATGGAGATGAGATGCTGTATAGATGCGGTATAGAGATCTCGTATACTCCGGCGGTTGGTCCCTCCACGAGGTCACCAAGTCCCAGAGTCACACTATAGAATCCGTATAGGACGGAGTATATGATACGGACTATATGGATGCGCGGTACATCTGGAGAATCCCCTTCCCAAAAACAAAAAAAAGGAGCCACATGCGAAGTATACAGCCCGGTTCCTCGCGAGCTTCGAGGGATTCGGAGCGCTCGACCCGGACGTAATGAGACGACCATAAGTGGCTCCCGTCTGGCAGTCCAGCGGCCCAGAGTTCCAGTTCGCTGCCCTGAGCGAGCGAGAGTCTGGGCCCGGGGCCCATTCGGTTGGGAACCAAAAAGGGGTCTTCTCGTCGCCGGATCCAGGAACGCGCTCCATCGGTTCCAACGTCGGGGGTCAGGGTGGGGGGAGGGGCCCTGCTGGGAGCAGAGACGGGCATCCGAGATCAGAAGGAGAAAGGAGACACTGTCAAGAGAAGAGAGAAACCGGAGAGGAGGCAGAAGGGCCCAGCGACCATCAAACGCCCTCATGAAATCCGTTGTAGTGTCCGTCTCTCGGTCCGGCTGGACAGTGAGACCGTCTCCCACTCGCGTCCCCGAGTTCGCGGGAGGCGCGAACCTGCGACCCTGCGACTCCGCTCGCCGTTGGCACTGGGGACTGCAAGCGGCAGTCACGTGGTGTGTCGTGTGGCAGGGGATCACCTGACCCAGAACGACGAGAAGATCACGTGTCCTGTGATGGTTCGCCTGGTCACGTGGGATGATTCCCACGATCACCTGACCAGGTCGGCGGACAAACGTCGGGGCGACCGAGAAACAGCTTCGGAGCGAGCTCCACGGCCGACCGTCTCCGAGTTCCTTTACAACAGACTTCATTCTCTCACTCTTGCTTCAAACCCCCCCCCCCCCCCCTAAAAAACAACGAACTTTAGAATTCTCGTTCAATTCTTCCATCTTTCAATCACACATCATGGACGGGTATGTGCATATCCTCCTCGGGGGCCTTTATCGCTTTTGGTGACGACCTCTCGCACTGGGGCTCCTTCAAAACTTGTCAAGTTTGTCAGGGAATGCTCCAGATACTAATTGCCAACAGTCTCAATGCATCGGAACAGCGCGAGTTCGCCGCTCGCATGGAGCGCAAGCAGCTGAAAGAGTTTATGACTGTACGCCCTTACCACCCCCCTCCCCCATCTCCATTTACCTTGGCGCAGTCTCGTTCGAACTGGAGACATTTCGACGGGACCAAGATCACCAGTTGGGGGCTCCCTGTGCCTGGTCTTCTCGACAGATTCTTTCTCTGGCGGCTGCAGGATCTAACTCATTCATCTTCGTCCTTGATCTAGATGTACTCCAAGATGGTCCAGCGCTGCTTCGATGACTGTGTCAATGACTTCACCACCAAGTCCCTCGTCAACCGGGAGGAGCAATGTATCATGCGCTGCGTGGACAAGCACCTCAAGAGCTCCCAGCGCCTGAATGAGCGCTTCCAGGAGCAGAATGCCGCCATGATGCAGAGCGGTCAGCTGCCCCGGTAAAGCAAGAGCTGATCCGACCCTTCGGGATCCCGATGGGGATGGGGTGTTGTGGCGTCTGAGGGAGGGAATACGTCAGATGGATCGGGAACCGGGCCATTGAACGGAGCCCAAAAATGGGGGAGGAACAGAAACCGATCCATGTGCATACACCCCATCACACCTCTCGGGGCGAGGCGAGTCCGTCTTCGAAGCGGTACTTCCTCGGCTCGCGGGGACAACTCTCCTCTTTGGCAGTCGATTTTGGGATGCTCCGGGTGGGGATCCTACCCCGGGTGGTCTTGCTTCCTTCATGTAGGTCTTCTGGACGGGGAACAGGAACCACACGGGCTCGGCTTGCTTTCATGTACCATAGTGATTTGGACGGGATGGGCCGGGGAACCTAATGTGCCCCGGGCTGCCCGATCCCCCAATATAAAAAAGTGGCATCAACACCCTTCCATGTTTGACCTCGAAGACCCCTTGCGGATCCGAATGACGAATATCTCCTCGGCCATGTATATGTACCTCCCGCCCAATAAACCATGGCCCCTGTCGCGATAGACTTGGAGAACGGAGAACGGCTGGCGCAGCCGCTGTTGACTCCGATTGAGAGTCGTTGCCAGAACGCAGCCCGAGCTCCACTTTTAGAGTCTCTCGAGATAATTTGATTGGCCCGCTGCGGCTGGTGCCGGGCTGGTTTTCAGAGCCGGAAAATTTTGCCTGTTCAGGACTCCGTTCACCAAGACGGACAGGATAGCGGAATGGGGTCGCGATCTGAGCCGGGCACGGCCCGTCTTCCGGGTCAACTCAACGGCAGGGTTGAGGGGATTCGGAGAATGACCGGAGAGATTTCTAGACCGAATGGACTTCTTTAGAAAGGGAGGATAGCCATTGAAGACGTCCAAGAGCCGAGTCATGATCTAGACGAGCCATTGGATGGCGATCAGGATCGTATAGTACAATTTCGCATGTACCGGGTTGTATCGTTATACTTCCTCCACTCGTTGCGAATGCCGGGGCGAGTCTTGACACAGTGTGGTTTGTCGTACATTGACTGTAACATGCAGTAGTCTGTAGACTGCCTATAGTACCTATAGTATAGCATGTAGGATGCAGTCAGTAGTCTACAGGAATTGCCGCGACAGCTCGATCGCTCTACTGATCTGGTGCTCCAGTGCTGGACCGGACCCGATCCCCGGTCTCCCCTCATCCCCTCCTCATCTCGTCTTCTCCTCTTCCCCCACTCCCCTCACGTCGTCCTATCTTCTATCCGGCTCCACTTGTCCTTCAAAAACCCGGCTCTTCCCTCGTCTCATTCTGCATCCAACGTCTATCGTGCGTGTCACCCTTATATGCCCTTCCCACCCCCCCCCTCCCCTGCTTCGGGCTCCCCTCCCTTCCCGTGAACTTTTCCGGCTAACCCCACCATAGGTGGAACAAGAGAAAAACTTCACCTTCAGACCATTCCACCATGGCTAGCACTGTCGGAAAGGTAAATATTCCAGTCCGAGCTTCCAGCTGCTCTGAAAAGATCCAACTGACGATGAGATGTAAAATTCCAGACCATCACTTGCAAGGTAAGGCACTTAGTCTTCTCCGAACCCCGCCACACGTTATGACGTGGGCCAATCCCTCTGTTTTTGGACCACCTATCTCGTCCCACGCAATTGGGACATCCCCATCAAAACTAACCGCACAATCGATAGGCGGCCATTGCCTGGGCAGCCGGTGAGCCTCTGTCCGTCGAGGACGTCGAGGTCGCTCCCCCCAGGGCCCACGAGGTGCGCATTCAGATTCACCACACGGGTGTCTGCCACACCGGTAAGCTCCGCCCTGGGACCCCGCAATAGAAAAACCCAGAGGAAAGATCGAGCGACAGGGAGAGGGAGAGAAAGAAGACAAAAAAACATCGATCCGACGAACTGCAAACTAACTTGAATTAGATGCCTACACCCTGTCCGGCAAGGACCCCGAGGGAGCCTTCCCCATCGTCCTGGGACACGAGGGTGCCGGTATTGTCGAGTCCGTTGGTGAGGGTGTGACCTCCGTCAAGCCGGGCGACTACGTTGTCGCTCTCTAGTACGTACAACCCCCTCGCCAAACCTCATTATTCGCAGGCTAATTCAGTCCTGTGCAGTACCCCGGAATGCCGTGAGTGCAAGTTCTGCAAGTCTGGCAAGACCAACCTGTGTGGTAAGATCCGTGCTACCCAGGGCCGGGGTGTCATGCCTGATGGCACCTCGCGCTTCAAGGCGCGTGGCAAAGATATCCTGCACTTCATGGGTACCTCCACTTTCTCCCAGTACACTGTCGTGGCCGACATCTCAGTGGTGGCTGTGACCCCCAAGATCTCGACCGATCGCTCCTGCTTGCTGGGCTGTGGTATCACCACTGGCTATGGTGCCGCCGTAGTTACCGCCAAGGTTGAGCAAGGCTCCAACGTGGCTGTCTTCGGTGTGGGCTGCGTTGGTCTGTCTGTCATCCAGGGTGCCGTCAAGAACAAGGCCGGCCGTATCATCGCCGTCGATGTGAACGACGGAAAGGAGGCCTGGGCCCGCAAGTTCGGAGCCACCGACTTCGTCAACCCGACTAAGCTGTCCGGCAAGACCATTCAGGAGCACCTGATCGAGATGACTGACGGCGGGTGTGACTATACTTTCGACTGTACTGGCAACGTCGGTGTCATGCGGGCAGCTCTGGAGGCCTGCCACAAGGGGTGGGGTGAGAGCATCGTCATCGGTGTCGCAGCGGCTGGCCAGGAGATCTCCACTCGGCGTAAGTGCAACGAATTCCCCGACCTCGAGACCGTCTTTGCCGGGCAATTTTCTTGTTGGATTCGACAGGGCTGTGACTGACTCTTATTTGTTTCTATTTAGCATTCCAATTGGTGACTGGTCGTGTGTGGAAGGGTTGTGCCTTTGGTGGCATCAAAGGCCGCACCCAGCTGCCCGGCCTGGTGGACGACTACCTGAACGGCGAGCTCAAGGTGGACGAGTTCATCACCCATCGGGAGCCCCTCACCAATATCAACACCGCCTTCGAGCAGATGAAGCAGGGTGACTGCGTCCGCTGCGTTGTGGATATGAAATAGATTGTGTGATTGTGTGATATAGTTGTGATTCCCAAAAGGCGTGAAATGTGCAATGAATTCCTTTTTCTTGTGAGACGGGCACTATGTGCGGAGGCTGGAAGTGAATGAGAATATCTGAGAAATTATACGAGAATGATACTAGTACCAGAAAGTCTGCAGTTTTCTTTTCTGTAATGCCCATCTAGGAGTCCTCAAGAGCGGCATCGACGGACTTTGTAGGACTTCCTCGACCTCACCCAAGGTCCTCACGCCCCCGCAGCACCTTGTGAGCAACTCCCAAGGCATATCCTTACAACCGAGATGATTTCTGGGTGGGACTGGTCAACCATTCCTGAAACCTCTCCTCGTTCTCATCTGGTCGCCAATCAATCGCTTGTAGGGGCAAGACTCTCTTTGCTTGCGGCATGCCATAATGGGTCCTGAACTTGCATGCATGTACCGCGCAGGATATAGACGACTCCGACGCTTCCTGTCCGATGATCGTCCGGGAATCCTGGACCTTCTCGCTTATTATCGGCTGCTCTGATGGCAAGCAGAGGATTTCGATCTGTTCGTCTTCGTCCAAGAGAGACTGTAGGTCACAACAGGCACGGGGATTGTCCGAGTTCCCCACCTTCTCCGCAGTGCGCGATAAGCAATGGACCGACTTCGGGCCAACTCCGGAAGAATAATAGATACTCGGGATATTCAGGGCACTTGCGAGACCAAGCCTGATAGCGCCAGAGTTCTGCATTTCACGTACCGCCGAATGAGGCGATCTTGACGGCGCGCAAGACAGAAGACATGAGAGGGGAACAGGGCATTGGCACTTTCGAGGCGGGGGCCTTCTCCTTCTTGGGCGTCTCTCCACCAACGAGGAGCAACAGATGCACAAGGTGCAGGTTAAGCAGAAAGCAAGTGGCATGTAGTGTTGCTTGACTCCAATTGACTCCAATTCTTCCGGTATCTTGTCCGTCGTCGCTGGGATATAAACGAGTCCCGGGCACCCGATCTGGATCGAACTTCATAGTTGACCCTCTCTCTCTCTCTCCTTTCCTCTCCGGACTCAATTCAGTTATCATATACCCAGTCATCTTATTGAACGCGCCACGGCCAAGTTCTTAATAAACAACCCCACGCGCACGCCTGATCACTTTGTTTTGACAGAACAGATCTGTATATCTCTCTGCATCCCAATATCTCACTCCCGCACCCAGCTCCACTTCCCCCTCTCCATCTGAATTCATCATGGCCCCCGCCCAAGATCCCCTGGCGCTTCCGGAGCCCTTTGCCTCCATCTCCCGAACATCCCTCCTGCTGGGCCCCTCGCCCATCCATGTGCTCCCCCGCATCAGCGCCGATCTCGCCCGTAACAGCCCCCACCCACCCGTCACCATCTACGCCAAACGCGATGACCTGAACTCCGCCTATGCGTACGGCGGGAACAAGACCCGGAAACTCGAGTACTTGCTGGCTGATGCCCAAGCCCAGGGCTGTGACACCCTGGTCTCTATTGGTGGCGTCCAGAGTAACCATACTCGCCAGGTGGCCGCCGTGGCAGCCCGCACCGGCCTCAAAGCCCGTCTGGTCCAAGAGCACTGGGTCGATTGGGTCGACCAGGGATATGACTCGGTGGGCAATATTCAATTGTCCCGGTTGATGGGCGCCGATGTCCGGCTGGATCCCTCAGGCTTCGGCATCGAACATAAGACCACCGTCCAGGCCGTCGTGGATGAGTGCAAGGCCAAGGGCGACAAGCCGTACTACATCCCCGCCGGTGCATCTGACCATCCACTGGGTGGTTTGGGATTTGCCCGCTGGGCCTTTGAAGTGCGTGCACAAGAGCAGGAGCAGAACGTCTTCTTCGACACTGTGATCGTCTGCGCCGTCACTGGCTCCACCTTTGCCGGAATGATCGCCGGCTTCAAGCTTTTAGAAAAGTTGTACCCCGCCGATCCCAAACGGAAGGTGATCGGAATCGATGCTTCAGCCACTGTGGATGCGACGCGCGCCCAGGTTCTGCGCATTGCCCGGAACACCGCGTCCAAGATCGGCCTGAACGAGAACGACATCACCGAGGCGGATGTGATCCTCGACGACCGATATCACGCGGGGATCTACGGGATTCCGGACAAGCAGACATGGGAGGCGATTGAGTATGCGGCCAAAATGGAGGCCTTCATCACTGACCCGGTCTATGAAGGCAAGAGCTTTGCTGGCATGGTGGACCTTATTCGTCGGGGCGAGATCCAGGGTGGCAATGTGTTGTATGCGCACTTAGGTGGGCAGCTGGCTCTGAATGCCTACTCGGACCTAGGGAAGACCAAGGAATAAGAAGACATACGACGTGTACCTGAATTGAAACACACAATTAAAGAAGATCGAAGGAACTGATCTGTAAAGAGAGAAGACTACAGCTTGAAATAGTGAAGCACAAGTATAGGATGAATATCACGTGTAAATTGATAGTAAAAAATGAGGGACTAAAGTTGGAATTCTAGGCGGCAAGCGCCCATTAGGATTGAGAGAGGCATCCCACAAGAGGAACTGGTCCTAGAGCAGCTTGTGCTCCAGGGTCATCTCCGACTCAGGCTGGAGACCAACGCAGGCACGGAAGATGTTAATCAAGGCGGAACGCTGCTTGCCCAGAGCGTTGACCACAGGGGTGCCAGGGGGAGTCAGAGGGGCCTTGAGCATGTAGCTGAGAACACTCAGCACGCTGTGGAAGCCCTTGTACTCGGCACCCTCGCTATCAGCCTTCCAGCTGACACGAGTCATCATTTCGGCGAGCACAACCAAGTCAATGATGAGAGGAGAGGCCAGCAGTGAGTCCTCACAGATATTGAACAGGCTGATGGTCTGGTGGCCGCCCATGAAAATCTCGGCGTAGTACTCATCCAGCGCGCGCTTGTTGTCGCCCACGGCAGGCATGTACTTGATCACAACAGTGTGGTCGGGGTGCTCATCCTTCTGGTAGAGAATGTGGTTGGCCGCAACCATATCATCCACCACGTTGGACTTGGAAATCTCCTTCGAGCGGAACTGCTTCTGCGAGCTCAGGTTCTTGCCGTCATTGTTACCCAGGTGGTTGTAGCTGGCAATGGAGGTAAGCTTGATACCAGCGTTGATCAGGAAGTCCACCAAGGCGGACTTCATCTTGGTCTGGCCGGACTTGAAGTCATCACCACCGATGAAAGCGTTGTGCTGTTCAGCAAACTGGAGAGCACCAGGCACAAAAGTGTTCTGGGGGAGCCGTTAATGAAGGGGGCGTTCTCCAAGATCGAAGCAATCGCGAAGACAGTGGACGGAGAAACCTCCTCGTGGCCAGTCTTGATCGAGTTGATCAGGTTTTCGGCAGTGTCGTTGACGCCAGGGATGATATCCGCATAGCGTTCAGTGTTGGCGGTCCACATGATGATCACCTTGTCCAGGTCATTTTGGGCCTTGAATTCACTATAGAGTTGTCACGATTAGCACATTTTCCACATGATGATTGATGTTGCGCGAGTTCGAAAATCTAGGGGCCACTAACCGAATATCCTTCTGGATCTGCTCCACGTGAGCCCAGCAGGCCTTAGTGCCTTCCAGAACGTTGTCGGCACGGTCCCCCTGGTTGGAGGCAATGAAGTCCGGGTAGTAGATACTGGGCAGGGGCTGCATCTCCGCCATCTCCTTACGGACCAGAGCCTTGAGACTGGGATCAAGCACTTGAGCACGGTCCATCGAGGCCGCAAGGTTCAGGCTGGAAATATCCCAACCCCCAATGACGAGGTCATTGGGGTGGACCATAGGGAGCAGGTCCCGGAAGGGAATATTGATCTCTTCGCCGGTCTTGCCATCGGTGCCAAGCTTGACAGTGGAGCTCATGATAAGAGAGCCATAGTAGTTGGCCTTCTGCTGACCCTCACGGGTCTCCCAGGACAGACCACGGCGATTGGCGAGAATACCGGCGGTGACAGTGGAGCCGTTGTTTCCACCCCAGCCGACCAGCATCATACCGACCTTGCCGACCTTGCGGTCAACCTTGAAGTGGTAGTTGGTAGCCTTGGGGGTAGCAACCAACTTGTTGTCCGCAGTGCGGGTGACCTCAGTGGTCTGGTAGGCGTACTGACTCTTGATCTCATCGTCGGTGTAGACGACATTGGGAGACTGAACAGTAAAGAGAGGGGGTGGCATCTTGGCGAGCCGACCCGTTCACGGTGCCATTGGCAACATCCGAGCTAGCGTGGGGAGCCATTGCGTTCACAGGGGTGTTGAAGAGAGTTGAGAGGTGTGGTGAACTGAGAAGAGTTGGATGCTCTGGATGGATTTACTGCAGGTATAATGCGTAATCCGATGCCCCTCCACGGTTGGAAGTGCGTCGGCCGTTGAACGGGTGGTGCCGCCTAGGATCATGTTAGTGAATTGAGAATAGATTGGAGCGAGGTCGAGAGCCATTGGGAGAAAAGCATGGCTATTGACGACTTTGAGGGCCGGGGAGGAGGGCCGTAGGCCAGAGAGACTCACGAGTTAAGCTGTGTGGCGAAAATTTTGCCGGTTGTATGTGATCACTGTCTCGAGGAGAAGTGATCGAACCTATTGACAAGGCTTATACGAACCGAGTAGGTTGGAGGGAAAGAAGACGATGTTGTTTGCAGGAGGAAAGTGTGGGTGGGCGTCGCACATTTAAATACACCCAACTTGGGAACAGGCAACATCCTGCCACGTGAGATCCGCTGGTCTCCGGGGCGCTTCTCTCTCCCCCTCCTTTCGTCGACGTCCCCCCTATTTTACGATTATCCTGTTCTCCATTCTCGGCTTTTATTGCAACTTGACTTTTTTTTATCAATCTCACCAATCAGACCAAGCCATGCCCTCCGGATCTTCCAAAATGTTCCAGGAACAGCCGATTGTTGGGCACTAGCTCCTCCGAGCCGAGAATGCGGGCGACTGCCATCCGGAGCCTACGGTTTCCACTTTGACCATCTGGGCCATGGTCAATGCCAATTCATCGGTAGAATCCGTGATGGTCCGAACGCTATTCGATAAAAGAGGCCTGTTCGAACAACACTGGCGACTCCAGTCCGATCCATTAATATCATGCTCTGGACCAATCGTCGCCGCCGTGGGCCATTGAGCGCTCCGTTTTCGGCCAGATTTTTCGGGTAGCCTGGTGGGCTCGCGTAATCTGCTTAATCCCGCTCAGGGGTTGAATTCCTTCCGAACGCATTCGGTGGCCCTGATTCGACTCTCTGGTGTCTTGTTCTTTTGATCATACAACCGCGTCCGTTTTCTCCTGTCTACGAAGTACATGCGACAATATGCGATGTTGTTGCCGCACTGGGGTCCCCCTCTCTCCGGGGCCCGACCCCTCGGACTTGCACCACTGGGTGATCCGTGCTCGAAAATAAATAGGAACCAAAAAGAGAGGGGCATTGAATCCAACCCGCGGCGGGGCTCCAAGTTTTTCTCCCGCATAGGCAGAATGGCGGTCTGCGTCGTATGTTGTCCAATTCTCGACCCCCCTAAGAGGGTTCCTGCAGATGCTGTGCTGGTGCTGGCCACCGCCCTTGACTGAAACCAAAGCCAATAGAATACTTTCTTGAATCTCCGGAGGGGTGCGACTCCTCCCAGGTCTCGTAGTTGATCTTCCTGTCCTAACTAGCACTCTAACAGTTATACAGGACCATTCAGCTTTTGTCGTATATCTGAAGCACGCGACTGATCATCTGCCCGAGTCCTTATGTTTGCGATATCGCTCCGAAGCTCGCAGTCATCTGCTCATCTGCCCTTGCACTTGTGATTAATGAAACAAGCTATCTGGTTCTGCCTCGTAATTCAACATCAACGACAATTATTTTTTTATCTTTTCAGTCAAATTTATCTACATAGGCACGGATCTATTCTATAATCATAAGTACCTCATGTTAACTTTGTGGTCTAATTATTCCAGGAGCTGTCCTCCGGATTCCGATCTGAGTGTGCTAAGTGTTCAAGTTTTTAATGCGGCAGTGAATAGAAATAAATCTTGTCAATGACACATGGGGATTATCTGTTCAGCTGTTTTACGCCCTATAATAATGGCAAACAAGAGACCTTTCTGCGACTATTTATGTCAATTGAATGTTGCCAAATATTTGACTAACCTAGGTAGCCAACGCATTATGTTAGTCTCTGAATGTCTTCCTTATTTTCACTTGTTTTTGGCCACTCTCAGTAATCGTCAATCATCACTTTCGGCTGCTTTTAGAAACCGGTCTTTGGTCTTTGGTCCTTCTTCTGAAATATATGCAGTGCATGAGACGAATAAGTAGGGCGAGTTAGATGGACCAGAACAATCAGAACACACTGGCAAATTTGCGTCTATTCACTTCCGTGGCTAGCTAAAACGAATTATGCTGATTGTTCCATACGACGAGGAAGAGAGATTTGAGGGTTTGCTTCGTTGAAGCCTGTAGCCATGAAGCCATGGATTCATCCTCTGGAAACGCCGTTGACCAAATGCTGTCGTCCTTCAGGCTCGGCTTGACGACCCCAAACACTCGATGTGCTCCTCGATTGAGGTCTTGTGCACTGGCATTGGTTTGACACCATTCCGTTCTGCCAGATGACTCTCGATACCGAATAGACGGGACATTTCCTCCAGTGTACGTCCTCGGGTTTCAACTGTTCGTTCTGTCAGCGGCATCGCAAGTTTGACCCAGTGGGTCATACATCCACGTACCCAGCGCGTATCGGACGAAGAAGAAAGCCGCCACACAAATCGCAGTGTAAATGATATACAATCCCCAGCCAATGGCATCCGCGATTGGTGGACTCGCCTGGGCCACGATATAGCATGCTGTCCAGAGAGAGGCAGTGGTCAGCGCATTGCCTTTGGCACGCATGGAGACAGGGAAGATTTCGGCTGCATATGTCCACGACCCAACCCCCCAACTGATATTGAAGAAGACATAAAACAGATATGGGAAGATTATAATGGTATAATTCGCAGGATCACCCGGACTGTGCTCTGCGTGCCACTGCAGTACAGTGATCCCGATCATTGCCCCCATCATCCCAATCGTTCCGATCTGTAGCCACACTTTTCGCCCTAGTCGGTCGAAGAAAAAGATAGGAACCCATGAGAAGACGAAGAGGACAATGCCGACACCACCGGTCGCAAGGTTGGCTGTGCGAGGATCTTTGATTCCACCACGCTCAAAGAGTGATGGCTGAAATAAAGTCAGTCCTGACCTCTTCACGTATCGAACAACGACAGCCTAAACTTCGAAAAACATCGAGATGAAGAACAACTTACCGTGTAGTAGAGAATAGAGTTGGTGCCAGTGATCTGTTGAAAGAACTGGACGCCCATTCCCAGCAGAGTCACGCGCAGCACCGGCATCGCAAACATATCCCCCCATGCGACCTCGCTGACGGCGTGCTCAAAATCGATGGATCTTTGGATTTCCTGCATTTCCCGCTCTGCCGCCTCTGAGCCATGAAGTCGAGTAAGAACTTCGCGCGCACAATCATGCCGGTCTTGGCTGGCCAACCATCGAGGGCTTGGAGGCAGCCAAAACCAACAGCCCAGTCCCAGAACCACGGCAGGAAGAATTTGGATGGCAAGGGGAATGCGCCACCAGCCGTCAATCTCCAGGAAGTTACATCCGTAGTTGATCCAGAACGCGACAAGTTCTCCGAGACAGAGAATCATCTGCTCGATGGCGACAATTCGTCCCCGGATCGCAGGAGGCGAAAGTTCGGCCACGTACAGAGGAACCCCCCGGCACAGGCGCCGACTCCGTAGCCCAGGATGACTCGCCCGATGGTCTGTTCGTTTCAGTACAGATGAACTAGAGACTGTGGATGACTATGCCCCAGTTACTCACAATCTGTGCAATTGAATACGAAACGGTTTGAAGTATCGCTCCGACGATGAACACGAGACACGCCACAGCCAACGTTCGTTCACGACCGATCGGGTCCGCGAGATAGCCGAGCGACATGGCTCCAATGAAACATCCGACATCGTAGAGTGAGACAACAGTTCCCGTCACCCCTGGATAGGGTCAACAAACAGAAAAGGAGATCCCAGTTGGCCCTCGAGACTCACAGGAGTTCTTCGGATGCATCAGATCGATCCATCGCTTGTCTGCCACGATCACCCCCATCACCCCTTGGTCATACCCGAACAGAAACGCGCCGAGCGACACAAAGGCCGTTACAGCATAGAGATAGGCGTTGCTTGCTATGCGGACCTGGGACGAGTCAATCCCTGGAGGTGGCAGGATAGGTTTGGTCTGCTTCAAAGAGATCATCATGGCTGGATGCTGAAGAAGAGATAAGAAATCTGGCAAATATACGAGAGACGTGGAGGGTGCCTCGTGCTTTATAGAACATACCCTGTGTATCAAGGTATGGGGACGTCCGGTATAGAAGCCCTAGCCATCCCCAGTTTCCCCAGTTGGAGGTCGACTTTCTGGGGTAGCAAAAGCTCTTTTACCCTCGGCAATAGTCCGACCCTGTACCTTGAATGACGACTTTCGGGGTGTTGCGGGCCAAAATGCCCCGTTCTGTGCCAATCAAGGGCTGTTTGACGAACAAGTGGTTGATCTTGTTCCCGGACAGGAGCAAAACAGGCAATTTTCCCCCGCGATTGTTTTGGTCTGTGCTTTCATGCCTACGGGGAAGCGTCAATGGCTTACTCCTTCGGCAGTCGAGCACTGCGAGGGCTCTGCGATGCTGCTCGATGCGGTCTTCGCAATGGTGATATTCTTCGAGGCCTTGTGACGCCGGTTGGGGCCGTCTTCATGTAATGATGTTACTATATGTATCAATTCGAGACAAGGCCGATACAACCATTTCTAGGGTGTCGGCGATATCTCCAACGAGGGAGACGATCGCGGGAAGTGCTTAGTTATCTACTTCGTGATTTCTAGAGTCCTTCCAATTATCAAGGCCGTTTGATCACCAGTTTATCGTTACAGGCTGACTTACCCGTGCACCAACTGAGTAAAATACTTCAGGGAGTAAGGGTCACGTATCACGCACACGTCGTACCGGACGCAAATGATCAGTTTCTCAACAAAGACAAATAAGAAACTATAACTGAAGCACAGCATATTCAAGGCAATACTAAAGTCTCAGGCAACGTCTGATGGTGAGGGTATTGCCTGCTTGGCGACCTGCGGAGTGGCAAGAAAATTGATATGAGACAGTGCCGCTTTGAGGAATATTTGCCTCAGACGGACGCGCATCGCATTCGTCTTTATGTCACTTTTGCAGGGCGACAATGCTATTCTTGAATCCTGATATTACCATTTGATCAATTCAATATTGTGGTGGGGTTTTCTCATTTCCAGCATTGAATCCGAATCCCATGGAATGTGCTTCCTGTGTGGATGCATACGACCCGTGCGACCATAGCAGCCTGGGAATGGAATGCGGTAATAAAAACACCGCCCGGAGGGATGTGAGATTTGAAGATACGTCATATCGAAAGATTGACTATTTATTCAAGATTACCATGCTTGAAAGATGGATAGCCCAATGTTCCACGAAGATACGTGCCGAAGGTGGTTCGCTCCTGCTGGGTCTGGAACCCCCGCTGACTACATCAGCTTCACTTCAATTGCGCTGCACGATGAACTGTCTTCTTCGTCTTCGAGGGCGCCGCCTCAATAGGGCAGCGCTTCTCGGAGTGATGATGCCGGCAATTGTGTTGTTTGGATATAATCAATCACTCCTGGGCGGAGTCTTGGCTTTACACAACTTTGAAAGACAATTTAGCGAAATTGATGTGACCGATGCGCCCTCGACAAAGACACGGTCAAAGGCAGCCCTTCGGGGTACGGTGGTGGCTCTGTACGCCGTAGGTGGGCTTTTGGGGTCTCTTCTCTGCATCAGTCTGGGTGATGTCTTTGGGCGGCGCCGAGTTATCATGGTGGCAGCTACAGTTCAGATGTTCGGAGCAATATTAATGGCCAGCGCTTTTTTTTTCCCCAATTGATCGTCTCTCGCCTCATCCTTGGCCTCGGAACCGGTGGGCTGTTGGCAACTGTGCCAGTTTGGCTATCGGAAATCTCCTGCACCAAAAAGCGAGGTGCTCACGTCGCGACTACGGGTCTCTTCACTGGTATAGGCGCTTCTCTAAGTCTTCTGGTAGACCTAGGAATGTCTTTCACCTCGGGAAGTGTGACATGGCGTCTTCCATTTAGCCTGCAAATTGTTCTATCCCTGTCGGTGATCGGCTTCATTTCATGCCTTCCAGAATCTCCTCGTTGGTTGCTTCGGCAGGGTCATACTGAGAAAGCCCGACAGATCTTAGCACGGCTACAAGATGTTGAAGACAACGATAATAGAGTCGAAGCGGAGATCCACGATGTACAGTCATCACTGAAGCTGGCGGGGGAAGGGTCCCTGGCGCAAATATTTCGTATGGGCCCTCAGCGAGTTTTTCATCGAGCTATGCTTGCTGCGGCGGTTTTGCTTTTTTTGCAACTCACTGGAGTCAATGTCATCACTTTTTTCAGTATGAAATCTTCTCTCTGCTTCGTGGTTTGGTACCTCTAACGCCTTGATTCTTCTAGCCAATATCATATTTGAGAATTATCTCATGTTGGGCTCGCTGGAGTCGAGGATTCTCGGCGTAGCTTATCAGCTCGTGAGCCTCGCCGGGGGGTTCTTTTGTATTTTCACCATCGAAGACTTTGGGCGTCGTGGATTGATGCTGGCAAGTGCGGCGGGCAACGCTATCTGTTTGGCACTTGTGGCCGGGTTGAGCTCTCAACCAGAGAACAAAATGGCAATGCATGGCGCAGTAGTCTTCATCTTTGTTTATCATTTGACGTTTATCGTTGGGTTTGGGGGCGTTCCTTTCCTCTATGTCAGTGAGATTGCCCCGTTACGGATGCGCACCACGATCAATGGAATTGCTGTCGGCATATTCTGGGTCTTCAGTGCTCTAATTGCCGAGATCACCCCTATTTCCTTCGATACCCTGCAGTGGCGGTTCTTTCTCGTCTTTGCCGGGCTGAACCTTGTCATCATGGGCGTCGTCTATTCTCTTTTCCCAGAGACCGCCGGCCGTAGCTTGGAAGAGATTGATCAAATCTTCATCTCGTCTCAGAATATTTGGGACTCTGTTCAAGTCGCCAAGCATCGAGACAGTCGGGGTGTCGGGGGCCAGAACTCGAGAGAGGGATGTGTTCGAGCGAACACAGGTGAGGATACTCATGATTGAAATCAATTCTTGCCAGAATTGCATGAGTTTTTCTGTACAGGTCGAACGAATTTGGGTTGAGAAACCATCAGGCAGCCTGGGACTGTTTCAGAAGGCCCATGATACCATTCGTTCAGTGTTGCGATAGGATAGGGCTTAATATCCACATCTAGATACAACCGACCAGGATTGGCAGAATATGGGACTTCGGAGTATTGAACGGGATAGAATTATACCTGAAACTGTCTGGGTGTATTCTTTCGCGGGAACACAAATTGTTAGGTATACGTAGGACTTGTTTCGAGCGGTCGGGTTGGTGCGGATTCTTTTTCATAGGCTCCTCTGCCTAGGATCACCCGCACATTTATATATCACTCCTCCCCCCTGAAACATCAGAAATGAACAATAAAAACTCTGTGCCATGTAGAAATGAGGTATCCAATTTTAAACTCAGTCATTTCATACACAGGTTGATACTTCATCGTTAAAACTAAACCGAATATGCGTACTACGTATATTTTGAATGTACATACGACCTACGTATATGGATGGTCGATGATGGGGTTTCTCGGGCCGAGTTTGCCCCTTCTCCAAGCGGTCGGGCAACCCGCCGTGCCGAACCCCGCAGTCCCCCAAACTCTTCCCCGCTCCAACTCCAAATTTTCAACGCCAGAATTATGACCGCGGCGAGGAAGATCAAATGCTGGTAACTACCGAAATCTCCTTCTATAATTGATCTTATCTGACAATATCCAGTGATCCCTGTCGAAGCTTGCATCATAAATGTGAGGCCTCTCTCGCTCTCGTACCCCGACACCGCTAACGTTTCTGGAAAGGTGACGGGATCCTTCCACAATGTGGTCGTTGTACACGAACCGGACGTGCATGTGTACGAGGCCAACGGGGGGCACGATTCAGATCGACCCAGGGACGAGGACCACGGACTCGATTTCCACGCAATCAGGTTTGGCTCAAGCCACCACCTCGAGGTTGGATCCGATCTGCCACTTCTTCATTCAGCAATGCCTGACCTGCATTCTTCTGTCTTTTCGTGTATGTAGTTGACTTTGTGCTCGAGTCTGGAAATGGTGAGCCGGATGACCTAGTCGATCTGTCTGTTGACTTCCGGTCTATCCACGATGCTCGGTCTGCCTCCGGTCATCCCGCGAGTCATCCGTCCAGCCCGAGCCCTGAACGTGCGGTGCTCCCTCCAACTGCGCCATATGAATACCCCAACGTTTCGGACAGAGGCCGATAAACCACAACATCCGATTCTCGCCCAAACTGGGAAAAGCCGGGGAATTTCCACCACGCAGCGCTCATGGCCCTTAAGAGACCCAGAGGAGGCTTATCTTCTGAAGAATTTTGTGGATCGGATTGCATCGTTTGTACGTGGGAACCTGCATTCGGTTGAAGAGAAGCTTCTGATCTGACCAATATTCCAGTTTGATTGCACGGATCGACTGCAACATTTCGCGGTACACATCCCCTATCGCGCCCGTTACTGCAACACCTTGTTCAACGCTGTCATGGCCCTTTCGGCGCGTCATCTAAGCAATACGAGCCAATTCGACCCCTACATATCGGATCAATACTATCAAGCTTGCCTGGAGACTCTGATTCCTGCATTGAATGACCACGGGGTCACCATGGATGACGATCTACTGGCGGCCACCGTTGTTCTCCGTTTACTGGAGGAATTTGATGGTGAGTGGTGGAGCCTCCCCCACTATGCTATTCTAGGAGTTTGAGTTGACGGCGATCGTAGTCCCACTGGCGGGATTTTCCTTCGGGACCAAAGCTTTCATTCAGGGTCCACCACCCTCTGCTTCCACCGCTCCAAGTTTACGACAGGCAGTCTACTGGAGTGGTCTGCGTCAGGAAATCTACAATTCGTTGAGTCTACAACAGGCCCCCGATATTGATCTCAGCTCCCTCCACTCACTCTTTACCGCACTGGGACCGAACGCTGGTGACTGCGTATGGGCAAACCAGGCCATTGCACACTGTGCCGATGTTTTATTATTCTCCTTTGGCACGGGCCCTCGTTCGGTGGCAGTGCATGCCGATTTGCAGAAGCAGAACCAACAATGGAATGATGCCCGCCCGCCGTCGTTTGATCCCTACTACGTGGGTGACGATGAGGTGGAGATTGGGACGACTTTTCCCGACATTCGGTTCAATTCGCCCTGGCATGGTAAGAACCTCGCTGGGGACTTCCAGTCCTGGAGTGAGTGGTTGACGATTTGTTCAACGAGAGACTAATCATCAAATGGATAGCAATTGGCAACCAGTATCACGAATTGGCGAAGATCTTGCTTTGCGTGCATGATCCCGGCATCCCCACGGTGGGACCCTTGAGGCGACGATTTGCGCAGGAAGCGGATGTAAGTCAGAAGAGGGCTTGTGCGAGCTGGGTCTGCTACTCCTATACCCTGATTTGATTTGAGATTAATGTTCTTCCAATTCAGGATGAAATCCGCCAGGGTGTTTGGACGGTCTGTGGCGTGGCACTCTCGAATGGAACTGTCCCACCTGCAATGGTTGTTGGGTGTATGGCGGTTCATCTATGTAAGAGATTGCGCTGTGATCTGATCATGGGTCGAGAGCAACAGAGTCCAGACTGACTGGTGGATTCTCCAGGTGGTGATCGGTTCACAGATCGACAGGAACAAGAGCAGTTGATTCAGGTTCTCATCCGGACGACTAAGTTGCATGGGTGGCCAACACATGCGCTCCAGCGTCAACTTTGGGAAACCTGGGGGATGGACTGAAGAAGATCGGCGGCGCTCCATGGTGGCCATAGTTTCCTTTCTCTCATGGGAAGGTTGTTCTGAAAGGGGTCTTGTTCCCGGTGGTATGGGTACCTGCCTGGGGAGTGGAAGGCGCATCGACACTCCATTCTGAACCAGACCTTCTGTTCCCACCCCCAAGAGTATGCTATTTTCGAAGAACTGATCGCATAACTGGCCCCCACCAGGACCACGAGGGTGATGAGCTGAGATGTTGGCCAGAGGCTAAGGGATCCTTTCGGCGACGCGAAGGCACCAATGCGATCATACCAGTCACATCCAAACGGAAGAATCAGCCGACACGCACCCTACCAGTGGACCAGAAGATCGATCTTATTTGCGATACTCTTTCGGGGTCTGCTCAATTCGGCCAAGGCTCTCTAGCGACAAGAGGGTGAAATCTTTCTGCCCTTCACGCCATTGGGGCCACGGAGGTGGGGGCAGAAGGCGGGATTTATACGCCTACCGAATATGCAGGAACGGTGCCAGCCTGGATGGTGGGTGTTTGTACATAGAGAGTCCCAGGAATCCGAAGCACAGATCACTCCACAATCAACAACCAGAGCGGATTCGGACTTCAGGAATAGAAAATCTATACAATTCAACTACGGACGGCGAAGACCGGCACTCCGAGAAAAGAGCGCTAGTCGCGTTGGATGCAAGGCACTGCCTGTCAGCATGATTGCCCGGGACGTCGCGTCTCGCTCCTTTTCTTCTATTCTTATTTGTCCCCCTTTTCTTTTGTTATTGTTTTCCTTCGCCCCCGGGAAAAAATTTGCAATTTCTGGCCCCCGTCCACTCTTGGGCCCTGTCGAAATGCTTCCGATATTCCCGATGATTGGTAGTTGGCACAACATCATCAGGCACCAAAGAATGCCAGTGGAACCGCAGTGAACCTCTAGAAGAAGAGATTGTGTGAGATCAGGTTGCCCTGTGCTCCGTCCTCCGTTACTTCGTACTTCAGCAGGACCCTGGACTCGACAGAACGCCGGGGCTCCACTTTGGGGCTCTCTTTCCCTCCCGTCTGCTGAATGGTGGACGGGCGAAGTGTACGGAGCACGGAGACTCCGTATGCAATGCGATCGTGATCGGCTGCTTCCCCCCTGGACACAGGACAAATGCAGCGGCAATAGCAACAGCAGGACGCTGTGAAGGATCTACATTTCGGAGCTGAATGAATATGTGTAGCTCGGCACGGAGGTGTTCGTTCTCATTGCTTCTGCTTACGCGCCTCGCATCTCGTCACAATCTCACTGTGCCGAACGAGAGCGAGTGAAGTGAACAAAGTGACTCGGGAACCCCTGAACCATCATTTACTTGGCCGGCTGGCCAATTCCATGCGTCGCATCCCGCCAAGTGGGGATCGTGCACAACCGCACTTACGAATCCTCTGTCCGCACTGGAGACGCCACGCACTAGCGGCGTCGCACCGGGTCCTGGCATGGCCCGCTTGGGTTCTAGCGCCCTGCTCTGCTATGCTAGCACTGCGAGATGCGCCCGCGATCGACCACTTTTCGAGCGACCCTGGGGTTCGAGCCATTTCAACTGGAGTTTCCTTTCTGGAACCTCTCGAAAGAGTCCCTATCAGGAACAACGGGCATCACACTCCACATCCCCTGGAACCTTTTCCCCAGGATCATCACGAGGGTGTTTGTATTCCGTCCACATCTCGCATCCATTATCATAGACCTCTTCGCTCTCTCTGTCCCCCCGAGCATATCGTGCAGGGAGAGAGATCCTCTAATCCACCCCCCGGGCCGTGGTCTCCCTCTCCCCGCGGCCGTTCAATGAAGCTCGGGCAGCTGGCCCGCTGAAGTTCAATGACCCCCAGTGGTTCCCGGACAATTAAACCATTTGACCCAACATGGCGACGAGTGATATGGGCTTCCTGCCCACCATCAAATGCTCTAATTGCGGACATAATGTTGAAATCTCCGTCATGGGCGACCATGTGTGCGCCCCAATCGACCATGGTAGGCTTTCCGTGAGACATCGTGAAGACATTCCGACGTCGTTGACTCTCGGTCTCTCTCGTGCAGCCCCTATCGCGACAATTCCTCCATCACCTCCCCCTTCGGCGGGGCTCGATGCTCCCGATCGGTTGACCACCGCAATGGCAATGAAGACCGGTCGGTCTGGTGCGCCGCCTCGCATCGACCCAACCATTGCAAGTATGTCTGGAAACATCACACATGCCGGAAGGGCGCCGAAGTTCGACCTGAGAACGGTGCGATAGCTGACCCTGTATTTAGATCGCGCTTTTCTCCAGCCAAATGTGCCTACGCCGGCGAATAGTATTGGATCGCATCTGCCGTCTCCTTTATCTGCTACGTCGGCCCCTCGATCACCTCTGCAACCGTCGCCTCGCAGCCAGATCACCCTGGATAATGAGTCCGTTATAGACTTAGATTCGGTCTTCTCGTTTCCTATGCCGGGGAACCGGCCGCCGGCTCGCGTCGGAACCCCTGGCCTGATGGTGGATGTCTCAACACGATCCGCAGCCCCAACTCCTTCTCCACGGTTGGGACTAGATTTAGTGCCGGAGAATGTTCAACTACCACCGAGCCCCCTTCCTCCGCCGCCAGAGGAGTCAATCGATATGGGACATCACCGATCTGACTCGATAGCCAGTCATAGTAGCTATCGCACATCTCTGGCAAGCACCCGCTATGGAAGCTCAACGGCGAGGTCATCAACGCACAGCTTTTCACGTGGCTTCCGAACCTTCATGGATGACACGCCCCCTCTACCTCCGGCGCCTCTCCGAACTCCCAACAAATCGACTTTCCCTCGAGACTCCCACCTGTCAGTGGCGTCCTTGTCCTACCCCAGCGAGCGTGGAGAGACGTACAGTGGATTTGATTTTGGAATCCCAACCGACCACTCCACCGTGTTACATGACCTTCCTGAAGAACGCTCGCCAGACGAACCAAGAAATACCGACAAATACGACTTTCCTCTACCCCCGCAGGATCATCTTCACCCGGCAGCTGCAGAAGCAAGCAGTGAAGTCTCACGGAGAACCTCTGATGCGACGATTGAGAGTGCTTTCTCCATCACCAATTTCGCGCGTGCTCTTGGACTGGAAGAACAGGTACAAAAGGCCGAAAGCTCCACCTCCGAGGACGAATCACACTCGTCACCTTCTGAGACTCAAAGCGGGAGCTCCATGTCTAGTCTCCCGTCGGATACTAGCTTAAACCGGCATAAAGCCTCAGACCCATTGAATTTAAGCCCTCTCGTTGAGGAACTTCCCCCCAGAACACGACAGACCATTCTCGAGTTGCCCGGCCGGATGCGGAGCCCGATGGATGAAGTGCCGACTATCCCCGCAGCATTCTTCAGTCCTGATTCCCCTACTGACCCTGCAATTGGGCGAGGTGGCTTGTCCTTAATTGCGGAGAGGCATGACGCAATTTCGACCTCGCAGCATACTCAGCAAGCCCCACGAATCCAGGGACCCCAAGAACAGCAGGAGTCCCAGGAGCCACAAGAAGTTCAAGAACCCTCCGAGCCTCTGCGACCTCTACAGCGTGCCGCAACAGCCCCAATACCTCGTCCGCCGACTCGCTCGGGAACTCGGTCAAAAGGAAACTGCAAGGGATGTGGGGAGATCATTACTGGAAAGTCGATCTCATCTTCTGATGGTCGCCTCACCGGTCGCTATCACAGGGGGTGCTTCGTCTGTTTTGAATGTTCCTCGCCATTTCCAACCGCCGATTTCTATGTCCTCAATAACCGCCCATACTGCGCTCAACATTATCACGAACGCAATGGATCCTTGTGTTCTACCTGTCACAATGGCATTGAAGGCCAATACCTGGAAACTGTCGATCGCAATGGCGGCCAGCCTGACCGTCGACGCTTCCACCCCGACTGTCTACAATGCCGCACGTGCCATGTTCTACTTCAGGGTGACTATTTTGAATGGAATGGTCAAGTCTACTGCGAACGTGACGCCCGTCGTGCCGCAAATGCGTACTACCGCCCACCGCCGGGTCCTCCCGTTCCCTCCGGTCACCTCGGGCCGCCTGGTCGCCGTCGCCCGACAATTGGATCATCTCCATTGTCTCAATCTCGTGCATATCCTCCACCTGACGGGTACTTCCCGCCTCCCTCCCCAGCTCCCAGCAGCGGAGGGCTGCGCCCTGGTCCACGATTCCCCTCGGGTGGCGCGCGACGTTTTCCCGAACGAAGAACCACCAAGCTTATGATGATCTAAAGAAACTGGTGCCTGCTAAAGTCTGAGTCACCTAGCAATTGTTTTTTTGCGCCTACCTTTTTGCCTTACTTGCCCAAACCTATTGCTCCTATCCTAAAGAGGCCGGATTATTTAATAGCCTCATTTGTCATTCGTTTCATAGACAGCGTTATACCCTTCTGCCTTTTTGCTCCCCCCTTCGCCCACCTTGGCTGTGGACGACCGGCGTTGATCGCTCTACTCCCTGAATCACGGGGAATCTTTTCATGTATTGATACTTCTTTCTGCACTTCGTTTTTCATACCTATACCTGGGATCAAACATTCGGGTTGGTGTTGGTCATTTCTCTTTCTGTTTTCTATTTTTTTTATGTTATTTGCTCACGGTAATGTCGATATGTGCACAGTGTACATTGTTCCATGGGCTCGGTACTTGGCTGGCGGTGTTTGGTATGGGCTGGGTTTGAATGAACACAATATTTACTGCAAAACACCCGAAATTAGACGACATTGTGATCCCATATTTCACAAGATGTCCCTCGCATTAGCTCCTGATATCATTGTCGAAAAAAAAGAATTCATCCAAGTTTACGCTCGTCAAATTGAACACGCTCGACAGCAGGCAGATATTTGAATCTTAAAAGCCACCCAAACACCAGGATAAAGGCGGTAACGATCCAGATTTGAGCTCGTTGGCCAAGGGAGAGTCGGTCTAATTCGGGGTCTTGTGCAGCGTCTGGCCCGTTCGCTTTGTCTTTCTTCCATTCCTCACAAACTTGGCGAAACAGAGCTGGGTCATCAGTGATGATCCCGTCTACATCATGGCGTATGCCCCATCTCATGAGATTGGGCGCATTCACCGTCCATAAATAGACTGGCCGCCTCGCAGCCTTGGCCTCTTCTAGGAACCCCCGACCCAGCGGACCCATCAAGACTTTTTGGTTGATATTGAACGAGATCCGAGGGACCTGGAGGAACTGCCGCGCATAACTTAAGTCCACGCAGATCAAAGTCATTGCATACCGCGGCAAAAACCGGGCACGTTGGGGTAAGTATCGAGCTGACCAGCAGCCAAGCACGATACGACGATGCCAGTCGGGGCCGATGGCAGGAATAGGAACTGATTCGACAACTTCGGCGATCTTTTGCATGATGGTCGCTGGGTCATTGTCAAGCTGTTGTCGAGAATCAGGAAATCTACCCCGAAACAGACTAGGAATGGTTCTCAAAATTTAGAAAGGCTCACTTTTATATCGAGTAGCACCCAAATGTGCTCACGGCCTGGCTGTCGTAGGTACTCGAGAACGTCTAGCAGTCGTGGCATCGGCTCGTATGGAGCTTGCAAGGTGCGAAGCTTTTTCAAGTAGTCCCAATCACAGTCAATGATTTTCTTCCTGACCCCGAAGCATCGCTTCAAGTTTGCATCCTATGACTGATGAGCATCATGCGAACAGACACCGGGCATTCGGATTTCGCGCTCCCGTTGCTTACATGCGATAGCACGACAACTCCATCCCTAGTCAGGTGCAAGTCGAGTTCCAACGCGTGAGTTCCTGCCTGGACGGCTCCTTCAATCGCACAGATTGTATTCTCTGGAAATTTCCCCTTGTATCCTCGATGGGCGATGGTGTGTGGCAGGCGCGGGGAGCCATGCGTCCCCGGTGTATGGAGAAAATGTGCTTGAGAGACATGAGTTACGGCCGCCGTTCGGCTCAGAATGATACCAACCTGGGATACTTGGGGAATTTCCCTCCTGGATTGTGGTCTGATCGGATGCCATGATCGCAGACTCGAGCAAGGTGAAGAGCAAGGGAAACGGTGGAAGCGGCCATGGCGGTATTTATGGACTCGGACTTTGGGCGGAGTTTAGGCGTCCCGCAGTCTGTAGCCTTCCGGGATACGGGCCAGTGAGAATCAGCGAAACTCGAGACTCGGTGTGCAGGTGGGTGCTGTGCACGTAGTTCCAGGTCTTCCGCCTTCTGGAACCATGTAGTTTACCGACCAACACCGAGCATGAGGCTGGAGAGGTTGGAATAGAGCTGGCACCTGCCCAGCCGATCTCGCCAGTTCAACCAAGTGTAAAGTTGGAGGTCGATGACTCAGCGATGCCTCCAAGTCTCAGAGTCCGAACCTCTCCAAATGCTCTCCAACTCGGCAACTGATCATGACGCCGATGCATTATTAATGATCAATAAGAGCACTAGAAGACAGAAAAGATATATGTCAAAGGTTGACAATCAATTCTCTTTCTCTCTTACTGTCGCCCAGCTTTTATCCCGCCATGTTGATTCAGCAATGGGTGACGCCTCTCGAGGGCTTGGACAGTCTTCGGCAGACCGAAGTTCCAATGGTAACCCCAGGACCCGGGGAAGTGTTGGTTAAGATTCATGCCGTGTCATTGAATTATCGCGACGTGGAAGGTCCGGAACAAGCTCCATATCCACATTATTAAAAGATTTACTAATCATCGGGTGATTGTAGTCACCAAGGGAGAGTACAAGCACCACAAGACCGCAGAGCAGAATGTGACGATTGTGCCGTGCTCAGATATGTGCGGTGTGATTATCCAGCTTGGATCTGACGTGTCCCAATGGTCCGTTGGCGACCGGGTGCTGTCGACTTTCTTGCCCGAGCATCAGACCGGCCAAGTGACAGAGACGGAGCTCGCTGGTAGTCTCGGCCTTCCCTTGAATGGAGTCCTCGCGACACATCGGGTCTTCCCTGCCTATGGTCTCGTTCGTGCTCCGATATACATGTCGGATGAGGAGGCGAGTACATTGCCCATTGCGGCAGTAACTGCGTGGATGTCGATCAACGGGATGCGACCACAAGGACAGAATGGCGGGCAGGGCGAGTATATTCTGCTGCAGGGAACGGGAGGTGTTGCCATTGCAGGGTTGCAAATCGCGAAGGCATCCGGTGCCAAAGGTAGAGACTTATTGTGTTTCACCAGTGACAAAACAGGACCATGGAGCTAACTTCCGGGCGATAGCCATTATAACTTCCTCGTCCGACGTCAAGCTCGACCAGGCGAAGCAGCTCGGGGCTGATCTCACCATCAATTATCGAACGACTCCGAATTGGGAAGCAAAGGTGATGGAATGGACGCAAAACCATGGAGCTGATATCATTCTGGAAACCGGAGGCGCCCAGACGCTGAGAAAGAGCTTTGATTCTGTTGCGTTTGGAGGACTCATCTCCTGCATCGGGTACGTCTCGGGCAAGATCGACCCGGTGGATGATCGGTTGAATGTTAATATCCTCGCCTTACGCCGGACGGTGACACTCAAAGGAGTCATCAATGGCCCCAAGGACCGTTTTGAAGAGATGGCCCGCTTCTATGAGACGCATCAGATCCACCCGGTGGTGCATCGCATCTTTCCGTTTGCCGAGGCCAGGGAGGCATTTCAGTTCCTAGAAAGTGGCAGTCACTTTGGAAAGGTAGTGATCAAGATCCAATCCTAGAGAACAGGAGCAGGGCGTGATGGGAGATTTGATTATATAGGAGCAAATATATCGATAGTAAATGACATGACTGTATCTGATGGCCAACGAGTGCCTATAATGCTCGCCCTCATCCGTATTCTCGCTGTATCAAGTTTACTGGTCATTTCGACTGGGCTCCAGGATCCCTTCTGCAATACCCAGGTCCTCCTTCAGCGCTGCTCCACCCACCGTAAGTGGTTTGCAGTCTTGGAGGACAAACACCATGCGCGCCCATTCGGTTGCACTAGGATTGCGCCAACCATGCATGGTTGCGCGTTGTACCGCAACGTCTCCGCGTTGCATCAGCACGGGATCTCCGTCCTCCAGCACCATTTCCACCTGACCTTCTAACACGATGCCGTAGTCCAGACTTTGGGTCCGGTGTACCACGCACCGGTTATCGGGGGCAAAGTCGACGATGCGGCATACGGTGCCTTTGGGATTGACCAAACCCAATTGACCCGAATTGACCACCGTCTGGTGGGTAGCCAGGTCCAAATCTTGGTTCAGATCCGCCGGGAACTGCGAGGTCGTGTAGATCACATCGAATGCCATATCATTCTCGTCGTAGGATTTCCACTCACCGGGGGTGGAAGAATGAAGGACGGCCTTGCCTTCTTCATTGTGGGTGGTGATGTGGCGCGTAAGTGGCCGGAGTGGGGAGATTTGACCAGGATTTGACATCGTTCCAGATTGATGATTCCAGAGATTCGTACCAGATGCAAGGGAGGACCGCAATGAAGTTGAGGCGGCGAGCACTCGGAACTCGAAATCTTGGAAGGAAAGTAGAATACTGAGTAGGTCGAGGACGGTGGAAGTGGTATTTGAACTCTGCTCACTTGAGCCTTTTAAGCTGTTGCAAGGACCCGTGAGACTCCGATCAGCGAGGGACATACGCCTTCTGCTGTCCCACTTTCAATGCAGACACCCAACATGCTGACCAGCGGTGAAGGGAGACAATCGAATGCTGACTGATTCTCGCCCGCCAAAAAATTGCGGTCGGATTTAAGTGATGAGCTCATTCTGAACCGAGGCGACATTGAATGTTCATCGTTAATCAGAGGGATGTTGTCCAGGATAGTGTCCTGATGTCCTGATGTCCTGATTGTTGTCGTGCTTGCCAGGACCGACTGAAGTTCAGCAACCCCGTCCAATAGTAACGTGATCCAGTCGAGTTTGAAAGACCTCTTCCAGGAGATTGTCAGGACCAATGACTTTTTATGGCCTCCCCATTGGCATTCACCCCCGGCAGCCAGAGACCTGGACTAAGGCGCGCCTTCAGTCACTCCTTGGCCTGGCCAAGGATGAAGCAAACATCGACGTTGATTACTCTGCGTCCTTCTAGACCCGTCTTCTGCCCTGGTCTTACATGATCAGGATTTCTCTCCTTCTTCACTCGGTTCCTGTCAGCTCGCAAGCACGGTTGATAAGACCACCTCCCGCGCCCTCCCGTCGAGGGGCCCATTTCCTACGTGGGCATTTCCGAAGTGGAGTCGCCGCTATCTCTGGTTACCCCAGAGGACAAAAGCTCCCCCCACGTCTGTTCGCGGGGTTAAAGGAATCTTTAGCGTGGGATGGAAGAGCGCCCCAGGGCAGATGGCTACCCCGTGACCTAAACATTACTTTACACCAAATAGGATCAGAGATCTATGAGTTCGACAGTATATGTACGCTATTTACACGACTCGTGGATTTTCCTCGGAATTTTAGATACAAGAGAATGGAGACTGGAAGGGATGGGAGCAACAAGCGACAGCAGAGACAAGAGAGGTAACGGAACATCCCACGCAATCCAGATTATACACTTCTTTGATTCACATCCGTCAAAGAAACCAGCGGAATTGCGGCGAGGAGGGCCCGTCGCGCATGCGCTCGGTGGGGATGTCTCGCGCTTGCATGGTCACCCCGTCCCGTCGGTCGCGTCGTTTGTTGTCCAGCCACATGTACAACCCCAGCAAGCCGGCCAGACAGGCCCCTGTTGCGCCAAAGGCCGAAACGGTAATCAAGGCCGGCATGTACTTGGGGGCATCCTGCTCCCGAAACACATTGCTACTGACCAGACCCATCAGGTTGGCTAGTGGCACGCCGATACTGGTCAACAGCACTCGGCGGCCCTCATGGGCGATGTTGTTATTGTACCAGGTGCTCAGCATGACGGAGGGCGCTGAAGTGCCCCAGGTCATCATGAAGGTCGCGAAATAGGCTAGCTGCAGCTGTTGGTGCACATCATCGATGGAGGCATAGATCATGAAGCCGGCGAACGTGAACAAGAACCCGAGCACAATGAACGGCGAGCGGAGGCGCGTGTAGTCGGAGCAGAAGGCCAGAACGAGGAGCATCACTGCCCCCGTCACGTTCGGGGCCACCGTGTAGAGATTGGTCTTGACGGTCGGGTAGCCTAGGCGCGCGACGATCTGCGGCATGAAGAGGGCGACGCCTTGCAGCGGTACACCCAGGCAGATTTCGATGCTGAGGAAGACATAGGTAGTGGGATGTTTGAAAATGGTAATGGCTTCGCGGAAGCGGAACTTCTCATTGACGACGGCGCTGGAGTCGACCTGAATGCGGTGGAAGGCGAGAGCCTTCTCCTCCTCGGACAGGAAGTTGGCCTCGGCGGCACTCTTGGGCAGGTAGAAGAAGGCGAAGACAGCAAAGAGAACAGTGACACCGCCCTCAATCAGGAACAGGTAGCGCCAATTGGGTAGCTTGGACCCCTGGATTTGAAACACCCCAAAGGCAATGAGGCCGGAGAAGGCGTTGGCGATATTGGAGGCAGCATAGAAGATGGCCAAACGGCGGGCCAGCTCGCCACGTCGGTAGAACGTAGTCAAGTAGTAAATCACCAGCGGGAAAAAAGCGGCCTCGGACATGCCCAGGAACCAGCGTAGGGCGAAGATGCCGCCGAAGTTGTTGGCGGCGGACGACAGCAGGGTGAAAGCCCCAAATGAGAACATCAGGATGGGCAGCACCCGCGCGGGGCTGAATTTCTTTCCCAGCATGGAAAAGGGTGGCGCAAAGACCACAAAGGGCACGAAGAAAATAGACAGCAGCAGGTTATACTGGTTGGGCTTGAAATGCAGATCTAGTCGCCAAATAGGAGGAGGGGAGGGTTAGCAGGAAGTACTTTCCAGTTCTATTTACAGATGAGAGCGGTACCTTTGTCCATGCCATCTGTCTTTGCATTGCCCAAATTGCCCTTGTCGAGGGCGTTGAAGAGGTCTGGGAGAGAGCAGAAAGCGTCAGATTGTGGAGCGAAAAGCGAGATCAATGGATGACACGATGGATATAAACATGCATGTCCAGTATAGCCATGTATATATTCGTATACATGTGTCAAGGCAACTTGCTCGCTGTATATATCGTATAAAGGACCGATCTATAGCACGGATTTATGCCGCATATAGGGAGATCCGGGTTGACTTCTTAGAACGATTCACGTACACATGATGGCCAGGATGGGCAGCAGTCGAATATCAAATCGGCGACACAGGCGACGTTCCGCCTTATGGTCCACCACCCGGGTGACCTCGTCGACGACCCCCGGGGCCGATGCATAGCCCTGGAGCTTGTCGGGTTCGTCCACGGTGCCAAAGGTCGCGGATTTGGCAGTGTCGTCCAGCGACGGTTGATGGGGGGGACCTGACCCCATACTGGCGAGAGAGGGAGAGAGCAAGAGAAGTGGATGAAGGGCAAGAGAGTCCCACGTTGTTCGGGCACAGGGAAAAGGGAAGAAGAAGAAGGGGTGAAGAAGTATATCTGATCCCAGCGACCAAAAAGACCGATGGACAGACCAGCCCCAAAGCACCAGACCAGCCGAGATTAATTTCGGAAAGAACAAGAACAAGAACAAAAGAGCAAGACCTTAGCCGCGCAAGGAGACGAGGGCTGGCTTCTTATCACGCTCTTACGCGGGCATCTCCCTTGGCGATCCCAAGAATGTTGCATCCCCTTGAGCCCACCCCCGAACCGGGGCCAACCAAGCCACAATCCAGCCATCAGACTACCCCCGAAACTACGCTGGACGACATACTGCACCACGCGGGGACCAATCCCATCCACGGATCCTGCTGAGCCGGAAAGAGTCTCTCTGTCGGGGGCACACCCCCACGTCTTTCTTTCTCCGCAAAAGTCCGCTGGAAGGGTCCGAGGGGCCCCACTGGGGTGGTTACTCCGTCCTTGTACTCTGTTCTCCTATCACTCCGTCCCTTGGTGCCTCTGGTTTTCTCTCCTACTGGTCGGGACCGAGACGGTTGCATCCAGCTTTACCGAGCCTGAAGAAGTTCAGCGGCGTGGGATGCGCCAGTGCAAGACGTCATCGAATGCCCGATAGAAGGCTGGACCAACCAGGATCATAGGAATTCGAGTTCATTGAAAAGAAAGGCCATAAGTGACATTGATACTATTGTAGTAGATTTATGCTCGAGTCTCTCTTTCTCTCTCTCTTTCTCTTCTTTTTGGGCAGAATGTTTCTTGCTCCTTCCATAGATCCCGCCATTCAGGAACCGCCATTGTGGCTTGCGGGCACCAGAGGGCCCACCGACCGGCCCGCGGCACTTTGAACATACCGTTTCAACGGGGTTCAAAAATGTGAGAATGTGCCAGATTCCTTCTAGAGCCTCCAAGGAAACCGTATAGACCTTTCAAGGTTCCCCTTAAAGCTAGACGGTAGATTGACGGGACCGGAATGCTGGAACTCCTGGGTGACTCCGTCGGGAGGTCATCGCGATAAGGGTTGCATCGGCGATGCATAGTCGACGGACGCGGCGACGCCAAACCACCTACCGAACCCATGAGTCGTCCGACGGCTTGGTCCCACGGCACTGGTTTGATTTAACAAATGAAGCTTCTAGAGTAAGTATCTTTTATTGACTCTGTACATTTCTACTCGACACCAATTACAGAAATACCAGAGTTTAGAAATAAGAACGTCCCAGAGAAACAACCCCCGGTCCTGGGTAGTCTCTCGGCAGCCATTCCCGCGATGAATCGCTCACCCTCGGTCGCAGAGGAGAAGCCACGGCAAGCTTATCATCTGCTTTGGCTCGCGGGAAGATACCGAGGAAGCAGGATATGAGGAGGAACGGGTTTCATGATGTGGCCCGGGCGGCCGCGTCTGCCTGGATCGCTTCTGCGGCGCGGTCCTTCCAATTATCCTCCCACCGCGATAAGGCTGGCCGGCCCTCAATGGCATCGCCCATGCTCCACTTCATTCGCGCCTGGTCCACGGCACGGTCCGTCTCGCCATCCGGACAGATGATGTAGAATGCTCCGGTTTGGAGCCCGTGGAGCAACGCCTCAGCCACCTGACTGGGAAACCACGCCCCGGCAGGTTTGGTGATCGTCTCCTCATCGGTAGGGCCGACATTACCCATCAGTCCGGTCCAGGTCCAGCCGGGAATCAACAGATGGACTGAGATGTGCGCGGTCGCTGGGTCGGAGCGTAGGTCATGGGCGAGATGTTCAGTGAGGTGCTTGATCGCCGCCTTGGAGGCATTGTAGGCGGGATTACTGCTTCCCGGCGGATTGGTGATTCCTTGCTTGGAACCTGTGATGACAATCGATTTGGCCGTCGTCGACGGAGAGGCGAGCAACAATGGAAGGAGAACTTCAAGCCCATTCAGTGGGCCTGAAACATTCGTGCCAAAAGTCTGCGAGGAAGTACCACGAGTCAATTCAGTCAGGGCGAGACCCAATCAGGGCGAAACACAATCATAGGACACCAGACCTTCTGCCAATAGTCACCATCCAGCCAGGGCTTCAACCGTTTCGCCGCGGACCCCTGGGCTTGATAGCCTTTCCCGGCGTTCAACACCACCAGATCAATCTCCGGGAACAATTTGCCAATCTGGTGAGCGGTCTCCTTCCAGAGAGCCCGGTCGGCCACGTCGAGAACAAAGACTTCGGTCATGAGGCTTGGGTTCAAATCGGCCAGGACCGTTTTGGCCTTGGCCAGGTTATCATGATCGATATCGAGCAATGCAAGGTGCATCCCTTGACTTCGACACAGCTTCGCCACGGCAAAGCCCACCCCCGAGGCGGCGCCCGTAATCACGGCTGTTTTATGTTCCTGAATCACATTCATTGTGCTGCACTTGTCCTGAATGAGGTCTACCCTTGAAAGGAACGAGAGAAAGCGAGCTTGGATGAGGGGTTGGAGGGGAACTGCCAAGCGGGCCGTGTTTATAGGGCGGTCATCACGGCGTTAACGGAGATAGGACACATTTGACCTACCTTCGATCCAATCTCAATGCGAACTACAGGTGATTCGACCAGAAGTGACTTACAGACCGGACGAGCATTATAATCGTCCAGTAGGTTTATGATAGGAGGGGGAGTTTGTGTGGTTGTGCTTCTAGCCCTGCGGTTACGCTCCCGGTTGCTTAGTTGCTTAGCAAGTTCGGCGACGCATATTTTCATTGAACTCGCCACTTGGCAGTCATTGTACCTGGGAAATCGTCTGCTGTCGGATGGTTTGCAAAGGTGATCAATCAGATCAGTTATGATGTGTGGGCGCAGACCAAAGTCCACTATACCAGAGCCAATGGCCAATATCGAAAAAGAACTCCCTAGTAAATATAGTTACCTTGATAAAGAATCTAGCTGAAGTGAATCAACCAAAGTTTACGTCGCTAATTTTTTAAATTACACATGCAATGGCAGAAAGGCCACCTCTGCCTGACTCGGTAGTGACTGCCACAGTAGAGGGTAGCCGTTTATCCGCGGCGTCTCAAACGAGTGGGCATGCTCCGTTTCTTGAACGCACCGCTGTCTTCAAGGGCCTGCGCAACGCCTGGGCCGAAATCAGGCTGACCACCCAAAGTCCCGAAGATGTCACCGATGTAGTTGCTGGGCTGCACACCAGCCGCAAAAGTTGCATCCCAGCCACGGAGAATCCCCTCCACCACCTTAATACCGGCGCGGTAGATGTTTTCCAAGGCCGGCTCAAATCCTCCCTGGTCTGCGTAAAGCAGGTTGTAAGTGGCTGGAGCCCCCGGGTAGGGTCGGTCGAAGTCCGATGCAGTGCGCATCACGATGATGCGGGAAAAGTCGGTTAAGCTGTGGAGCGAGGAACGCAGCAGAGCCTCAAGAGTGGCGTTATCCTCTTGGGCGCTCGAGCAGTAGTCACCTGTCCCGTTCGTGAACAGCTTGGTGGTGTTTTCAAAGGCGTTGCCCAGAATATTCCCACTATAGTAGACATCCGAGGTAGCCACGTCGCACTCAACCACACTCGGGGGCAAGGTGGCCGCCTTATACTCGCCGGCAACGGTGCGGTAATGGGCACGGTAGGCCTTAGCAGTTGCAGAGTCCGATAGGTTGGCCTTGCGTGCGAAGTTCGCGGCAATGGTCCGGAGATCAGAGTTGACCTCGAAGACCTCCGTGCCATAGATGCTGCTCGGATACTGATTGGGGTAGTCCGAACCCAGGGGGATGTAGCCTGTGGAATAGTTGTGGGGTAGCTCGCGAATATCAATCTCGTACTGCAGAGCAACCTGGACCGCATATCGGGCAAAGGTCGCGGAGCCTGTCGTGGTCCGCTTGGGGTTCACCCCCGCGATGCCGGCCACGAAGAAATAGGTCTGGGTGAGGTTGAATAAGGGCGAGAAGGCCACGGTGGCAACCGTGGTGGCAGCATTAATCTCCGATTCCCCCGTGATCAATTGGCAGATCTCGTAGTCTGCGGTACAATGCACATCGGGGTAGATGGGGGACAGACCCGGAATGGTGATGTTATGGGCGAGCAAGTCGAACTCCGGGATATTCCACCAGGCGTTGGCTTCCGGCTCGAACTACATGTTTCATATCAGCCCATCTTGATCTTGGAACAGCCGAAGTAGGAGCGCACATACCATGGAAACAATGAAGACTTTAGGCGCAATCTTGGCCCCGTGGGAAGCGAAATGGTTGGCTGCCGTTGCGCCCACCGTGCTGCTTACTAGCAACAGCGACGACACTAGAGTCCACGGAGAAGGCATCTTGCGAGATGATGTATCGGTGTCTGTCGCAGAGAATCCAGGCCAGGGGGCATGCGAGCGATTTTAAACCCCGTTCCCCGGAGCTCAACTTGCAGATTTTGACTGTATACACCGCACCGCTCGACCCATGAGAAGTGGGTATTCAAACTTCCCAATCCGGCAGCGATCAGCACCGGACCGCGACGAGCTTTGGTTCGGGATGGCGACAACTGGGCTGATTGGCGGCTGTCGGGCGAGCTCCATCGACTCGACCCCCTTTTCGATAAACAGCGCCAGAGCCGTCCAATGGTGTGTATCGCTGGTCGCAATCGCGACTTTGCCTTATCGGCCGCTATCGTTTGATCGGAGGTTTTGCAGCGTTGGGATCGGCGGATCCATCGCAGAGAATTTTCACTTGATGCGAATGATAATGGAATGATAACAATAGCAATCACAATGATACACACACACACTCTCTCTATTTTTCTCCTTCTTTCTCTTCCCCCTTTGATGGGTTCTCCTCGTCCTCCATGTGACTCGCTCACCCATGACCCATCGTTGCACGTCCGATTGAGAATCGTCCGGAGGTTAGATGTAGATCGGGATTGTGACCGTTGATTGATGGGCCTATATCCGGCACGGGGCGATGGCCATCACCCAATTCTTCTAATCAACAGCATACAGGGCATGCAGGAGACAATTGGAAACCATGGGAAACCAAACCGGTTACGGAACTGGCTGGGATTAGTAGCCCACCTGCTATGCGGGAGATCTGCTGCAGCGTAGCATACATCAGGATCCCAAGTCACCTCGCTAGAAGTGAGAGCCGATATTTATTTCGCGGAATCTAGTGGTTAGATGGACCTGATGAACTATCTTGTGATATTGATAATATCTGTATACCTGGCAGAATATCGAGTGGAACCCTCCTAATGATCATGTAGCCAAGTCGTCGAGACGTGAGAGCAACTCCACAGTCTGTCAGAACAACCAAAATGGTGGCCATTTTCTGACTTGCGTGTCTGTAGATTGCATGCAACAAACTCATCCAAAGTTCCCTGGACAATGTCGGCCCGCGATCGGGATCCCGTCGTGGTCTCCGTGTCTCCACGCAGGTTGGTCCTATGGTGCCTGGTGAGGTCCGATGACGCGCGGGGCTCAAGCCACCAGTAACGTCGAATCTAGGCGGGACGTTGAACGTGGGGCATGACGCATGTCAGACCTCGATTATTCTTAGAAGGTGACAGGACGAGGCCGCTGATCGTGGAGAATCAACCTCCAACGTCATCCCCATGACGTCATTAATCTATTGTTCCACGTCCACATTCCAACGGTGATGCAAACCATGATTAAAACCACGAGGGCGCCCTGGCGGAGGCATCCAACGTTGCAATCCGCTCCCACCCCGCCATCATTCTCTGCTGGTGTCTTTAGGTACGTGCTCCCTGGCAGAGAACAGATCCATCCTTTACGCACTATCTGACCTGGTCTGGCCAGTCTTTCGATTCACGACCTCTCCCCTTCCTCTATAATGCCGTCGATCCACGACCGAATTCGCGAAGATCTCCTCAATAAGGAGCTCGCGCTCTGGACCGCCCTCACGTCCGCAGATCCGGCACCGGCAATTCAAAAGCTATGCAACCCAGAAGCCAACCTCATGTTCCCCCAGACAGAGATCCTTACCTTAGAAGACGAGGCTGGGTTCAAGAACGCCCTGAAGCCTCCGTTTCATCGCTTTGATGGATACCAACTGGACGAGGTCCGAACAATTATTCTAGATCTGATGGCAGGCGTGGTCACATACAAAGTTCGGGCAGTCAGAGGGCAGAAGGAATACCGAGCAAGTGGCTCAACCACCTGGAGCCAGGGATCGGATGGAGAATGGACACTGGCCTGTCATCAAGAGACGCTGTTGTAATGAATGGATCTGCGATAATGAGTATAATGAGCGATTGAGTGTGCTGTGACTGTTCAATACCATGCCTCACGAATGGATGATTCTCTTTGCCTTTGTCAATTTCTTTTGATGTTTAGTGTTATTTTATCCTGCTGATTTCCATTCAAGACACACATATGCGGAGAAGATCTGATCGTATACATTACAATGACACAGAGCTAACTCATGGTGCTGACCTTGTCTTCGTTTTTATTTCGTGTATAAAGCACCCGAGGGCCCGTGGATAAAACACTATTCTTCTATCCTAGAACGGGGAGAGCAACACTGTCTGAACACCTCAGACAACTTTTGCTGCCCAAAATGGTTGGTTCGGTTCAAAAGAATCTATCCAGGTACCGCCTCGGTGAGCCCTGAGCCAAAGGTTGGCTTCGTGGGTGACCAAAGTTAAAATCGAACACGGTGGATGATGTCACCATAAATCTAGCCTTACATGGACCAAAGAGAGAAAGGAGGGGGATCCTTGGGTATTGTTGTAGAAAGAGAACTAGAATTGTAACAATGTCCGAGATTTATCCGTCTAGGGTTCGAGCGTATGGTGAAAACTCCGGTTTCTTTTCCCTGAGCACATGATTTATCGTCGCGCTCAAAATAGCCTGAATAAGACCAACTTGAAAAGTCCTCCTGCCTAGCAAAGGTAAGGCAGGTGGAAAGAGATCGCAGTTGGGGATAACTCTCAAAGTTCCAAGAAGTATCACGAGGGCGTGAGACTCAGAAAGAATCAGGGGTAACCATGTATAGCAAATAGGAGAATATTGGAAGCTGTCGATGGGTTTCATCATTGTTAGTGGCAACGTGGACAAAATACGATTATGTAAGCCGACCGTCGGGGTCCGCAGAAAGCGGCCGCTAACACGCCCGGGTTTCTTCAATTCTCGAGCGAAAAAGCGCTAGGAAGCAAAAGGAGGACACGGGTGTCGCATTGCATCCCTGTCGATTTTCCTCAGCTGGTCTTGGCATACAAACCTGCATATGTACATACGTACAGTACTCTGCATAGAAAGCGAGAATCAACTTTCGACACATTTCTCGCTTAGAGCTTAGAAGAATTCGGAGCCATTTGTCCCCGCGATTTCCCGAGGATCGGTCATGATGGACAATGGGCGGTGTCTGATATGGCCATCTCAGTCCTGGTCATCGCAGACATAACAGCAGAAGGATTCTGTGCGGTAGCTGTGCCAGAGTCGAGTGACCGTACTCCGTACAATCCACGCTAGGTACAGTAAAAAGGGAGGACAATCCGATTGAGCCTGATACATACTGGATATTAGTCCGTAAGACGTTGTAGTGACAACACAACCACCATCGGGTTCACTACTTCATATTACTGGCTTATCTACTGGGTTGGTTCAAAATGCCGGTTGCCAAAAGCACTTTGCTATGTCTGCGTCGGCTATTGGAGTCGGGGGTCCCAAGTGAAATTGAAGTTTTTCTCTTTCGCACATCCATGACAACAACATACGCTAAGAGGGGCCTCTGAGCTACTGCCTAAGCACTCGGCAGCTAGCTGCATTTGAATTCTGTAGGGAGCTACAAATGAAAAATCTCCTGAATCCTCCTCCAACTTTCATTTTGAAGAAGGCTGCAGAGAATATTGGATTGGGCAAAGTTCATTCGCCAACCACATCGATTATGGCAATGATGTATCTATCATGTGGAACGTTCATTCCTAGCGCCTTTTTCACGCTGTTGCCAGTTCGTACGAAAGACGGAGAACAGACCATGTAGTGAGCCGGAACGAATCATTCCCTAGCACGGGAGTCCATGCTTAGTTGGGCAAGAGAGAATTAAGAGCAGGACGAGAAACAGTGGAACTGGTGGGACTGGGTCCACGTCCGCGGCAAGTTACGGGCCGAGCAATGAGCAATTGCCCCTTATCCTTGCAGGATCGGAACATCCATCCGTTGTGTCGTGTGCCTGCTCAACGGTCTCAACGGCCCTGGGGTTTAGAGGTTTCGTTTTCAAGGATATAATTGCTCCGCTGCTCTACGTTCGCTTTTGTGTTTCATCCCGAGGATTCGGTTTGAAACATGACCAACGGGCCGGGTGGACCGCTAGCATTTGTGATCTATCATGTCTCCCTTCTGTGGGCATGGGTCCTCGCGTGTGGATGATACAAATTTGAAAGTATCTACTCTATTGTTGTTATTATTATTTGTCCCCGTACTCCTCTACAGTGTTGGGGCTCCACCACGGTTCCACGGTTGGGCGGCACCCGCAATGCCGAAGGATCGCCTGTCCCGGCCGAGGAAACCTTGATTTTTCCTTTTTTGCTCTATCGACGGCTTTAGATCGGTTATAAAGTTATGACAAGAAGCTCACAAGGGGACCGTCCGATCGTCACGACAATCTTCGGCCAGACGGTCCCTGGTGGATTTTTATAACATACTTGTTCCATGGTGGTTTCGTGCGGAGAACGAGTGGATTCGCTAGTGTGGGAAGCACGGATCGAATTCGACTGGACACGCATGGCCTGTGGCCTACATATACACCCCGGCCCCGGTGAATTCAAAATTTCATCCTGATCAACCCGATGGATTCTCCGCATCTGCCGCGCAACATAATCGTCGTGGGCGCAGGCATTGCCGGCTTCGCATGCGCCCTCGCCCTCTCTAGAGAGCTCACGCCCTTTGTGCCGGACCTCCAAATTAAGATCTTTGAACGACATGACATCCTATCAACGTCTGGGGGCGCCATCAATCTAACCCCGGTAGCGCAGCGCCATTTGGCGCAATTGGGAGTGCTGGATGAGCTCAATCGCATGGGCGCCGAAGGGGGAGCAGATGTAGATGCAATCGAACTCTACTCGATCCGGTCCGGCAGGGCAATTGGCTCAATAGATTTTGTGGATCAGAATGGCCAGGGGTTCGGAGGATACAAAGGCCGTCGGGTGATGCGCATCGTGCTGTCTGTGGCGATGATGAACGTGGTCGACCGGACGCCCAACATTGAACTGATCTTAGGGAAAAAGCTGATTGGCGGCGAGGAAATCAACGAACAGGCAGTGGTGCATTTCCAAGATGGTTCCGAGGCCATTGGCGACCTGGTCATTGGTTGTGATGGCGTCCATTCCGCCGTTCGCACTCGTTGGGTTGATCCCGACTGCCCGTCGCAATATACGGGCATGTCCTTTTTGCAAGCCACCATGCCGACCAAGTCGATTGCATCTTCCGTTCATTTCCAATCGTCGGCCTTGAATATTTCCCGTCACGGGTCGATGTTGACAAGCTTTTGCGATCGGGATCGCGATCAAATATTCGCCGCGGCGACTGTTCAGTTCAGCCAGGCAGACTTAAGTTTCTACCGCCTCGAGCCCGGCCAGGACTGGGCGACACAAAATGGAATTCGTTGTGCCCTTCGGGCCGAGATGCGCGACCGCTTCTCCAAGTCCGCGATTCCATGCATTCGGGATATGGTGGCTAGTAAGGCGGACTGGATGCTCTACCCGGTATATCAAGTCCGTCCAGGAGGGAAATGGTGTATGAACCGTGTAATCCTACTTGGTGATGCAGCCCACGCGGTATGTGTCTGTGCTGAATCAGAGTCCCTTTTCGCAATTCAGAAATCGAATGCGGCTAATTTGCGATTCCAGATGCCACCACGAGATGAGTCCGCAGCGTATGCGTTGGATGATGCCATTCTATTTGCCCGTATTCTAGCACGCTACCGCTCGGAACCCTTGGTAGAGGTGTTTGATGCATATGAAAGCCTCCGTCGCGACACTATCAACCGTGCATTTAAGGAATCGCATCGAATGTGGGATCGAAATCGGGATATGGGTCATCTCGAAGGTCGACTCAAAGAATGGATGATGCCATTCTATCTCCGGAGTCACCGAGACGAACGAGAGGCCGCATGGGAATTTGATGCTGCCCAGATTTCTCTTCCCACTCCGACCCCAAGCGAGGACCTGGTGTCTTTGCATTCATTTTTGAAGGAGCATACCGTATAGGGGTGGCACACATTTCATCGGGCTGGTTATGGTGTTATGATGGGATGCATAGGATGGTGCTCTGAGTTTTATCGATACCCTAAGATCAATTTTCATCTTTCTCTTATCATGTCATAATTACATACGAAAGGAACTACTCTTCACGAAGTGAGAGCTACAATGCCTAGAACTGTATCATGGCGAAAACTTCATTCCATATATCAAACCTACTGGACATCCCTTTTGTAGGATGGTCTTCCCGTAGCGACGGAGTATGAAAAGGAATGCCAGTGATTCCCGACTTAGAAGGTCAGGGTTTGACCAGCAGTCCCAACAACTGCACTCTTGACCTTGGCAGAGCCCACCAAATCATAGTCATAAGGCACAGAGGTCAAGGTGCCTTCCTCGGCAGTGTTTTCACCGTCCCCAAAGTCATTATCGTTCGCCACGGCATAACCGTCGTCAGTTGAGTAGAGCGGCTTGTCCGAACCCACGAATTGGTTAGATTCCACAAGAACCTGAGCACCATCCCGAGTGTTAATACCATCATTAACTGCCTCGAAATAACTGTTGTAGATATGCCCAGTACCGAAGCGAATGGATGGTGTACGAGAGTTGATGTTGTACCAGTAGTTATTGTTCTGGGTAACATGCAGATGTCCAGTGTCCTCATCGCCATTGCTGTCGGAGTGTCCAATCAAAGAAGCCTTCCAATGATCGTGAATGAAGGTGTTGGAGACCGTGACATAGTCGGCTGCATGAGTGATCTATAATCAATTATCAGTCATCTGCGCGCTGCACTCGTCCTTTCTGCCTCGCCAATCTTACGTCAATGAGTCCATCGTAGTAATCTTTGTCATGATCCATGTCCGAGGAGACATCGCAATGGTCGACCCAGACATTGTTGGAGTATTCTAGGATACGTTAGCCGTCAGAATGACAACCCTTGTTCATATGTCACTCACGGATGCCAATTGCGTCTCCGTTGTCTGCCAGGACTTTTTGAATTCCCAGGTTGCGGATGATCACGTTGGACTCCTCCTTCACGAGGCTAGCAAAAAGTCTGTTAGTATACTTATTCCCGAGCTCTCGAAATATATCAGTGTATCTTCACTAACAGGCCGAAATTTTTCAAAATTGCATTTGAATTCTTGCCGATGATGCTGGTGTTGCTGCCAACACGAACCTGATCAGCAGTTTGGGTGATCGTGCCGCTGACAATGACAACTTTAGCGCTATCGCCAGAGACTGCTGAAGTGAAGGCCGCATATGACGACACAGTGGTGGTTGTGCCACCAGCACCACCGGTAGTGCCACCGTTCTCACTAGCGTAGCCTGTTGCAGCCTGTGGCGCAATTTTTAAGCTCAAATTCAAACAGGATCAAAACTAGAATGCGTACTCACATCGTTGATACTTGCACGCTTCACAAACTGCCTTTCAGAGAAGCTCGAGGCGGAGGTCGGCACTCCTAGGGCGACACCAGAGAAGTAGCCGGCAAGTGCGGCGGCAATCCACTTGGATGGGGCCATTGAAAGGTAGTTATGGAAAGATTCTCGATTGGAATTGTGAAATTAAATTCTTTGGAAGACCATGAAGACGGGAATATCTACCTGGCTTTATATAGACACCATTAGTCTTCATATACCCTTTTCATCTTGGTTTCAGAAGCCTTGACCTGATCAGAATTGTGGACGGAATTTCTCATTTGAATCCAAAAACCCAATTTACTCTCATGACGACAAAGGCATAGGTGGACTGATCCGTCCTAATTCTCCGACAGCCATGGTATCAATTATGAGACACCTAAATATACATACGCCAGGGCTAGAATTTCCTCTAAATCCATGGGAGGTACTGGGGGCTTGGCATCATTAATGACTGCACCAACCCCGTCCAAGCGCCCAAATTCGATAGAATAATGAAGTATATTTGCGGGGAGATTAGTTGATCGTGGTTGCCGGATTTCCGGCATATTCTCAGCTCAAGCCCGACTATGGTAGGAAAATATCAACCGAGTCAACTCAAGAACTTCCACAAATTAGTTCCAGAGGACTGGGTGTCTTGAATGCGGAGTGGCGCCAAGGCTGCTGAGGTTTCACGGCGGCAGGAATCTTGGCGCCCGGAAGATGAAGGGCGGACTGCGCCATGCATTTCCATCAATGGAGGACCCATGCATCTGGAATCACGGACGTAATAGGTTCTTGGGTTGTTTCATCAACAATTTCCTCTCTCCCTCACACCCCCCTCCTGGGATATGTCGTTGTCGAATGCCCGCTCCAAAAAATCTCCGAATAGTTAGATATCTCTCTGACATGGACCTCAGACCTTGACCATTCACTATTACTCCACTAAGGATAGAATGCATCCACGCATCACTCAAGGGCAACTTCACGTTAACTGGGGTGGTCGAAGTATGCAATGGCTGAGTAATTGCGCCTCGCTTCAGCCGCGCGGGGAAAGAGTCACCTGACTGCGCCATAGTCTGGAGCTTCCTGGATGAGAATGTCCGTTGACGACCAAAGAGATGCCATCTGCTCTACGAAGGTTCTTTGTGTCGTAAATTGAGATAAAAACATGGTGACTACTCTCGTCTCCATGCCGCGGCGACTCGTGAGGATGAACTTGCCAAACTACGGGAGGCCATCTTTGTGGTTGGGTTTCTCTATTTGACCAATACAGGGCTGGAGGTAACCCGACATGGTGCCCGTGGAGTTTGGTAGTCATAATCCTAATGGAAGTCAAATAGGGCCTATTACAGCGCACCCACTCGGCACTGCCTCAGCTGTCCGATCTGCCTACGGCTGTAAAGGAAGCCTGCAATATGATTCACTCACCTTCCTTTCTTGGATACACTCGTCTGGGTGCTGAAACCACTGCTACCCGGACGGACCTTCGTGAGGTAATTGTGATCACCTTCTGTAATAGAAGATTCAAGCGAAACTGATTGGTATAGCAATATGACTTTGGTACGCCAGGCATGAAATCATGGACGACAAAGATCCATTCTGGCAGCGACTGGAAGGCTCAAACCAGGTAGGATCTTTCGGGCTTTCGTCTCTCCAAGTGATTTTTTTTCTTTCCTTATTATCATCCTCACTATTTTGGCTCTAGTACCCAGAGTCTCCCGGCGCACAGAAGCTCGTAGAGGAGTATATTGCCAAGATTGACGAACTGGCGCAGCGATTTATGCATCTAGTGGCAGAATGTCTATCCTCCCCGGAAGATACGTTCGATGTCTTTCAAGGGAAGATGAGTCGGTTCAAGTTTGTTAAATAGCCCCCCTCGGCCCCTAATTCCCAGGGCGTTGGCCCGCATAAAGATTCCGGGCCTCTTCACCTTCCTGTCGCAGGATAATACCGGTAAACTACAGGTTCTCAACAAGAATGGCGAATGAATTGATGTTCGTCCAGTTGAAGGCAATCTGGTCATCAAAATCCAGCAAGGATTCGAAGCTATTACTGGTGGGGTTTGTGCCGCCACCACCCACCGGGTGACTGTAAGACAATGCATTCCCGGACCGATGTGGCAGACTGGAGATTAAACTTCTTCCTTTCTCCCAGGCGCCCACTTCTCAAACCCGATATAGTAATCCATTTTTCCTAGATGTGAGGCTTGATTTGACCTTGGACGAGCTCAAGCAGTCCGCATCCCACATTGTCCGTCGCATCCCCGCTTCGGACGATCGGAAGAAACGTGCCGTCGACGTTCCCAGCGAGTTTCTGTCGCGGCTATACTCCTGCGTACGTGAGCGCTTCAATCTCCTCTTAAGAATTCCAATTGACTCTGATACCCTGTAGTTTGGCGAGGCGCATTTGAGAAACCGGATCCTCTGCCACCCGGACGTTGGCAAACAATGGTACCCCGAACTATACTCTCGGTATTCTCAGCAACCCCGACAGTAGGCGTACGGGGGAGATAGGGGCACACGATCGGATGTTCTAAAAATGGACCCAACCTCTATTTCCGTTGTAAATAATGTCCAGTTATTCGGTCTATTGTGGGATTAGATCCGGTATGCATGTGATTGCATTTGAAATACGCAAACCAATTGTATACACAATGTACCCACGTATAATATGAATAAATGCAGACCCCCATGCCTAGATCACTACTACATACTATATATATATAGCCCGAATGTGAAACCACCGCTCAAACAAGTAGGCCGAGTCTTCCTTGCATTCCAGCATTGGTACGCTACGACATTGAGTGTATCGGTCCCTTACGCCTGAAAGAATCGAAAGGGAAGGTGGACTCGACTCTCGGCCGTGAGTGGGTATCAGATCTGTTGCTCCCCCGCTTTCTTGTCCCACTCCAGCGACCTGGATGGACCGGGCCAAAGTCGCGGGGTTTTTTCCACTCTCTCCACCGTACGAGCATCAGCTGAAATACATTCATGGCGGGAATTACTGCAGCTGCCGTGGAGGCGCTTCGAAGTCGGTTGGCTACTGCGCACATCCATACTCCTGGCTCGGACGGCTACCTGGACAGCCTCGTCCGATGGTCAGACACGGGAATGAAACATGCAGTATGACAATTATAACTGGGGTTGGCTTATCCAAGAGACTCAGCTAACAGGTACAGGGCGTTGTGATTCAACCGATTGATCCCACTGATATTGGCACCGCCTTGCTGTGGGCTCAAGAGTATGCAGTGGACCTGGCGGTCAAGGGCGGGGGCCACTCCACGGCCGGCACGAGCTCTAGTGACGGGGGACTGGTGATTGACCTGTCGCAGATGAAGCAGGTCTCCGTGGATTCTACCCGCAAAACCATCACGGCGCAAGGGGGTGCGACCTGGAAAGAAGTGGACGAGGCGGGCGCGGCGCGCGGCCTGGCAACTGTCGGAGGTACTGTCAATCACACCGGCGTGGGCGGGCTAACGCTGGGCGGCGGATATGGCTGGCTCAGTGGTCAATACGGCTTGACAATCGATAATCTGCTGTCGGCGCGCGTAGTGCTCGCTGACGGTCGCCTGGTCACGGCCTCATCCACTGAACATCCCGACCTTTTCTGGGGCCTTCGTGGCGCCGGATACAACTTTGGAGTGGTGGTGGAGTTCACTTACCAAGCATATGAGCAGAGGAGCTTGGTATATTCTGGCATGCTGGCATTCTCGCCGGACAGACTCGAAGTCGTGATCGAACAGCTGAACGTGACACTGGCACAGCCTGACGCGCGCTCCGGGGCCATGTGTGTCTTTGCCCAAGCGCCGGATGGATCAGGACCCATGATCATCGTGATTTGCTTCTATAATGGCTCTCGCGACGAAGGAGAGCGCCGATTTGCCGGATTTCTGGCTCTGGAGCCCTTACTGAACACTCTCGATATGATTCCTTACCCGATGGTCAATACGCTACAGAACCCGCAGGCGACATATGGCGACCGCAAGTCATTCAAGGGAATCTTTTACGAGCCACCTTTGGAGCCACAGTTTATACGGACAGTGTTCGACGATTTCATGGCCAAAGTCCGAAGTGAGGCCGACCTGATGCCATCTGCGATCATCTTGGAGTTCATTGACATGCGCAAGATCTGCCAAACCCCCTTGTCGGCGACTGCTCTGGCCAGTCGGAACTTGACTCAGAATGGAATCATCTATCTTCGATGGACTGACAAGACCAAAGATCTCGAACATAGGGCGTGGGCTCGTGAGATTCAAGCCAAATGGAAGGCAGAGTTGGATGCGCGGAAACAGCCCCACGCTGCCGGCGAGAATGTACCACAATACATCAACTATGCAGAACGTAAGAAGTCCCGGTATTCCCCTCCTGTGCGTCTTTTGAATGTGCATCCCTAACCATGAACTGTCTCTTTTAGCCGGCGACTCGGTGGTGCCCAACATATACGGCGAGAACCTCGCCCGTCTTCAGACCGTCAAGGCCGAGTATGATCCTACAAATGTGTTCCGCAATATGCACCCTGTCCCACTTCCGAAATAATCTATAGTGAATATTGAATATGGGAGAAGTGCGGAATTGGATATTCGCCATTCTTAAATCCTAGTCATTGTTGCTTTTGCGGGGATTGTCTGGTGATGTAGAGAGGCGGGATAGGCCAGCAGGAAAAAAAAGGAATTGGTAAATAGATAGATTTACACTCCATCATGCACCATGCCACAGGATCAGAGACGAGGAAGAATATGATGTTTGACCGATTTCACCGTTGTCCACCCTTCTAACGCATCCTCACCCATGTCGCGACCAAACCCACTCTCCTTAACACCGCCAAAGGGCACATTGGGACTCAGCATTGCCCACGCATTTACGGTCACCTGTCCTGACTCTAATGCCTTGGTGACTCGATGGGCGCGGCTGACATCGTTGGTAAAAATGGCGGCGCTGAGACCGTGGTGAGAGTCATTGGCCTTAGCAATAACTTCTTCCTCGGTGGAGAATTTGGCAATGCTCTATCGGGCCCAGTCGTATTAGTGTATGTGATCCGTTTGAATTAAATTGTCTCGCCACGTTCAGAGAGGGAACTTACCGCAACGGGGCCGAAGATTTCTTCTCGCATGATTGTTGCATCCTCGGTCACGTCAGCAAAAGCGGTATTCTGAACAAAATAACCCTTGTTGCCGATTTGCTCTCCACCAAATAACAGGCGAGCACCCGACTCCTGGCCTTGTCGGATATAATCCAGTATCTTCCGGTGTTGATCCCGACTGACTACAGGGCCTTTCGTCGTCGAGGGATCTAATGGATTTCCGGCGACCGAAGGGTTATCTAACGCCGCCTTCTTGTATGCTTCGATAAAACGTTCGTAGATTGATGCCTGGACGTAAATGCGGGATCCTGCGGCGCAAATTTGGCCATTATTCGCGGTGATACCGATACGGGTCCACAGCAATGCGTTTGCCAGGTCACAATCATCGAAAACAATAGATGGCCCCTTACCCCCGAGTTCCAGACTGACTTTCTTCAAGTTCGTCCGAGATGCCGCTTGAAGGATCTTACGTCCCGCTAGTGCACTCCCGGTGAATGCGACCTTACGAACTTCCATGTGCTCGGAAAGGGCCTGCCCGGCAGTGGCTCCTTCGCCAGGGACAATGTTGACTACGCCGGCGGGTATACCGGCCTCCTGGACCAGCTGCGCCAAGCGCTGAGCGTAAAGGGGGGAGAGCTCGGAGGATTTGATGATCAAGGCATTCCCGGTGGCCAACGCGGGAGCAAGCTTCCAGATGGTGATCATGCTGCCCGTTCATGACACGCCATTGATTAGCGGTCCAATTACTCCGATACCATGAGATGACGGGTTAGATAAGCTTACAGAGGAGCATTCCAAGGGACGATAGCAGCACAGACTCCAAGCGGTTCTCGATGAGTGTAGGCAATGCCGCCGTCCAGCTCGAGGACCTTGCCATCAATCTTATCGGCCCAGCCAGCATAGTATCGGAGGCAACCCGTCGCCTGTGGAATGTTCATCCCAATCGAGTCGGCATACAGTACGCCGGCATCGACTGACTCCAAAGATGCGAGTTCCTGCGCATCCCGCTCAATCAGATCCGCAAGTTTGAGAAGTAGTCGACCCTTGGCGGGCCCTGACACAGCCTTCCAGGCTTCAAACCCTGCTTTTGCGGACTGTACAGCTTTGTCAATGTCCTCTTTGCCAGCAGCCGAGATGGTGCCGAGGGCCTCACCGGTGGTGGGATTCTCCACCTGCAATGTCTGACCAATACAGGACGGCACAAACTGATTATGGATAAATAAACCCGTCGGAACTGCTCGTCAGACTTTGCTTAGCCTCTCAACAAGACAGGAGAATAGAAGCAGGGGGGTGACTGAGCCGGGGTTTACCTGTGATTTTGCGACCCTGTGCGCCCACGACTATAAGGGAGTTGGACATGTTGAAGACGAGGAATCAGAAGTCAGGGTGACACGTCGCTCATAAGATCATACGCTGGAATTTGCTTTTGCTCCTTGACCTCGGGGCTGACTCCATGACGAAGGCGCGTAGGAGCAGCCTTTTGAGTCGCGCTGCTTCATTGGAATCTCGGAACTTGGGGCTGCGGGGGTGCTGATGTCCGCGCAACGGATGCGGTGGCGGCCGCAACACCGCGCCTAATTCCGCGCTGCGTTCCGGGAATTGTGAGAGTGGAGATGGATCAATTGCGATCTGGAGCCAATCCGACGGGGCATGCGAGTGTCTGATAGGAAGCAAGGGTCCGTTCCGAAGCTCAATATGAATACTGGCAACGCGTGACTTCCGCGATCACTATTGAATTGCTGGTTCTCCTGTTCTGGAGCCCGCAATCCCTCAGGGCCCTCCTTTCGGTCGAAGGTATATGAGCATGCAGGAAATGAGATGCGAGGAAGCAGAAAGGGAGGCCGTAAACAATAATAAACAACAATAGTCAACTAATCTGTACCGATAATACCTGGTTTTATAAGATAACTGGCCGGGGGAACGAGAGAACGAACGAGAGACTCAGGCCTCAGGCCCCAAGGCATCAAATCCGACACGGGACGTTCCGATTGCTGCCTGGGAAACATGGCCTCCGACGGATGCCCTGTCACCTCACCTGAACTACTTACTAACTGAAGTCACTAAACATTCAACCAGCTCGACTTGCCAACTATCATTCCCCTTCCCCTTCCCTATTCCCCTTTACCCCTTCCACTGTTTTCACCTACACAGTTGGTGTGAAGTCTGAATCCAGTGAACCGGACGAGCGACATACGTGTCCCGAACACAATCCCTAGTTGCACTGGTAGCGGGATAGCCGACATCTTGCATCTCCTAACCTCTGCCAGCTCCTCTTTGCTCGAAGCAGACCTGCCTTACGATTCCATGTTTAATGGATCCAGGGTTCAGGGTTCACGGCTTGGTTCGCCAGAATCCCCAGGCAACAACCACTAGCATCTTAATGCCTGCCGATAACCACAGAATTGGGGTAATTTGCGCCGTTGCTTTGGTCACCCAACCACCAATAATTGCTCCCAGCAAAGTCAACACAAATGCAATGACCCGTCGATCGCGCTTTTCATTGCGCAATAGAAATAGCTTGGGGTCTGACATGAGATCGCATAGGAGACTGGTGATGACCACCGTGGGAATCTCGTTAAACCCCAATGCACGGCTCGCCACGATCTGTCCTGCTGACTGAAGACTGAGAAGGACAATTGGGACTTCTTGATCCCACCTCGTGGTGCTCGACGACTGGGCGCCGTCAAAGGCACTGGAGATGACTCCACCTTGGACGAGGCCGGCCGTGATGATAATGATCATCGACTGGAGGAGAAAGGAAAGCATCAAACTGCCACGTCGGCGGGCCCCGATTATGCGACTGAGCCGCGCGAACAGGAAGCAGCCGAGGATGAAACATCCGATAGATGTCAATGAGCGAGCCCATCCATACGGACGAGGGTTCTGGTTGGAGGCACCCAACCCAACGAAGATGGTATTACCTGCAAAAATGGTGAAATACCGGCAATCAATACGACTCTCTCAGACTCGGAAAGGAGATCACAAAGCCGAATAAGCCACGAAATAGGAGGAAGCAAGAATGATGATCATACCTGTTTGCATGGATACGAAGGTGTTGTAAGCTGCCCCAGTCAATATGTCAATGTGATGATTCAATCCAACCCAGCCGACCTTCAATGGCGAACGCACCATTGTATATCGTACTATCAACAAGACCGGAACTCAAGCAGCATGTAAAGAGCAGGAGGTCGGCATGTCGAGGCTCGACTTCATCTTGAAAAAAGCGAGACAGTCCAGGCAGTGCTTTTTTGTCTTGCTCCATGATTGCGAAGGCCTGCAAATATCCAAGCGATGAAAACGTTGACCGAGCAAGGCATTCAAAAGGATATCACTGGAACCGAATGGGCGGGGGATGCAAGAGACTCGGAGAAAAAGAGAGTGCCAAGTACAGCTATCGGACCTTTCCCCTCTTCCGTCTTTGCTTCTCATCTAGTCATCGGGAAGCTGGTGTGCTCTTGTTGTCGCCGAGTCGAAACAATCCTCCACTTCTCCCGAGACGCCAGAAGACAGAAGGAGGGGGTAGTGCTGATCTCTGTTGGCCCTGAAGGTCAATAAAGCCGAGACAAGCACTTGCATAAGCGACTGCATGATAAGACCAGCCACCATGATGTTTACGTCCTCATGAAGAATTGGTTCGGCTAAAATGAACGGGGGTTGATTGTCCGGCCCGCTCTCCAGCTCGGAGACTTCTCTGCACGGCGAATGCGTGCCCAGCCCGCCAAGAAAGACTCGGGATGAATCGGTCGTGATGCCGAGATCCTTGGCGCGGTGTCTCGCCCCGAGTCCACCATTCCGCGGAGGTGTGCTACCATCGCGACTTCTCACGGGCAAAAAAGGGGCTGGAAAGATTTGTTGCACGCTGATATTATTTTTCGTTTAGGGGCCCCGGATCTAATGAAGCGGACGTGGGGCTTAAATTCAATCGCGAAGATTTGGGCTAATGCTCCGGGATGGGTTTTATTCACGGAGGAGAGACGGAGTCCACTGATAGCGTTGTCGGCACATCCAAGGCCGCTGGCTGTTGATCTCCCGAGGGCTGCACTACACACAAGGCTTGGCGAACCGGGGGTAAAGCGAATGATTTGGTCGTTGGATCGAGACAAGATTATGCTCCTCACGTTTCCTCGCAACTACTCGCCAACGTGCATATGCAGGTGAGAATACGACGCACTTTCACCACCACCATCATCTGCAGTTTGCAATCGTCATGCCTTTGTGTCTTCAGATTGATTGATTCTCCTCCCATGATCGGTGGAAAATGTCAACAAAATTGTCCCGACTCATATAGCTCCGTCTTATTCGACGGGGTCGACGGGGCGATTGCATTATCGACACTCTCGATCCCTACACGACCCCTGTCCGGTTACCATATATTCTTCTCTACGCGGAGATTAATCAAACCATTTCGGTTTAGATATCCTCTCCACAGGCCTGGTTAACGCGTATTCTTTACGAATTTTGCGTGGGGGTTGGCTCTGGGCCGTCAAGTCACCTGGATTCGAAGGTTAGATCGGTGCTACCCAAGAAAGATCCAAAGTTCAAATGTCCGCTTGGCACATGTCGGGATGTTGCATCCCCAAGACCCCAACAATTATCCTAAGAGATTACCTTGTGATCTTCGGATATGTGTTATCTATTGCAGATTCGTCAGACTTTGAAACGGGAGAATACCATCCCGAACAAAGCGGCTGAAGATTATAAATAACTGAGTGTATCCCTTCAAATGGCTCGCATCAAACCTTTCACCATTCATAGCCAGACACAAAGATTGTTCTTCACAAAATATCCACAATGACCATCACAATCACGGTTGAAAAAGATGGCTACTATGAAGTCAACGGGACACGACAAGAGCCTACTGTCTCTCTTTTCGTCATTCCAGCTGCTTCTAAGCTTCGTCGAATGCTGAAAGATACACAAGAACTGATCGTGTGCCCTGGAGTATATGACGGTCTCTCGGCTCGAGTTGCTATGGAACTTGGCTTCAAAGCCATGTACATGGTAGGACACTCGGTCTGAATGAAATTTGAAGCAGATACTTATCATATTGTTTGTAGACAGGTGCTGGAACTACGGCTTCGCGACTCGGAATGGCAGATCTTGGCTTAGCCCAACTTCATGATATGAAGGTTAACGCTGAGATGATTGCCAACCTTGACCCCTTTGGCCCACCTCTTATTGCGGACATGGATACGGGTTATGGAGGTATGGCATCCAAACCTATCTAGGCTTTACTCTACTTTATCTGTTCGAGATTCCTGATGTGTTCGAATTCAGGGCCACTAATGGTCTCTAAATCGGTCCAACAATACATTCAGGCTGGCGTGGCTGGTTTCCATATCGAAGACCAGATTCAAAACAAACGATGCGGTCATTTGGCAGGCAAGAAGGTGGTAAGCCAGGAGGAGTATATAACCCGTATCCGGGCTGCCAAATTGACGAAGGAACGATTGCATTCAAATATCGTCCTTATTGCAAGGACAGACGCTCTACAGCAACATGGCTACGATGAGTGTATCGCGCGCCTGAAGGCTGCACGGGATATCGGAGCTGACGTAGGCCTCCTGGAAGGATTTACCTCAAAAGAGCAAGCTCGCCAGGCAGTTCAAGATTTGGCTCCATGGCCTCTGCTTCTGAATATGGTAGAGCATGGTGCCACTCCAGTGATAACCACCAAAGAAGCAGAGGAAATGGGGTTCCGCATTATGATATTTTCTTTCGCGTCGATAACCCCGGCATACCTGGGGATTCGATCAGCCTTACAGCGACTCAAGACTGACGGGGTCGTTGGGATTCCCGAAGGCCTCGGTCCACGTAAGCTATTCGAGGTGTGTGGACTTATGGATTCTATGAAGGTGGATACAGAGGCAGGGGGTGATGGTTTTGCAGACGGTGTTTGATACGAATCTTCAGTAACTAGTCCTTGACTTTATAGTAAAACTTTGATATTCCGCGACTGAATTGAGTCCAGAACAGCCATTATGAATCTCGTAGTGAAGCTATAGTAGGCTATTTTAGATTGGTTGTTGTGCATTGTCGTGTTGTGCTCAAGAGGACCAATTTCACGACTTCTTCCCCAGAAAAAAAAAGTTTTCTATAATCTATATATATCATTGGCCATGAGCCCTATGTGATAGCCTCGGTGAGAGAGCCTTTATCTCCCACAACTATACTTGTGCTCTTCGATGAAGGATCGTCCAGCTGGCCTGTAAGCAGGCCGATAAAGTTGGCTGGGGCACCCGCCTCACAGCTTCGGGTCAATTCCCTTGCGATATAATCATTTCAAGAGGCTCCAATACTGGCGTTGAATGTGAGCTATAGTACTGTGGGAAAAACTCGATATGCTGTGCTGTATGATAATATGTTGTTATCTTCGGTAGCTTTCAAGCGAGTGAGATTGTCGTTTTGGCCGTAGCTGCCCACCAATGATTTTTATCTGAAAGAAACAATTATTTCAAAGGTCTAATGAGTTAATTTACCTTGTACCATGACGCATGGCAACTAACTCAAGTAATTAAGGGTTCGCCACAACCAATAATTAGTTCCATACTATCACGTGTGACCTAGCTTCCTCTTTCCAGTCACTTTCTATTGATCTCACTCTGAGGGGCCCAGTAAACTTAGGCTGGCAATAATTGGACTTTTAAACGGAAGTCTCTTAAGTTTTCATGGCTTTCATGTATTCAAATGAATCCTTGCAAAGAAAATCCGAGAATCCTCCTCGTACACCAAGCCATCAATAGGCTGACCAATCAACTAGTAAGGAGATATCTATAGGCTGATAGGAAAGAGCATGCTTAGTCCCGGTTGATCCAGGAGGTTAGTCTTGATGTTCGTCGTCAAATTTATTAAATGGAAGCGATGTGCGTAAGCCCTAGTAAATCTCGCGGCATTCGCGGGAAATAAACCGAGGTATAGGGTCACCTTCATCCTCAAAGCTGTTATTTGTTCCTGGCTATTTTGGACATCGTGAATAGCATTTGCTTGATAAAGAATATCGTTGTCATAGTTTCGCAAAAGATGTAAGAGATAGGCTTTCGTATATGTACACTTCGAGATGTTTAGTATTTTAGTACTGCCTTCGTTCTCGATTCTTTAGAGTCGTAATACTGATGGTCAACTGGGCATTTAACACGCGTGTCCAGTTATCAATGAAAGACAAGAACAAAGATAAGGCGATAACGTTTGACTCGATAGCCCTTTTTCGCAAAATATGCAGCGGCGAAGAACCTCCCATGACACATTTTTTAACTTTTTTAACTTATCAATGTCATCTGTAGATCTGACCTTAGGATTAACCTTGTCAAGTTTTGAGATTTACTCTCATTGGTATTGGTAGTTCAGTAGTTAGTTTACTTTGATTGTGTATGGCCGAAAACACATGCTGGTTTTTGGAATACTAGAATTCCCGAGTGATCCCGCTAAACCACGTGACATATAAACAGTATCACGCCTTCGTGTTTCAACATTTGTCTTGTGAGGAAATAACCTCTATATAGTACCGATAAGGATATTTTCATACCCCGTTAGCAGGCACCGAGACTGAAGCTCCATTTACATTCGCGGCATGTTAGATGTGTCAAAGTCCAAATAAGAATGTATCTTATTGTGATGTTACAAGAATACGATTCACATAAACCAGAATTAGAATGTTGCTTTCCTGATGAGTGTGAATGAGACTATTTGTCCGTCTGAACCCAGTTCAAGGCAATGAGATAGGGGTTGTGTAGTATCTGGTCTGGACAGGGAGATTCTACGCCAAAAAGACAAATAGAGGAAACCTGCCGGGTATATTTGAGCCAATGAGATACAATTAATCAAAGTAGTGGAGGGAGAATCAAGCCTCGTCCAATTTGAATTATTACCAAGGGAGGTGATATGAAGAGAGGGTCAATCTTTCTAGACCTGTTCCATATATCGTCTCCAGTGGCGCAACAAAGGCCATCTGGCTCCATGAGTAGACCTGATTTTTCCCGCCGTATACAAATACTTCAAATCTCCCAACAAACTCTCGGTTGACCCACACGCGACTGCCTATGGCCGGGTCAGTGGAAATTGTGATTTGGCAATTCATAGGGATGTGAATAATCTCATGTGTCGAACTTGTTGCATTGGCCCAGATCCGCCCTCGTTCGATAGGGTCAAATCCATCGGTTTCTGACACCGCACGAAGGGGATAGGGCCAGCCATCCGCGGTGAAAATCAACTGGCCATTAGAAGACAAGGCAAGTGTTCCATCGCCAGACACTAGAGTAAAGGGGCCGGTTATATCGAGCTCAAGGGTGTAGTTCATCCCTTTGCTTCCATATCCCAATTGAGTCTCCTGCTTGCTCTGCGAATGGCGTGACTTCTGCCAAGAGATCAATGGGCTATGGAAGTTACTAGATGGATGGAGCAGCCGCCGATCGAGATTTTGGGAAACGGCCTTGGATGTCAGGATCCCAATTGACTCCTCCAGAGTTGGCTCGTGTAATCGCGGGCCACGGCTACCTGACCAAGCGCGGGAGGCAACGAGGGGAATTCCGTTGCGAATCGCATAGTAGGCCTCAAGTTGCGTCGTTGCATCGGGGCCGTTGTCATTCCATGCTGCCAGAATAGCACCGCGCACGGCCTTTGTGAGTGGCTGCTGGGTCACATTAACGGGATTGAATAGCTGGGGGGTCCACTGCCAGCCCTTTTTATCGGCAAAGTTCAGGACACGGGTGTTGTTGAAGAACTGGGGGTACGGGGCGGGGGTGATGGGAACGTGGTTATTCTTTAGAGACATGTAGGCCCACCAGTCTTCGGAGTTGATGATCTGATATCCTTCCTGGGCCAGCCCCACCGGATCGGACTGGCCGTATTGCCAGTGCTGAATGGTGATGTTCTTGTGGATGACCTCGGTCGTGGATGGCTCGTATGTGCCCCAGATGCGGATGAACTTTCTATGGCTTTGATAGATAAAATCAGACATCTCGTTAACAAACCCAATGTAATCATTGGCAAGCGTCGAGTCATATTCATCGGCGCCGATGTGGACCTCCTTCGTCTGAAACCACGGGAGAAACTCCGCCCAGATGGATTTGACGAGAGGAATAGTGTCGGGATGTGAGAGGTTAAGCAGATCATGCGACTCGAGCGATAGCTCGGGTCTCCATTTGGTCACTGACAGGCAGTGACCAGGACTTTCGATTTCGGGGATTACCGTGACGCCTCGCTGGGCACAGTGCGCCTGAAACTCCTCAAACTCTGCCCGGGAGAGGGTCTCGTTCTCTCGCTGGATCAGCGGTTGCAGATGGGGGGAGTCTGGTCGGAGAGAAAACTGAGAGTAGACGTGCTCCCAGGACACGTTGGGTCCTCGGCTAAGGGGATAGTTGTCGGTCGCGTGGTAGTGGAACTCGGATAGCTTAAAGAAGGAGGCATAGGTGCAGAGGTCTTTGAGATAGGCTGGAGAGTACCATTTGCGCCCAGCATCCAGCATGAATCCTCGCGTGGCGTAGGCCGGCGCATCGTGTACACGACCCGCCGGAATTGAAGGCTCGGTGGTTTCACTCAGGAGCAACTGTTGCAACAGTGTCCGCGTCCCCCACCACATACCGCGCGCCCCTGAGCCCTCGATCACGACCCGATCATTCTCTACCACCATTGTATATCCTTCTTCGGTGGGCTTTCCATCCTCGTACGTAAATTGGGATGGGGCCCAGGAGGATCGGCCGAGGAACACGCCCGTCGCGTCGCGGGGCAGCTCGCCGGCCGTGCGAAGCTCCCAGGAGGCGTTGGTCACCTCTTGGAGATCATCACGAAATGTGCACGCAAATTCCCAGACCGATGGTGGGATAAGCGTTAGGCCCTCTTGATCCTTCCACGCTGCGAAGTCGGCCTGCACGTAAATCACCTTGTTGGTGGTGGCCACGGAGAATCCGCGAGGGGCGCCCTGTTTGTGGACATCGATATCAGCATGCACCAGGTCTACCGGAGGCAGTAATTGGAGGGTTGGAGGAAGTTGAAGGGATTGAACGGTCTGCAAGGCCGAAGCGGCCGTCGCCAACAAGCACCAGTGCCAGCGCATAATGACCTTTCATAGCTGATCAATGTCCAGGGAGGGGATAGAGGCAGTTTCCCTACATTTTATGGTTGGACGCAAGGGACGATGTCGATTGTAGCGTTACACTCTTGGAGAGCAATGATCGACATCAACTAAGTATCAACTGAGGGTACCGACTGAGGATCCACAAAGCATCGATGGTCATGGAGGAGTTGAGGACTTGGACAGCTCGCGAACACGAGCAGGAGGAGCCCGTCCGAGAAGCGCGGAAAAGGGGAAATTCGGCGCGAAACGTGGGATGATGAGTGGGATGCGGGGATGTGTGGAGACCAACGCCGTCCGGGGGGCAGAGTAGCATTGGAGACGAGAGCGCTCAGGGATGCTAGTAACACGTCGAGTAACATTGCGAGTCCTATGGAGTTGATTGCTTCAAGTTGCATCGCGATTTCTTGGTCTCTTGGCTCTTCCGCAAAGGGCTTCCACAAGTCCGGTGGGTTCGGACTCTACCCCCACCTCCGAGTTTCCAGGTTCTGTATAGATCAGGATTCGACGATACATTCAGTTTCTCTTCTACTGCCCCTAATTGACCTCGGAGATAGTAAATACATCGCAGCCACTGCCCACCGGCGTCCTGTGTTCCGTCCTCGCTCTGGTCGCGCCTCCGTCCGCTTCGTCAGCTGGATGAACAGCTTCCCAGAGAATGGTGGCTCGCCATCCCTTTAGAGCTGCGCAAGAGACTTGCCCTTCCGACTGGGCACATGGAACCAGGCCTGCTCAAACCCGACGTTGCGTGGCCACCGCGCCGTCACGCGTTGGATCTCGGGCGACATGAGCCGGGGATATTCATACTGCGCGCAGATCATCTCAGTTTCCCGAGCGACCGACTCGCGGTTGAATTGCTCGGCAGAATCAAGGACTGGTAGAGGGTCAGGGAAAGGCTACAGCCAGCGGCGAAGGAAAGCAGGAACAGCGGCTTACTCATGTGGGCAATTGTGAGGAATTGCTCTGGACGGGTTAGCAGGAAGTGGGGATCGTGCTGGAAAGGCATTGAAATCTCGGCGGCCGTCGCGATACCCCGAATCAGCTTTGCGAGGTGTCCATCGTCTGCATACTCACACGCTCGGTGAAAGATCGCCGGCCATGACGAGGGCTGCTGGGGCTGATAAGCAGCCAATTCGTCGGGTCGCAACGCAGGAGCCCCGGTTTGGCAGTACAGCATTAGATCCGCCCGGCCTTTCCATTCCAGCAGCCGGCATTTCACCGCGGTGGAAATCCATGGGGTGTGGGTGAGAACTGGCCATAGGGAGCCCGCCGTGACAGAATGCATCAGGAAAAAGTCGAAGCGAATCTGTTTCTCGGGGCGTTGGGCGAGAGCGGTCCAGTACACTATCCGAAAAGAGGATTACTATCGTGTCTAGTCTAGCGTAGCTTTGCACTAGCTTCACATCCAATCCGCTTCGCAGTACATACCGGTTGAATTGAGCGACTCGGCAGTCTTGCGATGCAGCTCAGATGGCTCGACCTTCCATGATGCAATAACGCGCAGAAATTCGTCTCGTGCATGTGCCAGAAGCCCGTCTTGGATCTGAAAAACCCCATACTCGTATTGCATCGCTCCCCGAAGTGTCTTGCTGCCAGCGATCTCCCGTTGGAGATCAATGAGGCTTCGGGATGTGTCAGATGATTGTGCGACTTGTTCTACCATGTGGAGAACTTCGCCAAATGACGAATCGTGAACCGCGGTCAATGCGAGAGCCTCAGCCGCGATGAGAGGCTGGTCAAACTCGATGGCATATCCAAGGTGAATCGGGGAGTGGAGAAATCCTGATATGTAAATATTCAGTCTTGAAAGACGCGTGAATCAGAGTCCAAGCCGTACCACTGAAGAATCGACGCAACATATCTTCGGCTCTGTCATCTCCTGAAAAAAGATACTCATTTACGGTCCTAGCAACTCCTTTGTGGCGGATTTCATTTTGAAAGAACGCAAAATAATCATCATAGTACTTCCCTTTGCCTAAACAAGTCTTGAATTTGGTTGAATCGGCAAAGTCCAGCACGCGGCGAACATCAGGAGGGCGCGTGCGGCGTTGCGAATCGACAGCCAGTCCATAGGCTTGCTCTAGTTGGCGCAAGGTTCCTCCTAGGGCAAATAATGCTAGGGTATGGTGAAGAATATGGTCTGATGATTCTCAGCAATCAGCATTATATCAGATTTCCGTCCGACAAGCCAGGTCGCTTACTATGGAGTCCTAAGTTGTGGATGTAGATGTGATAGTTCTCATGATTCTTCTGAAGAATTTCCGATGCTTTTGCCGCACAATTGGTGTCAAACGGGTGCACCTCAAAGGTACCTCTCATCAGCCTGCGTGTGGGGATGTCAATCTTGCTATAGGATCCCATATTAGGCGTGGCTACCAGAAAGCTCAACAGCATGGGCAAGATCAAGGGTGTTGTGGATGTCCTCAGAGCAGACTAGGTCCCCTCGTATCGTTTCTCTCACATGATCACGAATGTTGATCCAAGCCCGCGGCACGGCTCGTCCGGAGGATTGCGGACATGCCGAGCTGCCGCATCCCCGCACTCCCCAATCCACCGGTCATGGGGGAATCAAGTTGCACATGTGGGGCTGCTATCGATGATACATGTGGGTACAATGCGGGGGTCGAAATATCCAATACCTACCAGTGATCTGGCAGAAGGATCGAAGCGGAGGCGCGATGAGGACAGAGGAGTGGTTAACGATGAAAATACGGTCTGCGACAGTCGATCATCAACTCGTGGATGTGTCATGGATCGGGGGTTTTGGTAGGGCTTTCATAGACTTCCTGTACATGGGGAGGAAGAACAAATGTGTCTGCTAGCCCAGACCAATGCAGGGCATCCAGTCGCGCCAGTCCTAGTCTAACAAGAGGAAAACTCTGGCTTTGACATCGCAGTACCTGAAGCCAAGAATCGACCAGCTGCTTATCCCGTGTCGCATGCGCCGTATTAGGCGCTTGCACGAGGAGCAGCATGAGAAAGTTTGAAACGGTTGCGAAGCCAATACGTGACCCTTGACCTATTAGTCACTGCATATTATCTAGTCCGTACAGCAGGCCGGCGGATGACTTACAGGAATACCAGAAACCGGTGAAATCGCTTGGTGTGAGTCGTCGAGTGAAATTAACCATGATAGAAGCGCATTTTTCGGCAGCATGTAGAGTGACTTCACTGGTGCCGGACGGGTCGGATGTGGAAATCTCAGATAAATTTTCAATGGCGCAGACATCCGAAAAATCCAAGACAGGATCATCCATAGGCAAGGGTGAGCCCGTCGGCATCTCCTCCAGATCAAAGATCATGGGCGGACTAGACGACCGAGCCAAAGGACGTAGCATGGCACGGTAGACATAAACCACAAGTAGTAAGTATGCAAAGTGAATCGATGTCGGGTATGGCGCAAGTCCCTGGACAGACTTGCTCCAATTGGGAAGACGGAACGATTCCGGCAGAGAGGAATACCACTCGTTGAGCTTTTCAAGAAGCATCCGGCCAAACTCGGCGGAGGAATTACAATCGACACTGAGGACTTGTGATGCTCTCAAGGTGCTATATGGAGATGTGGTTAGTCGCATTTGTCTTGTTATCAATACGCCAAGCACGCTTGTGTCAACTTACTAGAAAGTCTCATGAATCTCCTGCGCAATACGTGCTAGGTTGACCAGATATCGAAACGGGATTTCGGTGTCACATGAACATGTCGAGAAGCCTTGGCGAGGCCCAACCAAGAAATCGCCCTCATCCAATTCGCTCACATCCCATTCTGCCGAGTGGATGTAAGGTGGCCGGCCCATAAGCAAGCTACGCCATTTGTCTTCGGCGTATACGGCCCACCAGAGACGACGCCGTAGCCGCTTCTCCCACGCTGGGATTCCCCACATCCGGCATTCGATATGAACGCCGAGCGAACATGCCAGCCCGACTACTTGACCCACAAAAGACCACAGAAAAGGGGTATCGGCGGTCGTATAGCGAGCATCATCCATCAGGTGCTGGTGTAGGTAGAGTAATGCCGCCTGCAAAACCGCCAGTCGTGGGCTATGGATTTCTTCACTGATCAGTTCATACACCATCCGCCACAATTTCTGGGTGGGCGAGGTGTGGTATGTACTGAGAACGCAGAGGTAGTCATCGTGGGCAATGAATGAAAAGGCAGATGCATAGATAGCCGCCAATAGATGCACTGGCACCTTTGCCAACGCCACAAGCTCGGGTAGCTGACATGACGCCGAGGTCAATCCTAGTTGGGACCGTGAGATGACAGGCAAGGCAGGGAACACATACTTGACAAACCTGTCACCCATTGCGGTTAGGATAACTTCGTTTCTTCACAGCGGGGCGAATTGGGCATCACTCACAGGGCAACCAATCGTCTCCCATACTCAGGGGGGACGAGGAAATCGAGCTGTTCACGCGTCGCCTCGCCCATTCCAGCTCTGGTCTCCTGCTTGGCCGTCGAGGACAAATCCTCGGATGAGATCATGAAATGGATCGGAATCCGCTGGGCTGTGGGCACTCCTCCGGCATTGCGATAGTGGACTTTGTAGAAAAGCCTCATTCCCGCATCATCGAATTGACAATGGCGTAGCAGCCATGGATCCGACTCGGATGAGGCCCCGAACAATTGCGCATAGCCATGATCGAGTCGGTCAATGCTCTGCACGAACTGGGCAGACGGCCGAGCGGCCAGCAAGATCCCCGAAGCGGGAGATGGGCCCCCAACTTCGCCGAAGCCAAGGGAGGAGAATGGGCGCCCGGCGCTCTCAGTTGGGCTTCCATGCGGCGATGGGTCCTGCAAGTTTTGGATGAAAATTGGTTTTTCCGGCGGCATCACTGGCAACTCGATGCTGGGGTCCGTGAATGCAACGGATTCCGACAGACGAGTCCGTTTCGGCGGTGGCCTGTCGAAGGTGCAATCAAGCCGAGTCGCCCGGCATCGCTGGCAAGGAAGGCCATCATCGGTCTGGCAGCCGAGTTTTCGGGCCCGGCATTGGTCGCATGGCCGGTGACGTTTTGAGCGATACGGCCGAGCGGAAACAAGAGAGGAGATCTCAGAATCATGCATCTCGAAGGTCGGCGACAAGGGAATGGAGGATCCAGGCGACACTTTAACCTGCTGGGAAGGGGTTGACGGCCGGCGAAGATGACCGTCCATGGCCGGTGGGCGAACCTCATGGTTCGGCAAAGTCCGATCCATGGAAACATCTGCCCCCGGCGGGCGCTCCAGGGAGTATCGTCATAGAGAGAGTCGAGCTCGCCCCAGAGCCTGCGGCATTGGTCAGTCATCCATATCGAGTAACTAGAGGTATCGTAGTATCGAGAGATACTCCTCGGCGATCGAGTCTCCACTCTCGGCCACGATCGGCGAGCCGCCAATCTTCGTCGTCGACTTGACACCGTCGCCGACGTCACCGCCGGTAGACAAAAGAGTCAACGTGGATGAAGAGCACAGGGTATTGGCAATTTCTAGCTACCTGATCCATCGTAGCTGGTGGTTAAACAATGTAGGGGCAGGCTTTATAAACTCGTAGTTTCAAAATCTTCGCAGGCCAACGAAAACTTCAGCAACACTTTCCTCCTCTCTGCACCATTAGAGAACCCCCTAGCCGCCGATTGCAGTGAAATTCTACCAATTCTACCAATTCTACCAATTCTACCATGTCTGCTACATCTGGGGAATCTCTTAAAAACTGGATTTCAAAGGCAGTTCTTGGTCACAGGAGTTCTGCTGAGAGATATCAAAATCAAGACTCACAATCGGAAATTACATTAGTTCCAAGGTATAGTCTGATCGAAGGGAGCCCGAGATGACAGAGGAGGCAGACGACTAATAGCGCCGAAAGCGATACCAGACAGGAGAGCCGTTCGAGTTCCAATCAGCGATCCGCGCCTACACCCTTTAACGGTATGCCTGCTCCTTTCACACACACACACACACACACACACACACACACAGTATCTCGTCTCTTCTCCGCCGCTTCATGCTGATCTACCGATAGCAGCCGATATGTGTTTTGGCTCGTGTTGTAGAAAGTCGTGACTGAGGGGGAAGGGGGCGGATAGGGAGGAGATTCTCGAAAAAAAAAAGATTGTTGAGTTTGACGAGTACCGAAGACCTGTCGGTAAAACACGCCAGAAAGACTGTATGGGAGCGTTGATTCCGTGACCACCGAAGAACTATATACTACGTCCAGAGTGCCAAACGGTCAAAAACGCATGGCTTCCGGTCTTCGCCGCGTGTATAGTACGGGAGTCGTCATATCTGATGCCCTCTACGTCGATTCTTCCGGTTCATCATCTTTTTCTGGATTTTGCATCTTTTTTTCCAGCGTTGAAGGGGTTGAAGGTCTCACGGGCGAGTAGAGGAGGGTTGTCACTGGAATCACACGTTTCATCAAACATGAAAATCCACATGTTTTCATAACCTTTAATGCACATACATAAATATATATCTTTGATTTTTTCACCTGATGATTGGAAGACCCCTGAAGATACTTTTCGTGCCTGCATAGATCAAAACAAAATGAAAGAATTCAGCAAAGTTGTCACGCCTACGACAACCTCCGATTTGTCCGCCTGGGTAGACAACCTGCCATCGTTAAACAGCCGGATAATAAGGTATGGACTCCACCCGCGCACCCATTTGCGGGGTCGCCTGTCTACAGTGTGCCGATCAGGAAGGGGGTGTATATTGTGCAAGCTTTATGAATCACGTGAAACCGGAAATACCTGGCGTCCAGGAGCGGTCTTGCTTTCCGATGTAAGCTCACGGACCGGCTGATCTTGCTTCTTTGAGCCCAGCCGTCCAACCGAGTACCGAGTTTACAACAGCGAGGGGCGGGGAATGATGTATCACATCGGAGGGGAACTATCCCCGTTTCCCCCTTGCGACTCTTTACAAATCTCACAAATCTCACCGAACAGAGAGACAGCTGATATAACCTGGTTGCTTGTGTTCATAAATTGATTCACCCCCGGAACAGAAGCGCACCACTAAATCTCCTCTCCACACTTCCCAAACCACCAGAGTCTCGAGGGATAATGATTTTTGAACCGGCGGAAAGGGTCGTTCTCCCCACGAAGGATCTCCTGTCCTACATTTTCGATGATCCACCATACGACCAGGATAAGCCTGTAGGTTACTTCCATCCCTGATCACATACAGCTCGAGTAGCTCGCAGCTAACCTGACGCCCATAATGTAACCTAGATCTATATTGATGCTCGAGACCCCAGATGTTCGATCTCCTGCAATCAAGCCCGAAAAATGATTCGCGAGCTCATCGCGGGTTTGAAGGCATGTGGTCTTCGTCAAGGAGACTGTGTGCTGATTCATTCTTTCAATGATGTAGGCGTATTAAGTACCCACAGAGAGAATGAACGTACATTGACCGACCGTTTGCCCAATATAGATCAATTACAGTATTCTTGTGCTTGCAATCATTGGTGCCGGTGGAATTTTCACCGGCTCAAACCCTGCATACACGCCGATGGAGCTTGGACATCACATTAAAGCTTCCGAGAGCAAATTCCTCATCTCAGAGCCAGAAATCCTCAAAAACATCCTCAAGGCAGCGGAACAGACTGGCATTCCCGAAGAAAATATCTGGATCTTTGACAATCTAGGCCAGTCCATCCCGTCATCTGGGAAATCTTGGAACGAATTGCGCAAATTCGGAGAGCAGGACTGGATCAGATTTAATGACTTAGAAACGGCACAAACAACCACAGCTGCAAGGCTATTTAGCAGCGGAACGACTGGGCTTCCAAAGGCAGTGACTATCACTCACTACAACCTGATTGCACAACATGAGCTTGTTCTTGGGGCCGACCCGCGTCCTTATCCTGTGAGTGATTGATGATTAATCGCGCTCTGTTTTACCTACAGACTGTGTGATGAATATTTAAGCTCTGTCTAATACAAAGACGTTGTAGATCTCACGAATCATTGCCGTTCCAGTTTTTCATGCGTCTGCAGCCCCGGTGACCCATATTTCCACCCTCAAGGCAGGATCCGTGGCATATGTGATGCGAAGGTTTGATTTAACGGAGTATCTCAAGACGGTTGAGAAGCATGACATCACAGATTTGGCCATGGTGCCACCAATAGTCATCGCGATTTTGATGTCACCTGATTCTCAGAAGCGACCTTTTTTGAAAAAAGTTCGGCTCGCCGCTTGTGGAGCTGCACCTCTTGATAAAACCGTACAAGCTCGGTTTCGGGCTTTGATGGGAGATGGAAGCCCGTTCAACCAAGTTTGGGGAATGACAGAGACATCATGCGTCGCGACGATGTTCCGATTTCCAGAGCATGATGATACGGGCTCGGTTGGGCGCTTGATACCGAATCTTGAGGCCAAGTATGGGTTTACGCTCTTACCCCCCTCGAGGCCATCAAAGCCAAAGGACTTACTGAAACTAAAATCTTTTTAGACTCATTGATGAGAAAGAGACCAATATATCGGCGTATAACGTTCGTGGCGAATTGTGTGTGCGAGGCCCGACTGTAACCCCTGGTTATTACAAGAATGCGGAAGCCAACGCACAATCCTTTGATTCAGAAGGCTGGTTCAAGACAGGTGATATAGCATATTGTGACCGAATGACGCGAAAATGGTATATTGTGGACCGCAGAAAAGAGCTGATCAAGGTACGCGGGTTTCAAGTAGCACCGCCTGAGTTAGAGGCGGTGCTTTTATCACATCCACAGATTGTCGATGCGGCTGTCATTGGGATTGCGGCTTTGGAAGGGGATAGTGAGTATCCCCGAGCATACGTCGTGCGGAGACCAGGAAACGAGGGCCAGAGCCTCACAGAGAAAGAAGTCCAAAACTTCATCCTTGAGCGACTTGCCAAGTATAAAGCATTGAGAGGAGGAGTGAAATTTGTCGGAGCAATTCCGCGAAACCCAAGTGGGAAAATACTCAAAAGGATTCTCCGGGAACAGGCCAAGAAAGAAATTGAAGGTGGACTCAAACCGAATTTGTAGATAGCTTGTAAATCAATTCCCCACATAGTCGCTGTCTGCCCATAAACCATACGTGATATTTCCTATATTCGAGGGTGCTGCAGTGATGACGGAAAACAAGATGCCATACCCTGAGAACGTGATTATGGAAAATCTAGCCATTAAAAGTCAATAGGCTATAAACTTCCCCATTACCAGACGCGTGGTCAATAAACAGCATACCAGTACCCTTCGCTCTCGTACTGTTGATCTATCTCTGCATGGGTGAGGTGTTGGATCGATGTTTTCTATCATCTGCGCTGCCAAGGCTGATGTAATGATTTTCTAAGCCATGCCGGAACCGAGTCCTCTCAAATTAATATTTATAGATAAAATATGAATTCTACTACGACTATAAATGAATAGCTGCCTGAGTAATCGCTTTGACAGACTTTCTTGGCCTTGGGAATATCCACTTAACGTGGTCGCACTTGATCACTGACGATGTGCTGATCATTAAGACTGGGCTATCAATGATCAGAAATGCATATATAGGCATTATTTCACAATTTGACCGGCTCAAACCGGTTGCGTATTAAACAGACGTTTCAGATCCGCCGCAGAAGATCTACTTGAATAAGGAAACACGGAACTTAAAGAAGCTTTGATCTTTGATCGTGATTTGATCAAATTTCAGATTATTGTCTGTCAGCTCTATATTATTGACTGCGGGACAACTCAGGTAATAGAGTGAATTGAGCGGGTGACTGTCGAAATATTGGATGAGTTGGTCAAACCTCCTAGTATGCTGGTGACATTCTGAATAAGTTGTCCGAGTGAAGAATCACTATCATCTTGTAGAGCATCAAGGGTGTCCCCAATTACTTGAAGAATTGGTACCCGTGTGGTGAGTGTAAGATTGTTCAAGACGTCCTCGTAATATTTAATGTGGACATCATTGTAAATTGTGGAATTACCTGAAGCGGAGAGCTCAACTTCACCATCTAAAAGCGCAGTTTTCTGGGAAGAGAGTATATCCGACAGATTATCGAGGATTGTTGTTATATTGACATATCCTCGCAGAGAGACAGTATTATTTCCTGGTTTAAGAACAACGTTTGGAATAGTGGCTTGACCGATTGTTAAATTATAGCTCCTCAAATTAAGTGTGACATTGCCCTGGTAAAGAAGTCAATCTTAAAAATCTAATGCCATTTCAGTAAAGAACTCCTACCAGTGCAAATGTGAACACTGAATGGTTTGGCAGTGTTGCTACGCCAGCAAGATTAGTACCATCAGCTTCTTTGGGGATGAGTAATCGAGCCGAGTCGATTGAAAAGCCTTTCAATCTGTCTAGACCTAAAGAAAGGCATCAGCAAGCATGTTCACTGTAATGAAAGCGTCATTAAGAAGACTGACCATTCAATTCAATATTCTTGTCCAACGTCAATGGGGTTTTCAACGCTCCCAAATGACCGACTGTGGAGCCTTTGGCGGACATTACAAACTTCTTGTTGTATACAGCGTCGGTCAGAACTTTCATAAACTCGCTTTGGTTGAGTATATCTGTATTGTTCCGTGTGACACTCATATTTGTATTTCCTTTGAGGCTATATGCCGGAAGAGCAACAACTAGATACGGCTCCATCGGCTTGGTATTTCGATTGAATAAACTCAAATTCATAGGATCTGTGTGAATTCGAAGTCCTAAAGGCACATTTAAAGATGTGTGAAGAGTGAAGGAGACTTGGTTTGTCTTAGGATCGAGAATTTGCGCGGAATACACCGGTAGGTTTGTGTCGTTGACAATTCTTTGAGCAATCGCAGGGACTGCTACCAGAAAGCTGAGATATCAATCGCTCTTGTTACTTATTACTCATGGACTTAAAGCGTAGATTTTTCTTTTGTTTCGGAATTCGGCTTACAAAACTGGGAGAAAGATGGCCAGAAAGATGACAACAGCCACCAAATAACAACACCAAAAGCGGCGCCAGTGTTTTTGAAATGTTGTGCGTGTTGACTTCAACCTTCCAACATTTTCCGGCTTTTCCAGTGAATCTAGACTGTTGGATTTCTCGAGGTCTGTTCCTAACTGGACTGAAATTGGGTTCCCTAGCTTTCCCTTATCTTGTGACGTAGGAATGTTCCTATTGTTTCCGATGACATGACTGTGGGTTTTCTTGGCAGACATCTTGCTAGAGAAATTCCTTTGTCTCCAAATATGATGCTCACTAACGATGCAAGAATTATTGAGTCGAATTACGACTTTATGCGAAAATTCGAACTCCTTTATATCTTTTTCTCTCTTTGCACCACGTTATTGACGCCCGGTCCTCCCTGAGACCCCGCGATCTGCAAAGATAGTGGAGCGCCATGACACCCAAATAGCTAAAATCCGGGGAAAGGAGGTCATTGTTTTGGAAAAAATATTCCAGCTCTTTACTCCACCATTCTCGTCAGCCCAAATCCCCTTCATCACACTATCACACGCACCCAGTCGCCCGCGGCAGGGCGGCCGGTCCTCGGTAGCGGGAGCAAAACAGTCGATCTGCGCGATTTCAAAAGCCCAACCCTGGGTTTCTGCGCCAGGAACCCGCCCGGTCCGCGGTAAATGACTGCACTTATTACCAAGGTTCCTGTCATATGAAGATCTCGCTCGTCTTCCGCCCTTTCTAAAGAAGTATCATTATCAACCGGTAAGATGTCCATTATACATAAGCTCATACTCCTATACCCTTCATCATCTGGAATTCACTTTTCACAGATCATATCACCAATATTTAAAGCTCTTGGCTTTATACAATAATCTATTGAAATTGGAAATTTCCTACTTTAAAATGAACGAGAAAAGTGAACAACGGAACACCCATGCCGATGTGGTTGAAGACGAGGGCAAATACACAGAATCTATGTTACTTGATGGCCTCGAGGAACCTAAGAGAATCCGTCAAGTTGTCCAGGAAGCGATACTTCTCGCTGGTGGAGCAGCGGCCATTTTACTTCAGGTCGCCGACCCCGGTGTAGCCTCCGGCGTCGACGAACACAGCAATTTTGCATATCGGCCGATGGATCGTCTGCGGACTACAATGACCTATGTATATTGCATGGCATTTGGAACTCGAGATGAGAAGTCAGCTGTGATTCAGATGGTCCATCGAGCCCATTCTTCTGTAAAAGGGCCAGGGTACTCCGCAGATGACCCCGCGCTTCAACTATGGGTGGCTGCAACTCTCTACGCGGTTGGAATCGATTTATATCAACAAATGTTTGGAATAATGACGGAAAATGACGCGGAGGAGATATATCGAGAATATTCCGTTCTTGCTGTTTCCCTACGTGTACAACCTGGAATGTGGCCGCCAACGAGAAAGGCATTTTGGGAATATTGGGACCATAAGATCAACACACTGGAAGTCAGTGGTCACGCAAAACATGTGGCCCAAGGTCTTCTCTGGAATAAGAAGCTACCATTGCATATTCGGGCCTTTCTTCCATTAATCCGGGTGACGACAGCTGAGATGTTACCACCACGAATTCGTGAATCTTACGGTCTGAAATCGACAAAGATTCGAAGAGGTGCCAACCGGTTCATTGTTGGGTTCACCAAAGCAACTTACCCTTGCCTTCCTAAAATGATCCGTACCTTTCCCATGAGATATTACCTCAAGGATATGCGACGGCGACTCCAAGAAATTGCTTAAGAATCATTTCTCATTGTCTTTATGGCTATCAGTGTTTCTAGAATAAATGAATTTTTGGTCTATTTCACCGATCATGCAACTATTCTCATTCTTGAAAAGACATGGTATTGAATAATCTTAAAGTCTTAAAACTGTCGCTGGCTTTGTTAGTCTGAAGAAAAATAGGGACGGGAGGTCACAACAGGAGCAGAGTTGAAAAATAGACCGAAGATCTTGAGGAGAGATAGACTAAGTTGCAGTAACCTCATGGACAATTGCTAGCGAAATGGCCTTTAGTGATCATTTTACTGATGCCCCTTGGAGTCGCACCAGGGCGAAAAGGGATTGATAATATGAGGCGCGCCGATCCTCATCGCTATCGGCATGGTTGCTTAAGTGTGATCAGTTGGCTAAGTAGCCTTTGACTGTGCCGAGTTAACTAACGTTAACTTTCATTGTCAACTGAGTTAATGGCTCAAACCATAAGGTTAGAGTGGGGCAACATTAGCCGAGATCCGCGGCAACACTGTGCGGGGAAGCTGACAAGTGAATCAGCATATAGTCATTTACATAGTATCATTTCTGGGAGACCTCCTGTAACGTCATGATTGAGTGAGTGAGCGGGGCTCTGCCGCTCAGTGAAATAGAACTGTTCTTGATTCCCTTATTACATGTGGTGCTCAAGCCGTAAATCTCGGTTTGGCGGGACGTCAGTAGGGGACGAAACGTATGCTATGGTCAGATTGTGTTTTGAATGAAAGTTGATCCAAATGTCGAGGCCCGTGAGCCCTGTGAAAGTATAGCGTCGAACACGAGCTGAGAGTCCATTGGCTACACTTGCTCCCATTATTAGAGCACTATATAGGCGGAATGATCCATAACTGTTCTGTCTTAGCCTTGCTAGCTCGAGTTTCATATAGACACAAGATTGGAATGCCGAGGAAGGTGGGGCCAAAGAACGATCAACCGCCTTCTCTGCTGAAACAATTTTACGTGAACAATCTGCTAATCACTAAAATATCGTCGCACAGAGTAGATGTGACCAGTAATAATAAGTCTGTACTAGTGCATGCTTTCTAGACACATTTTGACCCTTGCTGGTTTGTCCACGTTGTCCATAACTAGCGCTAACTAGACTCACCCCATTATCAACCCTGACAGTCAGATGAGTGGGGTTCCCTAACTTCCTTTTCTCTCCCACAAGAGACTGCCTTTTACGATACATCACGTACACTCTCGAGGGAGTCGTTCATTTATCAATGCTCCGACGGACGAGAAGAGCACCGACAGCATGCTCTTGGTGCCATCATCGGAAGGTTCGCTGTGACGCGTCCCTTTTAGGCTGCCCATGTACCCGCTGCCGCCAGGATGGTCGCAGCGATTGCACTCTTCGGGCGAAATGTCCAAAACCGCATGTACCCCCTCAACGGAATAAACCCCCAAGAAGGTAGGGACTAATGGCCAGCTTAGAACAAAGACTTTGTCCAGCAGCAAGTCACAGCCCTCGGAGGCCTTACCATTCGATCAGAAACCGACCAGAAGAGCAGGAGTTCAAGCGACGCTCCCGCAGAGGGCGTCGAGTGAGATCATCGAGCTGATCCAAGTTACCCACTCTGATTTTGAAGATGACTTCACCAGAGTACCTCAAAATCGCCCATGTGTTCTTCATCTCGACCAGTGTCCATTTATAAGTTTAGATGGCCTGGCAAGCCTTGCACCAGAAGACATCACATTTATAGGTTCAAAAGGTTCTCTCACTGTACCTGAGCCTGGTCTGGCGAGGATTTTTGTGAATCAATTTTTCAAGCATATCCATCCAACTATCCCAGTATTGGATGAAGCTGAATTCTGGAAAGCCTTTGAAGGCAATGGGTCCGATACGCTTTCCCCGTTCATCTTTCAGACTGTTCTCTTTGCGAGCTGCCCAGTAAGTGGAATCAACTTTCTCTATAAGAAATGGTCATATCCAGCCTAAGAACCTCGCAGTTTGTCCCGGTAGATGTATTGCAGAGATGCGGATTTGTAAGCAAGAGAGATGCTCGGATAAAATTATATGACAGGTCTAAGGTAAGAGGGCTCCCAAAGAACACGAAATTTAGCAGTCTAACCAAAATTATGGTACGCAGATCCTTTACGATTTAAAAGCCGAGACACGTCCATCTGCCAAAGCCCAAGGTGCCATCCTCCTGACTCATCATACCTCTGCCGAAGCACCCCAAGCTGGAAGCCTATGGCTCAGCCGTGCCATTGAAGATGCTATGATGGTCGACGCACAGCCAACAACTAATATGGATCTTATGGATGGCTCGATGAAGAAACGCCTATGGTGGTCCATTTTACTGCGGGATAGGAGTCTCGGAATCGGATTGCGCCGACATCCGCAAGTCACCTCCAATATTCTACATGGGTACCCAGAGTGGCTACGAGAGGAAGACTTCCAAAGCGAAATGCATCATTCTCGAGTTTACAACTATACAACAAAGAAGCTTATTTTCGACGCCTTTCATGAACAGTGTCAGCTTGCCGTCCTACTTACGGACCTTGTTTCATTAGTTTTTGCCTCACGATCGATCTCTTTAGCCTCTTATTCTATCGATGCACTAAACAGCCTAATGGCTACAATTAGCGACATCAAAAAAAGCTTAAAGATATGGGAGGCACGCACACGGCCCTTGAATTATGAAACGGGTGATTCAGAACCTCACGATCCATCGATTACTATGAGAAACTTGACTTTCATGTATTACCAGTATGCGAAATGAACCGATCAAATTATAACAAGTACCTCGAGTGCTGATAGATGTGACTTTTAGTGCTGCACGCGTTGATCTCGCACAGTACACTGCTCTTGCCATCCAGGAATCCATGTCGATTGACCAAGGTTCATACGAGAATGCTATGTTTGAGATTGGTGATGATCTCAAGAATGGAATTTCTGGTCTGACAAATGTGTTGGATTACTTCAGCCGTAATGGCCACGCAGAGTGTCTGCCATTGAGCGTGTTAGTAAAATCCCCTATAATTTCCCTCCTGGCAGTACTTCATATCATGTGCAGATAGCAAACTCATATTATCTGGAATGAATCTGGGGCAATTTTGCTAATTTTGAGTAAAGACTAGGCTACTTGGGGATGCCACTTATCTTGGCTGCCATCGATTTGAAACTTTCTCCTTCCCATGGCGAAATGATCAAAAGGCAAAAACGCCTGGATTCGCTAAGTAAAATAATTCGTCATTCTGAATCTCTTTATGATGTGACCGATTTTGTAGCTGCCGGGACCAATCAGATCTTACAGCTAGCATATCATACGACGCAGAACTTTTTTCTTCCCTGTGAGAGCTCTGTAATCATAACAAAGGAGATGAAAGGATCAAATCAAAGCCTTATTGAAAAGGGTCGAAGCACAAATTTCAATCTCCCTCGAGGATCTCGGCCAACCTCTCATTCGCGCGTAAAAAGCTGGCTTGATGCATTCATGCACTACCCTCGCGCTTATTTACTCATTTCAACTTCCGTGGATTACAGTCTTGCTGTTGGCCGTCTTCCGTACGATAATTCCCTGCCAGCCTCGGTTCGCGACATTCCCACAATGGGTATGATGACGCGACTTCCCTGGGCGATTGATACCAGTGTCGCTGATAGGCGTTATTGTCCATCTAAGAAAGACACTTTGACCTGCAGTGAATATCGCTCTGATTCATCAGAGGTGTTGGAAGGAAAAGGTTGGTCTTTGAAGAATGATCACAGCAGGCATACTGCTCAGAATCAGTCCATTTACTGGGACACAGCCGTGAAGAACAGGATCATCGGGAATCTTGCACAACCAGATCACTCTGATTTTCCTACTCCACATATCAAAAAAGTGATAACAAAGTCACAAGATAATAACATGAACACCGTGAACCTGGATTTTTTTGATGTCGGATTTATGATGAATCCTCTCGATGCCATCTCCACGCAGCTATCAGCCATTGGACATCATAGTGATGAAAATTCAGTGCCTACCATTGTAACGGAGAAGGAGCCTGGTTTGATATTTCGAGAAGTATTCACTGAAACGAAAGTTGAAGATAATCGTGCGGTTGCACATCATGTTGCGGAGGGGTTGGATCCATTCCTTCTTGAATCTTTTTTTTCATCATAGGTTATAATATGATGAATCGTTCAATACACTATCCTCGTTGTGAGGTTGCAAACTTAAAAAATCTATAAGCTATGATAACTTACCTTCTCTGAATAACGATGTGAAATAAATCGCGTATGCAGAATGATACATTCGTCACTTTTTTTAAAATCTCAATAATTTGACATATGACATCAGAGAAGTAACCGCAACTGAATCTTTTACAACCCAGTAAACATGAAAAGCATTGAGAGACAGCATTTCAGCACAATCTAGGGTGGTGAAAACGATCATTAGTGTAATGGTAGTGAAATACTAGGAATCTATGGGAGAAAGTATATCTGAATGAAGCCCAGAGGGAATGGATATTCTACCATGTAGGCACCGGTGAAAGCAGTCTGGCTTTTCAGATTTTAGACTACCCCGAATCAACCCTGAGATCAAATCGATTTTACCAATTGGAGTTGTTCTATCGTTAAGTATTTAGCATTACTTAGCTACAGCTTAATGCTGTATGAAGTAAATTGGCATCAGAAGGTACAATATTGCGGAAAGATAGTAGGTCATATCCTATCATATCATCTAAGATCTGTTCCCCAAGGAAGAGACACGGGATATGAATCTGGCTCTGTGTTTCCCGGATGACAAACATCGAGGTCCAGATGGTTTGGAATTTTCAAGCCAGCCGGAAAATGATATCTATTAAACCAAATAGATACTCCATCACGATACAACCAAGGATCCTCTGTTCTGCGCTGCCAATGTTCTAGTTTTCCTCTGAGCTCTTTGAGAAGAGCCTGATGTCCAGCGTCGTCCACTAGATTATTTATCTCATGAGGGTCAGCGTGGAGGTCGAACAGCTCCTCTGGACGACGGAAGAAATAATCCTTCAGTTTTCGTTGACCAATTGTAATAATTTCTTCAGTTGAATTTCGAATGTCATCCCACGACAGCGATCCGTAGATGTCAGCAGCAAATGGAAAGTCTAACCGCCAAGCAATGTTTCGATGGTATTTATAACGCCTTGTCCGAATAAATCGAGTTGGCCAATAGTTTGTGACTTCATGAAATGTATGAGAGCCAAAGACCTCGTCCGGTCTGGAAAGCGTTGCGGAGGTGCCGAGGATTGGAAGAAGTGACGAGCCAAGACGCTTCCCCGCAGAGTCTATAGCGGCAGGATGGTGAACAAAATCCAGCACCGTTGGAAGAATATCAATATAGGAGACAAGCATATCATTCACGGTAGGTTGTCGCTCAGGGTGTCGTATTATTAGCGGCAGTTGAACGCCAGCGTCAAAGAGGGTGGTTTTTGAATTGAGGAACGGTGGTCCGTTGTCACTAAGAAAAATAACCAAGGTGGAACGGGAAAGGTCGCTATCTGCAAGTGCATCCAGAATGAAGCCAACACCCTGATCAAGGCGGTGGATTGAGTTATAATACTCTGCTAATTCCAGACGAGTTCCAGGTGTATCGTTAATGAATGTAGGGATTTCGACACAGTTTTTGTCGTAGTCACTTTTATTCACGCGGGAATCGAAATTCTGATCATTTCCAAAGCCACCTCTGGTTCGGTCACGATGAGGGTCCACAAAGCCAATAGTCAAAAAGAATGGCTTTGAATCGTGCTTGGTGCGTTGGAAGAAATCTTTGGCCTGGTCGGCAATGACTGCAACGTCACGAGTATCGCTTTCTTGGTTTACTTCCCAGGGATAAACAGAAGAAGGACCAACATGAACTTTGCCAATAATTCCAGTTCTGTGCCCGATAAGGTTTAACAATTGAGGGGCAGTCTCGACATGATCGAACGTGACGAAGTGATGGCGATGGCTCGCGAGCCCGTACTGTCCATTTTGATGTGTATGAAGACCAGTATATATGACCGACCTGCTTCCACTGCATGAAGCTGTACTAGCAAATGCATTCTCAAACCTAGTACCCTGTGCTGCGAGGCGGTCTATGTTAGGCGTTCTGATAGTTTCTGCGCCATAACAGCCTAGCTGTTTACCTAGATCATCAGCGACCATCAACAGGACATTTCTGGCATCTGATGTATTGTCCATTGCAAATGACTCCACAGAAAATAGGATCAATAGCACCGGTTGTTGCTTAAAGAGAAAAGGTTATGGATAGAAAACAAGCACTTTGAAGTGACGTGATTTGAATTAGTATTTCGCCATATATATTAACCGGGTGACAGGGAGGTCAAAATGGGCGCTTGTATGGCTTTTTAACTATCTTTCGATGGCATTCTGGATCAAATCATTATTTCCATCAATAGGGATCAAAGGCGATATCTCTGCTATGTGACATTTAGCCGGTGGCACTTTCACAACACCCGCATACACAGATAGCGTGGTTGGATGTGTTTGGGAAGCGATCTTATTGTGATTTTTCAATTTTTGATGAATTTCGTCTTTTATGTGTTTCTAACTGTTTGCAAGTGGCCTTTGATTTGTTTGCGCTCTTCAATTGTATAAATTCCTCGTTGCCTATATTTCGTAAAAGGCTAAATGCCAAACCCCCATAAAGTAAACGAAAGGTACGAACCAGGCAAGGGTAAACAGTCTCCGATAGCGTCAATATACATAATTAGCAAGAAATGGGCGCCAAGCCAATTATATCTATCCCAGGCTACACACGAAACCTCATTCGTGGGAAATAAAATACCTTGGTACCCATTTCGCGATCCCGAAATAGATCGCATCATCGTTCCTATTTCACTCGTCGCGAATTATCAGGAACCACACTTGAAGGTAGAATGTTTACGAATATGACACGCGAGTTCGCTGCGAAGATAATTTAGCAATGCTTGGACGTGAAAAACCAACTGAAACGACTCTTTTAATAGACTTCATAGTGTTTAGTGCTGTTCGTGTTAGCATAGCGAGTTGGAGTACAATAAATTTTTGATTTGACTCAATGCATTCTCAATGAAGACTTGTCTTGTTATTAAAAGATTAAATAAAATAGCCGAACTCGCATTTGAAACCGGGCTTTCGCTAACATCGCTGCTGCGTACAGATATGTAATTTTACATTAGCATTTAAAGCGATCGAAAACGTATGGCATCATCACCATCCTGTATCACGAAGTCAAACAGCGTTTAATAGCGAGCAAAAAAAAATTATAATAGGCTATTGCAAGGGCCATGATTGATCTTGCTCGAATATTTTCAATCCTAATCCGCTGTTAGAGATTACTGAAAGAAACCCTATACTTTATTTGTTACAATGTTGGACGATTTCAAGTCACCTGCAACCGCGGTCAGATCTGAATTGGATCACCAAAGAAACCTTGCCGACCTCAGTCATGTGAATGATCAACTTGTTGCAGAGCCAGCAGAGAAAGTTAGTAGGCAATCAATACTGCAGGCTTTTTTTAGCCCACGACAGCAGCATGATCCAGATGCCATTGCTACAGTTAGAAGTGTATTTGACGATCCTTTGCTTGCAAGGTTCTACAAACCACACCCTGACTATGAAAATATGGCCTATTTTGATCCGAGCGCAAGGTGGACTTACCGCGAAGAAAACGCCGTACGCCGGAAAACGGACTGGAAAATTCTTTTATGGATCCTGGTAATGTTTTTCGGCCTGAACCTTGATAGAGGAAATCTCTCAAGCGCCGCAGCGGACAATCTATTGGATGATCTAAATCTTACCACGAATGATTATAATAACGCACAAAACATGTATCGTATTGGGTTCTTGATCTCTGAAATTCCGTCTCAGATGATTGGAAAGAAGCTTGGACCTGATCGTTGGATCCCGGTCCAAATAATCGCTTGGAGCTTGGCTTCCGGATGCCAGTTTTTTATGCAAAATCGAGCTGGCTTCTTTGCTTGTCGGTTCTTCATTGGCCTCTTCATGGGTGGTTTCATACCAGATTCAATTCTCTACCTATCCTACTTCTACACAAAAACCGAGATGCCATTTCGACTCGCAATGTTCTGGTTTGTGGATTCCATGTCGGGTGTTATTGCGTCGTTCATCGCCTATGGAGTCTTGCACATGCGAGGCGTTGATGGGAGAGAGGGTTGGCGTTGGCTCTTTCTAATTGAGGCGCTGATCAGTCTAACTATTGGCTTTTTGAGCTTCATTTTTCTTGTCCCAGGCCCAACTCAGACAAAAACACGATGGAACCCGAGTGGACTCTTCTCAGAGAGAGAGGAGAAAATAATAGTCAATAGAGTTCTAAGAGATGATCCATCAAAAGGCGATATGCATAATCGGCAAGGACTTTCATTTGAAAAGCTATGGTTGAGTTTGAAAGACTATGATCTTTGGCCGATTTATATGATCGGCATATTGTTCGAAATTCCAACTGCACCCCCGAAGGCATATCTGACATTGTCTCTCAAGGCAATAGGCTTCAGCACATTCCAAACGACATTACTTTCGATACCTGTCACTGTGTTTGCTTCTATCAACCTCCTCCTTGTGACGCAACTCACAGAAAAAGTCCACCAAATATCGCTGATTGGTCTTTTGACTCAGTTGTGGTGCCTTCCTCTACTTATTGTACTGTACACATCTGCGGGTTCTTTGAGCAGCTGGGGCCTATATGCGGTTACTTTTGTCCTTCTAGGCTGGCCATCTCCACATGCGGCTCAAGTTGGTTGGTGTTCACGTTTGAGTAACTCCGTCCGAACACGAACAATCAGCGCTGCGCTATATAATATTACCATCCAACTATCTGGAATCGCATCATCCAATATTTACCGTGACGACGACAAACCACTATATCGGCGTGGCAACCGGCAACTCATTGCTATCAACATCGCCACTATTGTTGTGTATATTCTGGCAAAGACATATTACTCAGCTAGAAATAAATGGAAGAATGCGAGATGGGAGAAGCTAAATACTCAAGAGAAGATTCTTTATCTGGAGACTACCACCGACAAGGGAAGCAAACGGCTGGACTTCAAGTTCGCTACTTAGCCTACATCGAACTGGAAACACTACTACTCATATCGTGTGTACAAATTCAGGGTCGAAAATACATGTAGTTAGAAATTTGAAATGATCAATTGAAAGGAAGCACGCAATGATGAATTTGCCAAAGTGCGGTATTCAAGAAAAGATGAAAGCTATCATAAGGATGGAAACCAAAGAACGTAATGTCGGCCTACCGATTGGGTGGTGTTTTGATTGCAATTGCATTACATTCCAAATCCCCTCAGTCAATCCTTGTATATTTTGCGTTTCTTCCATAATGAAGCCTCCGCGTATTTGAGTAGTGGGCAACAAACAGTATCGTACATAATAACTTCGTCTTAAACGTGGACCATTAATTAAAGCAACTTTTTACTTCAAAGACAATGGTCAGTTGGGTAATGTAAATCAACCGATTTCTCAATCTTTACGTTAAAATAGTCCAGAAAAGAAAAGAAGCACTCTCACCGACAAGTAGATAATAGAATTGCTAAGCGCATTCTGAACATAGATGTACTAAAACAGCCAGATTGGGGTAAATCATTGAGGAATGATGACTAGAAATTTTATAATCATAGCTTTAGCACTTTCTCATCCTACAGGGCCAGTCGTATGAGATAGCAAGAATATGGCACTCAGGCGTCCAGTCTTTTTTTGAATCAATATGATCAATTTCATAGTCCCGGAACAAAATAGTCAAAACCTTGGTGAGTTTGAAATCAGCCAGATGTCGACCAGGATATTTGATTATAAACAGCCCTGACTAGTTATTCTAAATATTTATTTGCTCAACGGTTGAAATAGCAAGGCCCCGTTTCCCGTACATGAATCAATGTACATAGCAACTCAGACGCACCCTGCTTCTTCCACTACTATCCCTAGGTGTTATTTCTCTCTCTTTATTAATCCCTAGAAGTGTTCCTGGTCTGCAGACAGCAAACGTCTCGGAAACCAATTCAGTACCTAGCTTCTGTAAGGCCCACAGTATAAGACGTACGATGTGAGTATCGATACACAAAGCATTTTAGTTATTGGATACCTCTAATGAGCGGGGCAAGAGCTATTACTTCATCCTTATAATCCTTCATGATCATAAATTCTAAACCAAAGCGCCTTTCGGCAAACCTGACATCCAGGCAGGACGAGACGGATCATGAGATGGATCTGAGAACACGCAAACCACCACACACCACGATGGAGGAAGGTCTCCCAGGAAGGAAACAGATGCTGTTTGAATGAAAGAGTATAGATAATGGTCGCCGATTCCACGCGTTTCGTGCATACACCCAATAGTAAAGTGTTCCAAAACACAAATTACGCGTTCCTAAGGACAATTATCACGCTATCCTTATTCTCTTTCTTAATAATATGGATCTACTCCTCGATAGTAAGATAACCCCCTAGGCTCTACTTGGCGGGGGAATGAGAGAGTTGTATCCTATACGTCCGGGCGCCGTGGCAGGAACCTTCGGCAGTAACCATCTTCGATCGGGAGCTGCGGGAGAAGATAATGCGAAAATCAATCAATCAATATTCATATTCTTGTTGGAGCTTCCTTTATTTACAAGTCGCTATCCAGGGATTTGCGCCTTCTGGCTTCCAGCTTAGTGCGTTTGAGAAGTGTTTCCAACAACAAGAAGCCAATCAACAGCGATTGGATTAAATAAATGGAAATCGAATAGAGATAGCAGAAACGAAAGAAGGGAATCACCTTCCCGCAGTCCCAAATCCTACAGTAGTTCTCGGCGGTGACCGGGGGCACCACACCACAGCAGCAGCTCTATGGACTCAGCAAGATATCCGGCAGAACAGCTTCTAATATTTGGCCAGGATTACTGTTAGTCCTATAGCCATCCGACATTAGCATATGAACTCGCATGCTACGATCGTGATATACACGAAAGCATAGGAGGACCGACTCAAAGCGTCATATAGTAGAGTATCGCCGCATATGAACTACCCGATCGCACTAGATGAACACTTACTCGTTCCCGTAGAATACCTTTAAAGCTCTTCCAGCAACTGTACTATGTCACCCACTAGCCGAGGTACAAACTCGAGAAAGTGATGAAACCACTCTCTATATATTCTGCGCGCGAGCTTAGGACCCTTTGAAGAGGCTACTATCTAGTTGTCGTATTTATAAACACTAAGTTTTGCTATAGTTTCTCATAGAGCAGCATGAAAGGGTCAAGCACCATAAATTCACCAACGGCCAGTACAGTGCCTACTACAGCGTCGCTATTCAGTATAACTCTATCATTCGGGCCCTACAAGTTCCGGGCTTTATGCACTCGGTTATTCGTCAGTGAATTTAGAAATCTGGACGTGGACCAAGGCACACGTCAACAGTTGTAAGTTTGCCCGGGCGTACTCCGTCCCATAAGCTAGAATGCGCTTATTCGAGATCTCGATGGGGCTCTAACCGCTGCGATCATCTCGATGGACAACTCAGAGAGGGTTTCAGAAATGTCACAGAAGTCCACAGTCGGAGAATAAGTGCTCCCACAAGAATCTTGGCCCTGGCGTTCTGGGTTCCCAGTATACACGGGATGCCATACAAAAGCATGAAGGGAACCGAATATTACTTTAATGCGGGAACACGCAGAGGAAGATCTGGATCCCCGTGGTATTCAATAGCTTCTCCTTCTCGACAAAATACGGTGCCTTATCCCGTATCTGTACTAGCGTCCACCTCTAGCGGCCCGGCTACAAATAGGCGAAGATTGTCTAGCGAGGGGTTTGAGCGGCAAAAATCACCACATACGCTATTTGACGCGCTTTCAATGCCCATTCACGATTGCTGCACTGTTCACATCTTCACAGAGCACCGGCATTTAACCCTGAGATCAAGTGGGATAGATAGAAGCTTGTAATAAACCGATAATTTTCTCACATGCACGCCTAGGCTACTTGGGCTTGTGCTGACGAAACCGCTCAGTCTCTGTTCTTTCTCCGAGCCGAACTAATCTTTTGTTGCGATTCGCGATGTGGGTAAATACGAGGTCCATCCCGTGTAGGTCCTTGGCGCCTTGGTCCTTCTAGCCCCTCCGCCCCCCAAAATATCTTAGTTCGCGAGGCACGGACACGGCAAGGGTTGCGGTGCCTGGGCTTAAAAGCTGCGACGACCCTCGACTATTTTTGTGTACTGATATTCACTGTTTGGAATTAGCTAGGCACATTTGTTGATCACAGTCGATTAGCCTAAAATGTCTTAGATTTTATGCTGTACGACTCATGGACAAAAGCTGGGAATCATGTTGCTCTGCCACCCTATACTTCTGATTATTGCATTTCTATCGATTCCTGCTAGGGTTCTATCCCGCAAAGGCAACGGCGGTTCCATTAGCGATAGCGAGATCGGCAGCGACACCGACAAGTCCTCATCCAGCGGCGGCACTTACGTCTGCTTGGATGACCACAAACTCACAACCGTCGGCCTTCAGCCGTCATATTACGGCAATTACACTATGGTCGCTGGCGACCCTGGCGCGTACACAGACTGGAATGGACTGTACTTTCAAGGCGAAGCTTTTTTGGACTACGTGATTCGCGATCTGCCAACCAACAACACCTACCATGGTACCAATTGTCCCAAGGATCATCGCTCAATTCGCATGTTGGGCATCGCATGGGTCGGGCCGAGAACGCCTACACCAACAGACCTTCATAATCCCTTTACATTGGGCTTCCAGGCTTGGCAGTCTGATAGATCAATCGCCAATATCACTTATTCGTACAGCTCCTGCGATGCAGATGTGAATCTTGTGCATCTTAAGACCACTATCGACTGGATCGAGTACGTGCATGAGACGAATAGGGATGTCCGGGGGGCCATCGATGCCGTGGTCCTTAATGTCACCAGGGCCGTAAATGACAGCCACAAGGTCCAATTTGAAGGAGCTTATGATGTGTCGAGCCTGGAGTCGGCCCAAACAATCATCGCAAGTGACGGCGAAAATGAAGACCAGGTCCATATCCCTGCGGGAACCTGCAACATGATGGGTGATATATTGATTGGATGGCCGTCAGGGACTACGATCAACGGGACAATGACCAACAACACGCTCACACTGTCCATCTCAGGAACGACGATCGCTGGATTCGGTGACTTGTACGGATCTAATAATAACCAGGTGAACGTGACATTCAGTATCACCTTTATCGGCACGTATGACTCGGCCAACTCATCGCAGGTTCTTCATATTGGAGCAAGCAATCAGTCGCTAGTGAGCTTCGAGAAGGCATCTGGAGGTTCGGCAGCCTGGGTATCTCCACGATGGCTGGTAGCAGTGTCATTAGTGGTAGCCACCGTAATTGCATATATTTAGGAACTCTGCATTACTGTGTTTGGGACCGACGGGCTAAGGCATATGCCTCTGATTGTAAGGCCGAGTACCCGGTGGCTTTAATACACATTTTGATGGTAATTTCGGCCGCTCCTTGATCACTATGTGGAGCTAATTTTACTGCCCAATTCCCTCATTCACTTACTGAGCTTCTGCTGAACAACCATTGAACATCTATCCGTGCTTAGCATAATCAACATATAATCCAAAACTATCGTTATATTAAGCCAACCTCATGTGGACTAGCCCCAGTACAAATAAATGTTTTCTTTCATTCACGCAGCCCAATTCTTTTCCACTCATACATATCGCTGAAGAAGATGTAATTGCTTGCTACTGTTCTTCAGATACCTATCACTGATACTGTGACCTTTGCTCGTGCCCAGTGGTCAGAATGAGGCTCGACAGACTTATCTTTGAATGAAAAAGATATTGTGATGGTAACGTACCGAGACAAGCAGCCTGATTTTTTCTAAACCTCTACTAGTCGACCATCCTCTACCTTTCCTAGTGAAGATTGATGTATCCCCACACCAGAGTCATTGAATGCACATTCAATATCGTTCGGTTCATAATAAGGCTAACATGAAGGATCCAGTTTCAAGACGAGCATGAGGAAGCAAGGAACTACGTATAAAATTTAAGAAATATAAAGAGAATCTCCTATCTTTCGCAAAGAATCTCATCAATATTCAGTCATTGAATAATATACTACATATCTCATTCTTCAATGCTGTATAGATTCAATCCTGATATTTATTCCTTTCTTATCTAATCTACAGGCTACTGCCCTGGAAGTAGTACTCTAACAGTACTACCTGGCCTCATAGTCGATTAAAATGAAACCAACTAAACACCTGTATGTACATGCTGTTTTGCTGAGGCTACAAACGGTGCATGTTGTGGCGGGTTGCACTCGGCAACCGCCGGGACTGTCGCGAGACTGGCCGCGAAGGCGGAATCCCTTCTTTCGTTTATCATTCCCTTGTCTGTTCGATTTCATGTCTGTTCGTTCTGGGCAGTGCAACTACTGCCCAGCTGTTGCTGTCAACTCCTCATGCGCACTAGGTTGGACACTAGAAGGCGCAAATCCCTGCATAGCACCTTGTATATAGAGGAAGCTCCATCAGGAATAAGATTATTGATTGATTGATATACGTTATACATACAGTTCATATCAGAAGTCAGCCCGAATAACATCAAGTATTATACATTTAGTTGTTCTATAATAATAGGCTATTCGGGAAGCTATTATTATCTCGCGCCCGGAGGAAGGCATGTTTCTCTTCAAATAGCCAAATCGGGAAGATTAGAATTTATTGAGATATCTGAAACATTAATAGGTAGCTTTATAGCAAAGAAGGCTATTCAAATCGTCGACTTTTTGATCCACTATTTTAGTAAGTCGGTCTACAAGCTATTTAGGCTTACCGATAGAGCCATATCTCGTTTTTGTGCGCTCTTCTGATTAAGCACCAACTTAGAAAGCTACTATAAGCTGCAGAGGGCTTATTCAATAAAATCTTGTACTCTAGTATAATATACGCGGGTAACCTAAGCTGTGATAGGGCGCGTCTTATTATTACGGGTATTCATACAGAGTATCGAGTGATAGGAAGTATACGTCCGTGCATAAAGGGTGGCAAAGGCGCTGCGTTTCCTTAATGGCAGCACGTTATATGTAGTCGAAGCCGGGATCTGAGAAAGAAGGGGGGATAGCATGTACTGTAAATACCTCCAAGGCTCTATTAACCACTCGAATTAGTGATCGGTACGCGAGTTTACTTGATACATTTCTAGGGAGAGAAGAGGAGAAGGAGGATACGAAGCATAGGAGGTTAGCGGAGGAAGATTATGCTCGATATATATGATACGTCTTTTATCGTCGTAGTCTCCTAGTTCTGCTGACGTGATTATAAGGCGTCTTAGGGAGTTGTAATACCTAGCACTATTCGAACTCGGAGATGGTAGGCTTGGCTTCATATATTAAGGGATCGAGTAGTTTACTAGACGGCCAATTTGACGATCTAAGATAAATGTGAGATCCACAAAATCTGTTGAAAATAGTATAACTAAAAGCCCGATTGGATTTCGGATTCAAAAATATTGATTTCTGATTGAGATTTACGGCAACCCAAAAAGGCTTACCCGTACAAGATGATTCAGATTCGTCATGACCCCAGTCACCCGCATGGTATAGGCATCTCTAGCTAACAGGTGCTGGTCCTATAGGGCTTGGGCCATCTGTCTTCACGGCTGGAACTGTCTCATCAACACCAGCAGCCCCCATGTCATCCAGAGCCGCATCGGCATTTGCCACAACCATATCTCTGTTATGGTCATATGTCAGGTGGCAGATTTGCCTGTTGATCTCAACATCGAGTTGGAACACATCGGTGTCCAGTTCGTACGTGGTACCGCTAGAGCAGCTGTTGCTCCATTCATGCGTAGCCTCGTTGAACTGGAGGTAGAACATCCTCATCTTTGAAACTTTGGCCAGCGTCGGGCTTCCAACGGGTGGTTGGATGCTGAAGAAGTTAGTTAGCTTTGCGTTCTTCAAACCCTTGTCTGTGCTCTCAGACGACAAAGTGCTCATGCTCTCTACGAAGGAATCCACTGCGCCACTCAGCTCCTGCAGCTTATCACCCGGTAAAGAAAGGGACTTGAATAAGTCGACCAAGGCATTCAGCTTTATCGTGGTGGTGTTATAGTTGTTCTTGACCTGGGACGTAGTCATGTTGATTGAGGTGAGAAACTGCCCCATGTGAGAATAGTACCAATTGAATAGCCCATTCGCTGCGGCGTTTGTCATCTTGATCTGGTTCTCTGGGACGCTGATGTCCCACTGCTCAGGATGAGCAGCATTTGCGATTGCGGCTAGTCGTGTATTCACAGCCGTACAGAGCATGGCTGTTTCATCATAGATGTCTTGATCGCTCTCGTCGCTAGCTGTACCCTCAAGGCGCACAGTACTATTTGCCTTATTGACCAGGTCAAACTGTTCCCGAGTGAGTTTCTTGGTTGGAGTCGTATCTATTAAGGCTCTCGCCTTCAAATCGGCGTTGAAATCATCTCGATTGCTGCCCATCAGCACATGGAGCTTGGCCAAAGTAAAAACCTTGTGCAAATAAGGGTCGGTATGGGCGGCCATGGCCACTTCGTCTGTCTTGCTCATGGTGGAGGACAGACTGCTCTTGAGAGTGAAGCTGTCTTTCTGGACGCCGTGAGCGAAAACAGTTACGTTCTTCGTTCCGGAACTAACAGGAGTGAAGACAATGACGTCGCCAGGATTGAGAGTCATGTTTCGGGGAAAGAACCAGTCCTTGCCGTTAAACGCAAGGAAGCGAACGGAGTGTGCCACGAACGACACTGCATGTGAGACTTGGCCAGGATCGACTGTCAAGACCAACTTTTCATTTTTGTCGTATAACCACACGGAGAGATGGTCCGTGGATCCCGAGATAGAGTTTGACACAATTACACTGTTGGCTGTGAGTAATCCTGCCATGTTTTGGAACTGAAAATTTGAGAATTGGGAGAGATGAAGAATTTTATTGGTCAACCGAATCTTCAACGTGGACAGGTCGGTTTTCTGGGATAGAATTAGAAAAAAGAGCTCTTAGGCAACAAGATACTTATAGCTAAAACTTGATTTTTCTTCTTCACTCATTTCCTACCCTGTGATATAGAAATGCCAAACACTTAGCTGAACCCGCCCAGCTTTGTGACATATTGTGGCTAGCTGAAACAACCATGTGCGAGATTTTCATCACTACACAAGTCAGGGTCTCGGGATGCGGTGAAATACGAGGGAAGGGAAACGTAGGAATAATAGGCGACGGCGATGAAATTCACTCGGCACCTTTTACCAGGTGGTTCTTTTTTGCCGACGCGCCAGAAATATCCCCTTTTAATATCTCAACGTGGTGAGAACCTAGCCCTGATGACCCAGATCCCTCCATTCTATGTCTCTTTTCTTTATTCCCAGCTGATGAAGGGTTTTATTCGGATAGGATTGGTCACTTCCCTTTTTAACTGCTACGTCGGCACGCTATCAGCCCACAGATATGCCACTCGCTAGGTATTGTTTCCGAAGATTGTCGTAATAGAAGTTCAGTCTGGCCAAACGAATAGCTGTGAATAGCCTACTGAGCGTTTGTGGATCGCGACGTAGTTGTCGGGATGCCAGCAAATTGGAAGGCCCGTCCATATCGTCAGACGCGGCTTGCTAAAGCACAGACATTAAGGAAGGTAGGGGAAGCAGATAGCTTGGACTTTCGCAATGTACCTCTTCTCAGCTGGAGAATACGTATGACAATCAAAGAACTATAAGTAACTCGGCAGCCAAGGGCAAATTCAGCGACTTCTGAAATGCCAATTAAGGAGCTAGTCGGGATACGGGACCCCGGCAGGGAATCAAAAAAGTCTCAATGCGTGTATGAGTCAACAAGCCGTCTGAAGCTCACTCGCATCCCACCACGTCGAAGTTGCTATCATTCAGTATCTCTTGCTTTTATATTCAAGGTGAACCTTCTCCTCTACCATCCTCCCCTCCCTTATCTGCGGTTCTTGAAAATTTTCAACTCTGAACTAGGTACTAGAGAGAACTATAATTTCTTTCTGACCTTCGACGCGCGATAGTGGATGAGGTCCTCAAACTTCTTAGCGACGCGGGCACATGGCGACATCGATTCCAATGGAAAAGAGCTTGTATGATTGGTGGGCCTTACGATGGATTGATACGATGAGTGATTCTCGAGCTTACAGCTTTACGCTGATGACTGGGAGATTGGGTTTAGGAATATTTCTATTGGCTGGTGTATAGAATTGGTTGAATGCCGGATCAGCTTGTGGTTGGCGTTAGTAGTTTGCTGATGACCTGGGATTAAGACGGGTTGGAACTGGATAAGTAATATGGTTGGAGGTAAGCTCAGGAAACAGAATTAATTCAACTGACGGATATCGTTGAATATTGATGTATTTGAAGCCCGTTGGGATTCCAGACGCCCCAAGTGGGGCCGATACGGCCTCGTTGGGCCCTGACGGGCGGCCCCGCCTTGCGAGTGAGTCAGCTGAACAATTTGAGGCGGTGGGCCAGGCCGTAGTTCACCAGCTCTTCGAAGCCTCCACCTAACCCATTCACTGGGTTCAAATGCCTAGTGCCCGGGCCCCTATGATCTTGAATGCGTAATTTCCCATTTTTAACAAAAAGAATATTTGGATCACTGTGTTATCAGCTCCGCAGTGCTATTTGACGCCTGCTTATCACTGTGAGTAAGTGCGGATAGGGTACACTTATGGTAGGGAATACACTCGTGCGCTACTATATCTGGGTCCTAGGCTGTCAATGCGTAAGCGTATTGACATTACGGTCTTTTTGGCTCAGCGTAGGAACCACAAGCCTAGGTGTGTTCCCTGACAACTTGCCTTAATTGTCATAAGCTAATATTATCTAATACTCAATATTAATTGCTAATTCTAAGGGTGCTACTTGCAGGGTAGCGGCCTGTTGGATAGGTAAGGAAAATGAATACAATATAGAATCATGACTGAATCGGAAAGATAACAAGAGTGTATTATTCCAATAACTAAAATTTGAAGAGATTCAGTCTCAAAAAAAGGGGGATTCTCTTTCTGTAACCTGAATGTCGTTATTCCGCTGCTTGCCGAAAGGGTATCGGTAAAAGAGTCCGATTCAGATTCCGAATGCATTTAAAAATCTTTCAAGCAAAGGATTTAGTGCCTTAGAAGAGGCTCAGGACGAAGAATCTCAATAAAGAGAAAATGCTTCATATCAAACAGGAAATTCTACTCGATCAAGGCACTGATATATGAAATGATTTAGTAATCTCATCCTTATCTCAACAGAAAAATAAGCAATAATATTTATTGATTTTGAAGATCTACATAACAGACCTTCCCCACGCTAGCTGACTCGTCTAAGTCATTATTACGTTATCGTAATGTAGACTTATCACGCCGGTCCTAGAGTTAGATCCTCGACCGTTAACACAAGGGTTGGAGCGTCACGTTAGCGGGTGGCCCACGAGTCGTGCCGAGGTCTATTTACGAGCGAAGAAAAATGTTCACTGCATATTATATAACGTGTTAAGCGCAGGAATAACTCGACAGTTTGAGTATTCTAACTCATATTTATTTATAAATTGAACATTCCCGCCTAGCTGCTTGGAACACTTTGCAGGGCTTCCTAATATTTAGGATGGACAGTCTTCAGGCAGGATAGAATATCCGGGAACGGAATTATATTCCTCCGCAGAATTGAGTCGACGGCGCCAACAGGGAGAGCATAACCAATCGAGAGTAGTATATAACCGCCAGCGGACAGCAGCGGGGTTTAAATCGCTGGCACTCCCCACGTTGATCACTTTTCGTTTCATCGTTCTTCAGCAGGCTATAAATCACTTTTTCCTAGTTCGATAAATTGACCGCACTAAGATCAACATCCGAACCATTCCTCTTTAGCCCAACAGAAGCCTAACAGCAATAAACTCCAATCTAACTCCACGTTGCATATAGATCCTGCATTCAATTGTGTCCCTTATCATTCTTTTGGTGTTATTCACTTGGATGATAGCAAAGCTTGATTTTAACTCAGTCACCACTATGCCCCTTAATACCGAGTAAGTGACTTTAGATCACTCATCTATGTCTGATCTTAGCCACCGTTAGCTTCGGCCATCGACCTGGACTTGAATGCTATTCAAATGGAAAGCTAAAAAAGATATCCATCAGTTTTCATGAAATCCGCGCCTGCATTTTCGATATGGATGGGCTTCTCATCAATACTGAAGATATAAATATTAGAGTTGTGAATATGATCCTGGCCAAGTACAACAGACCTACCGCTACTCCGTCTATCCTAGCCCAGATTATCGGTACAACAGACGGGACAAATGGCGACGCATTCCATGAGTGGGCTAAACTGCCCATATCCCGCGAGCAATATGAGTGCGAATCGGATGAGAAAACCAGGCTTTATTTTCCTCACTGCATGCCTCTACCTGGAGCAGAAACGCTGCTGTCAAACCTTGGCCGGGCACATTCAATTTCTGGAGAGAGGATCAAAATAGCTATTGCATCTGGAACTATGGGATGGACTTACGAATTGAAAGTATCGAGTCCCGCAATACGTCATCTGCTAGACTATGTTCCACCCAAGAATCGCATTTTTGGCTTTGATGCTCGACTATCCAATAGTCGAAAAAAGCCAGCCCCTGAAATTTACTTAACTGCCCTGGAAGCTTTGAATGCAACAAATGAAACCCTAACTGGTGCCCCAATACTACCCCAGGAATGTCTAGTATTCGAAGATAGTGTGCTTGGGGTAGAGGCTGGAAGAAGGGCTGGTATGCGGGTTATTTGGGTACCGAACTCGGAGCCAGAGCCCGAATATTGTCTAATAGAGAAGGAAGTGCTAGCAGGAAGAACTAAGATGGTGGATATCGGAGATGACTGGCAATGTGGAGAAATTGATGACGGATGGGCTGAAAGGATACCAAGTTTGGAGTTCTTTGATTATAAGAAGTATGGGATCGAAGTACCGTCCTCGGTATCAGCTTAGTGAATTTCGGTCCCTACTGGACTATTTTCGCGGGAATAGCCGCCTATTCCACGTTTTTCGTCTGTTACCCTATAATGAAGGCTCCGGGCGATCACAGCGACCTATTTAGCTATTCTGCCCTACTAGCAGGCCCTATTACCATGAATTCCCTTAATTCGATCCATGTCTAGTCTACGTTGAGCAACAGCCTACTTCTCGACCCTATAACGCTATTTTAGCTAGTTTGGCAGGTAGGTGGCTAAATTAGGTATGCTAGGTTTGTTCTTTTTAAAAGTTTCGTATAGCTATAGCAAGAGCGATAGGAAATTGACTCCAAAGTTGGAGACTACCGCAAAATTATAAAGAGTATCCAATGTATAATCCTATATTAGGACTATTTGCACGGAAGGTTAAAAGTCCTTTTTCGTTTGACAGCGAAACAAGTTTCACGTATACAAGAGATAGAGAAAGATAGAAAAAGAAATCCTTTTCTTATTCCTATTATCCTTTATAGTAACTATCTATCCTAATTGCTTTGCAAGTACCGCAGACCACTAACAAGCGGTTCGTTCGTCCGTATCCCCTATATCGATAATTTAAGCCTTTATAGATTGTAAGACTTTTAGATCGTAAAAATAACGAAAGAAATCCGTACAACGGATAGTAGTAGTGTCATATGATATTGCAACATGAAGCTATTCCCAACTTCACGCCTCAGGTGTCAGCTCGACACCTTATCGGTCAGGCTTCGTCATGACAGCTCCACTTCTCCCCAACATAGATGCATGACCTACAAGACCCTGAGGGTTCGGTGCCCTTCCATTAGGGATTCGTGAACCCCTCTTCTCTGTAGCCTTTGCTTACCTCTGTTATATAGGGGCTACGTCAGACCGTATGTTATAATGTGATCTATCGTCTTTGCTTGGTTATATAGGAAAAGTGTTGAAGCTTGTATATAAATTGAGGATTATAGAGAGATCTATGACAGTAAGAAACAGTGTTTTGCTTTCCTTACTTGACGTTTATCTTCCTACCTAGTTGACAGGCTTTCTACCCTGTATAAGTAGTTACTCTCTAACAAGTAGTACCTCCCTATTATTCAATAAGCTTTTCCGGAGAGTATATAGTAATAACCGATAGCAAGTATTCCTAAATAATTCAGACCTATATCTTTTTCTATTATTATATTAATGTAATAACCGAGGAGGGTCCTACTTAAGCTATACGGGCTGGAACCCCCGGTGCCGATTTATATATAGGCTAGTTTTATGGTCTTTTTCTTAACTATATCGCAGCCTATGCACCTATCAACGTCTAAGTAGGAAAGGCTAGTAAGAAAAACGTAAAAATAGAAGTCATACCAAAGGTCTATAGGAATCTAATCTATTTTGAAATCTTAAGACTTAGCGAAGAGAGTATCAGGGATTTATAAGTTATTAAGCTAAGCATTGCCTGGATAGATATTGTTAGAGAATAACTACTCATACAAGGTTGGAAAGCCTATCGACTAGGTAGGAAGATAAACGTCAAGTAAGGAAAGCAAAACACTATTTCTTGCTATTATGGATCTCTCTATAATCCTCAATTAATATATAGGCTTCAACACCTTCCTATATAACCAAGGCAAAGGCAATAGATCATATTATAATATACGGTCTAACGTGGCCTACATGTAACAGAGGTAAGCAAAGGCTATAGGGAAGAGGGTTCACGAATCCCTAATGGAAGGGCACCGAACCCTTTGGGCCTTGTAGGTCATATATCTATGTTGGGGAGAAGTAGGGCTGTCATAACGAAGCCTGACCGATAAGGTGTCAAACTGACACCTGAGGCATAAAGTTGGGATAGCCTTATGTTGCAATATCATATGACAGCTAGCGATACTCGAATACTAATGATTTAGGAGTTCTAACTACTCTGCTATATTAATAAGCACTATATAGGTACGTGGGGATTATCTCTATCCAAATCTAACGCATGCGAATCTGGCTTATAACTATTAATATAGTAGTATACAGTATCAGCTAGGAACGCTAGGATCTAATAGAACGAGATGCTTAGTTAATATAGTGATATATTAGGTAATTAAACTATGTAACTAAGTATTGAACCAGGGCGCTCAGCGGCAAGCCTGAGAATGCAGGCAGGATGATATAGCTTCAACAAACCAGCATACAAACCACCACACACCACAATGGAGGAAGCCTCCCCTATAGGAAGCAGAAGCAGATAGAGCAAAGAGAGTGTAAGAGTTGATTCTTCTCCCTATTGGAGAACTGAAGCTATATCCTGTACTGACTGTGTACTGGAAAGATATCCTCCAATTAGAGATCCCCCTTGTAGGCCATTTCCCCACTGCAGTGTGTAGGTGGGGGAATATTGAATATCCCCTACCTCGCTGTCTAGCGTGTTACGGCGCTAGGTTCCGAGTATACCCGGGATACCATACAAAAACATATAGTAAATCCAGTATCCCTGTAACAATCTGACGCGTATAGGGATATGTGGGTCTCGCCTATATTATGCGGTCTTCCTTCTTGACAGAATACGTTATTTTTTTTTTATAAAATATATTAATAATCGTTCGGATACGATAAAACAGGAGGCAGGATTTCTCTTACCACTGTAGCTACGCAAAATCAAGATTTTTCCTCTAGTCGGGTTGCAGAACGCAGTTGTAATGGTCCAATCTCTATACTATCAAGGGACCACTGGGAGTCCACTACAGTTTGGCCCCTGATAGTCACGTGATCGTTGCCAAGGCGCGGGGTATGTCAGATAGTTCGAATGCTGTGATCCAAATTTATCACTAGTCATTCGAGCAAAAAACTCCGACAGTCCTAGCTTCAGTGGTATCATTTAGTACAACACGATCTATTAATGCGCCGCCATTCCCGGCTCTCTGTGCGCTAGCCCTGGTACAAACTCTGGACATTGATAACGACTCATAATCAAAGCCGAGGCGTCAGCTTACAACTTCGCAACGATGGCCTCCAATCGTCAAGCTTCCCAACTACTTGAAGTCCCAAGGAACATGCCTACGGGCAAGCTTTACTCCATCGCCGATCTCCATATCGGCTTCGCGGACAACAAAGCAGCTTGGTCAAAGTTGAAACCTCATCCAGGAGATGGGCTCATTCTGTGTGGAGACGTTGGAGATACCGCAGAGCAGCTACAATCAGCGTTTTCTAAAGCAACAGAATGCTTTGATACTGTATGGTGGTGTCCTGGTAATCACGAGCTATACACGCTCCCCGATAAATCCGGCAGCGGAGCTCGAGGGGAGCACAAATATCAAGAATGCATTGATATAGCACGAAAATACAACATTATTACTCCTGAAGACAGCTTTGTTGTTTGGGAAGGAGACGGTGGTCCAGCTGTCATTGCTCCGATTTTTACACTGTACGATTATTCGTTCAGACCTGACAAGGTGAGCTTGGAGGGTGCAGTGCCCTGGGCAAGGGAGAAGAATACAGAAGCTACAGACGAGTTTTTGCTTCATCCGGATCCGCATCGTAGCCGACAAGATTGGTGCAAAGTGCTCGTTGAAAAGTTCGAGACGAAGTTGGAGGCTACAAGGAGAAAATTTCCGTCTTTGCCTTTTGTTATTGCAAACCATTGGCCACTACGAGAAGATTTGGTGACACTTAAATTTATTCCAAGGTTCAGTTTATGGTGTGGCACCAAGTTGACGGAAGATTGGCATCGGAGATTCAATGCCAATGTGGTCGTTAGTGGCCACCTTCATATCCGGAGGACCGATTGGAGGGATGGGTGTCGATTCGAAGAAGTCAGTCTTGGTTATCCACGACAATGGGAGAAATGTGCTGAGATGGGGTTGGGGGTGAATGAGCTCCTGAGAGAGATTTTACCGGGTGCAGAAATTATCAAAACTGGAGAGGTTCCAACTCAATGGAGAATGTTCGGATAGAGTGATCACTCAAGATGATGTCCTAACGTTCTTGTATTATCTAGCCGTGAGACGAGCGGGGTTTGGTGGCGGTGTGGCACGCTCGACAGTACACAGTAGGCTTTCAAAAGTCTGTTCCGACCCCACTTTCCATCACCATATGAACCACTCACACATAATTTTTCTTTCCTGTCAATATAGTAGGATACGGTATCGGCTAGGAAAGCTAGGATCCAATGGAACGAGATGCTCAATATAGTGATGTATTGGGTGACTGAACTATCTAAGTGTATGGGCGGGGGAATGTTGAATATCCCCTACCTTGCTGTTTAGCGTGTTACGGCGCTGGGTTCCGAGTATACCCGGGATACCATACAAAACACGTAGCAAATCGAGTATCCCTGTAATATCCTGACGCGCATGGAGATATGTGGGTCTCGCCCGTATTATGCAGTCTTCCTTCTCGACATTTCCTTCTAAGTAAAGCCACCTAGATAGCATCTAACCACCTAAACTTTAGCGATGATCGCAAGAAAATAGGTGAGTTAACCTCTACTCAACGTCAAGCTATTATAGATACTATCAGAAAGGGCAATGATTGGCGTTCTTAGCTGGTATAGGATTTGGGTGTTTGCTGAAGGTGGTATGTGTGTGGGGCTAAGGAAGCGCGAATATTTTGCTGTCACTGTATATGCAGGATGTTCCCGATGTGGGGCCTCCGATCGGTGCTCCGGTCGGTTTTCCTCGAAGTGCGATGATCATTACTATTTTAGCTCAAAATAGCCCCCGACGATACCCTAGAGTATAGACAGAGTGAAAGGGTGTTCGAGGACAATAAAACCCAAGTCCGTGAAGAGGTAGCTAAGGAGAATAAAGCATAACTCCACATCTTGTTGGTCAAATATATTCAAAACATATATTTGCAATCCTTTCTGAATACCTAGGCCAAAAGACGACTCAGGTCAACGATAATGGTCAGTGCAACAGTAATGAAGGCTCTCGTCGGGGCTGAGTCCGGCGGCTACCTGCTCGACGATGTCGAAATACCCGTCCCAGAGCCAGGAATGATGCTTTGCCAAGTTCATGCGGTCGCCCTGAGCCCGTACGACGCAAAGATAGTAAACTATTCGAATACGCCTGGTGCAGTGGGCGGTTGTGACTTCGCGGGTATAGTCGTTGGTGTGGGTGAAGGGGTTACGCGGTTCAAGGAGGGCGACCGTGTCCTTGCCGTGACCTTTGGACTTAACGCCTCAGACAAGACGGCGGGCGCTTTCGCTGAGTATGCGCTGGCGACTGGAGGACTTGAGCTGCCATATCCCGTGCAATTTTACCTTCGAGCAGGGATGCTCATTGGGACTTGGTATTGCTACTGCTGGGCTCGCGCTTTTCCAAGCATCTGGGCTACACCTGGAAATGCCGCAATCCAAACCTGCTTATGACGATGAGGACAAGCCTTCGTTTGTTCTTGTATCGGGGTGTTCAACGGGCACCGGCACAATGGCAACCCAGTTGTTGAATATGTGAGTCTAGTGCTCCGTCCCAACATAGACTGCCTACGGAGCGAGATTACCTGCACTTGAGAGAAGTATCTCAGAACCACCATACTGACCCGAATGTTCACAGCGCCGGTTACACACCTATCGTCACCTGTTCTCCCGCCAACAATGCTCTGTGCGAGAGCTACGGTGCTGCAGTTTGCTTCGACTACCGTTCCTCCACATGCGGTGCCGCATCCGCGAATACACCGACAACATCCTGTCTGTTTTGAACTGCGTAACCGATGCGCCAACAATGCGGATGTGTTATGAGGCGATTGGCTCTTCCGGTGGCACATACATTGCCCTTGAAGCCGTCACCCAAGTCGTCGAATACACGCGGAGAGATGTCCGGGCCGACTGGCTGATGACTCCTACCATTACGGGAACCCCAGTCGTGGTTCCGGGCTTATATGGGCGCCCTAGCACCCCGGAGCACAGGGAATTTGGGGCAAAATCTTTTCTGCTAGCAGAGAAATTATTGAAGGACGGCGAACTCAAGAATCATCCCCTGGATATAAGGGACGGGGGCTTGGCGAAGATCCCTACATATGTGAATGATCTGCGTGTTGGGAATGTGCGAGGCAAGAGAATGATCGTGCCGTTGGTTGATGCGTAGATATGTCAAAAAGTGTTGTGCTCAATGTTATCTATGCTTCTTCATCCCAATTAATTGCTATGAAGTTTCAAATAAGATTGATCTAGGATTTATGTGACAAAGAGCCTTTTCGAGTGAATCGATAGATTGCTATAGATATTCTAGGTGATTGGGTCAAATTTTATTTAGATATAGTTTATGATAATGATAATGTAAAAGAAGGTTTAGATCATTGACGGCTTTCGGTATTTTCGACGTTTACGAGCAAAATTTCACTAAGGATAATTACCGAGAAGAAAATCTAGAATTAAGTCTTATTCTCTGCTTATTCTAGCTCTTGAAAATCCGCTGGAGCTTTTGCTTAGGGTTGGGTCAGTACTTTGGATTAATTCCTCTGTATCCGATGCCCGCCCAACTGATGAAAACTTTATATATGATCTTTCAGGGCTTTTCTGATGCATGATCTTCGGTCAATACTTTCTTCATTTGGCCCCTAGTTAAGTTTGCCGGGCAAGAGTCGGAAACTTGTTTCCTGTACGACGCCGCTGCCCCTGCTGCCCCCATGTCCGACTTGCGATGTCGGGGATCCGATCGGCCACGGAGCCTCAGGAAAGCTTAGACCAGGCCCACCTCCGACCTTGTAGTCCCGGCTATAAACACTGAAAGATGAACATATGAGCGCTGGCTAATTTTTTGATAGTTCGTCAAATGAAAAACGTTTGAAACAATGGCAATCTCTCCCCGTGAAGATATCGAGTTCAAGACCCTCGCCGGCGTCACGTTACGCGGTTGGCTGTATCCAGCCGAGCAGCGTGGACCTGGAATGATCCTTTCAGCAGGAGTACGTGAGAAGTTATACCTCAATACTAAGAAATACCTATAACCTAATAATTCACTATATAGTTTAATATGCCTAAGGATGTTGTCGTACCAGATATTGCTGAATGGTATCGAAAACGTGGTTTCACCGCACTTATTTTTGATACATTTGGTATTGGCGCTAGCTATGGTCTGCCTAGACATGATGTAAGTTGTGAAAGATTGATTGGGGATTATAGAAAGGCTTTCTAGGCCGGCACCAGCTGACTTCTTAACTATTATGGTAGAGTGACATGCAAAGGCGGATTGACGACTTTATGGACTCGGTCACATGGCTTACCCAGCATCCTCTCGTAGATCCAAAAAAGATTGCGGCTTGGGGTCTCTGTTTTGACGGCAATATTATGCTCGCAACCGCGGCCCATGACCGGCGGATTGCCGCCGTCGTAGCGGTTGCGCCCATGATTGATGTCACTGGGGATCCCGAACGCAGGGAAGCCATCTTCGAACTTGGGCTTGAAGACCGTGCCGCCCAGCTAGCTGGCGAGGAGCCTATCTACCTGCCCTTAGTTGATGAGGATGACAATACGCCGCTCGGTCAGTTCTTGGGCAATTTCTTTACAACAATGGACAGTATGAAGATGCCCATTGAGAACCGTGTCACCGTCCATACTTATATGCGATGCCTCAACTGGAACATCCTGCACCTGCTGCCGAAGATCAGCCCAACACCAGTCATCATGGTCACACCTGAGCATGACCAGGTTTTCCCGGCGGAGAGGCAGACGGAGGCGTTTAACCTCTTGCGTGAGCCGAAGGAACAACATCTTATTCTTGGGAAGAATCACTTTGATTGGATGTTTGGGGATATGGATGGTGCTTTTGACAAGCATCTCAACTTTTTAAAGAAGCACATGTCGCTTTGAATTATTTTATTAAAATCAAAGAAGAGGACGCAAGCATCAATTTGCCATTATGCCTTGAAACTATTATTAACAAGCTTCCTCGTGGCTGTAGCTTCAATATTTAGGTAGATTAATGTATACTCCTTACCTTACCCACTTAAAATAGGTGAATTCTGAGGAAACTGGTTTGCTCTTGCTATTCCATGCTGTGCAGTTGCGCTATGCAGTTAAGTAACTTCTATGGGGTTCTACCGCCGTTTCTCTGGCATGAATTGTTGACACTGTGATTGGGTCGAAAGACAACCCGAGGTCTTTTGGAACTATTCGCGTAGCCAAGATGATTCAAAAACATCAAACTCCGAGTCCCACTAAAAAGGGGGCCGTGAAACACTGGCAGTTTCTCCGCGCATCCACAACGCGGAAGCGGCGTGGGTGCACCACACCATAATTTTCCGTATTTCTCTCCTATCTATTGATGTATTCCAGTAGTATCTATAAAGAAAATGTCATTTTCCTGGCGTGCTTCTTTCGCTATTTCTAGTGGTATATCTCGATATTATGTAGGATCTGGTGGTGGTGATGTTCTATACGCTTTCTTCCACTGCTTCCTTACCCGCTTCCCTCTGCCTCTGCTTCCTTCTCGTTTATTTGTATCTCTAATAGAGAGTACCCCTATTCTGCTAAACGGTCAAACGACCTGGCACATACTGATTAGACGCTGTATGACAGGTATATAGCAATTGCTCATCTATTGAATCCATCGAGTCAGAGCTTCTTCCTGATAAGGTATCTACACCGCTTCCAGCCATACGAGGCCCTGCTCCCTTGTTAACACGGCGATAGAGAATACTTTGATTAATACGAAGTTGTGTGATACAGCTGGGCAGGCCTCAGCTATACTGGAGTCTTTAAGTTTATAGGGAAGCAAAAAACAGGGTGCTAGAATAAATTATGCATTAGTCTGTGGTTATGCGTTAGTGTGTGGCACACCCACAACGCGGAAGTGTTGTGGGTGGGCGGAGACACTGCTAGGAGTTAAACGTCGGTCTACCGTGTGCGCACCGAGCCGACCGACTCCGGGCCCTAGCGGAACCTTGCAACCGCGAAGCGACTCAGGAATCTCCGATTGTTACACATAGAGATACCTCGGGCATAGAAAAGGGATCCCTAATAAATTCATTCAGCGACCATTTCGCCCTCGTAAGGCCATTTCAAACATTGTCATATAAGCTCCAAGCCATTACTTCGTGTGCATCCGTTTTTCGTTATGGCCTCCTCATCAACTCCTAAATCAGTAACCATTATCGGTGCCAGCGTCGGCGGTCTAACGCTTGCTCTCGGCCTACAAAGATATGGCATTCAATCTCGTTTCTTCGAGCTCCGAGGCCCAGACCATGACTTCGAACGGCGCCGTTTCGCTTATTCCAAACGCCTTGCGCGTCATGGATTCTATCGGTGCATACTCTCGCATCAAGCATAAAGGATTCAACTTCGAGGCCATGACTTTTATGACGGACCCTGAGCACGAGGTTACTGGGAAGCTCTACTTTGGACAGAAAGATGTGTATGAGTACGATGGCATACGCATCACGCGAAAAGTGTTAATCCACGAGCCGAGGGAAATGGTCATAGAAGCTGGAATCGAAATCTACTACGGAAAGAAGTTTTCTAAGGTCATCAGCGAAGATGATAATGGTGTCGAATTCGAATCGCAGATGGCTCTCGGGGGACAGCTGAAATTTTGATCGGCGCTGATGGTATCCATTCCAAAGTCCGATCTTATCTCTTCCCAAGCATCTATCCAGAATATGAGGGTTTTCTAGGTTTAACGTATTGCTTCCCACGTGCTAACACACAACTGGATGACGAATTCCCACTTCCAGTATCTCTACGTGGGCAACATGGTTCTTTTATCATAACGCCTCAAGCTGAAAATGGTAACGAGGTTTTCGTTGGACGGCAGTATAAGTATGAGCCACAAGATCGTTAAGGATGGGCCGCAATGTTACGGGATAAGCAAGCAGTCATTGATATGCTGCAGCGAGACCCTAATGGATAGACATCACTAGTTCAGTCCTTTCAAGCGCAAGCTAGTACTCCAGATGCCCATTTCCTAAACGTCCGGCCTTTTTATACTGTTCCTAAAATGGATCCTTGGCATTCATCAGCTGGAAAGGTCATTATAATCGGTGATGCAGCACATGCCATACCACCTTCGGCGGGCCAAGGAGCAAATCAAGCCTTTGAGGATGCTTACAGCTTCGGAATGCTCGTGGCAACGCTCGATGGCAAAGTCAGTTGGCTGGACGCCTTGACGGCTTGGGAGGCATATAGGATGGAGAGGATGGAGAAAGTGTTGGAATTGACCAACCGGGTTCTCACTATCAGGATGACGGATGAAGAAAGGGCGAACCTATCTGAGCACATGAGGTGGGACGAGATTGATGGGAGGAACGCGGGCAAGTCGGAGCTAGGGTGGTTATATCTTGTAGACATCGATCGTGATGTTAAGAATTTAATAGGGACCCTAGAAGCATGAGATAGATAGTTGCCAGGAGAGTAGAAGGATTTCGACTGCGGAATGGAGTTCAATTTGGCTCGAAATATTGCTTTTAGTGGTGCGAAATAACACTACTTCGTAGTCTACGCGACCACTTCAGTGTTATACGTCGTTTTCCTACCAGCGAAGTAAATCAATGCATGCTTCTAGGGCCAAATACTGATGCATGACTCACGGCCCTGGTCTCCACAATCGCACATGCAAATTCCAAGACCCTGACAATTGTATTGTTAACTGCTATTGCACACGTGTCATCAGTCCAGCCTTCGCTGCCGCGGGATTGTCAGGTCATGGATCAGGTCAACGTCAGGGAGGTCATAGAGAATTGGTGACATTGCGTACCCGTGTGGGACGCCTGTGAGGTATCCAGATGTGGCAGGTGCTTTGTCCAGTGAGAAAGACTTGAATCAATGGCACAAGATATCCAAGACCTCTTTTCCCAGAACTATGGCATAGCTTGCAAAGCATTGTCTTATGCTCCAGACATCAAGTATCAGGAGCTATGGCACTTTCGCTTTGCCCCATATCTGGTTCACCGCATCAAGAACCAACAGGATTGCATAACCTCTAGCCCCTCCCCTAGCCTGGCCTCGCCAATTTGGCAGCGGTCCGTTCATTTTCACGGCATATGATACCGCCGTGTGATGGCAGTTCCGAGGAACTTCGCAATAGTGTTGAGCAGTAGTACCAGGTAGTATGACCTGGCAACCTGCTAGCCCCGGTCATTTGTATTCTTAGCACCATCTTGATGGACTTTAAGAGTGTCTAAAGTATAACTCGCCCATACACAAGCGTTAGAGAGTTGGTAAATTGCTCCCTAAACGCATGAGATCGTCATGAGCATGTGCCCAATGTAGTTTAGGTAGCATATCTCGGCTCGAACCTCGTCACCTGGCGCATTTTGAATTTCCTACGAGTTCCATGCCATGAGATCTCTGGGAATCTGACGTCTGGTACATAGGTTTGGAGGTTGGGGGAAGCACGCTTGACCGAAGTCGCTGCCATTGCCTCAACAGTTTCTGCCGGCTCGTCCGATATGAAGCAAGCCTGGAGCCTTGATCGCGGGTGTGGCACCCGTCTCATACTCCTCCAGGAGGTTGAGTACCCACTTGGGCAGTCTCCAGAGCTCCTTTGAACCATTCTTCGCCACCTCCTGAACCGGTCCACAGTTTCTTTTCCGTATCCGCAACTAGATTTTCCGCTTTTGATGTTGCCCGTGGCTGTATATAGCTCCCGTGATATGAGTCAACTTACGGTGCAGGCTTCAAACTTATTTCACCGCGTCGCTGCATTCAAATGTTCACTGTCGAAGTCGGGATTTGACCTTAACTAATCCTAGTGATATAGACACACTTAAATGACAACAAGCTTAGGTCTTGCCAGAGTAGTCATCCTAGATGAAAACACCATAATCTGGTTTTGTACAACAGTTTGAGCTTTTTTTTGTAATCTAATTATATGTATTCTCTAAAATATTTATGTAGATTATTTTCTGGATATTTATTTGATACGCAGTAAAAATTAGTATCTATGACTCACTTTCTGAATATTTTCGGATATGCACAATTTTCGCTTTTCTGGTGATTATTAGTATGCATCTTCCGTTTTTGAGAGCATTTTCGGTCAGAGTTGGACATTGCCGCAAGTACCCGCATGGATGCGAAAGACCAAGATTTTAAGCATGCCAAAAGGTCTCGAGCCTTCCCGTACTGGGAGTGGAATGTTTGTATCGCCCATGTTGCGGAAGAAGGGCAAGTCTATAGGTGATACTTGACTGAACATGTCTTGTAATTGAAATGGATGTTAAATTATTAAAAAATTCCCCACGTTTCCTGAGCGCCTGACTTGTTACAAGTCGTAGCCTTGTATTTGAACGCCTTCACTTTAAACCATTTTTGGTAGTCAGCCTTCAATAACTTCTGATTTCCCATCCGATGCATTCATTCATTTCGCTCATCGTACAAAATGGATGATATCCATAATGAGACAACGGAAATAGCTCTGTCGACATAGCCCTCTGAAGGTGTATCTCAAGTACCAGTAGCCTTCTTTGGTTTCAATGCATTAATATTGTGCCGCTTATTACCCAAGCTTACAAAGACAGTGATACCGGCGCTTGCGATAGTGATTGCGAATGCAACTTTGATGCCCCATGCGTACGCACGCAGAACTTCGTCCAGCTCGGTTCCGGAAAATGCCTGGCGCAGCTCACTCGCACCGGTAGTCGTGACGAGGGTGAGATCGATGTTCGGTGCGGTCTTGGAAAGCTTGTGCGCGAGCTGATTGGCGAAACCAGATTGCGCGGCTGCGAGCAAAAATGTGCTGCCAATAGATCGATACCCTATGCATGAGGCACACAATTAGCTAAGGAATAAGGGAACTCTAGAGAAAAAAAAAAAAAAACCAACAGCTTGGATGAGGGCGAGAAAGAACTCACAGATTTGGATAGCAGTCGTAGAAGCTATGTCGCTTGGCTCAGCATAAGCCTGCGCGATGACGATCGGGACTTGGAGGGCGAGGCCGTATCCGAAGCCCGCCAAGATCTGATAACCAACCCATTTGCCTTCTGAAGTCCCAATACCAAGGGTATATAGTAGGCCTGCGGCGATGGTTACGACCACAGACCCAGCTGTCAGATACGGAGCTGCGACACCTGTCTTCGTGATGATTCTGCCTGTGACAAGGGTGGTAACGCTAAAGAGGATAATAAGAGGAATGTTGCGCACACCGGAGCCAATCGGACTGCTGTTGTCGATACTTTGGAAATAGATAGGCAGATAATAGAGGGTGACGAAATACGAGCCAGCGAAGAAGAAGCCCCATACGCCATTGACCCAGACATGTCGTTGGCGCATAACGCGTGGTGTCAGCATCGCGAGTTCGCCTTGCCAGACTTCTACTATCACAAGTGCAATGAGCATGAGAACGAAGCCGACGAGCAAACCAATAACAACGCTAGATTTCCATGCATGAGTTTGACCTCCGTACTGAAGAGCTAGAAGAAAGGCGATGGATGCACCCATTATTAACACCGTCCCTGGAAAATCCATGTGTAGAAGCTTTTCTTTCAGTGTAGCATCGACCCGCTTGGCGGTTGCAGGGGTCTTGAAGGTGAGCAGAATGACACCAGCGGCCACACCACCGATCGGAAGATTGATGTAGAAGCACCTAAACTCATCAGATCATGTCAGGTCCGGTCATGGGAGTCGATGACTGGGAATAGTCCGTTTTTACAACATGAACAAAGCGGCACAATATTCTTAACTCACCATCTCCAAGACACGCCATCTGCAAACCCTCCACCAATGAGTGGTCCAAGGACAGCGGCGACACCATATACCGCACCAATGATACCTACCCAAGTAGCTCTCTCCTTCGGCTCAGCAGCAAAGGCAGCAATCGTGTATACTCCAGGTGCGATACCTGAGGCACCGAGACCGGTGATAGCACGTCCAACGATCACAGTCGTTGAGTTTTGGGCGACACCGGCGATCAAACTCCCAACTTCAAAGATGAATATTGACACCAGGAAACTAGTCTTGAGGGGGAAATATTTATACACTTTGCCCCACTGTGACTGAAATGCTCCGATCGTCAGGAAATAAACCGAACTATACCACGCGATGTCGTTGATTTTGTCAAACTGGTCGGTAATCTTCGGAATAGCGGTTGCAACGATGGTCTGAATGGAGATCATTAGCGTATCCGCCCGTGATGCAAAGGTCTGGCAAAGAGACGACGGCTCTTGCGAGCAATTAGAGGTGAAATTCACCTGATCCAGAGACATGAGGCCAATACTGAGCATAAGCGCAAGTATGACGACGAAGGCTTCGATACCCTTCAGGTACTTAGGCTCTGGCGGTGGAGCCCCGGCGTTTTCTTCAGAAGCAGCGCCATCGCTGTCCGGGGACTCTGATTTCTCTCTGCCATTGGCAGTCAAGATTACCTCAGTGGATGATTCGTTAGGCTCGATGGTCTGATGTTCCTTTTCAGGGTCGCCCTGATGTGTTTTTTCTCCCATCGCTTCAAGGTTGCCGCTGTAGTTGATATTCCCGTTGACATTATGCTTGCCGTTGACGTTGTCGTTGACATTACCTTTGCCCTCTTCTGGCAAGTGAGGTGGAGGTGTTGATGGCGACATCTGTGTTTTTATGATGATCGCTCAATTGTTTAAGCATGAAACTCCGTGCAGCGCGTTCGAAGGTCAAGGTTATAGTATTTAAACTTTACTAAATAGCCATCGCGCCCTGATTCGTGACCGTATGGTAATTTTAGTCATGAAATTAAATGTCAATATAGTAGGATACGGTATCGGCTAGAAAGCTAGGATCCAATGGAACGAGATGCTCAATATAGTGATGTATTGGGTGACTGAACTATCTAAGTGTATGGGCGGGGGAATGTTGAATATCCCCTACCTCGCTGTCTAGCGTTTTACGGCGCTGGGTTCCGAGTATACCCAGGATACCATACAAAACACGTAGCAAATCGAGTATCCCTGTAATATCCTGACGCACATGGAGATATGTTGGTCTCGCCCGTATTATGCAGTCTTCCTTCTCGACATTAAAGGAGCTAAACAAAATTCAAAGGGCAATTCGGTATAATTACGTAGTCACATGATCAAGTGCCAATTGTTTGCAGTGTTTATTGCTAAGAGACCACCGCTAAGCCCGTTAAGCCCGCTGATCCCGTTATTTCCGGTAACTCCACTTGGTGGATTTGGTGCTTTTGGGGCTTTGGGCTATATCTAGGGATACACGGGAGGGTCCTAGTTCCCGTACTGTGGAGCGTTTTAATGCTTAAAGCCAACGTCTCTCAAAAAGTGGGACTATTGATTGACATCTTATACCATCCAGTGTGGGATGATACGTACTTTTGGTCAGGGCTTCCAAAGTGGTGAAGTAACCTCACTAGTACAATTTTCTTCGCAGGTAAGGGCCGTTTACCTCGGAGGCCTGAAAGAGTACAGGTGTCATGAAGATCTTTCCTATCTGGGAAAGGTAATATCTTGTCTCAATCTAAACAAAAATTCTTTCCTCTATACTAGCTTGAAGGTCTTGAATGACCTTCACGAGTTTGATTTGCTCATCAGGAAGCGTTTTGAGCATGACCTGAGCGGAGTCGACAATACTATCTGAGCTGCCTCTTTCTCCACCACCGTCAGGCCCAAACATCAATTCGTGTTGGTCAACATTCTCCCGGTTCCCGATTCGAAGGCTACGACCTATGCGGTTGAGGAGGTGCATGACGAGCTGCAGAACCATGATGAATTGTGCAGAGGACGATCCAGCTCCGTGCAAAGTTTGCTGTTGCAACTCCATCCCTTGACCTATAGACCCCAAGGACCTCTTAATAAAGTCACAAACTGCGTGGAATAGGGATAGGACGTGCTGGTAAGAATCAAGAGCCAGAAAAATTGGCCAGTACTTGGTAGGCAGCTGTCGCTCGTTCCCATCGCTTCTATCGCGGGATGAAGATCGCGAAGAGCCATCTGTGCTGTCGGCCATAGTTAAACTGTTGATAATCTGCACTAACGTATTCGCGGCCTCGAACATTTCATTCACTGGAGGGGAGTTTACTGTCAAGGATGTAGTAGTGATTGCGCATTCATTTTCTCGTGTGGCGCCCATGGCTCGGTTGCTTAGTTTTATCAGCTGCTCTGTCAGCGTCTCTTTGCTTTCGTCCTGAAAACGCAGTGGGATGGTGCTCAGGCCCTCTTGCATCCTTTCATCACTCTCTGTATTATATGTGAGGTCAGGGTGGCCATGCCAGCTGTGTGCGCTGGTATCGTTGATGCATCCCATGGTCGTGTTGAGCGGCGGCATCATCAGGTCGTTGAGGTTATAGCCTGCAACATCGGTACTTGAGAGTGCGCTCGGGAGATGCTGACCGAGGTTTGTATTTCTTCTAGGTGAGGATGCATCTTTCCCCTTTGATCGTCTGTTTCTCTGTCTCACTGCGAGTATTGTGATGGATTGATCAGTCTAAGAAATAAAAAATGTACCTAATTCACACGGGTGATGCACGACCTACAGCTGTACACACATGGCACGTCCGCCTTTATACATCGATCATATGGGGTGAGATGGTTGTGAATCCCACTAATGGTCGTTGATAATTCGTAATTCTTCGGGCATCGGACCTTTTGCTGGCGGCAACGATCGCATGAGTATCTTTCTGGGAACATTATGCTTGTTGAAGAGCTATAGGCTTGTTGAACAATATAAGAACAAGGATTTTTGCTTACTCATAGATGGGACTAAATAGTGACAGGCAGCAGGTAGCGGATACCTAACTCAATTCAGAAAATGTCTCGTCGAGAGAATCAGAAGCTAAGGGGCGACGCCCCCAATCTTCGTGCAGAGGGTCTGGAGGGGTGAATCTTATGGTCCACCCCAAAGAAAGAAATTTTTATCTACAACTCAATTATTGTTTAGAGGAGATAAGAGAGAGCAAGAAACAGAAAATACAGAATACCAGAGAAACACAATGCTTTGGATTTCTCTAGAGAGCACTCGCTACTGTCCACTCGGGTGATCTATGGGTCCCGAGGCCCGTGGGAGGGGAGGGAGGGGTTCCATCCACAGCACATAAACAGTAAGTTTGTCGTTCAGGAATAAAACTAAGCCACCTCAGTGTTTGCAATGATTGAACATGATCGATATTTTTCCGGACCAGAACCAACTCAACCCTGGGTTACATGCCGTGTAATCCCTGCTAGGGCAATCCTGGCTGAACCCATTGACTGGGCAAGGGCAAGGTGAAGGATGGCTTAAAATCTGAGAGACATATACGGAGTTACGTAGATGATGCATTGATAACTCCTTAAATTGTACCCCGCACTTGATCCTGGGCCATTTGAACCAATTTGACAGAGGCATTGTACTTGACGGCGGCGATAGCGGCACGATACGAAGGAGGGAGACCGATCTGCGCTGGTCGTATACCAATGATCAATCCAGGGGCAAATTTACACTTACAGTCAGTGCGTTTTCCTGACAACTCGTGGCGCAAGCTAGTCATTGCGCAAGGCCTGGTCAAACTGCTCTGACACGGCGGGCTATATTGCCAGTCATAGGCCCGCGGAAGCGGGAAGGATCCGACATTGGTTTCGCTCACCCCCAATTAGAAGATAAGACCCCCACCAGAATATACAGCGATCGCGGATATCACTGGGTGAAGGAGTATGCCACCAAGCGCTGATCCTTAACATAAGTCCCAAGCGAGCGCCGCACCTACCGCACTAACTCGTATCTGTTACGGACCAACTGCAAAAGGACTTTTTCAAAAGAACCACGGAGGGCCAATGGTGCAAGTCATGGTCACCTCGGCATACTACATCAATGCACCCCAGACAATCAGCCATTAGGAAAACTATCGCCAAGAAAATTACACTTAACTAAGATGGAATCAGGCTTTATTATATAGGACCTTATCGGACATATAAGTAAGTATACGTTCCGTCCACTAGTTATTTAATGGTAAGTAATTTCGGTTAGTATTTATAGTGGGAGACTAATGGTAGGACTGGTTGGACCCGGCTTGGGGCCGGCCCATTTGAGGGAAGGGGGAGAGGGGGCCCTCGAGATGCGTGGAGAATCTTGACTACACATGGCCGCATATGGTGTGAATGATATGCTGCACCCACTGCCAATAATAGGGCACCAACTTTGTCTTGATCTAACCGCTTAAGAAGTAAGCCAAAGGTTATTAATATAACTCGAGTAAGTAGAGATGTGCTTACGACGTGGTAACCTCGAATGCTAACGGCTGCGGGTATTAAGGCAGAATCCCACAAGAAGTTGCCCCTAAATAGGCGAATATCTGGAGCGGCCAGAGACCACGAAGAAGCAAGGGATGTCCTTTCAACGGATCAATAGTATGCTACCGGAGCAGATCAATCTCCTAGAGAACATTTGAACTTATTTCTCTAGCCGACTTCCCATTGATTAGATGCAGAATGGCGCAGACGAAATCAGCTGTCGTTATAATCTCGCAATATTATAGTCACCTTCAAAGGGAGGCTAATACGTAGACGACGTAATGGCACGGCTAGAAGCAAAAAGACTGATAGAGAGCAGAGAATAATGAAGGATGTCTAGCAAAAACAGTTCTCCCTCTCTGCCAACGTACCGAGGGAAGAATTGCTTCCGGAGAGGGTGAGAATATTTGAAAATACATGTACAAGTAAGAGTACAACAAGGGCGAGATCCTTATCGGTAGCCCCAACCTGGCCGCCGGATACTTCAATAATGCTGAGTTGACGGCGGCCAAGTTTATCCAATGGCATAGCGAGCGCTGGTACAGGACGGGCGACCTGGCTGCGAGGACCGAACAAGGGTATCTCGTGTGGTGTGGCGAGTAAATTCGGTGGGCCTCGTCTAGCCCTCGACGGTGAATATCGACGAGTTGCGTGCGTTCCGCCAACAGCGCGAGGACCCATCCGTCGTACCCGATGACATTGTGGTCCTAGATAACTCCGCCCTCTCTGTGAACAGCAAGATCAATCGACAAGCGTGTGCGGTTAGCGCAGTTGGATAAGCGACGAATGAATGATGATGATGAAGGCATGGAGGAATCACCAAGTTCGAGAAGATTATCGGGCGGCCATTATCGAACGTATCAGCATTGCAGCTTCAGGCACCCAAGATACCTCCCCATGCGGATCACTACGACCTTCAGATTCGCAACAGCCCTGCAACTTCACTAAGATTGCGCTCGACGCAGCCGCATGCTCACGAGATATCACTGTCACCACCATAGTTTACGCGGCATGGGCGCCTTTTCTGATCCAGGTCAGTGGATCGACCCGTGTGGGCTACTCTATCAATTTCTCGATCTACATAATTCCCTAGCCTCCCGCTCAGGCTATAATTGGCTCCGTTGTAGGCAAGGCACCCTTCAGCACCGATCTGCCATTACGAAAGACTGTACACGGCTAGCTTTCCGAGCCGATGGTCGATATCATGGAGGTTAACAGCGTGACAAGCTCTTGCTCTCCTACCTACTGTAGTATTCCCTCGGGAATAGTCGACTATTCCACGCTTTTCGTCCGTGCGCCCTATAGTTAAGGCTCCGGGCGACTATAGCGAACTAGTCGACTATTACGCCCTACTAGTAGATCCTCGCGAGCTAATCCGGCACTATATCTAAATCCCCTAATTTAATCTATTATCTATCTTTCTTCGCGCGTGATATTAGGAGGAGAAAAAGTTTAGCGCGTTCCGATACCTAGCTAGACGCGTTTATAGAGTAGGCCGGGAGGGAATATCCTCTCTATTTAGCTATCGATAAATCTTTATCCTATTAGCGACTTTTACTATACTCGAATTATAACTATTACATTCTATAATATTATCCCGCTATCTAGGATACCCCCTAAATAGCCTTACCTTCCTCTCTATCTCGACTAGGGGGAATATATAGCAATCTATACTCTCTATTAATACGTAATCCTAACTAAGAGCTCCTAGGCTAGCGTTTACTTTCGTAAAAATTATTAGATCCCTAGAAGCTAATAGGAAGGGTTTACTATATATCTTTATTAGTATTACTTTAAGAGCGGAAGCCTCGCGACGTCTTAGCCGAATAGATCTGTCATATGATATTGCAACATGAAGCTATTCCCAACTTCACGCCTCAGGTGTCAGCTCGACACCTTATCGGTCAGGCTTCATCATGACAGCTCCACTTCTCCCCAACATAGATACATGACCTACAAGACCCTGAGGGTTCGGTGCCCTTCCATTAGGGATTCGTGAACCCCTCTTCTCTGTAGCCTTTGCTTACCTCTGTTATATAGGGGCTACGTCAGACCGTATGTTATAATGTGATCTATCGTCTTTGCTTGGTTATATAGGAAAAGTGTTGAAGCTTGTATATAAATTGAGGATTATAGAGAGATCTGTGTTAGCAAGAAACAGTGTTTTACTTTCCTTACTTGACGTTTATCTTCCTACCTAGTCGACAGGCTTTCTACCCTGTACAAGTAGTTATTCCCTAACATTCTCATACGCACTAGGCTGGCACTAGAAGGCGCAAATCCCTGCATAGCACCTTGTATATAGAGGAAGCTCTATCAGGAATAAGATTATTGATTGATTGAAATAATATTAATCTAATTAGCGATTATAAGGAAGAACAAGATAAATCTATAGAGATATAGCTAGAGGGTTAGGGAAATAGTAAATAGAGCCTAGGGAAATAATAGAAGAGTATTATATTAGAACTAGAGGTTATAGAAGACTATAAGGATAGAGATAATAATATCGCTACCCTTCTACTACCTAATATATACTAATATATATTAGGCTATCTTCGAAAACGGTTAAGACTACTAGATAGATATAAGGTTTAAAAGGAGTCCTACCCTAGTTTTCTAACCGTAGTTAGAAATATAGGCCGTAGGATAGTCTCTAACATATAAGTATTTTTAATTTTAACTATAGTTAGAAAACCTATTACTAAACAGGATTATTTAATATATTCTACCGCTACCAATAGACTCTCTCTATACTAGGATAGAGTAAGTAAAATACTAAAAGATACCGCTATAATCTATATAAATTATACAAGTCGCAAGTTCCTCCTATTTACTTAGTTTAACTACCCGCGGGTTACCCGCGGGTCTATAAGCTAGACCCTCGACCCTCAAAACGAGGGTCGGAGGGTCACCCGCGGGTCGTGCCGAGGCCTACTGACATGTAAGGTGTCGAAGTAGCGCCTAAGGTATTGAGTTGGGAATAACCTCATGTTGCACTATTATATAACAATACTGCAGTAGCTCTGCGCTACCTAATTCCTGCCAAGCTACGTGTAAGAATTATTACGCGGCATAAGGCTTGCTTTCACAGCAATAGGATGAGGTGCCGTGCCCGCTGTAATCGGCTGCGTAGAGATGATCATTATGAGCAGTCAATTGCCACGCGTGGTTGACCATTAGCTCATAGTTCGTGAAGAAATGCCGTGGAGAGCTCAAGTCGACTAATCCAAGATCAAAGAAGAGGTTTGTTCCCATCCACTTTTGCTCCCTAGTAGAGTACGAGCCATTTACTATAGGCTGGAAGGAGCCCAATAAGTGGACATTCGGGAGCCGCGAATTCCGGGAGCTAGGCCAACCGAGGAAGTATGAGATACACTACACAGCTTGGCCAGCTGTGAATCTTAGACCCGAGGACGGAGTATCGGAGAGAGTTACGCTTCCACCAATGTTATCCCGGAACCATTCCGGAGTTTTCACGGGGTCGGTCCGGCTCGGGTTCCTGCGCCCAGTTTCTCTGCAATATATTACTTACTAAGGCTAAGGTCTACTCAAGAGCACTACCAACACCGAGGAGCCAGAGTTCGGTCAACGTTAGGAGGTGATTCGATCGGAGTGGGCTCTTAGCATTTGCGCCATGCCTACACAGTCGGCTTTTCACCCGCTCTCACCAATCAAGTAGCGTTGCACTAGGGTAACGGCAGCTCGGCACAGCGACACGCCCGAAGACGGCGTTACTGTGTTCAGCAGCAGTCTATTCCAGCTGCCGGCAAGGCTCAGTTTACTTGCTTTATCTTAAGAAGGCATCTTATCGACTTGCAATCGTCTTTCGGATCCGACTCGGAACAAAAAAGACCCACGCGGAGGGATTTCATTTAGAAGTAGCAGTGCATTTCGCCGGTTTATAAACCTAGCAGGTTAGAATCAAGCGCAGGTTTCCCAGAATTGTTTTTGACTTCTGTTTGCCTTGTGGTAAAACTCAGCTCACGTTGAGAGTAATTCAAGAGTGTTTCTACGTCTGGAGTCTACAGACGAGGGGATAGATTGGCCTACCGGTTAGCTGTCGGAACAGTAGTAGCAGTGGAGAACCGAGAACGGAGATATTAACGTAATCCTCGGCAGAGCGGTTAACACGGCCGAGAAGATAACCTAATAGCTGGCCGGCGTGTAGCTTAAGGCTTAAGTCAGTACAGAGAGATGAGCCTAAAGCTACCTACTCTGCAATTGGACCTATAGCATCTCTAGTGAAGTATATAGAGCTACGCTTTGCTGTGAGTCCCATCTACAATAACCCTGGAAAATTCGTACGCGCACTGATCCGTGTACCTCTTGGTTCAATCTTGGAGTGGCTGCTCAAGTAAAAGTAGGCCCCGTTGATCTTGCACTTAGATTTTGACCAAAGTTCAAATTTTCGAGGAACATGCTATAGTTCGGCATCATTTTGTCGAATATTGGTTGTGAGGAGCTTTCGTAGAAGTCAAGACCTGAACAACCGACATCAGCTGTCAGGTTATTCGAATTCTAGATATCAACAGGTGTGCTGAGGAGCCATTGCGCGGCTCCGTCTTGAGTTAGGAAGCAGTCTGACTCCTTCTCTATCGAGGAGGAAGAATGAATAGCAGGCGGCATGAATTCCAGCTTAGACGACTGTTGGGTGTCTGTAGGTAAGAAAGGCGAAATGGCCTGTAGACACCAGGAACTGAAATGCGACTGGTCACCCAGCACCGTAGAGTCCTCTACGCCGTCAGTGCTCAGCATTTGGCATTGGATGTCATCACCACACATCTCCGGCGGCGTGAGTCTGGGGCTTTCCTCAATACAGCTATCGTCGTCGTCTAAAACACCAAGACGGGCAAGCAGAACATGGGTCAGCGGATGCCCATTAGTCTGGAGCCCCAAGAGATCACCTGGCCAGCCTTTGCCCTCCGCTGTGCGGTGGTATAAATTTAGCAGACCACGCACCAGCCTACGTTGCTGTTGCTCGAGCATTTCAACGTATCTGCAAACGATAATGTATTAACTTGTAAGTTCTCACTTAATTTTGCTAGATATTCTGAAAGGAATACTCACCCCTGCGGATATACTTTAGTTTTTGTGTTCTTTCGCTCCCCGAAGATGCAGGGGGTTCGATCTGCTTGGCAGCGCAGACATGGGATCGCTCCATCGCACTTCTTAGGTCAGCTCCAATCTATGTAGCAACAGAAATATTTCGCCTGATCTTTCATGACACACCTTGGTCTTTTTGAGACGGCAGCGATCGCAAGCTTTACGAACACGCTTACGAACAATATCGTATTGTAGGTGGGCGGATGGATGTCTTGCTTGGATGCGCATTGTAGGAGCAGTGCGGATATCTGGGAGATAGAAGGTACGGGACCGAGGTGTTGGATTGATTGAGAATCAAAATCGAGAAGCGATATCATGCGTATTGTGATCATGCTCGATAAGACTTGCCGCTGGCACGCAATAAGGGCGATCCAAGGCAGAATCGCCTCTTTGAAATATGCATCGGCCTAATGCACGATTCGGCCCGCATAATGGAAACTCACGGCTCGGCATCGCAGGCCAACGGCGGGTACCGATCGCCTTGAAGACTACGCCCCCCCCAATCCAATAAGATGATCTCCACGAATATGATAGGTGCAGAGAGAACCACTTATGAATTTGAGCTCCCCAGGTGTACCGAGTATCGAGGGTTATAATATCGAATATTTCAACCGAGCTTGCACGGCATGAGACTGGTGAATTCTTACCGGGCCGGCAAGTACTACTGCCCGTACCCTAAAAACACGCTTCAACTCGGAAGACGTCCCGAAGATTCGTGCCTCTCTGTTTCTAATTTGATGCATTGTCTTCTTTCTAGACTAAAATGATAGACCCATCTCCAAAGTTATTCGAGAGACAGGATAAAAACGTGACTGAGGCAATTGCCATTTTGAAAAATTGCGTCGCCGCGCCTGCCTGAATCGCACTGAGCACTTTAGGTTGAAAGAGTGCTTAGACCGTTGTGAGGTCGAATCGTGGATTAATGTATATTCTATGACAACTAAGGAATGCATTCTTTTCTTCATACACCATCAATACTTTCTGCGAGAAGGTCACCGCGGAATAGTTCTAATCGGCAGGCTTTCTCACACCAGGTAAAACGTGTTTTAGATTTGTAATATAACGAGAGCCACTATCATTATACGTGGTTTCGTCTGCATTTTCTAAATTCATTAAGTGAAGTCCAGACCCGGCAATCGACGGTGTTTTTAACTGCGAAGTGGATGACACGATAATCGAATGAGGAATTTAACATACCCACAGGTAGATCCGGAACTAGGACTAACGCATCCAATCGCAAACAGATGCTCCATACTATCTTGCTTCTCGGATATCATGTGCCGATCTTATGAACTCTTGGACTGCACACTTATGCCAAAATGCCTACATGGAAGCCCTGTAGCATGATTTTTATCCACACGCCTCTCTCTCACTTGATTCCTTCTACGGACCCTTGCAGTTTCTTCCTAGCCCGCGTTGTAAAATCACGCACTCGCCTGGGAGAAATATATAAGGGTGATCGGTCCTGTCACGCTTTTAAGGATTTTGCCTGACATTGTTCTTTTCATTCCTACCTCTCTGGATAGTTACTCGTTTCACACAATTTTCTTGTTCAATTATTTATCGTTCAACTTCGTTCATACTACTTTCCTTTATATTCCTGATTTTCTTCGCCCAAGGCCTTACTTTCCTACTTCCAACCTAATATCGGAGAACCCAAGCTGTGTAACTCGCACGTAAAGGCTGTCTACCCCAAGGTGCGGATATGAGTGAGGAAACCACGTCCGCTGTGACAGAGAAACAAGCTTCTGTCCGTGAGGAGCAGAAGTATGACACCCTCAAAGGCAATGACCATGAAGAACTGTTCCCTACGAAAACTTCAGTCGCCTCAGAGTTGCAAGGCAAGATCCAGTCCATGCAGGAACGCGATGCTGGTGCTGGTTATGGCAAGCGGGAGCTTGGAGTCACCTGGCAGAACTTGACCGTGGAGGTTCTTTCAGCAGAGGCAGCGGTCAATGAAAACTTCCTTTCCCAATTCAACCTTTTCCAGATGGCCCGCGACTTCAAGAAGAAGCCTCCGATTCAACAGATCCTCCGGAACAGCCACGGCTGTGTGAAGCCAGGAGAAATGCTGCTTGTGCTTGGTCGTCCGGGCTCCGGTTGCACCACCCTGCTGAACCTTCTCTCAAACCGGAGAGAAGGCTATCGAAATGTCACCGGCGACGTGCACTTCGGTGCCATACCATCTGGAGATGCCACTCCATACAAAAGCCAGATTGTGATGAACAGTGAGGAAGAGATCTTCTTTCCAACTCTGACTGTTGGCCAGACTATGGATTTTGCCACTCGCCTGAAGGTTCCATTCCATCGCCCCGATAATGCCTCGCCTGCCGACTGGGCAGGTGAATTTAAAAATTTTCTCATGGAAACAATGAGGATCGCGCATACGGAGGACACCAAGGTTGGAAACGAATATGTGCGTGGCGTTTCAGGTGGTGAGCGGAAGCGTGTTTCAATCATCGAATGTATGGCAACGAGGGGATCTGTATTCTGCTGGGATAACAGTACCCGTGGCTTAGATGCGTCCACTGCACTCGAGTGGGCCAAAGCTATACGTGCCATGACTGATATCATGGGTCTCACCACCATCGTTACCTTATACCAGGCGGGTAACGGTATATACGAGCAATTTGATAAGGTCTTGGTGTTGGACGAAGGAAGACAGATTTTCTATGGTCCAGCATCGGCAGCAAAATCGTTCATGGAAAGTGTTGGCTTCGGATACACCGACGGGGCCAACGTCGCTGATTATCTGACTGGTGTCACTGTCCCTACCGAGCGGAAGATTCTCCCAGGATTTGAGGGGTCATTTCCTGAAACCCATGATAGTCTACTTGCCATTTACCAGAGATCTCCAATCTGCCACAACATGATGACCGAGTATGACTATCCAACAACACCTCTTGCTGAAGAAAGGACGGCCATGTTTAAAGAGTCTGTGGCATTTGAAAAGGATTCTTCGCTGCCAAAGAACAGTCCCTTGACCACTGGTTTCCTACACCAGCTAAAGGTCTGTATCATTCGACAGTATCAAGTCATCTGGGGTGATAAAGCCACATTCTTCATTCGGCAATTTGTGTCCCTCGCTATGGCTTTGATCGTGGGCTCTTGCTTCTATGATTCTCCAGACACGTCGGCTGGCCTATTCACAAAGGGTGGTGCAATCTTCTTTTCCCAGGTCTACCAGGTGACATTGGCGATGGCTGAGGTCACCGGATCTTTCAGAGGGCGACCAATCCTCATCAAACACAAGAGCTTTGGCTACCATCATCCAGCGACATACGCTATAGCAATCCTAGCTGCAGAGCTTCCAGTGGTCATCTTCCAGTGTACCATTCTGAGTGTTGTGTTGTATTGGATGGTCAATCTGAAAGCGACCGCGGGTGCATTCTTCACGTTTTGGATTATTCTCATCGTCATCACCTTTGTAAGTTGGATCTACCCTGTTTCATATTTAGGGGCCAATTGTTGAAAGAAGATCATGACGCCTATAATGAGTGAGATTCTGTGGGCTGACTGCATGCGTTAGTGCATCAACGCAATGTTTAGGTCAATTGGTGCTGCTTCGCCCAACCTTGAGGTCGCTTCAAACCTATCTGGTGTGATCATGAAATTCCTTGTCTTGTATGCCGGCTACATGATTCCCAAGGCCCACATGAAGAACTGGTTTATCGAGCTGTACTATGCAAACCCAATGGCCTATTCCTTCCAGGCAGCTCTGACCAACGAGTTCCATGATACGATAATCGATTGTGTTGGGAGCAGCTTGATTCCTCGAGGAGATGGATACAGTGATTCTCGGTACCAATCCTGTGCGGGTGTTCAAGGCGCAGAACGAGGCGCTACCTATGTGGCCGGTGACAACTATCTCGCTGCTCTACATTGGAAGCATTCCCAACTCTGGCGCAACTTTGGAGTCATCTGTGGATGGTGGGCGTTCTTTGTCGCTATTACAATCATCTCAACCTGCAGGTGGCGGGGCGGTGGGGCAGGCCGTAGCTCACTCCTAATTCCTCGAGAGAAGATGAAGAATTTCCAACAGCGCGAAGATGAAGAGACCCAGTTATCCACCAGGGCAGAGTCGCAAAAAACTCGCACCACTGCAGCGGACGATCGGAATAGAGGCAGTCTCCTGCGCAATACTTCAGTTTTCACATGGAAAGATCTCGTTTATACTGTGAAGACCCCTACAGGCGACCGTGTACTTCTAGATAAAGTCTACGGGTGGGTCAAACCAGGAATGCTGGGTGCATTGATGGGGTCATCTGGCGCAGGAAAAACCACTCTACTCGATGTGTTGGCACAGCGAAAAACCGACGGCACAATTCGGGGAGTTGTGTTGGTCGATGGCCGCGAACTCCCTGTATCCTTTCAGCGAATGGCTGGATACTGCGAACAGCTTGATGTCCACGAACCCTTTGCGACCGTCAGAGAAGCACTCGAATTTTCGGCACTTCTTCGCCAGCCTGAGCATGTCCCAAAGGAAGAGAAATTGGCTTATGTTGAGACCATTATCGATCTATTAGAGCTCCACGATCTGGCAGATACACTGATTGGAACGGTTGGCGAGGGACTTAGTGTTGAGCAACGAAAGCGCGTGACAATCGGCGTTGAGCTAGTCTCAAAGCCTAGTATTCTTATCTTCCTCGACGAGCCAACATCTGGTCTTGACGGCCAATCTGCCTTTAACACAGTCAGATTCTTGCGCCGCTTAGCCGATGCTGGCCAGGCAATTTTGGTGACTATCCACCAGCCGTCCGCTCAATTATTTGCCCAGTTTGACACCCTTCTTCTGCTTGCCCGTGGGGGTAAGATGGTCTACTTTGGCGACATTGGCGAGAATGCCTGTACCGTCAAGGAATATTTTGCCAATTATGGAGCACCATGCCCGATAAGCAGCAATCCCGCTGAACATATGATTGATGTGGTTACTGGTGCAATTAATGCTGTGAAAGATAAAGATTGGCACCAAGTTTGGTTAGATTCACCTGAAAATGCTGCCGCTGTAGCAGAGCTTGACTATATTGTCTCAGACGCTCTCGCGAACGAACCGGGGACACTAGATGACGGCAAGGAGTTTGCTACCTCCCTCTGGACTCAAACGAAACTCGTTACGCAACGAATGAATGTTGCCTTGATGAGGAACACGAAATATATCAACAATAAACTGGAGCTACATATTATTTCTGCCTTGCTTAACGGATTCTCATTCTGGCATCTTGGACCTGCTGTCCAGGGTCTTCAATTGAAGATGTTTACAATTTTCAACTTCACATTTGTGGCACCCGGAGTCATCAATCAATTACAACCTCTTTTTATACAACGTCGTGATATCTATGACGCCCGTGAGAAGAAGTCGAGAATGTATTCCTGGAAGGCGTTTGTGACGGGTCTTATCGTTTCCGAATTCCCTTACCTTTGCCTTTGCGCCGTCCTCTACTTTGTGTGCTGGTACTACCAGACCCGTTTGCCGCATGCATCTAGTGAGGTCGGAGCGATCTTCTTTATCATGTTGATCTACGAATTTATCTATACCGGCATCGGACAGTTTGTGGCGGCCTATGCTCCAAATGCGACATTTGCAGCTCTGGTCAACCCCCTGATCGTTAACAGTTTGGTTCTGTTCTGTGGCGCCTTTGTTCCCCAACCGGAGCTTAATGTGTTCTGGAAATACTGGTTCTACTACCTCGACCCTTTCAACTATGTTCTTGGAGGCATGCTTACGTTCGGTATTTGGAATGCAACGGTGACTTGTTCCTCGGACGAGTTTGCTTACTTCGATCCGCCCAACGGAACATGCAAAGATTACCTGTCCGACTTTATGGCCGGCACGGGCTCTGCCATCAACTTGATCAATCCAGAGGCAACTTCTCAGTGCCAAGTCTGTCAATATAGCCGTGGAAGCGACTACCTCAAGACCCTCAACATCAACCATTACTATTATGGCTGGCGCAATGCTGGAATTTGCGTGATTTTTGCCCTCAGCGGTTATGCTTTAGTGTTCCTCATGATGAAGCTTCGAACCAAGGCTTCTAAGAAGGCAGAATAAAATGCCTGGTGCCCCATCACATTCATTTCCATGTTTCCATCCCCCCAACCCTCCATGCCTCGCCTCCCTCTATCTTCAGCCAGGTGACACGTGTCATAGCAAGTTCAAGACTGGCTTTTTGTTTTTTTCTTCGATCATGGCTCATATTTGCTTGTTCATTTTTTCTCCTATTTTCTGGACATGTTGCCAGACTCTTTGCATTAGGTTCACGCGCGTAGCCTGCTAGATTCATTACAGCATATAGATAGCTATCCTTTAGATACTGATATAGATTGAATTTTCCTTATCTTTTCTTCTTTCTCTTTTGATTTCCAACTCGGTCCTATAATACCGGGTGCAGTGAGCCTGACTATAAGGCGGTTAGAGTCCTTTAGTATAGGTAGTATTGTGGTCCGAACGATAGGTGGAAGTTGCATGATATTGAAAACTAGTAAGGATATGGTAGATAGACATCGCCAAAGCCCACGTTTGGGCCGGGGATCGGGCCCGAGCCTAACCCAAAGCCTATTTTTGCATAAAAGCAAAGTCTTGGCGTTTATAGAACAGCTTATTTATCAGAATTAAATACTATTTTTTATATCTATTCTAGTTATACCTTCACGAACACTACTAGAACCTGCTAGGGCCTAGGTAAATTTAGGAAATTATTTTGAAATTTAATTCAGAATCGCTCCTTCTCTCTTAATTATTGTTAGAGGATAATTACTTATACAGGGTAGAAAGCCTGTGGACTAGGTAGGAAGATAAACGTTAAGTAAGGAAGGCAAAACACTGTTTCTTGCTATTACGGATCTCGCTATAATCCTCGATTTATGTACAGGCTTCAACACTTTCCTATATAACCAAAGCAAAGGCGATAGATCACATTACAACATGCGGTCTAACAAGGCCTATATGTAACAGAGATAAGCAAAGGCTACAGGGAAGAGGGGTTCATGAATCCCTAATGGAAGGGCGCCAAACCCTTAGGGCCTTATAGGTTATACATCTATATTAGGGAGAAGTAGGGCTGTTATAACGAAGCCTGACCGACAAGGTGTCGAACTAACACCTAAGGCCTTGAGTTGGGAATAGGCTTATATTGTAATATCATGTGACAATAGTATACTATTCCCGAGGGAATACTATAGTAGGGTATAGTTCAGGTTATATTTTGCCTCATAGACTGCCGGGACCCACTAGTAGGGCGTAATAGCCGACTAGGTCGCTGCGGTCTCCCGGAGCCTTAACTATAGCACACACGGACGAAAAGCGTGGAATAGCATGCTATTCTCGAGGGAATACTACAGTAGGATAAACTATATAATGTTAATAGAGTAATTAATTGATTGAAGAAAAGTGGTATTGCACCGGTAGTTTCGATAAGGTGGTTGAGAGTAAATGAGATCTAAACCAGTTAAGAAATACTGGTTTCTACCAACTGCTAACCCTCAAGGTGTTAGGGCATAATTAAATGATAATTGAGCAAGCCCTAGTCAGTATCTTTGTCCCTCAAATCTGTGAAAAAGCATCAACCCCCCTCCCTTCCCCCCCAAAAAACACGAATGATTAGTCTAGGCGCATGTCCCCGCACTACTGCATCTCTCCCGCTTCCAAGACGCTCCACTCCCCGCATACTCGACTACCCCAGTCAGCCAGATCTCCGAACTCCATCGGCCCAAAACAGAACCCCTGCCTGGTTCTGGTAGATACGCGAGTGATCAGTGATAATCGGGAATCCTTTTCGCTTGAGCCCTCCCGTCCCATTCCAATAGTCGTCGACTTGTCATACTTTTGACATTTTTCAATCTATTTTTTCAGTTTCAAAATGCCAGTGTCTACCAACTTCTTTTTCGCATCCTTTGTCCATTCATTACATTTTCTGATTGGCCGTCGCTGTTCGGTTGGCCCGTAACGTTCCCCATCTTCCCTAACCCAAATATATGGAGTATCACCTTCATACTTGTTCCAAAAGTCGAGTCCTTGCTGTTTGGTAGGCTTGGGTACAGTGTCCAAAATACCATATACTCTCCCCAAGCTGGATTCGGGAATTGTTCCAATTTCTGTAATTCCAAAAAAACGCGCAGACCGATGAGGAATATGATTATCCTTCACCGCGAACTTCATACCGAATTTGGAGATGATGTCGCCGGTGACATGATATAGCTTTCCTTCACCCGTCTGCTGGTTCGTTTCAACGAAGATACCGTCGTGATATCGCTTGCCGGGGTCTAGAGGGTCGTTGGCTACTGTGTCAAACTGTGGTATAAAGACTCTGTACAACTGGGATGCGGGACGCGATGTTGATCTTGATGTTGATCTTCTCCTTGCCCCCTGCTGGTCAGTCCTTCCACGAGATTGACTGCGTGCGGATGCCATATTTGATATTCACACAACGAAGGGGTAAGACCTTAGCGTTAATAAAGGAAAATAGATTTTCAAAGTAGTAAGATACTGGACAATGAAAACCCGGCGGTTTCAGCAAAGATTAGACAATGAATAGTGATTTTTTTTTTTACAACTGAACCCATATCTTCTTTTTATAGTCAAAATTGATGTTCTTGATTTTGGATAGAGATGTAAATTTGGATAAGATATCCCAACATGAATAGTGTCAAATATCATGCCGCTCGCGCGAGTTGAGAAGTTGGCAATCTGCACAAAACAGACTACAATTGGACGATAGATCCAAAGAAAACCAACCAGTTATATATCATGTATCAGTATATCCCAGGGCTTCACCGTTGTCGATAAGAATAGGAAAGAAGATGTCATTTTTAGTGCTACCAGAGACAGGGGCGCGCTTCAGTAGGTGGAGAGTGGGTAAATGACTGGTTAATCTCAGAGGATAGTGCAGTATACCATCTTTCGATATTGACCACACTGGGCGATTATAAATCAATCAATCATTTTTCTTATTGCTATTGGAGATTCCTCTCTTTATTACGCGATATGCAGGGATTTGCGCCATCTGTTGCCAGCCCAGCGCGTATGAGATGTTGCCGGTAGAGGGGGGAGGGAAGGCCAACTGGGCACACCAGTTAAAACGAGTGGATGAAAAACAAATATAGGCAAAGGAAAGGTAACTGACGAAAGGGGATCACCACTCCCGCAGCCCTAAATCCCACAGTAGTTCTCGGCAGCGATGAAGTGCACCACACTATAGCATATTCTCTATGGCACTAACAGGTATCAATCGACCCTCGACCTGACCCTCAAAACGAGGGTCTATGGCTCTTAGCATTGGCACATGACAAGATAGGGGACCGATGAGGCCACTGGACGGCGGCCAGGAGATGTTGTGCATCCCACTAGACCCCGCTGCCCGATATTGTGGGGGCCAACGGGTTCCCAACATTATCAGCTTGATCAATTTGATCACTTTGGCCAGCATGACTATAGCCAACACGAGATTCCAACCCTCAATATTTTCACAAAGGGCCTACTGTCCGCAAAAGGGAAATATTGTGATGTAAAGGTACGCTATCATATCAGAATAATCGCCTAACGCGACAGACTACGAAGTTGGAAGGAGACGTGCCCCCACGGCAAGGCTGTTTTGCCTACGAGCCTGAAGGATTATTGGTTGGATCAATAGAGGTAGCCTGAGACCCGAAGGAATTATTGTAGCGTCGATTCACTAAGTGCCGTTCCACTAAGAAACTTAGTCACTTTCTTATCGACCGGGGATCTGTGGGCTCCTTAGAAGAGTACCCGCGGCCCCACTAAATCCATTTAACTTGGTTACAATCATTATATTCCTTCCAAGTACTTACTCGCGGAATCTACGTATATAGCCCCGAATATTATGAAAAATAGCAAGTTGCGAATAAATCGGGTCTCTACGCTACGATCAAGTATACTATAGGGTAGAGATCGACTGGGGCTATAAGATTCGGGTTCTTCCTGAGCATAAGTTAATAGCGGGTATTTCTATAAGTAGAAGTCTTCGATATTAGGGGATTCTACTTTGAAGTTTCGCTGAAAAGGAGATTAATAGTAATAGACCACAGTAGAAGAGCAAATGTTAAAGAGGCTCGCCGTATCACAGCTAACTTACGATTCACCTAGAGCCCCCTTTCCTCGCCTTGCTGCTAATATTATATAGAGACACTCCTATTAATTACTAAGGATATTCGCTATAGGCCACTCCCGACTTTACTGCTACTGTTATAGAACAACCACATTTGATGTTATTCCGGCTGACCGGCTCGTTTCGTATATGAATCGTATGTCTGACGATTTCGGTTCATGGAGGCACAGCACGATAGAATTCGGAATCGGACTTTTTTACCGTTATTCTTTCGGCAAGCAGCGGAATGACGATATTTAGGTTCTAGAAAGAGAATCCCCATTTCTTTGAAACTGAATCTTGAAGAGATTCAGTTATTAGAATAATATATTCTTATTACCCTTCCGATTCAGTCACGATTCTATATTATATTCATTTTCCTTACCTGACGAACAGGCCACTACCCTGCAAGTAGCATCCTAACAGCTACAATTTTCCTAAATTACTCCCCCCGCGCCGTCAGTACTCTTAGCTCTGGACACCATACGATCGAACTCGGTGGGAATATACTTAGGGACCTAGTCTATCCTGCCTATAGCACGCCTGATTGGTAGATTCACGTGCCTATCTTCCCGCCACGGAAGATAAAGTACGGGAGTTAATGCCAGAAGCCCTAGTCAAGATCCACCTAGGCCAGCATAAAATTTGCAGTAATGCTCGGGCCTCTTCCGAATAGATCGGAAAAGGTCTCACACTCCATCAATTGGGCAGTATTTCTTGCCACCGCATTAGCCTCGTGAATAATTCTTCCACACCTGAATATGTTCTGTCCCTATCTACGACTAGTGAATGGCGTAAGGACTGGTTCCGATCACCGTACTGGCTCCTACATAATTTCTACCCTTTCTATTCGTATATCACTCTACTAGTAGGCCCTATAAGGGGACAATGTCGGTAGGTGCTGTTAGTAGGCGCTGTTAGTAGGTTCTGTTGGTTAATTAGTTGGTTAGTAGGCGCTGTTGTAGGTGCTGTTAGCAGGCGCTGTTAGTAGGTGCTGTTAGTAGGCGCTGTTAGTAGGCGCTGTTAGTAGGCGCTGTTAGTAGGCGCTGTTAGTAGGCGCTGTTAGTAGGCGCTGTTAGTAGGCGCTGTTAGTAGGCGCTGTTAGTAGGCGCTGTTAGTAGGCGCTGTTGGTTAATTAGGTAGCTAAACTAAATGATTAACTTGTGTAGTAAGGAAATGGCCGACAATAGGTGATCTTTTGAAGGATATCTTTCCTAGCACCAAGTCTTTACAGGATATAGCTTCGCATCTCCGATAGGGAGAGAATCAACCTTCACACATCTTTCGCTGAATCAGCACCTGTTTCCTCCCTGAGAGGCTTCCTTCCATCGTGGTGTGGTATGTGTTGTTGGCCGGTTCGCTGATCCATCTCATCCAGCCTGCGAATGCAGGCTTGCCGTAGAGCGTCCTGGTTCACTAGTTTGTTAAGTTAGTTAGTTATTCAAGGACGCTATTAGTAATCAGATTTGGGGGCTGGCGGGCCCCTCTTCTGACCGCTCATTTCCCCTCTACTCATTTTCCTTCCGCTCATTTATTTCTGCACGTCTTCTTCTATTACAGCAATCATCCATTTCAATATTACCTCTATCGACTCCTACTTTATTCATGATGTGGAAACCAATAGATATCCCCTTCCAGAACTCCCAGCCTCTACCTACTCTACCTCCAACCGAAGAAATTCGTGCCTGTACCAATATTTTATGGGAGACCTCGGCCTCGAAGATTGTGGCGATAAATGACGATATTATTGTGAAATATGGAGGTTGCATAAGAGTCCAGGAAGGCCAGGCTCTGGCTTACCTTGAACAATATACGGAAGTTCCAGCTCCTCGGCTATACGCGATGTACTATGATTCCGAAGAACTTTTCTTGATTATGCAACGTGTCCCTGGGGTACAGCTAGACTCTATTTGGCCATCATTAGCGTCATGTGAGAAGGATGATATTATCGCAAACCTGCACATTATATTCGATATGATGCGAAATATCGAGTGTCCATGGCCTAACTTTTTCGGAGGCCTAGACGGGGGTAGTGTTCCTCACTACCTCTTCTATAGCCAGTCTGGCGATAAGAAATTTCTAGGGCCTTTCTCTAGCGAACCTGCCTTCGTTGCGGGCCTTGTGAGTAATTACAGAGCCTATATTGAACGCAATAATCACCCAGACTATAAAGCTCGCTTTTATGAAAAATACCTCGCTCGCGTCCTTCAAGGTCACCGGCCTACATTAACTCATGGGGATGTCCAGCAGAAGAATATTATAGTCTCTGAGAATCCAAGTCGCCAAAATAATCAAGGGGGGCGATCGTTTGATATAGCTCTAGTCGATTGGGAGAGTTCCGGCTGGTTTCCTGACTTCTGGGAATTCTTTTGTGCATCTTGGCTTCTTCATTTCGAATGGGACGAGGAGTGGTCCTGGCTACTCCAGGAATTTCTTCCAGTATGGCCTGCCGAGCTAGCCTTAATGCAGCAGATTGATAGGGATCTAGGCCACTAAGCATATCACTATGTTTAATATAGGACTGGTCTAATTTCCTAACCACGAACAAGAAAAATCTGTAACAAAGCAAGAATCCTATTCCTATTAAACCTACTATAGTATTTGTCTAGATAGGTGTTAGAGAATAACTACTTGTATAGGGTAGAAAGCCTGTCGACTAGGTAGGAAGATAAACGTCAAGTAAGGAAAGTAAAACACTGTTTCTTGCTATTACAGATCTCTCTATAATCCTTAATTTATATACAAGGTTCAACACTTTTCCTATATAACTAAGTAAAGACGATAGATCATATTATAATATGCGGTCTGACGTGGCCCCTATATAACTACTGTACTATTCCCTCGGGAATGGTCGACTATTCCACGCTTTTCGTCCGTGCGCCCTATAGTTAAGGCTCCGGGCGACTACAGCGACCTAGTCGGCTATTACGCCCTACTAGTAGATCCTCGCGAGCTAATCCGGCGCGACCTCTAAAACCCCCTAATTTAATCTATCGTCTATCCTCTATCGCGCGCGATATTAGGAGGAGAAAAAGCAAAGCGCGTTCTAGCACGCGGCTAGACGCGTTTATAGTGTAGGCCGGGAGGGAATATCCTCTCTATTTAGCTATTAATAAAATCTTTATCTTATTAGCGACTTTCGCTATACTCGAATTACAACTATCGTATTCTACGATATTATCCCGCTATCTAGGATCCTTCCCGGAATAGCCTAACCTTCCTCTCTATCTCGACTAGAGGGAATATATAGCAATCTATACTCTCTATCGATACGCGATCCTAACCGAGGGCTCCTAGGCTAGTATTTACTTCCGTAAAAAATATTAGATCCCTAGAAGCTAATAGGATAGCCTTAATCTATATCTTTATTAGTATTACTTTAAGAGCGGAAGCCTCGCGACGTCTCGGCCGAATAGATCCCTATACTATCCCGCTCTCTAGACCCTACTAGGCTTCTAGTACCGGTAATACATAACGTTTCAAAAGTCTGTTCCGATCCCCACTTTCACCACCCTAACATCAAATATATATATCTGTTACACTACACACTACACCACCATCTTTCTAGATATTGTAGTGGGGAAATGGCCTACAAAGGGGGATCTCTAATTGGAGGATATCTTTCCAGTACACAGTCCTTACAGGATATAGCTTCAGATCTCCAATAGGGAGAAATATCAACTCTTACACTCTCCTTGCTCTATCTGCTTCTGCTTTCTATAGGGGAGGCTTCCTCCATTGTGGTGTGTGGTGGTTTGTATGCTGGTTTGTTGAGGCTATATCATCCTGCCTGCATTCTCAGGCTTGCCGCTGAGCGCCCTGGTTCAATATATAGTTCTAGTAAAAAGTTTTAAATTCGGGTAGGGTTAGACTCGCTTAGCAACTACTAATATTTTGTATAATAACCCTTAACCCTCTGCACAGCTTCTAGTCTTCTTCCTATCCCTAAAATCAACCTATCTATCTTCCTCTGTTCTAATACCTCCCAAGCTTCTATAATATATCTTCTAAAATAGCGCTAATCCTCCTTAGACTTTCCTATATCTATAAGCTCAGGATGCAACTTAAAAAGCTTCAGTTTTAACTATCTCTAAACAGGTTCTATCGGGTTTAAATTAGGTAAGTGCGGAGGCTAATCTTCTACCTAAATTCTATGTCTTTCAAACTACTCTTATATCAGCTTTGTAATATGAATCCTAGCATTATCTTGTTGGAATATAATCCCCGGCCTATATATAGGTAGAAGACCTTCTTCTAACGCTTCTAGATAGGATTTTGTTGTATAACCTCGCTTCCGACTATTAGATTCCTCTCGTTCTATTATAATAAGCTTCGATCGACTACTAAGCCAGATAGCACCCTAAACTATCTATGAAATATCTTTAACATAAACCTGCTTATTAATAAGATCACGCCTATAGGCCTTAGAAGCAAATCTCTAGCACTATTTAGGCCTAGAATTCGACGTTCTTTAAATAGAACACTTATCTGAAAATATCTATTTTTCAACCCTTGAAGTATTAGTTATCTTCCGCTATTTTAATATAAAATATTATCATTTTAAAGTAGTCTGAAGCCCTAAAGGAATCTTCTTTTTTGATAAACGTTTAGCAAGTCGGAATTAGCGAAGAACTCGATAAATTGTTAACCGAGAAGGATAACTAGGTAAGCAGGCTGATAGCTATTTATAGGTCTAAAAAGGATGCCGGCGAGCTTGCAAATATAGGAAGGTGCAATCACGCCTACTAAGCTTCCTAGGCCTACCTAAACGAGGCGCTGAATCGAAGGTGTAGTCGTTTTGGTAGCGTTTAAAGATGTTATATATAGTCTTGACCGAGCACCTAAAATCCTGTACTAGCTAAGCACGTGAAATATCACCCTTTCTAATAGCATATACAATAGCTTGACGTTAAGTAGGGGTTAACTCACTATTTTTCTTGCGATTACCACCAAAATCGGGGTGCCTAGATGCTATCTAGGTAGTTGTAGAAGGAAAGAAAAATTATATGTGGGTGGTTGGTGTGGTGATGGAAAGTGGGGATCGGAACAGACTTTTGAAACACTACTGTACTCCTTCCTTAGTATTAGCCTCGATCTTATCGGACGGTATATTATAAAGATATATATTATCGCGAGGCCCTCTATATAACCTAATCTCGAACTACTATATACGAGTATCTACCTATAGACCTAGACGAAAATAACCGCTATATAGTCTTACTAGACGATCCTTCCTAGCTAAAGCTCGAGCCTAATTAAGAGTAAGAATAGGTTATAGGCTTAGACCTTATCGATAATAAATCGTATCTTCCTTAATAACCTCCGGTAGCGAGAGCGGTAGTTCTAGACTAGTAATTAGCCCTATAATACCCTCTCCTATACTAGACTCGATACCTACTAAGGTACCTATCTATAGCTCGACTATACTAGGTAGATGTCATATGATATTGCAACATGAAGCTATTCCCAACTTCACGCCTCAGGTGTCAACTCGACACCTTATCGGTCAGGCTTCGTCATGACAGCCCCACGTCTCCCTAACAAGGATGCATAACCTACAAGACCCTGAGGGTTCGGTGCCCTATCCTATAGTACCGGGTGTAGTGAGGCTCACTGCAAGGCGGTCAGAGTCTTTCAGTATAGGCAGTATTTTAACGCTAGACCTTACTGCAATTGATTTTCTAAGGCTGACTATAAGCCTTTTTCCTTGTACGATTAAGCTTAAATTTTAGGATATTTTAATTCGGAGTATCTACTATCTCCCGTTTTAATTTAAGCTTCTATAGTTATAATTTACTCTCGTACGATCTAACCCTAATTTACTTAAAATAGCGGAGATTTTTTGATAGGGTGCGACCGGGAGGACCTATATCCTTAGTTAGCTCTAAAGTTAGATCTTCTCCTCTAGACCTATATATAGGGTTATCTCGTACGACTAGTTTATATAAAGACTTTATTAACCTTTCTTTTATTTTTTAATTTAGAGATATTAGAGCTTATTTTTAATTAGCCTATATTAAGGGTTTTATTTATAGTTAACCTTTTTTTATTCGTACGAATTACTAGAATAAAGAAGACTAGCGATTAGATCTATTTAAAACTCCGCGACTTTAGAATTTTTATTCGCTCTAGATATTATCCTTAGAGAGTTAAAGAAAAAGTCGTTACTACGTTCCTCTTTATCGTACGAGAGGCCTCTTAGTAGATCTTAGCTTCTTTTCTACTATTTCCTATATTTAAGGACTTCCTAACCCTCTTATCTCTACCTCCGACTCTATCTTATACTTACTCTTACTCGATACTTGCTCTTCTCCTCTAATCCTATCTTTCTCTATTATAGTAGGTACTATACCTGTAGACGCTCTTATACGAGTTAGGTATAAGCTAGATAAAAGCCGCCTATAGAGTTAAGCCCTTTTCTATATCGTACGTCTAGTATATATAGTAGAGGGTAGCGCTAAATATAAGATCGTACGACTAACTCGTACCGGTAATTAGGCTTTACTATAACTCTACTATACTCTATAGTAATAAGAGGTCTAGACCTAGCTATTATACGAGTTTCTAGTAAAGATAAAGCCGAACGGGAATCTTATTATTACTACTAAGTAGGTTAGTCCTTACTCCTCTTCTTTCGTACGTACTTTCTAACTAGAATTCTTATTCTAGATCTAGGCCGGACGACCCTCGTATACGTAAACGCCCTCCTAATAATCTTACGCGGTTAGCGGTTTACCGGACTCTATAGGAATTCCCGATATAGGTATCCCTTCTACGGTATCGTATACGACTCCTAGGTATATAGGAAGGATATTATACGAACTATAAATAGAAGGAATAAGCGCCTCGGTATTTATTTAGAGATATAGTAGAGCTACGATTTATTCCTCCTACTAGTATCTCTCTACCTACTATAAATTAGGTAGAAGTATTATAAGATAGTAATAGCTCGGATAGCGAACTACCCGTATAGCGATATAGTCAGGTTAGAGAAGAAGTATAAGGGTTTATTATTATTCGTATAATAACTTTTAATTCTTATAAGATAGTTAGGTTAGGAATTTAGGAATTTAAGGCGGAGATAAGTATAATAATAAGTATACTAGATTTACTCCTAATATATTATACGTATAATAAGATATTATTAAATATTAGTAGAATTCTATATAACCTTTATAGAGATTAAAACTCTTCTTCTATCGTACGATCTATATATTTAGAATATATAAGGGTAGGTAAGTAAGAAGGAAATAAGAGAGAGCGTAGGTATTAATATCAGGAGGTAATATTAATACCTACGTAGATATTTTACTCGTATAATTAAATTTCCCTTAATTAATATTATACCTATATAACTACCCTATAATCGTACGAAGGAATTTAGACTCTACTTCCTTTTTATAATCGGGTTTATATAATTAGTAAGGTATTATAGATTCTAAATTATATTCTAAATTCTTTAAAGTAATATACTCCTAACCTAACTCCGTATCCTC